AGAAAGGTAAATTTAATAATATATATCTAAGTCTATTTATTAAGATAAGGGAAAAGCTTATATAAATATAGTTACTATATATAGCTAGCTAAAAGAGGGTATTAAGATATTCCTATACCTAAGTTAGGCCTATATTATATCCTTAAGCTAGGGGAGTTATATTATATAGGTAGGCTCTATTATATATAACTATTAGGTCTACTAGGCATAACTATAGCCTCTTATACCCGCTCTCCTTAACACCGACATTCCCCGTAGTGGTGGCCCGGTTCAGCGTACTATACCTCCTATATTTAATGTCTGCGGCTTCGCATTCCGGCCAATCTCCTAGCAGTTATAGCCCCTATTAGTCCCGCACAGGGCTCGAAACATCGACTTTCTAGAAGCCTCTCCGCATCGCTTCCCTGTTGTAGCCTAAAACACCATCGATCCACACGCATTGCCTGACTCTTTGTTGCCCAGCCAATTTCTTGTCAACTGCGACGTTGCTTTCCCGCCCCAAGCCACACTTCTCCTTGGGCTGCCATATTAGCTTCCAGTTTGAAGGAGTCATAAGCAATGCCGTGTCAGCTTCGTGTCGGTCCATGCCGGGAGGGAGGGCGTGGGATGTACGCTCCGCCACACAGGCCTAGAGGCTTTACAGATGACTACCGGGTCGACAGTGCGCGCGGGACCCTCTCGACGACACTATAGTCGGCAGACGAGGGCCGCACACCCAGAGCCAAGGCCGGGGAGCCCTGACCAAAGACGTCCTGGTTCTGCCGCATATCTCGTCCGTTACCCCCTAGTAATAACTTGCAGGGACACATGAGGAGAGTGCCACCGCGCTCGGGGGCCACTGATGCCGTGCCGCCTCATTTCGGGGACTTGGAGGACCAATTGCGTCCATATCATGCGTCGTACTTGCATATGTACCGACCCTGAAAATCTTGTCTCTGGTCACTGTATCTATGTCACTGTTCCTGGTGCGTTGAGTGGTGTGGTATAAGGCGCCTCCACTTATAGACCTGGCCAAGCTGTTTCTTGAGTAAAATATAAAATACTTTGGCATGATATTAGGCACCGGGGTGATAAATGCCTCGGCTTCATCCCGCAAGCAATTTTATAAAATTCTTGCGTCGGCCTTTCATGCCTAATATATAACATCCAGACATGGCCGTGGCATGTACAACCTCAATCTTGAATTCATCCATCCATCCATCTATTCATTCTTTCCTCAACCTTTTCTATATGTAACGATTCTTCCTTGAAAGAACTCACCAGTTTGCATATTTGCTAACCATGCTTCCTCGAATCCGTTTCCTAGCCGCCAGCTTAATAGCTGCAGCCACAGGTACCAAGGCTCTGTTTTACAATGGGAGCATTGTTTCCTGTGGCACTCCAGACCCTAGCGACGAGTACTTGGCTAGCATGAAGTTGGCCCTACATCAGGACTCCAACATTGCAAAGCGTGAGGCGCCCGCGCCCTCGAAAATTATAGTGCCAACATATATCAACGTCTTGGCCGTCAATGAAGACCTATCGGGCGGCTATCTTACGGTATAGTCTGCTTGCTTTTCTACGGTAAACGATAATAATCGCTAAAGAGCTTTTTAGGAAGACCTAATAAATGCCCGTATAGACCATTTAAATGATTTCTTCGCTCCCAGCTTTTTCTTCGATACTTCGGTCGATGATTTTCATTGGGAAGTTACTCCTGAGCTTTTCGACTCAGGAGGGCTAGTTCGAGATCCTGATAAACGCGACCAATTGCTGGAAGAGAGACACCGAGGTGCTCACCACTCTATAAATGTTTTTTTTGTCTATCGATATGAGGAGGTAGTGCATAGCAGTGGTATGAATGGGGTGGTTGGACGCGCTTCCTTCCCATCCCTCTGGTCATCGAGTGACCCTATTCGGGTTGGTATGGTGAGAACCGGGAACGTGATCGTATCCAGCATCAGCTTTCCAGGAGTTTATTTTCAGAACCCTAGAGCCCGGTTAGCGAATACACTTGCTCACGAGGCTGGCCATTGGTTGGGGCTCAAGCACACAGATTCCAAATCATGCGATAAGGATAACGACGGTATTAAGGATACTCCCGCTCACCAGCTTTTAATAACGAATGATTGTCCTGAACTAGGCTCAGTAAACACTTGCCAACTTCTTGATGATAAACCCGACCATATTCGAAACTTTATGGTCTCGAGTTCAGGGTAAGCGCCTACCAATTCAAACCAAGCCAAACAGACCGTCCTAATATATCTACTTGCTCTAGAGACTGCGAAACCCAAACAATTACAGACGGTCAGAAGGAGCACATGAGGGAAATATACACCAAATTCCGCCTACCATACCAGCATCACGACCAGAATTATTACTGGCCGCAGCCTCCTCAGCCAACGGAGCCTCAGACACAGCAGCAGGACCAGTCGCCGCAGCCAGTGAAGCAGCAGCCTCAGCCAATGGGGCAGCCGCAGAGGCCAAATAAGCAGCAGTACCAGGCCCAGCAGCAACAGCCGAAGGAGCAGCAGCAGTCACAGCAGCAGTCACAGCAGCAGGACCGGCCGCCGCCCCCTTTAAAGCAGCAGACTCAGCCAATAGGGCAGCCGTCTTGGCCAGCAAGGCAGCCGCAGAGGCCAAATGAGCAGCAGTGCCAGGCCCAGCAGCAACAGCCGAAGGAGCAGCAGCGGGCACAGCAGCAGAAGAAGAACAAGCAGCCGCCTTGGCCAGCAAGGCAGCAGCAGAGGCCAAATAAACAGCAGTATCAGGCCCCGCAGCAACAGCCGAAGGAGCAGCAGCGGGCACAGCAGCAGAAGAAGAACAAGCAGCAGGCATGGCCAGAGAAACAGCAGCCGCCGCGGCAGAAGTGGCCACAGACACAGCAAAAGCATCTAGGAAACGGCCGGGGGCTACAATGGATTGAGGGGTCGTGCCTTAGCGATGCCGATTGCAAGACCAACTGCTGCGCTCGTTACTATCCACGCCCTGATTCTTCGGGCGCTGCTTCTTCAAGCGCTGATCCTTCAGGAATATGCTCTACCAAACGGGCTTCACGAGAGGTTGGCAAGCAAGGCTGTGGATATAGCGCATATTGGACTCGTTAGTAGACAATGTACCCAAAAAGACAATCGCTTCTTGGATGCTGTTCGGCATAGACTATCTACCTACCTACCTACTTACCACCTACCTAGGTAGTTGACTTTAACTATGTAACTCTCAACGGCATGATTAGCAACTTGTAGAGCTTGGAGATGTTAAGGACGAGTTGCATGGATATCTCGCCGCCGATAAGGAGCTCCGGTCTTCCAGGTCGCTGACATGGACTTGATATGCAGTGTTTAACGGCATGGGATCAACTGGCACAACGTAGCATTGACTTGCTCGACCGAGGATAAGAGGTGGAAAGCAGGAACGTGTACATGTTTGCATGGCGACTTTGATGCAAGAGTTCGAGCGAGCTACGCTTCACCCGGGGCCAGGATGCGTGGCGCGGGGGAGAAGGAGGCGCATGCTGCTGCGGCGCCGTTGCTGGATCTGGGTTGGAGTTGGTTTGGCCATTCGCGAGCGCCGATGGATGCGTTAGGAAACTGGACGTCAGGCGGCCCAAGCAAACCGAGGACGAGTTGGAAGGCCCGAGGAAAGAGGTGATGAGCTAATCCGATGCCGCGAGGCCGACTCACATGAGGGCTGCCTCCTGAGGGGAGTAGGGGAGCCCTGCTGGTGCACTTGGGGTCAGGTTGAAAGGTTGAAAGAAGGATGGTCTATTCAAGAGGGCCACCTCGGACGCTGGCGATATACACAGCGCCCTCGGGCCCGGACTATTTATCTATCCGCCACCGGTGGGGCGGAGCTACCGCGCGTGTGGCGCTGTGGCTGAGAGCCACTCCCTGTGGCCCCCCTTCTAGCATCACCTGCCTCTGGTGTAATTACATACGTACAAACACAATCAACACATGACGGACAACAGGGCTTCACGCGCAGGCCCAGACGCGCGGGGTTGATGCCCATCGTTTGGCGCCCTTCTGCCCCGGCTGCTGCTGCCTCGCCTTGCCCTGCGCTCGAAAGGAGCATTTGCATCTCGACCATCAAGGGCCCGCCCGGATCGCCCCCTCGTCTGCCTCAAGACCCTCAAGACGGCGGCCGTCCAAGCTGGCCGGCGGCTCCCCTCGTCGTGGACACTGTACACATGACCCAGACGGCCGAGTTCCTCCGACATGTACTGTACTGATACTGTACGGAGTAAGTTAACTTCTGTGCAGCAAGTACGGATACTGTACACGTCTTGCCCGCAGCCGGCCGAAGCCTGCATCCTCATCACTCCCCCGCCTCCAATCGCCGCCGCCCAGACGAGACACGTAGCCGCCCGGCGGTCCCCCAACATCAGCCTCATTGGCTGGCGCCGCTGCAGCCAGCGACTCCAGCCTGCGACTCCAGCCTGCGACTCCAGCGCGACGTCGACCGGGGAGCCAGCCAGTAGCTGAGCAAGCCGACCACCCAAGGCCCCCTGCCGTCCAAATTTAGACGGCGGCCCTGCTCCTTTGATTGGGCCCATGGTGTCGCTCAATCTGCCCATCCGCCGCAACCTCACAAGCTGTCTTCAAGCGTCCGCGCCATCGCCAGTCACCTCGCCCGTCGTGCTGCCGCCATGCTGCAACCTCGTCCCATGCCGCGTTGCCCCATCCGGTCCCTCGAGCCTTTGTCCTGCCCGCCCGTAGCCGCTCACGCAGCCTGGATGCAACATCAGCCATCACCCAAGGTCCCCCATAACTATGCCCAGGCACACCGTCCGACCCGTCCCTTTCCTCGCCATTCACTTCTTCCGACCCCCCGTTTCTCTTGCCATTGATGCTGTAATAGACGCTTCGTTGACCGAAGCATCCTGTCTTTAATCCTACCTTCATTGCTCGACGCTGGTCGTCAGCCCCCAAAAGTCTTGCAGCAATACTCGTCTTTTTTTATACCGTCATCTTGATTGCAACAGCCCTCGTCTGGATACGAGGCATTGTTGCTCAGACAAGATGGCCGAGGCGCTTCGCTTGCCCAACGACAGGTACATGTCTCGAGACTCTTCGCTGGCTCCAAGACAAAAGAGGCTTCTTAATCCCATAATAGAGGAGGACAGCGACGATGGCCAAGTCCCGCAGGCGGCGACCGGCAGAAGGACGCGGCGCGGCGATTCTTCGCATCTGAAAATCGAGGCCTGGCTGTCGCCCGTCAGTGATCACTTCCCGACCCCAAGAGGAATGCATTACCTCGCCGCCCCCATCCTGCCGTCGTCGCCGTCCACCGTGTCCGGAGCCGACAGCTCCCCGACCAACTCGTCCAACCCATGGAACCGGGCCAGTCTCGCCACCGAAAACACCGAGTTCGAGGACCTCTACGATGTGTCCGAGGAAGACGACGGTAAGGACCTGACACGCCCGTTGCGCCGCTCGTCCTCCGTCCGTAGGATGCACGCAAAATCCGATCATGGCTCGTCGTCCAAGCAACCGACTCGCCTTACTATCCCGACAGGTCCTCCGGGCGCCGTCGAGGCCTGGTCTGCCGTCGACAAGCTCAAGAAAACCGCTTCGCCTGTGCCGCCAACCCCTTCGGTCAAGTTACACATGTCGCCGGCCCAGGTCGAGTTCATGGGCAAGCAGCAGGCTCTTGAAGTACCGACAATCTCGGCGCCTCCTTCTCTCGATGGCAGCTTCTCCTCCGAGCAACTCGCGGCCATGAGCGCGCCCGTCACCCCCGTCATCGGAAACGACGAAGCCACGACCGACGAGGCATGGGCCGGCGTGCATCTGCAGCCAGGCGCGCTCGCGACTCTTCAGGCCCTCTCCTGCGGCGAGGACGAGGTCCACGAGCAACCATCGCAACTTCTGGAGATTCCTCAGGCACCGTCCTATCAAGCCCCCGAGATGCGCCAGCAACCTCTGCGACTCGTCACCAGTTTCTCCTCTCAGCTTGCTCAGGAAAGGCTTGTGTCTCCGAATCGGCACTCCCTCGCCGAGCTGACGAGGCTGGAAATCCCGTCGCCAGGTGGATTCTTCTCCGGGCTTTCCCCTCGAACCCGCAGTACCTGGCACATGCTAGCAAATTCCCCTGAGGGCTTGCATCCCCCCACCTCCACGACTGCCGAGCAATTCTACCGGTGTCCTTGGAACTCAGAGGTCCCTGGTCAGCCAGCATCCCAGCGTCCGGATCCCGCCGAAGACTTCTACCGGAGCTTCGACTTGTCCTCGGCCCCTGTTGAGCGTGTCGTCGAGGTTCGAGACGATGACATCTCTGATGGGATTCCCACTGCCAGGCCCGTCATTCAGCACAAGGATTCAGACTCTTCTGAGGAAACTATCAAGTCACCGTCTTCTCCTCGGGTACAAGACGCTCCAACCGAGATCGTGATCGACTACGATCCCGACTACGCCCGGAAGCAACAGAAAGTCGCCCTGTCAAACCTCGACCGCACTGAGCTGTGGCTCCTGGCGCAGCGAGCTTACTTGACGGGCATCAGCAACGTTGTCGAAGACGATGTTGCTCCCAAGGCGGTCGACGAGGTCTCCGAAGCGGAGGAGGCCGAGGCCGGAGGGCTTCAGCCGGAGCGGGACCCGGAGCGGGACCCGGCATCTCAGAAAAAGGTGGTACGCTTCTCAGTCATTAGCTCGCCTGCTGCTCAGCCAAAGAACCTTCCGCACAAGCTGCTGCAGCGAGAGTCGGCGTACTACCGCGCATTCCAGGACTACATCGTCCGAACGCAACGGCACGACGTCTTCATCCACCAGCTCGCCCGCTTCGAGGCTCTTCAGGCTCAGCGAGTGGCGCTTCGCAAGATGCATCGCAACCAGCTTCTTGGAAAGTACCAGCTCAGCGTCGTTCCCCAATCCGCCAAGAAGCGTCTGAGCGCAAACGTGGCTCGTGGGGACCTCGTCCTGACCGACGACCCCGAGAGACTGCGCAGGGAAAAGGAGTTTGAGGCGGCGAACCAGATGGCAATGCCGACTTGGCATGTGGCCGCCATCAAGTTTCTCAACGGCGGTCGCCTCATCACTGCTCCGGTCACCAAGCAGCTCGCGCAACCCTCTTGCGCGGCGCCGGAACTGGACGGCTCTGCTCGTCATCGTGCCAGGGTTCTCGATCTTGGCGGGCAGTCCACTTGCGACTGGGGTTGGCACTGCGCACTCCAGTATCCCAATGCCAAAGTGTACACGGTCACCACCAAGGCAATCCGACAGCTCTCCAACTCAAACATTCGCGGCCCGCCGAATCACCGTCAAGTGGCGGTGGAGCGGCTCACGCAGCTCCCCTTTGCCGATGATCAATTCGATCTCATCTCGGCCCGCGAGCTTCACAGCATCCTCAAGTTCTTTGGCGAAAATGGCGAGGACGAGTGGGAGGGCTGCCTGCGGGAGTGCATGCGGGTCCTCAGGCCTGGTGGCTATCTGGAGTTTTCGATTCTCGATTCGGACATAATCAATGCAGGGCCGCTGGGCCTCGCCAAAAGCGTCGAGTTTGGCTTTTCTCTCAAGACGCTTGGCTACGATCCCAGTCCATCCAGGATGTGGCTGGGACGCCTCGCCCGTGCCGGCTTCGAGGACGTCCGCCGCGTGTGGATGTGTCTCCCACTCAGGGCCAAGAGAAAGGTGCACACACCCCCAATGCCGCCGAGCAGCAGTGGCGCGGAGGGTGACGGGGAGCCGACGGTCCGCCAAATGGACGCAATGGTGATGGGCAGCAGTGACGACATTGCGAGCATGTGCAGTGTTGTCGGCGGATGGAGCTGGGAGAGGTGGCTCCTCCGGTGCGAGATGGAAAAGGTTGCGGGAGAGCTACGACTGGCGGATACCGTGACGACGGGGACGGCGGTGCGGGAGGCAGACAAGTGCCTCGAGGGGGTTCACGCGGTGATGGAGGAGGGCAGTGGTTGCAAGGCGGGCTTCCGGATGCTCAACGGATATGCCAGGAAGTCTCGAGCCGGCAATGACGAGGTGATTCGGGTTGCGTTGGCGGACTGAGGATAGTGGCGAGACGGGCGGACCTCTTTGGCTGGAGGGATGCGTTGTCGGAATGTTGGAGCAGGTGGCTGGTTCGTCGTTTGACATGTCCATTCCGTAAATACCTGGTGAGTGCGTGAATGCTTGGGCCGACAAGAAATGAGGAGGGGGCGTGATCGTGCAATTGACTTGTCCTATGTGTAGGTAGATGTGCTCCAAATGGGTTAGAAACAAGCATGATGGTTTTGGCGTGTAAGCTTATGTTCTCTCCCCTAGTTGTTTTAAGCATTAGAGAGTCCCCTGAGGACCCCATCTAATCGCCCGCCTCGAGGAATGAAGTGATGAGAGGTCTTAGTGTGACTGACCAGCGTGTGTCGGACTAACTGCTACCGATCTGGTAGCCCGCCCAGAGGACGAAGTTTCCGAAACGATCGAGTGAAGTCTTTTCACGCCCAGTTCTGTTAAGGTCGTCCTGAGAGTTTGTAGCCACATCCGCCCGTATGAAGGGGCCCAAGGCAGCCTAGAAATGGCCAAGGCTGCCGGCTCAAAAATCTGGACGAGTTCAGGTTCCCACATTCCTGCCAAGTCGACAGTCCCCAGATCAGAAATAGGATTCTGGATGAATATATGGTGTCTCTTGGGGTCTGCCGCGGTAGTAATCGCCATCGGCGAAAATGGGCAGCCGTCTTTTTGGCTCACCGCAGATGACCCGGCTCGCAAAGAAGTGTTCCCTATCCCAAAGACTGACAGCACTTCTCCATCCTTTGTTTGATTGCTGCAGGGAGCAAGTTTTCATCTGCTCAGATGATGCCTTTTTGGCACCTTGGTTGTTTCATAGTACGTCAACCAAATGAAGTCATGTAGCAACGCAGCTTCTGATATTGTCGGTAGAGCGACGATAGCATATTGGTATCGAGAATATAGAGGCGAAGTATTGAAAACAGAGAAAGCAGAGTGTGGCAACCGTGGCAGACTGGGTAGGTGCAGACGGAGGCAGACGGAGGCCGACGCGACAGACAAGATCACATCTATGTGCATTAAAAGCGTTCACTTCCATACGCACATGGCATACGAGGCAAAAATGACGAGCTCTCTAACACCAAGTGGCTCACCATACAGCAGCATCTGCAATGAGACCTTGTTGCCTAGCAAGCGAGACGCGGTCTTGCAAGCGACCTTGCAAGCGACCTGGTCGTCTTTTCTTGGTATTGCAGCGGAAATGCCTCATAAATTTGCATGATACCCAAGGTATGCAAATAACCGGCCCGGCGAGCTGGCAATTCAGTACACAATCACAATAGCATTAGGGATGCTTTCGGTGGCACCAAATGCGGCAGTCACCATGGAAGACATATAGGAAGTTACACACGTCTTCAGATATCTGTTTCTGGCTTGTTGAGCAACTAAGAAATCCTATCAATCCCCGCACACTATACACATATATTTAGCTATACATGCGGACATTCTTTTTCAGGAAGGAGAGCGCAATCTATTAATGCAAGGGCCCCATGACGAGTGATAGTCTTGCACGTGATTTTTTCTGTGACCGCTGCTTGCTGGATCTGACAGGTACGTAGCGCTGGTGAGGTCACGGGATGTGCATGGTTCGGGTGCGGGAAAAGCCGTCGCCGAAATTTTGGATCGGTCAGCAGCGGCGGAGTGCAGCTTCCTCGGGCCCACACCAAAGACGAAGCTCCTCCAACCCATCGCCCGTCAAGCACCAGCCTCATCCAAGGCACCCAAGACACTGCGTCGGCGTCCGGCAAAGGACGTGCGAGCCATATTCAACGTCACCATGTCAGGACAAAACAACTGGGCGGACGAGACGATGCGGCGCCTGCGCCAGTTGCAGTCGCAGACACAAAGCGGCTATGGCAGAGGACGAGGTGGCGGCCCCAGGATGCCAAAGGGAAGCGGCGGCATCGTCTTGGGCGGTATGCTACTTGCTGGTGGCGCCATGGTCGTGTCAAACTCTCTCTTCAATGTCGACGGTGGTCAACGGGCGATCAAGTACAAGAGGATGGGTGGCGTGAGCAAGGAGATTTACAACGAAGGTAAGCACCGTTTATCACGAGAGGCGGAGAGAGCAATCAGAATTGTCACGAGCGCTGCGAGCTGTGCTAAAGGCAGACTTCTCTTACAGGAACTCACATCAATATCCCCTGGTTCGAGACGCCGATCGTTTACGACGTGCGGGCCAAGCCGCGCAATGTAGCGTCCTTGACGGGCACCAAGGACCTGCAGATGGTCAACATCACTTGCCGTGTGCTATCCCGACCGCAGATCGAGGCCCTGCCGCAGATCTACCGCACCCTCGGGGCCGACTATGATGAGCGAGTGCTGCCATCCATTGTCAACGAAGTGTTGAAGAGCGTCGTCGCCCAGTTCAATGCCAGCCAACTCATCACGCAGCGTGAGATGGTGGCCAAGCTCGTGCGCGAGAATCTGTCACGCCGTGCCGCGCGGTTCAACATTCTCCTCGACGATGTCTCCCTTACAGTACGTTTAATTCCCGGAGGAAACACCAGAGGCTTGCTCGCCAGGGGCGTCCCAGGGTAGGATAGCCGCTGACCGTGTCATTCAAATGTAGCACCTCGCCTTCTCACCCGAGTTCACCGCCGCCGTCGAGGCCAAGCAGGTTGCCCAGCAGGAAGCACAGCGGGCCGCCTTCATCGTCGACAAGGCACGGCAGGAGAAGCAGGCCATGGTGGTCAAGGCGCAAGGTGAAGCCCGGTCGGCGCAGCTGATTGGCGATGCCATCAAGAAGAACAAGGCCTACGTGGAGCTCAAGAAGATTGAGAACGCGCGACTGATTGCGCAGCAGATGCAGGAGTCGGGGGCCAAGAACCGGCTGATGCTGGATGCCGAGGGTCTGGGACTCAATGTCTTTGAAGGCCCGGAGCTGAAATAGGGGACATGAAGACAGAGGGAGTTGCGACGAGCCGGTACGATGAAACCTGACTGCCTAGTGTTGCCCGACGGGGATTTGTTGTATTATAGCCGTTGCCTGAAGCTCGTGGAGAGCAGATTCCCCCACTATTGGCGTAGTAAATCAACAGAGCATCCCACTTTAGTGCCTCAGACTGGCTCTCTTGTTTTCATTTGAAGTCCATGGGATACTTCAAAGTGCGAGGCCTGGGGTAGGTATGTATTTCGACGCCTCCAACAGCCGCCGTTACTGTCTCATGAAGTCCTTCGTAGACGGAAATATTACCTAATCACCAGGTGAAAGCTAACCCCGCGGCAAGTGGTGTACGATTGCGGGACCATTGATGGTTGATGGATGCTTGCTTGCTTGAGCCTCGGAATCCCACCAATCCCACTCATCTGCATCATCTGCATCATCGCCATCCATCAGCCTCGCCCCTCGTCCGCCCTCCCTTGCCCTCACTCTCGTCAGCCCACCGCGGCCGTCAGAAATCGAGAAGCTGCCCGGCCCACCAGAAACAGCCATCTTCCCCGTTTCACGGGCGGCCCACCAAGCGAACTCTCCCTTCTCTCAAGACACACATAGAGCAGCCGCGCTCTCGAGCATCAGCCTCGCACCGTCACCATGTTGATCAAGTACGAATCACGCCTCCGCCCTTGCCCTCCCCGGCCCCAATTGGAACTGATCGCGAGTTGCTTACAGGGTGCGAACACTGACGGGCAAGGAGATTGAGCTCGATATCGAGTTGGACTACAAGGTGGCGTTCCCCACCCCTTGCCTCTTTCTTTTCTCGCTCAGTCCTCGTCCGAATCGCTGGTCCACTGGCGCCACATTGCTGACAGGCAGGGCCACAGGTATCGCAGATTAAGGAAAAGGTGGAGGAGAAAGAGGGCATCCCCCCGGTGCAGCAACGTCTCATCCACGGCGGCAAGCAAATGTACGATCCTGAATACACCGCCTCTTCCTCTCCCTGGCCGTCTTCACGCTCGTCTGATGCCTTGAGCTGACTCTGCGGCCTCTGAGCAGGACCGATGACAAGACGGCGTCCGAGTACAACCTCGTTGCTGGCGATACGCTGCATCTGGTCCTCGCCCTTAGGGGGGGCCGGTGAATGGTCTGCTGAGCGAGCGACGAGCGACGGCCCCAAACGGCCCTGCTCTGGACAGCCAGCTGCGACCCCGGCTCAGACTGGGAATTTGCCTTGACATTTTTGGGAGGGTGGGGTGAGTGGGGAGGGAGACTGGCGTCTTGTCACCTGCGTACTATGTTGTTGTGTATGTTGGTGAAGCCGGAGCACCGCGCCTTGGAGGAATGGGCGTCACCGTAACGTGGCCCCCATCGCGGAAACAGAACCATCGTGACCGCACGGGACCATTCGGAATACAAACTAGCATCTGAGCAACAATGGATACGACTGAAAAGAAACGTCAGGGCCAATGTCAACGAACCTCACTCTCAGGACGGAACCACCGCGAACTCTACGAAATGCACACGCACAAACGAGGCTACGCTGCGGTGGAACGCTGGCAATACAACAAGTGCTCTGTTTGATGACCACTAGTTGGCAAGATACCCTGACTTGGTGAAATTCATCCTGAGGTTGCGCTATCAATCGTGCCACAAATCATCATCCGTAAGCAAAGATGCCACGTCCCGAGTTCCACCCTTGGTAGCTCATGTCCAGGCTCCGAATACGCCCTGTCTTGTATGTAGACTCCGTCCGTCCCTGTATCTGGGTTCCTGAAACGCCATGCGTGGTGACATTTCTGTCCAGACCAACTAGAAAACAAAGAAAAAGACCGATGAAAAGCAGAAATGACGTGAGGCATGCGGGAAAGGCGAAATGTGAGCTTGGACGCCGCAGGATGTGCTCAAACCGCTCTCTTCTTGCGTCGCATGAAGATGTCGACGGCCTTGCGTTTCCGCTGAATGGGCGGGGGACTAGCCTCTGATGGTGCGGCGGCTGTGTCCTTGGGCGATGATTGTCCAGCCGAGTTGTCTGGCGCAGGGCTTGTTTTGGAGGGAGCGAGGCGACTGTCCGCCTCGGTGGACTCGTCAGCCGGCATCGTGGAAGGCGGCGAGGAGGCCTCATCGGCCGACGGGACAGACACGGCTCGCGGCATGGTGGTCGATCTCCTGAACTTATTGGCCATGGTCGCCGCTCCTCTGTTGGCAGCCTTGACAGGAGCGCCAGAGCCGTCCTGCTTCTGCGTGGTGGTGCTGGGCTGAGCGCGGAGGGCGGCCGGCTTCTTCTTCAGGAGCGAGACCTTGGCGGCCTCGGAGACGATGTTTTTGGTGGGCGATGAGCCCACCTGGGCGGGAGCCGTCCTTTCAGCGTCGCCAAAGAAGTCGTCGTGGTCTTCATCCTCTTCCGAGTCGGAGATGACAGTTGCTCGCTGCTCGTACTGCTCAACGGCAGAGACGGGCTCGGGGGCCTTGGCGGCTCCTCTGAACTGAGGCTGGGCGGCTCTCTGATAGTCGCTGACCATGGCTGCAGGTGCCTTCTTGAGCTCGACATGGCGAGTCGGCCCGCGGATCACCTTGGAAAGCGAGCCGTGTATGTTGGCAATCTCCTTGACTTCGCGGCGGACCTTGCGCATGACGCTGGCCCCGGTGTGCGTCTTGGTGCGGCTGCCAGAGTTGAAGGTGAGGGTGCTCGAGGTGTGGTCACGCTGGCCCCAGACACGCTTCGGACCAACCCTTCCAGCGCGGGGCAGAAACTTGCGCTCGATAATCTTGCTCGTGTTCTTCTCCTTGCTCTCCTTGAGCCCGGCAAGGGCATTCATGAGCTTCCTCTCGCTCTCCTCGAGGGCGGTGGCGTGCTCCTTCTTGTACTTTTCCCAGACGCGATACCACTTGTCAGGGGAGGAGGGCTTGTACGCGTTCGCCTTGTACTCGAGCGGAAAGTCCTTCTCTATGAGCCTGATCCAGAGCTCGCCCGTCTCGCCCTGGATCTGGGGCGAGTTGATTTCGATCTGGCGCAGCTGGTATGCATTGTCGATTTTGAGGAGGATGTGGCGCATCGACTCGTAGGGAAGGTAGTCGCCGATGCTCTCGAGAGCCTTGATGTTCTTGATGCAAGACATGGTTGCGAGTTCCATGAGAGATTTGACCGTCATGATGGGCAAGAAGTCAAAGGCGCGCAGGGAGGAGGATTTTTATATGGCGGGGGGACGCGGTGGCGTGGCGCGCCAGCTGGTACAGGCAAGAATAGGCGAGCCAAGAGCTAATAAACTCATTGTTCTGTGGCTTGGATAGAGTGGGAGCAGGCAGACGTGTAGGCGAGAGCTTCGGGGCCGAGGCGAGAGTTGCCGAGTCAACGCAGCATCCCGTGAATGGCAGTGTCAATGGGCGAGCAATCGTATTGAAAGCAACACACCGCAATCAATGGACATGTTATTATCCTCGATGAATTGTGCTGTATTGAGACTCCGAGGGCGTAAAGCCGGGTCGCGAGCCCCAGGCAAAGGGCTGATATCTGAGAAGCGGACGAGAGAATGGAGCTGCGAGACGAGCTTCGAGGTTCAAGGTTGCGGTCGCGGGCTTTATAGGTGGCCTTTATAGGTGGCCTCCAGGGGCTGCTAGCGCGAGCTGGTACCCTTCGGGAGGGGGGCCTGGGGGGGCCTGGGGGGGGCCCAGCTGGTGCACGGAGCCCCACCGGACCGACCAAGCCGCCACCAATCACACGGCGGCTCGCTACCGAGACCTCTCGGCTGCCTGTTCGTCAGTCGCCTTTGTTTGCTTCGTCACCTCGACATTCATTCACACCCTGTGCTGCTTGAGTTCGTCTGACTCACTCAAAACATCTCCGCACCCGAGGCAGAGACTTTTTTCTCTGAATCTTATTTCCTGCAGACCAAACAGCGCCACAGCCATGGCGGACCCGTCCTTTGTCAAGCCCGAACCGGAGGAGGAGACGCCTGCCATGCCCATGGAGGAGGACGACCCGGACGAGGACGCCGGCGACCTCGAGTTCTACGACAAGGGCGGGGCTGGCCACCAGTTCGAGACGCTCTATCTCGCGCGCATCCCGCGGTACATGTGGGACGCATGGCTCAAGTTGGTCGAGGGGCTCGGAGACGACGACGAGATCCAGCTCGGCACCCTGCGCACCTGGAACGAGCCGACGCCGGACGCCTCGGTCGAGGGCGGCATGCGCGACGTGACCAAGCTGCGGATGCTTCTTGATCCCAGCCGTCCCGAGCACCAGCTCATACCCCGCGAGTACGACCTCGACATCTTCGACCGCGACGTGCACAATCACTTCATCTTCAGCGAGGAGGACCTGCCGAGCTACAAGGAGAAGAACAGGGCCCGCAACGAAGCCATGAGCTCGGGAATCCCCGCCCATCTGCTGAGGCAGAGGGCGCAGGGCAACGGCCAGGGGACCGGCCCGCAGAGGCACACCTACGACAGGAAGAATCGGTACCAGCCCTACTATCGCAAGGCCATTCCAAGTTTGTCGCCCATGTCCCGGAGACTTGCCGCGCCTTGTTCCTTGCTGACATTTGCGATGCAGAAAAGACCAAGATATTCGGCAAGATCCACTACGACGTCCGCGTCGAGCCCCGAAGCCACCAGGAAGAGGAGAAACTGCTGGCCAAGCGGCTGTACGAGGCCGAAAACTCCAAGTCGAAGCTCAAGATCATTAGCCGCAACAACGCGTCGGCCATCATGAACCCCGGCTCTGCCGCTGCGTCCCAGTGGGGCGGCAACTTTATCGTCAGTCCTCCGCGGCCCCATCGCCTGGCGCTCGCCTGTCGTGCTAACTCGGGCCTCTGCAGAAAAACGCTGCCCAGCAAACCAAGCCCAAGAAGGGCGAGATCTTCAAGGCGACCCGTATTCCCAAGAACCAGCTTCTCGATCTCATCTTCGACTGCTTCCGCCAGTATCAGTATTGGTCCATGAAGGCTCTCCGCCAGAGGCTGCAGCAGCCCGACTCGTACCTGCGCCAGGTGCTGGAAGAAGTTGCGGTGCTGCACAAGAGCGGCCGCTTCGCCAACCATTACGGGCTGAGCGACGCGTACAAGGACAAGGCCGGGAGCGACGCCAAGGAGGAGGCGGCAGAGGCGGCGGAAGACGGAGACGAGGACGAGGACGAGGAACTGGAGGACGTTTTGCCCGCGCATTGACGCGATCTATCGAGAAGTTTCGCCAAGATGGAGCGTGTAGCTATGGACGAAGGAAACACAATCAGCTGGCTGGCGTTTGGGCGTTGGAGCTCCAGGAACGGCGAGCTCAGGGTTTTAGAGCATGATACCCTCTATAGATGCGACCACCAGAAGGTCTAGAACATATCGTGCCAGGATTTGACTGCGAGAGTGGTACATTTGCAGAAGAGAGGTCTCGAGCAGAGACGGATTAGCGTGCATCAAAGGGCCATCGTCACTGACTGCATGTGTGAATGTACCTGGCCTCCGCCTCATTTGGGACAAGCTCGCCAAGCTTCTTTTTCTCTCTCACCCTTCAGCTCCCACAAATATGACTCGAGCTGGCCAACCGGATCCGTCCTCGGCTGGGCAAGCGACCTTCGAGAGGTCCTGTTCAGTGAATACAGCACGTGGCGGCTCTCCGAAGCCCATCAGACCCAACAGCAACCTCCCTCAGTTTGCAAGGCACATATTCCGGCCGCCGAGCTTGATCACATCCAAGGCGGTAACCTGGACAAGTCTACCCATCTATGCGGCAACCGTTGCAACGCGCCTTTGCTAGCCTCGCCCGGACCCCCGTCAAGCAACTGCAGCAGCCGCGGCCAAGGATGCACCTCATCTTCGACTTTGACGGCACCATCACGCGGCGCGACACCATAGGTGAGCTCGCCCGCTCGGCCATTGCTCGGCAGCAGTCCCACGGCGGCGGCGGCGGCGGCGGTCTCGAGGCCGCGTGGGAGCAAGCCGTGCGAGACTACGGCGCAGACTACAGCGCGTACCGGCAAGAGTACCGGCCCGCAGAGGCGCAGAGGCGGAGCGCGACGGACGAGGTGCGCTACCTGGCGGGGCTGAAGAGCGTCGAGGAGGCGTCGCTGGACCGGGTCGGGCGGTCAGGCGTCTTTGCCGGACTCGGGGCGGACCAGCTGTTCTGTATGGGCGTCGAGGCGGTCGAGGCCCGGCGTGTCGCTGTGCGGGATGGCTTCGCCGACCTGGTCGAGCTGGCGGCCCGCCGGGGCTGGCGAGTCGACGTGGTGTCGGTCAACTGGTCCGGCGCCTTTATCCGCGGAGTCATACACCCGCACCGACTGGCCGTGACGGCCAACGAGATCTCCCCTGACGGGCACATCCGGGGACCCGGCGGGCCTCTTGGCGCCGACCGCATCACCACTTCACCGGACAAGTTGCGGGCCGTACATCATCTCATCGAGGCAGCCGCCGCCGATGACAACAACAGCAACACCAACAGGGTCCTCTACTTTGGCGACTCGGCGACGGACATGGAGTGCCTCCTCCACGAGGACGGCGTCGTCGTGGCAGACGGACGGGACTCGGCCTTGATGCAGGTGCTGGGGCGCATCGGCGTCGAGGTCCCTCACATTGGGGAGCTGCCGCCGCACAGCCGCAATGATGGCGTCGTCCTCAGCTGGGCGAGCGACTTTCGAGAGGTCCTGGACAGCGGCATCCTCGAGTGATGGCCCGAGAGAGCGACTGCATGGCAAGGATTCCCCTGTGCTGCGACTCTACTATGCGTACGCAAAAACTTGAATGTTGCGTGCCAGCCGTGGACAAGGTCTTCACAATGGGTGGGACCCTGTTTAGGCTACGTCCCCAGGTCGGGCTGGGCATCAACACGGCGGATGGTCCATCCAGTGCCGAGCAACCAGCCAGACAGTGGGCATCTCCAAGCAAAGAGAAGGAGGAAAACAAGGCAACCCGGTCTTGTTTGTTTTCGTTCAAAGTCAATGCGACCAAGTGGCCAGCCAAGACTATGGCTCCCCCGCAACGCGTTCCAGTCCTGAGTCCGTCTAGACCTCTCCTAGCCCACCTTATATTAGGAAAGGCCTCGAACCCCGATAAAACTGATCGAGTACCCGACAATTTCTCTGGAGAGAAAAGAAAAGAGAGAACAACAAGAGAGAGGGAAACCTAAACAAGCTCGTTATTCCTCGAACCGACAAGGGGCGCCTCTCATCTGACCCGCCCGTCCGCCAAATGTGCACCTATGCGCGGACCGTCTTCGAATGCAAGCACCACGCCTGGGGCCGGCGCCTCAAGCTCTGCGCCGTTGCCGAAAGTCACCGGGCCGGCGACCTCCCCAGCGGATGCGCCCTGCGCAAGCCGCACGGCCTGCACTCGCGCAGGGTCCCCCGGCAGTGCCACAAGTGCAGCGAGCTGGACCGCAAACGCAGCCTGCTGAGGGCCAAGCTCGACGAGTGCCGCGAGATGTTTCACAGGCAGTACCCCGAGTACGGGATCGGACTCGACATCGGCGCCGGAGAAGACATGGAGCAAGCAAGTGATGGGCTGGGCAGCGAGGACGAGGACGGAGGGATGGGCTCGGACACGAGCAGATCGGTCACGGCGGGGATATAATGGGCGAGAACGGGATATAAGCGATGAAGGGAGGCGTTTGGAGTCTGCAAGGCCAAGGCCACGGAACCGAGACGAATGGGCTTTGCTTCTGGGTTTGGATTTTGGATTTGGATCGAGTCGGTCGCCGCGAGCCAGGCACCGCCAGGGACCTGGACACGTGAACAAGAGGGATTCCGGTCCTGGGTTCCTGCTGTGGAAAGGCTGCATGAGTGCCACGATAGATACCTCTCTCGCTCTCTTTACCTTTTTCATTTCTCCTAGCTAGCGCTGTCAAGATGTGTCGGTTATTGCAGGCAGTATTTACCACTGATGAAAGACAGTTATGAGTTGGCAGCCCGGACCGAGTCGGGCATCGTGGAGGTTGATGACACGGGGGAGGTCGGCGAGCCGAGCCGCGACGCGACGAGCGCATTGCATCGTCCGGAGCGAGCAGGTATCATGCAAGTAAGCCTCCCCGTAAGCCTCCCCCCCTGGTCGGTGGACGTCCGGAAGTAGGCCGTGGCAGGTGTGAGTTGCGGGGGAGGCGGCTGTGCATGAGGCCTTTTTGAACCCTTTCTCTTCGTGATTCACCTTGTTCCGCGGGACTGAGAGCAAGCCATGCGTCATGCCCCTCATCGCATCCGTGTGAGTTGTTTGTCTAGCACCGGAGCTGATGCGAGGTAGGCAAATTATGACTTACATGCAAGCACAGTAGTGCCCTTTTATTCAGCGAGGCTGGAAAGGGTGTGCCTATCAAGCGTGCCTATCAAGCGTGCCTATAAAACGCCTTTAATTTCATCTCGAGCGCAGTAGTGCCCTGTGCCAACTTTTCGAAGCCCTGTCATCGACCCTGCAGCAAAAGTTGCTGCGGCCATGTATCCGTACTAGGTACGGATATGTACATGCAGGTCTGGGTGAGTGCGCTGGGGGCACAGTTAGGCGACGATACCAAATGCTCGCTTTTCCACCTGCTCTATGTAGGCATGCACCTTGCCAATGCCCCATTCGGTAGTGGCATGTCGAAAAGGGGCACGCATCTCACTGCCATTGACTGCCGAGAAGGGGTTTTCTTCACCAAGGGGTGTGCGTGTTCGTGTGCGTGTGTATGTGTAGGTGTGTGTGTGTGTGTCATCTGTACGCCGATGCCTGGCCTCGTGACGTTGAGCCAGACTCTCTGTACAGTAAGTACATCAAGCACCATGCACAGTACGTACGGATGAGCAGGGACTGTACCGAGGTCACGATGCTCTGCAGCCGTCCAGAGGTGCATATGGGGCGAAAAGCAAGCTGGAGCTGGAGCTCGGGCCCCATAGAGCCGAGCCTGAGACATGGCCAGAGGGACATTGAGACAACAAAGCCCTGCAGGGCAAATAAAGACGCGCACAGCCGAGGCATCCGGAGGGCGAGCAAGGGCAGCGGATCGACCGTGGCAACCGGGCGGGCCGCTTTCCGAGCTGGCCTGTTTTGAAACTCGCCGTCTTGCGTGGGGGGGGAAGAGGACGTGAGGATGGCAAGGGACGGTGAAGAGAAAACGCCATGGTTTGATTGATGGTGTGTGTGCATCAGTTTTAGGCGCGCAAATCACCCGATCAAGGACGTGTCTCGACTCTTGAAAAGGGAAAAAGCAAAGGAAGACGAGAGAGATGGCTCCCCTCGCCTCGAGCTGTCTGCACGTAGTATGTACTGCGCGCTGTACTGTAGAAGCAGCCGCCCAGCGTCCCCCGCAGAACAGCTGGCTTGGCACCTTGGCCACCTGAGGCCCCCCTGGACGACCATGGATGGCACACCGGGAGGGCGAGGGGGCAGAGCTTGCCTCTACGGGTGCCCGAGACGGCCCAGGGCGCGGCGACGAAGCCCTAACGGAGCCACTAGAGCTGTCTACCAAGTACGCTGTAGTAGGGGACTGCAAGCTTGAAGCCTGCCCAGACTTCTTGGCTTTTCAGCAGTCAAGCTCCCCTGATCCCTCCGACTTGGACCTTGTACATACGGAACACTGTGCAGCATGTCGGGATGCGTGAAGATGCATTCGACGCCGTGGCCGTGATGAAGCAAGTGTTTCGCACTTGCGCAGAGGCAAAAGCCACAGTGCCATCCCAGAGCTTCCGAGCAGGCACCGGCTCGTCTGAAAGGGAAATGATGATACGAGGGCCCGCGCCCGTCGCTCGCCTTGTATTTATTAGCGGGCCGGAGCAACGAGGTCCACGATGCACGCCTCACGCCTCACGCCTCACGCCTCACGCCTCTTGCCGCCATCGATAAACCCTACCCACGCAAAACCTAAAACTCGAGCTGTACAGTGTAGTACGTTGTGCGTGAGTGCGGGCGGACATTTGTGCGCTGCGCATGAGCTGGGCATCCATCCGGGCGAGGCAACGTCGATCAAATCAGTGAGGTCCGAAGGCGAAGGGAAAGGTAGAGAGAGTGCATGTACAGTTACGTGCGTAATTTGCTGCCAACGAGCCCTCCCCGCCTGGTCTCGAGATGCGAGCAGAGAGCGGTCCGAGGATCGTCGCGCGCGATTGGCTTTTCTCGGCCACACGAGGCGGAGCGCGAGGTCCCGCGCCTTGGGCACGCGGTTGGTGCACTTTTTGGTGCGGTGACCCTACAAAGGCCAAGCTACCCTGTATCCGACACACGGGATAAAAACAGTGCAAGGTTCACCTTCCTTCCTTTGTCATCACACTTTCTTGGCATGCAATTGTTAAGAAAGTGGCACAATTTCTACCAATTTGCTTAACACGTGCACGACAACCTCTGTAGCCGCGCTCTGCGCTGGCTTCGGCTGCGGCCATGGCATCTGCCACGAGCTCGCATGCCAGCTCGGATCCCTTTGATCTGGGTGCTCATACCCCGCCTAACCTTGCTCGCTTAGCCCGTGCATCTCAGCTGCGAAATAGTTCTCCCATTGTGACCCGTCCCATTGGTCTCTCTTCAGCATTCCGGCGGCCGGCAGCAACGCCGTCGTCGCCCCTCATCCGCCTGTCCAATGCCGCCGCTACGGAAGGAGCGCGGCGTGAACCGTCCCGAGCCTGCCCGGCACCACCGAGACCGACGTGCTCCAACCGGTGTCTATCATTGATGCAGCTAACAAACTCGCCGGCGACGAAACCGATGCCCACAACGCCAAAATGACGGTTTTTCGGGCCTTCTGCGAATCATTCGAGCAGACTGCGAAGCAATTCACATCTGGTCTCGAACACAGCTTCGCAGAGCACTTCTCCAACCGTTTTCTCGACCTCTGGAGGCAGACGCCCTCCGATCTCCGACTCGCATCTGCGCCGACGTACAGCAGCGTGGCCGCCGGTCGCACCGCAAGCCAGCGGCCATGTGGCCACTCTCCCACGGCCGCTGCAGCCCCGCAACAAGAGCCACAACAGCCAATTTCCCGTCTCCAGGGACGACCAATCCCCGCCCCGCCGAAAGAAGACCTCCGGGTTTTTGTGCGACTCCCGGCCGAAGCACCGGCGAGGGACCACAATAGCTACGCAATCCGGACCCACATTGCCGCCAAAGTCGGCATCGACCTTCACCAAGTCCCAGCCGCTTTCAAGGTGAACTCCGGATGGGCCATCAGAACAACAGATGCGACCATTCGGGATCTTATCGTCCAACGACAGTCAGAGTGGTCCCAAGACATGGGCGCGACAGATGTAGAAATCAGCCAGAGATGGTACACCTACGCCGTGGCAAACTGCCCCTATATTCTTACCGACCTACAGGGGAAAGAATTGGACTACGAGCCAGCCGCCAAAGATGAAATCGCCTGCCAGACCGGCCTCAAACCCATCAGGGTGCGCCCCGCCAGGCGCAAGCCGAACGACCCCCTGACCTGTACCTTGATTGTCTCATTCCTCGAACCGACTGATAAGCCCTGGAGGCTGTTTGGATCCAGTCGGCTCGCCCAATACATTGAGAGATCTAGCCTGCCCAGCCAGTGCGACAAGTGCTGGGACTTTCACGCCCGACACACCTGCGACCGACAAGCATCCTGCAAGCGGTGCGGACGGCGCGGCCACGACGCGGAAGCTTGCGTGGCCCTCGAGCGGTGCGCGAACTGCCTTGGGCCCCACGCCGCAGACTTTGCGAAGTGCCCTGCGCGCCCGAAGCGATCACACGGCGTCATTCGCCGTCTGACGAGAGAAGAGAAATCTCGCGTCCGAGAGCTGGGCGCTCAACTGTCCGCCCGGCGAAAGGAACAATACGAAAGAGTAGAACGATCCGAGCAGCCCGAACGGGATGCCACCTGCTCGCCGGGTGGTGTCACCGAAAAGACAGTAACGCCTGGGCCTGACAGGAAGACCGCCTCGGAATCGACGCACCTCACCCCCCGACCTCAAGTGCTGCCCGGGACGACGGACAGCAAGCCCAACCTCATGACGAAGCCCCACGGCGCGGTAGCGAATCGACCCTAAGCTCGACCAGGACCGTAACCCCGCCTTCCGTCATGATGGCCTCGGCACCCAAACCTCCGGGTGGAGGCCAACGACACAGATCTGCTTCTCCTACGAAGAAGCGACGCATCATTGAGGACTCTGTCTCTCCATGACGAGATACCCACGCACAAATCAATGTGGCAATAAGACTCTGCGAGTCTTCCAAGCGAACGTGGGCAAGATCTCGCCGGCGCACGACTGCGCCCTTGCCCTCGCCGATTCCGAACATTACGATGTGGTGCTCCTCCAGGAGCCATGGACAGAAACAAAGGGCGGCCGATGCCTTACAAAACACATCCCGCCTACGACACCTTCTCCCCGGTTGACAGCTGGGAAGACAATAGCACCCGACCCAGAGTCATGACCTATGTCCGCCGCAGGCCTGGGCTGATGGTAGATCAGAGGAGGCCCGCGGCAACTCGTGACATTCTTTGGCTCACGGTCAACGACATCACTTTGGTCAACGTTTACCGCCAACCGTCATACGACGAGGCCCTCGACATACTACTCCAATGGCCCGCGCCAAACAGATGTCTGGTAGCAGGCGATTTCAACGCCAAACACCACAGCTGGCAAGCCGGCCGCATCGAGGGCCGCGGCGAGGCTGTAGCTGCATGGGCGACAGCCAACGGTCTGAACCTGCTCAACCCGGCTGACGTCCCGACAAATCCTCATGGCAATACGATCGACCTTGCCTTCTCTAATATCGCCTTGGCCAATGCCGTGGTGGAAGACCATCTTGCCACCAGCTCCGACCACTTCACGCTCAGCACTACCCTGCCTGAGCTCGCTGTAGCGCCCCCACCCACTGGGAAGGTTCGCCTTACCTCTGACGAGGAAATAAGACGCTTCGTAGAGATGGTTGAAAACGGCGTGGCGGCTATCGAGCCGTCAACCGCTTCCCCTCAAGACTTGGATTCACTTGCCTTAGCAGTGACTAACCTACTTCAGTTTGCCGCCAAAGCTGCAGGCCGGCCGGTCCGCAAGGGCGCACGCAGCGCGCCCTGGTGGACGGAGGAATGCTCCTTGGCCGCGGTGGAGTATCGCGCAGTGAGGAGAGTCTACGCTCTCGGTTTCGGCCGAGAGGTTCAGCTCGCGAAAAGGAAGTTCCAGAGAGTCGTGCGGCGAGTCAAGCGCCGTTACTGGCGCGATCTGATTGACAGCTTCACGGACAGTGCGTCCGTCTTCAAGGCGGTCCGTTGGCTGAGATCGCCCGGTGCTTTCCAACCACCGCCTCTGCAAGTGGATGATACCGTCTATGAGACCCAACTAGACAAAGCCAACGCCCTGCGACGAGCAACGCTCGAACGTCGCACTTCGCAGGATGACATCACGGATCCGTGGGTCCCAGTGGACACAGCGAGGACGATTCCTTTCGCTCAGAACGTTTCCCTGGAGGAGGTCCGGGACGCGACCCTTCGCACGGGTAACACCTCCCGGCTCCGATAACATTACGGTCAAGATGCTCCGTGCCGTCTGGCATACCATTGGAAGCCTCGTCCACAAGCTGTATCAGGGCTGTCTCGACATCGGTCACCATCCTAAGCCTTTCAGGGAAGCGGAAGTGGTTATGATCACGAAGCCGGGGCGTCGGAACCTGTCAGAGGCCCGCGCCTGGCGTCCAATCTCTCCTCTCCTGTCTGGGCAAAGGCCTCGAACGGCTTATTGCGCGCCGTTTGGCGTGGGCATCCGTCCACTATGGTGTCTTGCACCCACAACAAGCTGGCGCATTGCCGAAAAGGTCCGCTGTTGACCTTGTCGCCGCATTGGTACACGACATCGAGGAGGCTTTCTCGCGCAAGCAGGTCGCCACACTCGTGACAATGGACGTCGAAGGCGCCTTCGACACTGTCCTTCGTAGCAGGCTCATTCTTCGCCTTCGGCAGCAAGGATGGCCTCGGAATGTCGCTCGTTGGGCTGGCTCCTTTATGCATGACCGAGCAGCACGTGTCCGCTACCAGGATGTCATGACACCTCGTCACCCTTGCAGTGCGGACTGCCGCAAGGATCGCCAGCTTCTCCCATACTTTTCCTACTATACACAGAGCCAATCTACCGCCTGAGCAACCCCAAGGGGCGCTTCGGCTATGCAGACGACACTGCCGTCCTTTGCGTCGGAGACTCCCTGGAGGAGACTGCCCACAGAGCGTCGAAACATGTTCACGAACTCATGACATGGGGCACCGCGAACGCGATAACCTTCGACCCCAAGAAGACTGAAGTCATGCACTTCTCCCGAACTACACCGAGGAATGCACCTCCAGTCTTCCATGGCGAGGTAGAAAAGCGGCCAGGCTCAGCCATGCGGTGGCTCGGCATCTGGCTTGACAGCACCCTGACGTTCAAGACGCACGTCGAGAAGTGGACTGCCAAAGCGCAAGCAGTGGCCTACCATCTCAAGGGTTTGACAAATACCAACCGCGGCCCCTACCAGGTGCGGTCCGAGAGCCGTCCGCGCCTGCATCGAGCCGCAATTGTTCTTTGGGGCAGAGGCGTGGTACCCGGGCATGACCTGCCCGCGATGGAATAAGCCGGCAAAGGAAGGGCCATCAAGAATACGGCACCTCATCCGGCGGATGGACAAGTCGCTCAACACGGCCATGCGAGCCATCCTCCCGGTCTGGAAGACGACGCCGCTCAGCGCCAGGCACCGGGAGGCGGGCATACCGCCAGTTTCGCACCTGCTCCAGGCGTGTCGAACGCGCTTCGCAGCCCGTCTCAAGTCCTCGACGAAGCGCACCCGCTTGCGGTGCGAACGAAGCCGATCCGGGCCCCTGTCATCAACAGGGCCATTAAGTTAAAATACCAGCGTCCACGACAACCTTTCCGGACCAGACTGCGTCGCACTGACGAGCTGCTCCCAAGGTGCGCCAGGCCAGACCTTCTCGCACGTAGGTTCGCCAGCGACCAGCGTGGACCCTTGCAAACTGCGCCGAAAGAAGAATCGGCGGCAAACTTCGGCGAGTGGCTCCAATCAGTTGCTCCACGGACAGCAATCGTCTACTCGGACGGATCCTCTCCCGGAGGAGCCGCGGGGTACGGCTATGCGGTACATCAGGATGGACTCACCGTCCTCAGCGGTAACGGCCGTCTTGGGCTTGCTGAGGTCTTTGATGCCGAGGCGAGAGGCTCCCTAGAGGGTCTGCGTGCTGCGTTGAGCCTCCCGGCTGCAGACCAGATTGTCGTATGCCTCGATAACCTCGCGGTCGCGACGTGTCTTCAAGGCATGCCGTCAGATTCCTCCCAGAAGGAGTTCCTGGAATTCCAGGCCTTGGCCGCAGAACATGGTGCCACTGAGATCCGCTGGATCCCCGGCCACACCAACATCCCAGGTAACGAGCAGGCAGACGCCTTAGCAAAGGCAGGAACCTCTCAACCCGAGCCTGCAGACGCTCTCCCGACGCTGGCATATCTGCGCAAGGTCGCTAGGCAGCGACCAAAAGACGCATTCAAAGCCTGGTGGGAAGTTTCTGCACCCCAACAGTACAGGGTCCTCGACCTCGATGCCACGACTGGCTGCCCGCCAGAACTTACCATTCCACGACCTCTGCTCCACCATCTGCTCGCAGCAAGAACCCACCAGAGGACTTCGCTGATTACCACGAAAGGTTGAACCACGACGATGCGCGACTGACGTGCTCATGTGGTCGACGAAAAGAACCAAAGCATCTCTTCTATTGCCGGAAGATCGCGCCGCGACATCGGATGAGGTTGGCACCTCACCGAGCGCGGCGGTCAACCGAGCAATAGGCAGAGACTTCGACCAGTTCGTCAAGGTGGCGAAGGCAAGCTCGTTCTTTGGAACGATCTGCCCTCGCCACTAGGCGGCAGCAACCGCTTTCCTCCTTCCTTCCCTTTGTTTGCACACACACCCATTTTCTCTTACCCGACTCGGCCGGGCGGAGGGTGCTCTCGGAACCGGCCCTGTGAGGCCAAAACGAAAGACATGGCTGTCGCGCCTGAACGTCCCGCTGACGGGCAGCAGGCTGAGCAAAGAAGCGCCTTTGAGCCGATGAAATGCTGAATGGTGGATTGTTTACGTTCTGTGGAAGGGGCAGAAGACGCGGATTGGTACTCGTTTCGTTTCGCGTATTGTGGGCCTACTCCGCGATAGTAGACTTCCAGCAGCTCAGCACGTCCTGTGCCCCGTCTCGGGGACCTGAGCGACCTAAAGGTCGCTGGACGGAAAATACAATAATTCAGCCGTAGGCTGACTTTACATTAATCGAATAAGTTTTCCCAAATATGAGGGTTTGGTGCAGCAGGGATCAGTTAAGTTTTCTGACATCTGATTGGTTGTATGGTTTCTAAAACGTAACTCAACTGGATGATGGCCTTCTAAAAGTGGGTCCAATTTTGCACTTGCCCCTGAATGTCACAGAGCTACTCTGAGCATCGCGGGTCGCCAACAAACCCATCGTACGCAGCTGCTTTCAACCGCAGTGAACCCTATGCCTCATCGAGGGTCTCAAGGTGGCGTGGTTTCCATCGTATGCATTCGCTGTGGCGAGGAGACCAAACTTGACAATGATTAGATGGAATACTGCAGCCGATGTCGCGAGTGTTGGTTTCAGATGGGAATTGATTATGACGGCATTTGCTCGCGTTGCTATCGAAAGGATGAGAAGCGCGGCTCTGACGAGCCTTATTTCTTCTCTGCCGAAAATCAACTTGACTTTGGTCCCGTACCGACACGATTGCCTGAGCTCACGCCTACAGAAGAGTCATTGATCGCTCGCGTCCACGTCCATGTGAACATCATGCTGGTGCGAGGGCAGCAGTACAAGTATCGGGGGCATGTCGTTCACTTTCTTCGTGAGGTTGGCTTGGTGTACAACCAGCTCCCACTTCTGCCACGGGAGTTAAACACGGTGTTGCTGCGTCCTGCCAACACGTCATCACACGCCAATCTAAGCCGGCAATTTACCCGTCAGTTCCGTGTGCGCCGCCAGGCGGTTATGATATGGCTTGACTACCTCCGCCATCACCATCCTGGATACCGATGCATCGTCATCGACAACGAGCGACTGAGCCAACTGCCCGAGGACGGCAATGTGGTGGACGCCATTCCCAAAGCCAGGTGGAGGCTGCCGATGTAAGACCGGAGGAGGAAGATCAGGAGGCGGAGCCTGACCTAGAGGACGCGGCTGCGGTACCGGACCTGTTGACCAAGGACACGGAGCTCGATGCTCTGCGGTCTATTCTCGTGGGCGAGCCAGAACCGGAGGCAAGTCTTCCTCTTGCCACAGGCTCCCAAGAGCGGGCGCGGCACCAGCAGCTGCGGCTCCCGAATATACGGCATACGCCGATCAATGAGTTCAATCGCTCTCATGCCCTGCTCTCATTGGCATTCCCATGCCTCTTCCCAGACGGGAGAGCCGACTTTGTCGAGCCTCGCTTGCGGTCGATAGATTACAAGGATTACATCGAGCACGCGATGCGGTGGCACGACGGGCGTTTTGCGCGGCACCCAACCTTCCGTTTTGTCGCATTCAATACCCTGATGCGGTCCCAAGCACGTGCGCGGTCGAAGTTCTTCGTGAAGCAACATGATGGCACCCGTGAAGCGCTCACGCGAGAGCAGCTTATTCAGGCGCTCGAACACAGCGAGGATCCCGAGGCGCAGGCGCTGATAAACTCAATCACAAGGCATGCGGTGTCGATTCGCGGTACGCGCCCCTTTTGGAACAGAAAGAGGCAGGACCTCGAGGCGTATGCGTACAGCCTGGGCTGTCCTGGCGCATTTATCACATTTAGCCCAGCCGATTTGCACTGGCGGAGCCTCTACCAACACATGCCCCGATATGGAGAATGGCTGCGCGCGTCCGAGCCGGAAAGGATGGCATTGTCGCGGTACTTATTGCGTCAGAACCCTCACATTGCTGCTTTCCACTTCTACCGCCGATACTGCTTCTTTCGAGATATCGTGTTGCGGAAAAAGTTCAACGTCACGGATTACTGGGATCGATATGAATGGCAAGGCCGTGGCAGTCCGCACAACCACGGTCTGTACTGGATGCAGGAGGGCCCAGCCGCCGACATGGAGGACGAAGCTGCTCGTGACATGTTTGCACGCGTATGGGGCTTCCACGTCACGGCCGTGAACCCGGAGCCCCGTAGGACTGTGCCTCAGGGGGAGGGCAATCCGCTGAGCGTGGATCCGCTGGGCGTGGAGATGACATTCCTGCGGCTCTCGCAAATCGTCAACCGCTGCCAGCGCCACAGATGCAATACCACGTACCGCTTGCGAGTCAGAAAGGGAAGCGGTGACCTCGCGAGGGACATGGAAGGAGCTGCTGGCGACATTGAGGCGGCCAACGTGGCGAATCCGGAAAGGGAGTGTCGTTTCGACTTCCCCCGTGCCTTGAGAGAGCTGGCCGCGGTCATCAGGAAGGAAGGCAGGTCGTACTACATCTTCGAGGCGGCCCGCAACGACAGCCTCATGAACCATTTCAATCCTGCCATCATTCTGGGATGGTTGGCCAACATTGACATATCTCCATGCACCAGCTTGCAAGCAGTCATTACATACGCTGCCAAGTATTGCAGCAAATCGGAGAAGAAGACAGAGCCTTACTGCAGGCTTGCGGATCAGATTTTGCCGCATACAGCACACCACCAACCTCTGTTGTCCTTCTCCTCTCGCCTCATGAACAAGCTGATTGCGAGAGAGATTATTCAGCGCAGGAAATCTCCCACTTGCTACTCAATATCCCTCTGCAGGAAGGGACTCGGGTGGTTGTGTACGTCGACTGCCGCCCGTTGGAGCAGCATGCGCGGTCGTACCGCGTCGATGATGATGTCAGTGAGGCTGTCGGCAGCTACCGGAAATATCTGCAGAGAAATGACCAGCATGAGAGTATTACTTATCTCGAGTACCTGCAGTCGTACAATCTCAAGACATGGAGGAGACTCGGTGCGAACGCGAAGAAGAGGGTTCTGTCCTACTGTCCTCGGTATAGGCCAGTGGAAACCTCAACCCAGTTTCATGACTTCTGCCGCGTCAAGTTGATGATGGCCCATCCGCATCGCGCTCCGGAGGAGTTGCTTGCTGTGGACGGGCAGCGGTTTGAGTCCTTTGTTGCGGCGTACCGGTGTTGTCGGCAGCGACACCATTTCCATGAGGACGACCATTACGGGGAGGTGGGAACAAACGAGCTCCAGGCGGAGGACGATGAGTTTGAGCAGGAGGTCCATGACGAGCCCATCGCAGAGGAGGACTGGCATGAGCTCGCCCGCATGCTGCCAGACCGGCCGCTGGAGGAAGAGGACATCGACGTACTTGGCCGGCGAAATATCGACGTGAATTATGACTGGGCTCCTCACGTGGGACGATATACCAACGAGGATATTCTCAGCGGCAACTACTGGGAGCAACGCAAGGCGGAAAGCTCCTTTCCTTGATGTGGAGCACCAGCCTCTGGAAGCACGCGATGCCCTGAATCCGGAGCAGCGCATCGTGTATGACACGGTGATGGGCCACTTTCTCGCCCAAGACCGTTCCCAGTTGTTACTCCATGTCGATGGTGGCGGTGGCACAGGCAAGTCATATCTCATCAACCTGCTCTCGGCGCACCTCCAGGCCGCTACACGCGGGAGAGTGACACCTGTCTGGCGTGCCGCACCGACGGGTGTCGCAGGGAACCAGATATCAGGCACTACTTTGCACTCGCTGCTTCACCTCCCGATCAACAAGGACTTCAGGCCGCTCTCCGCCATCGACAAGGCCCAGCTCCAGAAGAAGCTGAAGGATATTCAGTACCTAATCATTGACGAGAAGAGTATGCTGGGACTGCGTATGCTATCCTGGATCGACGACCGTCTCCGTGAGGCATTTCCGCATCGGAACGAGGAGTTCTTTGGCGGACTCAATATCCTTTTGGTCGGCGACTTCTTCCAGCTTCCCCCTGTTCTACAGAAACCGCTGTACTACGACAAAGAGGTGCAGGGAGTGGAGATCAAGGGAAGGAACGCTTATATGCGCTTCGATAAGACCGTCTTCCTGAGCGTTGTTCAGCGGCAGTGCGGCGATGATCAGGCGTCCTTTCGCAAGGCTCTCGGAGAACTGCGGCCGCTCCTACTATCCCACGAGTCCTGGAAACTTCTCTCCGGCCGCGTGCAGGCAAAGCTAGACGATCAGGAGGTCGCCAGGTTCGCCAACGCCTTACGGGTATATGCCACGAAAGACCGGGTGAACGAATATAACCATTACCACCTTGACCGCCTCAACCGACCAGTCATTCAGGTCATCGCTACAAATGTTGGCCCCGCGCGGCTGCTGCTCCGGACGACAAGGCGGGCAACCTTGCGAAACAGGTCCCTGTATGCATTGGTGCCCGCTTAATGCTGACGTGCAACCTCTGGCAACAAGTTGGCCTCTGCAACGGCGCTCGCGGCACAGTGCACAACATTGGCTGGGCACCTGGCGCTGATCCCATCCGAGACCAACCGTGTGTAATCATGATGGAGTTTGACAAATATACCGGACCGGCATTCCTGACCACCGCGGATGGTAGGAAGATTGTCCCGATTGTGGCAGTAAAAAGGGATTTCCTCGTTGGAGCAACACTCTGCACTCGCACTCAGTTTCCCCTGGTCGTATGCTACGCCATTACGGTTCATAAGTCGCAGAGCATCACCGAAGACAGGATCGTGACAGATCTGTCCTGCCGTGACTTTCAGACAGGTTTGAGTTATGTGGCCGTCTCGCGTGTAAAAACGCTACAGGGGTTGATGCTCGATGCCCCGTTCGACCGCAATCATCTGACATACACATCCCCCCCGGAGGGTATCAAGATGAAGATGAGGGACCAAAGATTTAGGAGTTGGCAGGTTCTCACTCAGAATCCGTATAAGAACGGCTAGGGGCTACGTAACTCCACTTGATGCTACCAAGACGTAGATGACGCAATGAATGCATGACTGTAGATTCTTGAATTTTCAGGCCTGCCTTACCGTTGACAGCAGACTTGCAGCCTTCGGCTGATTGTATGCCTTGCACCACTGGTCTAAAGTGCAAGGCGTGACGAAGTATTTTAATAATAATAATAACAGTGCAAGGTTCGTTCGTGGTCCCGATGCCGGCACGAGGCCGGTTCCACCCACCCAGCCCTTGAGCCTCTGCCATGCCAGAAAATGTTACCATGCCCCACCCCCCTTTCGGTAACACCCACCTTTCGGTAGCGCATTAGAAAATATCCCCACCAAAAACCATCAATTTCACTTACACGGATTCCAGCCAGCTTTGAAGATATTCACAAGCCGTCACTTGGAGTAGATAGTGGATTGATTGAATTCTACTTTTCGATGGTTGAATGTTTGTACAGGGGTCTGCGGCCTGTGCGTACCTTGCACGCGAAATTACCATCCAACCCCCTAATCTCCTTCCGCCTCCTGACGATGATTCTTCTCGTTATTCCTCCACCACATGACCAAAATGACCTTAAAGCGGCCTCGGAGTATTTATACGGAGGATATTATGGCTAATGCGATAATTGATGTCACAAAAAACGGCTTGTCGCAGTACCGCGCCGCCCAAAAGTATGACATACCTCAGCAGTCTATTTCCGACAGACTCAAAGGCCAGGTAGCCCTGGCTGATCAGATCCAGCCTCGTCAACTCTTGAGTAAGTCTCAGGAAGCTCGCTTGGTTTCTTGGATCCTCCGCCAAGAGTCTCTCGGCTATGCTCCTCCCACAGTCAGATCCGCGCATGTGTGGAGGCTCTTATAAAGCAACTGAACAACGAGCGGACAGTGGGGCGCAACTGGGTCTCTAAATTCATCAATCGCCATCCGGACATCAAGAACAAGCGTGGGAGACGTCAGGAAGCTAACCGATTTAATGCTTTTACGCCTCGGGCGGTTCACTGGTTCTTCGATATCAGGAAAAGGAGTATGGATGGATTAAACCAGAAAATACCGTGAATGTTGACGAAGGCGGTATTATGTCTGGCTTTGGTGAGTATTTGGCTTGTCTTTCATTACTTTTACTAACCAGACTCTTTTTGCCAGGTTTGGATAGTCTTGTGGTTGGGAGTGCAGACCCAAAACGGAAGGCCCTTCTGAAAGGGCCACAGTCCCGCAACTGGACCTCATTTATTGAAGCTATCACCGCGGACGGCCGTGTCCTTACCCTGGCATTATCTTTAAGGGCAAAGAGCTTCAGAAACAGTGGTTCTTGACGGAATTCGGCAAAATAGCCGACTGGCATTACATAACGTCGCCCAACGGATGGACGGACAACCATATCGCTATTGAGTGGCTTGAGAGGGTCTATTTGCCCCAGACGCGACCAGCCGATGCCTCAGATGCTAGACTGATCATATTAGATGGACATGGAAGTCATGCAACGGTGCGTTTCTTTATCCACCTCTGTAGGAATTACTGTTAACCGAGACCAGGATGCATGGATGGCCACATGCTTTTGAACAACGTTTATTGCTGTTACCTTCCTGCCCACTGCTCTCATGGCCTCCAGCCGTTAGATAACGGTGTATTCAATGCCTCCAAGGCAGCTTACCGGAAAGAACTTCAGAAATTGACCTGTTTGACCGATTCTGCGCCTGTTCATAAGGTCAATTTTATACGGGCATATGCTAAAGCGCGCGAGGTTGGAATGACGGCAAAGAATATATTGTCCGGCTGGAGGGTCACTGGGAATTGGCCGATCTCACGATCCAAGGCATTGCGGCATCCAGAAATTCACGCGGACATTGTAGAGACGTCTCCAAAGTCCGCGCCATTTTGGGTTCTGATGATACGCCAAGAAACAGCCGCCAGATTCGCGATTTCGGAAAGAACAAGACTCCTGGCACCCGGAGACGATACGCCGTGATAGCTAGAGGCTTTGAAGCCCAAGAACAGACGCTTGCCGAGCACAGCAACAGAATCGCGAAGCTAGAGGAAGAAGTGGCCCGGCTGCAGAGAGGCAAGAAGAGGAGAGCAATTCCGAACCCGAACAGACGGTTCATGACTCTCAGTGAAGCTTTGGTGGCTGAGGAAGCCATTCCCAAATTAAAAGCCAAGAGATAGCCGTTGTGCTGAATTCTGACACAGAGGAGGAGGCGGTCTCAGAGGTGGAGACAGCTTCAGTGATTGAAGTCAAGGTGGCACCTGAAGCCCTTCCAGTCACCACCAGATCCGGGCGAATGGTAAAAAGCGCCGGTACATATAAGAGCGTCCATTTCTCTACGGAATGATATATTTTTTGTGTTTATAATGTTAAGTTCTGATCATATTTCATGTAGTTCAAATGGTAGACTTTTGGTGGAGAATTTTTCAATTGCGCTACCGAAAGGTGGGTGTTACCGAAAGGGGGGTGGGGCATGGTACTCTTTCTTACCACACCACCACATCTGCAATACCGCATCTGCAAGCACCTCTACCTGCTGCGAGACACACATCGCCGTCCTTGAACTGCCCGTCGTAATGGACGGAGAAACTCGATAGAAAATCGGCAAAAATCGCCAAAAAATAAAATCAAGAACACATACAGCAGCCGGTGTTCGCTGGTCGTCACCGACCCAACTACTAATCTGCCTCTTATAAGTTTCACTAGCAGAAGATCGAACGGGATCCGGTGTAGTCTTATAGATATGGCCGTATGTACCAGCAATTCGACAAGCTTAGCTCATGATTGCGACCCCCCTGTCCTGGTCGGCGCGTGTGCTTGTCGAGCCCTCAGGAATTGACCGGTTACACCAAGATGTGCGAGTGGCACGTGAGCGCCCCTCTGCTGCTGCTCCTCTTCGTCAGGCCGGACAGCTAGCTGGTGGACGTGTGTCCCGTGTAGCCGTCATTGAGACGGGGCAGCGGATGGCATCCGCGTCGGCCACCGCAGCCAGCGCTGACCATGAAGTCCAACAGCCGTGGCCGCGAGAGGCTCTGATTCGTCCATGGCCGGCGGTCTCGAACGTCATACGGCGTCTGGCCAGCAAAGGGCTGTCTATCTAGACCCCACCCCTCCGCCCACGACTGACGAGAGGCGCCAATTGGGAAAAAGGGGCCTGGCGACTCGGCTCCTCCCACACCTCATCTGCATCGCCAATGCTCTCTCCAAACCCCACGCTGCGCTGTCATTTCCTGCTGCATGGACAGATCCCGAGGCCAACGTTGCGGGCGCCTCGCCTAGCCAACCGTGGTTCGCAGCGCGGCCCCCAAATACCTGATACCTGGTGCAATGCAGAGGCACTTCGCCCCTCGATGCACTGAGCAGCGCCCCGTCATCACGATTCTCGCCGCGACCGGTGGCATGCGCGCGCGCGTAGGAGCATGTACTGTACAAGCTCGCCTCTCCGCGTCTTTGACGCGTGCAACTGCCCAGTAGCAGTTGGGCTTTCGAGCCATCCACATACCGCGCCGCTGAGACGCGACCAACGGAAAGGACAGTGCACGCGCACATGGCCGGCCACCATGAATTGCCGTGCGCCGTTTGTGCACGCCGATGGCGAGGAAGCGCATCCCGGTCGGCGAGGCGTGCTGCTCACCCTACCAGGAACTAGCACGGGCATGCGTATGGATGCAGAGGCTTTCAGGCCGTGGCTTGGAAATCAGGGCGTGCCTCGAGGCATCCAATAACTCCCACGGGCAGATCAAGGTGCCTGGGCCCTCGCAGCTCCTCCACACTGTGCATCATGTACCCCTCCGTGCCCCGTACAGGAGAGGCACACACCACCTCCACCCCACCCCCCTTCTTTTCGCCATTCGGCGTCGGCCAGACTGAGCGTCCCTGTTGGTTCCTCCTTGCCCAAGCTGCCTGGCTGCCAGATCTCCAGACCCATCCGATTCCTTCTATTTATGAAATCCCCGTGATGCCCCCCACCGGCGGGTCACCTTTGCTCACTCCCTCGTCCTCTTCCTCTCCTCCTCCTGCTTCCACTTCCCGCCCTGGCTCTTCCCAGCGACCCATATCGCTCGCTCAGTTCCCCCTTCTCCCCGACGACACCAGCTTCGGTTCATCGCGATCCGCCGCCTCGACTTCCGCCGCCGCTCCGTCCCCGCATCAGGCCGGTCCCGCCGGCGAAGACATCGAGATGGAGCCCGTAGTGGGCCACCGCCGGCGGAAGAGCAGCCTCATCAACCCCGTCGGAACCTACCCAGCCGCCCACGTTCACCGTGGCCGACTCTCCATAACCATCCCCCGCGAGGCCCGGGAAGACGGTGACGAGGGCGGGTCAGCAAAAGACGAATCGCCTCGAGACGGCTTCAGCGACGACGATCTCCACGATGACGAGGAAATGGGGCTGTCCAGCAAGGACCGCAGCCGCAGGCAAAAGAAGCGCCGGAGGAACAGGCAGCTGGACAATCGCATTGCCCCCGAAAAGGACATCTCGACCGATGAGCTGCACGAGGCCGACAAGGACGTCATGAGGAGGCTGATGGTCAATGCCGCCTTCATATTGCTGTGGTACATGTTTTCATTATCCATCTCTCTTGTGAGTACTTCTCGTCCGCCAACCCTCCTCTCTCTCCGCCGTGTCCTAACAGTTGCATGCGAAACAGTACAACAAATGGATGTTCGACAAGAACCGCCTCAATTTTGCCTTCCCGCTCTTCACCACCTCGACGCACATGCTTGTGCAGTTTGCTCTCGCCGGCCTGGTTCTCTACCTCGTGCCATCCCTGAGGCCGCAGCAGGCTCACAACTCGGACGGCGGCAGGTCGAGACACGAAACGGAACCCAACAGCTCGGCCATGTCCAAGATGTTTTATCTTACGCGTATTGGGCCTTGTGGTGCCGCCACCGGCCTCGACATTGGGCTCGGTAACGCGTCCCTCAAGTTCATCAGCCTCACTTTCTACAGTAAGTTGGAGCTCGTTTGTTCGCCGACTCGTGACTTCGGCTGACACGGCCGTCTAGCCATGTGCAAGTCCTCGTCTTTGGCCTTCGTCCTACTCTTCGCATTTCTGTTCCGACTCGAAACCCCCACCTGGCGCCTCGTGGCCATCATCGGAACCATGACCATGGGCATCATCCTCATGGTTTTCGGCGAGGTCGAGTTCAAGATTGGCGGGTTCGTTCTCGTCATCTCGGCTGCCTTCTTTTCAGGCTTTCGCTGGGGCCTCACCCAGATCCTACTTCTCCGCAACCCCGCCACTTCCAATCCCTTTTCCAGCATCTTCTACCTTTCCCCCGTCATGTTCGTCACCCTGCTCTCCCTCGCCATCCCCGTCGAAGGCTTTGGCCCTCTGTGGGAAGGACTGAAGACGCTGAGCAATGAGTGGGGCGTTGTGACAACACCCTTGTTTCTGCTCTTCCCGGGGTGCATCGCCTTTTTGATGACGGCGTGCGAGTTCGCTCTGCTGCAGCGTACTTCGGTCGTCACGCTCTCCATTGCTGGCATCTTCAAGGAGGTTGTGACCATCTCAGCCGCCTCGGTCGTCTTCGAAGATAAGCTTACTCTGATCAACGTCGTCGGGCTTCTCACCACCATGGTTGCCATCATTGCCTACAACTACATCAAAATCACCAAAATGCGCCGGGATGCGCAGGTCGACGCTCATGGACGCCATGCCGAACCCGTCCCGCCTTCCCCGTCGAGCAGCAGCGGTAGTGGTACCGATTTGGACGACGACGAAGCCGAAGAGACGGCTGGGTTACTGCACCAGCAGCCGGACATGGGACAGGCGCTTGTCACCTCGGACGGCGATATCCAGCCTAATCTGCAGTCCATGATCTCTCCATCTACAAAGGAGCACGGCGAGAACAAGCAGGGACGCCAGGAGTGAAGGGCGAATTATGAACGAAAAAAAACTCTTGACGAAATAAGTCATCAATTGTTTCAGCGTCTCTTTCATTGGGATATCTGTATAACATTCGTTCCCGCGACGACTATATCCTCCGTGTACTATCGACGGGAGGATGAAAAGGGAACTTGAGGCGTCAACGGCGCGGCGTTGAAAGGTTTCGACGGATCCAGGGATCTTGAGCAATATTGGGCAAAGGGCAATCTAAGAAAGAAGTGGACGTCTCGCATCACGAATCCTCAACACATCGAGGCTTCGATGGAGTTGGGAGCTGGTTCCAGGTCAGACGTGAGCAAAGGGGAATAAAAGGCATGCGCACCCACACGTGTGGAGTCGACAAGATAAAGATACCCCAAAGGACAGCGAAAAGGCCGGTTTAAAATGGACGCGTGCCCGGTGGACTCGTCTGGAGTCTAGGGATGACGTTGAAGTAGAAGCTGAAGTGCAATTTTCCAAGAGGTTAACTTGACATGTAACATGATGCGTAGATAATGCGATGATGGTCGGGTCCCCCCGCAACGGGACACGCCCCAGAAAAAGCGCCGACGCCAAGCTGGACAGGGCCATGGCAAATAAAGATGGACATACCGGGTTCCCACCACGCACCACGCCGTGCTAGCCAAGCAGGCGCAGACCATTCTTGGTCTTTTGCCCGGGCTTGGTGACGCCTCCGCCGGCGACGGGCCCCAGGCTGGGCTCGTACGCGGCGCCGGCCTGCTGCTGGCCGCCCGACTTGTTGTTCTTGCCCTTGTAGTTCTTGGCGTTATGCTTGCCGCCCTTGCCGCGTTCCTTGGCGTTGGTCACCTTGATTTCGGTGTTTGCCTTGCGGATGACGACGGGGTGGCTCTGGATGTATTTGCCGTTCATCTCCTTGGCGGCCTGGAAGAAGTCGTCGGCGTCGCTGAAGCTGACGAAGCCGTAGCCCTTTGACTTTGTGGTGCGCTTGTCGCGGATGACGCGGGCCTTTTGCACCGACTTCCAGCGCGCAAAGGCCTTGAGGAGGGACTCGTCGGTCGTCTCCCCGGCGAGGTTGCCCACGAAGAGTCGCAGGTGGGTGGGGTCCCATTCGAGGAGGGTGTCGTCGGTCCATTTCTTGCCGCCGCCCTGGCGCGTCACCGTCTTCTTCTTGTCGTGGTTGGCGGCATCGGCTGGCGTCTCGGCCCTAGGGGCCTCGGGCGCGGCTCCGACGGGCTTGCCTTCCTTGCCGACCTGGGGCACGCCGTTATAGGCGCTCTGCCATTCGGCAATCTGGGCGGCCTCGCTCGGGTCGTAGCCGCTCGGCCCGGCCCCAGGCGCGGGAAAGGGGTTCTGAATATGCGGCGCCGCGTAGCTGGAGTTGCCGTAGCCCGAGTTCGGGGCAGCATAGCCGTGCTGCTTCTGCTGCTGCTGCTGGTGCGGGTATCCCTGCGCGGAGGAGCTCACGCCGGGGGCAGCGCCGGGGTAGCTGGGATAGGCGGACGCAGCGTACGGGCCGGCAGAGGCGTACTGGTTCGAGGAGGCGGCGCCATACTGGCTGCGAGACGCGTAGGAGCCGGGATTGGCGTCGGCAAAGGGCGTCGTGCCGGGAGGGTAGCGCGGGGCTGACGAGTAGGAGTGCGCGGCGGCCCCAAAGGCGGGCTTGAATCCGGACGAAGTGTGGGTGGCGGCGTGGGAGGAGGCGGGGGGTCTCGCGGGGAGCGAGTTGCTGGCGGTGGTGCCTGGAGGCGGCGCGTATGCCATGATGAACAACCAGAGCGGGCTTGCGCAACAGCTTTCTTGTGTGTAAGGCTACGTACCTCGAGCTGTCTTGCGCTCAAAGCTCACCTCTTTGAATTCCGCTGCACAGCGTTTTCCCCCGGGAGGAGATGTGTGGGCAGGGGCAAAGCAGGCTCGAGCGTGGTAGATGCGCGAGGGTTTGTTTGGGAGTGGTTGAGTTGACGATGACCAGCTGGCTGGCCCCCACCGAGCGAGCGCGCCTTGGTCGGAGGTGAAAATTTTGGGGCCGAGGAGCGGCACGTGACTGGTGAGGCGGGGACTGGTGTACTCCGTACTGCACGAACGGCTCCTCGGGACGGAGACTGTACGTACATACAGTACAGTAACATACGGTCATGAAAGCGTCCAACAGGCGACGGTGTCTGATCTCGGCATTCGGTTCGGCGGTACGGAGCAGAACATAGCCGAAGACCGGACAGCAGATGCATCTCGTGTCCCTCCCTGTTGTTTCCCTCACCTCTGCTGACGGGGCCTGACGGGCGACCGCCGCTGGCTCGTAAGTTACCTCTGGGCCTTTGTAGCCCCCCCGGAAGCTGCGAAAGCGAGTCGCCTCACACGCTGCGCAAAGCCCGTCCACCCATGGCGCGCCCGATTCCGGCGGCTCGATGCGGACGGACATGGGCATCCGGCGGTCCCGTGGTTGGCGCTTCCACGACACTCCTTTGCCAACGGGCGGCTCTCGGCGGGTAGTCGTGGGATGCGTCATGCGCATGGTTGACAGGAGGGGCTGACAGGAGGGGCTGACAGGAGGGACGCCGTCCTTTTGTCTATCAATCCCTTGGTGCTGCAGCTGCAGCTTCATCATGATACCGGGTGTGGCCTTGGCGTGCTTGCTGCATCCTCATGCGTAGGCGCCTGCTGGGGGTCAGTCATAAGCTGCTGCTGGAAAGGGTGCCTGAAATGCGGAAGTTCACGACGGGTCAGTCTTTTCTGGTGAAACCCCCATCAGGGACCGGACGTGTCAAAGAGCAAGCCGCTTTCGCTGGCTTCGTGACGATGCCCCGCCAATCAGTGCAGGCTACCCGCTTTTCCGGGCCAACTCACCTGTGAGCCAGTGCCTGGACGACTCCGGGCGACAAGCAAAGCTTCCTCTCTCGCCTTAGCTACTCCTCCTCTCTCCCCACCACCACCACCTCCTCCTCCTCCACCTCCTCCTCCTCCTCTCCTCCTCTCCCCTTCCACCTCTTCCTTTCCTGCTGCAAAGGTGCTTATAGCCGCAATCCGACTCTCCCGCAACCCGACTTCTTCTTCATCCCGCCAACTGCAGATACCAGCAGCCCATCGCCATCATGTCTGGCCCCGTGTAAGTTTTGCAGTCCTGTTGATTCATTGCCCCTCCATCATCATCTGTCCGTGTTACCCCACCACCCCGCCTCCCCCGATGACCTCAATTCGCGCACCTCGACTGCTGCTGTCGTGACATTCCCTGGCGGTCAGTCCGAGACGTGGCCGTGCCTGCGTCTGCGCCGCCTTGGACCGCGCACTCGGGCCTTATCCTCGGCTGCCAGAAAATCCTGCTCATGGTCTCGACGCAGCGCCCGCCTCGCAAACATCAAGCTTGGCGGCGCCCAACAACGCCCGCCTTTGTCCACTGCTGCACCCGCCTCTTCTCCCGACCGGTTCTCAAGCAACGCTGACAATGTGGCCAGCGCTGATTTGGGCCTCATCGGCCTTGCTGTCATGTAAGTCACGGCCCCTCCCGCGTCACCTGCGGCACCTCCGGAAGCACTGACGACGGCTGCCGCACAGGGGACAGAACCTCATCATGAACATGGCCGACCACGGCTTCACCATCTGCGCGTTCAACCGAACCGTCTCAAAGGTCGACCGCTTCTTGGAAAACGAGGCCAAGGGCAAGTCCATTGTGGGCGCCCATACCATTGAGGAGTTCGTCAGCAAACTCAAGTCTCCCCGCCGCGTCATGCTCCTCGTCCAGGCCGGCAGTGCCGTCGATGACTGGATCGCCAAGCTCCTGCCCCTCCTCAGCTCCGGAGACATCATCATCGATGGTGGCAACTCGCACTACCCCGACTCCAACCGCCGCACCAAGGAGCTCAAGGTCAAGGGCATCCGCTTCGTCGGTTCCGGCGTTTCCGGCGGCGAGGAGGGCGCCCGATACGGCCCCAGTCTGATGCCCGGCGGCAACGAGGAGGCTTGGCCGCACATCAAGGACATCTTCCAGAGCATCGCCGCCAAGAGCGACGGCGAGGCTTGCTGTGACTGGGTCGGCGACGAGGGTGCTGGCCACTATGTCAAGATGGTCCACAACGGCATCGAGTACGGCGACATGCAGCTCATCTGCGAGGTATGTCGGGGCCCCAACGGCTGTCACGATTCGGCTTGTCGCTGACACCTTCTTTTGCCCAGGCCTACGACATCATGAAGCGCGGCCTTGGTCTGTCCAGCAAGGAGATTGGTGACGTCCTGGCCAAGTGGAACAAGGGTGTTCTCGACTCTTTCCTCATTGAAATCACCCGTGACATCATGTACTTCAACGACGACGACGGGAAGCCCCTCGTGGACAAGATCCTCGACAAGGCCGGCCAGAAAGGCACCGGCAAGTGGACCGCCGTCAACGCCCTCGACCTCGGCATGCCCGTTACTCTCATCGCCGAGGCCGTCCTAGCGCGCTGCTTGTCCGGCATCAAGGACGAGCGTGTCAAGGCTTCGACCAAGCTCGAGTATGTGAGCCGCACCAGTGGCAAGTTTGAGGGCGACAAGGCGCAGTTCCTCGAGGATCTCGAGCAGGCGCTGTACGCCTCCAAGATCATTTCCTATGCTCAAGGCTTCATGCTGATGCAGGAGGTGAGTGGCGCAGCCGCCGGCTGCGGGAGCCCTTTGCTGACGACAAGTTGTCCAGGCCGCCCGGGAATATAACTGGAAGCTCAACAAGCCTTCGATTGCCCTCATGTGGCGCGGCGGCTGCATCATCCGCTCCGTCTTCCTCAAGGACATCACCGATGCGTACCGCAAAGAGCCCGACCTGCTGAACCTACTGTTTGACAACTTCTTCAACAAGGCCATCCACAAGGCTCAGCCCGGGTGGAGAGACGTGGTTGCGAAGTCTGCCCAGCTCGGCATCCCGACGCCTGCCTTCTCGACGGCCCTGTCGTGGTTCGACGGCTACCGTACCAAGGACCTGCCGGCCAACCTACTCCAGGCTCAGCGTGACTACTTTGGCGCTCACACGTTCCGCATCAAGCCCGAGTGCGCCAACAAAAAGTACCCCGAGGGCCAGGACATTCACGTCAACTGGACGGGCCGCGGCGGCAACGTGTCTGCCTCTACGTACCAGGCATAAGCGTGCGCCGGACGACGGGGGAGAAATGATGGGTACGCGTCCTGCAGAGCAAGTAAAATAATGGCGGCGGCGCTGGACTCGCGGAATCTTGAATACCTACGCTGTAATATACTGACTGGGTTGGCGCAGGCCGCAGGACGCCAGACTCTCAAACGCGTAGAAGTGCCGGAGGGGACGGAGGGAATGGGTACTTCTGGTGGCGTAGCAGTAGGCCCAAGAGAGTAGGGAGTTGTAGCTCGAGGGGAGGCTGGTAGAACAGGAATTGACTGAATGGTGAAGCTCCCAAGTTTGATTCAGAGCTGTCGCTGAGGACCAAGTTGTGTACAAAGTACTTTCTGCCGAGGACGCAATACAAAAGATACCTAGCTCCTAGGTGCTGCTAGAGACCCGCCTTTCTACTCTCTCGAAATACAACGATTGGTCAGTCGCGGACAGCCTCGTCGCGATGATTTTTGGGGTCCGCGCGCGCCGCAACCAGTCCGTGGCCATCTATCCCCACGAGCTCGTCGTCGGCATCCTTGGCGCGCCGTCCAATCAGCCTCACCTCCCGGCAGCGACAGCCTCCCACCGCGCCGATCGTGGCCGACCGGAGCGTCTTCTTCTCCATCGTCGTCTCAATCCAATCCATCGTCTGCTCACGGGCCAACGAGCGCATCCCTCGCTTGGCGGCAAAGAGGCGCGAGACTGCGTCAACGGCCCAAGATGGCGCAACCAGACCCCAGCCACAGCGTGCCCCAGGACCTCGTGCGTTCCTCGTCGCTTGTCCGGGAGGGCCCCGTTGCTGGGCCCCGTTGCTGGGCCCCGTTGCTGATGCGGCCTGCAGATGTCCCACGTCCACCTCATCTCCTCGTTTCGATACCCGACGATGCCGCGGCTCGACCTCAGCGAGGTGGCCAAGTGGCTCATGAGCGCGCCCCAGGTCGCCAGAGACCGAGCCCCCTTCTTCTGGACGTACCTCGACAAGCCCGCCGACGGCACCATTCTCTTGACCTGGCAGCCCCTGCAGAGACTGGGCACAAACTTTGCCACCGACGGCTTCGTCTGGGCGCCGCCCGAGCAGGTGTACAAGCAGGACCTGGGCAACGGGCTGGTAAGGATACAGACAGGTCCTTTTCGGAAGCGTGCTCTGACTTGCTGCCTAGATGCTGGAAATATATTACCTCAAGGCCGGATACATCCCGGGTGAGCAATACGCGCTCCACGCCCGGCGGCGCTTTCGATTGGTGCCCGTCCCGGGCCATCCCAACCCTCCCCAGCCTGACATGAGCCTCTTCATCGTCCACTACGGCCCTTCGGACCCCAACGAACGGATCCCCGCCGCCATGGTCCCCTACGACGAGCGGGTCAATGCCATCATGCAGCAGCGCCATTATCTGCTCCGCGCGGGCCAGATCCGCCGCAAGGAGTTTATGCTTTCGGATCGCGTCAACTGGCCGTCGCTGCCCGAGTTGACTCGACAGCAGATGGGTCCCCAGATGGTTCCGCGAGGCGTCCCGCAGCAAATGGCCTATCCGCCCCAGCCTGTCCCCGGCCCCTCCGCTAAGCGCGCCCGTCACGGCCCAAATCAGGGGAGCCAACAGGGCATGATGCCTGGTATGCCAGCAATGGACCCGACCTTTGACGACGACGAGGACATTACGAGAGGGGACATGTTCGATCACCTGACCCAGCGAGAGATCTCGCTGAGCCGCTATCAGCAGAATCACGAGTGGATGGAGGAGATCTTGTCCTCGGCTTACAGGATCAACCAGATCACCCCGGCGGATCTCAACCTCGGCCTCAAGGGTGAGCTGGCGTCGCTGACCGAGGGAATCTTTACGGCGCAAGGAGCCGAAGTCTTCACCCAGGCCCCCGACAGGCCCTACATCGGACGCCTCGACCCAGGACTGGCCGACGAGTTTCGCAAGCGGGTCAGCGAGCATACCGAGTCGACCCTGGCCGAGATCAAAAGCATTCAGGCCGCCCACGACGAAGCCATGGCCAAGTTCAAAGAAAGCTCTCTCTTTACAACAAAGGAAGCGGAGCTGAGGGTCATTGCCAAGGAGCCGACGCCGGACCTGCCCCAGGCCGAGGGCCAGGCCGAGTCCCCTGACGAGGAGAGCAAGGTCCGGCAAGTTCCGACAAAGACGGAGGAAGAAGTGGTCAAGGAGGTCGAGGAGGCCGTTGGGCGCAAGATCGAGGGCCAGCCCCTCGTCAAGCGCATCCAGCAGGGAGGATATCAGCCACCGGCCCCGGCCGCCTTGGCGCACATGTCGCAGCAGCCCTCACGAGCGGCATCGCAGGCCAGCGGTCTCATCATGGGTGAATCCGACATTGACATGGGCGGCACGGCGGCCGGCTTACTGGATCAGATGCACACGGGGTTCTCGTCCATGTCGACGCCCATCAACAACTTTCCCATGTCGGCGGCGCAGTCCAACGCCGCCACGCCCTCCAACGCGCAGAATGCACAATCGCCGGCGCCTGCACCCGGGTCCATGCCGGCGCCGGCAATGGCGCCTGGCCCCACGACTGTACCGGCTCCGGCTTCTGCCCTGGGCCCGGTGCCAACATCAGCGGGCCTCGCCGCTTCGCAGCACGGGGGCGATGTCTCCATGGGCGGCAACGAGGCGCCCGCTAAGAATCAGGAAGAGAAGGGCACGACACCCGACCAGGGCACCGGCAGCGGCGACTGGGTGGTGGTGCCCAAGGGCGGGGAGGCGCCGGATGCGCCTGCGGGTCAAAGCCATCTCGGCGTGCCGGGAGCAGCAGCAGCATCTGCGGGAGAGGCACCGAAGCCCGCCGGCGCAGCAGCAGGCAAGCCGTCGTCGGCAGCGGCGACGCCGGCCGTGACGGACGGAGGCTCGGCGACGTTTGACCAGAATGACTTTAGCTCCCTCGGCGACCTGGACACGGCGGGGGATGCCCTCGCCGGCTTCGACGCGCCGGACCTTGACGGGGCGGCGGGGGAGCTGGGCGACGGGCTGGACCTACAGATGGATATGGAAGACTCTGCGTTTGGCGACGCCTTTCACGGGGTCGACTCGACGGGGACGCCGGGCGAGGGCCAGAACCAGGACATGTGACGAGCAGTCCCTGGCCGCGCCGGGCGTCTCCCGCCTCCCTTTTGCGTGTGCGCACAGACGGGCTGTGGGCGTGAGCAAGTCTGACGGCGACGACGGGGTCGCGGAACGGGAACTTGGAAAGGAAAGGGAAAAGGGGTAAACTAATCAGGCCGTGTGCTTTTTCTCCGAGCAGAGGGGTGGCAGACTGGGGCGCGGGAGCCGACGTTGGCGGCATGCGGTGTTTGGTGTCATGAGCATCATGCTGGACGGTTGCGTTGTATTTGGGCCAATTCGCGTACATCGTAGGCAGAAGAAGAATATCGGGCAGCAGCGAGGGTCTATTCAACAGCGCGGAAGCCTCGTCCTGGCAGCGGCGGCGGCAGCGGCGGTGATGAATCCCTGGTGTTCCTTTCGATCAACCAATCTATCAAGTGACAACATGCACACATGTAATGGAGGCTTGGTAATAGCCCGGACATGGGCTGGGCGGTGACAGACCCCGGGAAAGCAGTCTTCCCTCCAGGGCATTCCTCTCTTCTCTCCACCTTTGGTTTCTTTGGACTGCGTTTGGCTCCCGCGCCAGCCCCGGCTGAGTGTCTTGTTCCAGAAATCAAGGCATCGACCATCTCTCTCTCTCGTCCCCCCTTGACAATAGCGACCGGGACGCAGACGAGTGACGGCGGCCATCCACCCATCTCTACAGGCGGGGATTGGAAAGACAAGACGGCGAGCGTGCAACACCGACCTCAGGCTGCATGCGTGCAACAAAAAAAAGACTCCATTGATGGCTTCGTTATCTCCACTTCATACAGTTGACCACAAGAGCTCTCCCGAGGACATCCATCGTCCAATCTCCGAGACTCTTCTGCGACCACGAACGATATGTCCCGGGTTTTTATGCTACACCATGGCAAGACAGGGCGCCAGGAGTACAACTTACAAGGCGGCCACCTCCTTCGATTCGCTCCCGCTGCATACCGCTCTCCCCATTGCGGGCCTCATCGCCAGCTTCCAGCTCCGTGCTAGCTCATGACGAGGCCAGCATTCATGGCGCGTCGAGCGTGACCGCCAGGGCTGCTCGCGACATTGTCCTGGCAATGTTCTTTTTTTTGGTCTTCCTATTCTTCCTCCCTCGTGACGGAGACCTCGACCCGCGAGACTGTCTTCTTTCGAGGTGAGCGGCGGTGATTTTGTGCTGCTTGAGCAGTGAAAAGGGGGGGTAACAGCGACAAGGACCATCATACACCAGGCATGCAGTTCTTGATGTTGTCGTATTGGCTATTTGGATATTCGAGCATGTTCTCGGTGTCGTCCAGTGAGCCCAAGGAAGCCGCCATGGTGCCCACCAAGCTGTCGTCGCCGGACTTATCACCGGAGGCTTCCCAGAAGAAGGCGCCGCCGAGACGCTGGTCCAAGATGTAGCGGGCCTTTGCCTGGGTGCTGCGGACAGTGTCGTAGGAGACGAGCTCGCCCTTGTCCTCGCTGTAGCTCCAGCTGGCGACAAGCTTCTCGTTGTACTCGACCTTGGCCCCGGGTCGCGGCAGATCGCGGTAGAGCCATGTGCCTTGGCGGGCCTCAGGGGCGTCGCTACCCTGGAAGGAAGCGCCGAGGCCGCGCGTCTTGGCAAAGGACCGGCCGTAGAGTGGTACGCCGAGGTTGATTTTCTTCGAGGGGATGCCGGCCCCGAGATAGTCGGTGACAGAGCGGTGGGTACTGGCCTTGGTGCTCTCCGGCTTGTCGGGGTCCATGAAGAGATTGGCCTGGTGGCCCGTCGTCGTGTCCCAGCCGCCGGCGAAGTCGTAGGCCATGAGATTCCAGATGTCGAGGTACTTGTCCATGCCGGCGAGGTCCATGATTTCGTAATGAGCCGGCCCGGCCGACGTGGCCGCCGTCAGGAGGTAGCGGTAGCGCTGGCCCTGGGCCGTCGCGTACTCGTCCAAGGCCTTGCGGCACTCGTGGAGCAGCAGTACCAAGTGCTTCGCCTCATTCGTATCCTTGGGAGACTCCCAGTCAATGTCGAGCCCGTCCATGCCCCAGTCGGTCGCCAGCTTGACGGCGCTCTCGGCGAAGGCCTTGCGGCCCTCTTCCGTCGCCGCCATGGTGGAGAACTTGCCGCCGTTGGATGCGGTCCAGCCGCCGATGGAGAGGAGTGTCTTGAGATTGCGGTTCCGCTTCTTGAGAATGAACATGCGCTTGACGCAGCCGTAGGCGTTGTTGCCCGACTCGGTGGTGTCGCCACTCCAGGGCTTCTGCACGTCGGCCCAAAGATCCATTGGTTTGCTGCAGAGCGACGGCAACGGTCCAGGTTAGTTCATCTTGTTTCGTGTCTCGTCTCGTTTCGGCCTGGGTATGAAATGAAAGACACGTACACAGTCCCGTCGGCGCCTATATCTGCAAAGGCGTATATGGCGTGCGTGATGCCCTTGGCCTCGACGTTTTCTGGATCAAAGTAGGTTTCGTTGACGTTCCTGGTGAGCGTGCTGATGATTAGCCATCTCATTCTCATTCTCACTTTACATGGTTTGGCGTGTATGCGAAGACACCGAAGCACGAGGCGACGTACCAATTGGTAAAGTAGACCGCATTCATGAGGCCCTGGGATGCATTCCGAGGGGCAGCTGTAGGGGCATTGCCACGTGAAGGGGCCGGCGAGGGTCTGGCCGGAGTGAGTTTGCGCGATAGGGAAGACGGCCGCGCCTTGGCCGATGGACTGCCGGCAGCTGCTGCCATGGTGGTCGGGGTGGAGCCGGGATAATAGGTGCTGTGGCTGCCGGTCCCGGTCCCATGAGTCTTATAGCTGGCCTTGGCTCGGTTTTTGGCGTGGCCGTTGGCATGGGCGTGAACTTGGTCATGGGCCAGACTGTGGAGGTGAGCTTGGTCATGGGCCGGACCGTGGAGGTGAGCTTGATCATGGGCCGGGCCGTGGAGGTGAACTTGATCATGGGCCAGACCGTGGACATGAGCGTGGACATGAACGGGCGCTTGGGGTTGACCGTCAACCTGAGTCTGATGCCGCACGCGAGTTTTATCATGGACTTGGTCCTTGGGGTGAGCCTCAGGCTGGACATGGTCACCGTTGGCGGGCACATTGACATGGACGTGGCTCTCGACAATGCCCTGAACATGATCGTCACCGACATGGCCGCTTGGGCCGCTGCTACACGCCAAAGCCTCCCTCCGTTGGACTTGCACAGCAGATCCAAGGGCGGTCTGGGCCAGCAGGGGCAGGGCGAAGAACAAGGACGTGGGCACCATTGTGCTTGGTTCTCCCCTTGCCCGGGAGCTGAGGGAGAATGCAGCCTTCAGTACAAGGAGAAGAGAAGACGAAGAAGAAGAAGAAGAAGCAAAGGAGAAGGAGGGATGAAGAAAGGGGGGAGAAGAAGAAGAAGAATAAGGACTCGAAGCCAGTCAAGAAGGGTCACGTACAAGGGAGCCTGGCAATATCACGACGCAAGGGAAAGGGTGGGCGCCTCTTCGTCTTTATACAGGCGTCGAAAGGGGGGGCTCCATACCTCGCTCGGCAGTCATCGATACGGCTCGACGACATGCCAACGGGCATCAATGACAAGGAGCGCCATTCTGGAACCGTCGACGTGGGGGTCCTTCATTGTTTGTGCATTTGTCCTGGACGCAGGGTGCAGGCAGGGGGTGCCCGAATTGTCGAAACGAAAGGGCTCCCTCGATGAGGACGGCATGGGATCCCCTGCAGTGGGCGATCGACGCGTCGTCGTCGGTCCATTATGGGCGGGCACCTGTTGGATGGCCTGTTCTTCCCAGCCACGCCGACGTCGACGGAGGCCAAACTGCCGAGCAGAGAGCGAGAGTGAGAGAGGGAGGGTCGTTGGAGACGATGCGCAAGGAGTGCCTGTCGTTGGGACGAGGAGAGCGAGGAGAGCGAGGAGGGCGAGGACAGCGGGGAGGGCGAGCACGTGACTGTCGGGGCATTGCAGCGGGCGGCTGGAAGAAGCCTTTCGGTGCCAAATGGGGCTTCGTCCCGTCTAATCGCCATCCACGCAGAGGCATGAGGCAGGTTTCAGCCAAGGGACTGCCCGCTCTCCCGACTAACGCCTGTTGGCCTCTATCCACGATTTCCCCCTCCCCCTTTTCCCCTGCGGTGGGGACGGGCATCGTCGCCTTGCGCTCAACTCCAGTGCCTGACTCACCAACCGCGTCTACAAGTCGCCCATCTGAGCGTCTTCAGCCTAACGTTATTCATCATTGCATTCTCTGCCCGAGGGGGCCGCCGTCAAACCCTCATTGTCCTTGCGTGGCCCATAAAGTCCCCTGCCGTCTCCTGGAATGCGCCCGCCCCGCCTCATCCTCCGCCCTCCGCCCTCCCTGCAGGGAGCATGGAGAAGCTACATTTTCTGTTTGATGGTTCGCTCAATAGTTTTGAAACGTCATGCGACGTCGAGTTCAAATCAAGAGAGCCCCACCAAATGTTTCTTGCCCAATCCATGTCCTTGTTTCCCTGTTTCACAGCCGGCCAACTCTCCACGTTGCCGCTTCGTCCGTGCTTGCTTTCCGCCTCTCTTGGCCATTGGCTCATGCCCGTCTCCTATTGTCGTTCTTCTTGCCCACGCGCATCAATAGCCCAGTTACTCTCTCCACCTCGAGTCGTGCCCCTGCGGCTCTCCCACTTGACTCTCCCTTGTTCTCTTTTCAAACCCAAATTTAGGTATCGAGAAGAATTCCACATATGACCAACGTATCAAGCTCAAGTCTCCCGAAATACAAGGACTCATATAGTGCCCATGCCATACGTGTCCCTAAATATATGACTTGTACGTTGCACATGTACATCGGTTTGACGTCCAGAAAGCGAGCATAATCAACGGTGGATCCTTGACTCTTCGCCAGCCCAGTCGAGGATCGCTAGGAGCTGCCGCTGCTCTCCACCCCGCTGAACAAACACATCGACATGGCACGACGCCTGCTGTACGCCTGCTGTACGTCGCCATCGCCTGTGATGCCGCGAATGAGCGTCAAACTCAAGCTCGGCTCGACGTTGCAGGCTTTCTCGGCGCCCCCGTTCTGAACTGTGAGCCTGTCGCCCTCCCTGCGCCGAGGACCCATGACAAGCCTTGATGTGATGCAGACTGATATCGCACTGGATTCCCGTCTTCTCTTAAGACCCAAGGGGTGATGAGAGGCTGTGAACGCTGTCCAAGCTGGCTCATCTATCCACTCGGCGGCCTCGCGACCAGACCAGACAGTTACTGATAGTGCCCGTCGTAAACAAGGACCGGTTCTCCAACCTCAATGGTCGGCGGGAGGCTCGGCGGACCATGTCCCTCATCTCCTGGTTCGTGACGCATATGCGCGCCAAAGTACACCTTGCTGTCGAACCTTCTCGTCTTGGCCAATGTCGTGAGCGGTTCTTGCCTTCTCTCCGCCGTAACCTGGTCGACGCACACCATCTGGCACCGCCGGCAAGCTCCAAGTAGTTTAAAGTCCTCGTCTCCGATCCGGATCCGGCTCCATGTATCCTCCGAGTACGCCGGCTCTCCAAGTCCCCCCGGCAGACTTTCCACAATTATGTTCGCCCGAAACGTGGATTCCGCCACTGCGTCCCCACCTCTGCTTTTGATATCGTAGTTCAATGCATCCACGCTGGAGCTGTGGACCAGTAGAATCGGGCTCTCATTTGAGAGCAAAATCCTGGTCTGCTGCTGCTGCTCCGAGTCTGAGTCCGGCGGGGAGGGCACGTCAGGGAACGAGCCCGGAATGCTCCGCAGCACGGCCACTCGCTGATGCTTCTGAAGCCGAGCCTTGGCAGTCCGGCTGCCAAGCCCACGGCCGCCGGGTGGGAATCTTGCCAGTACACATGGCACCCCTAGTGCATTGGCGAAGAAATCATTCATCTCGTTTGAAACGTAGGCCTGTGCGTATACTTGCTCTCCGCAGACGCGCGGCGCCATTTGGCGAGACTTGTCATGGGACAGAGCCGGGTTGGCTGACAGCGGTATTTCCACATAAGGATGCTTGGATTCTTGCGAGGGTCCGTGGAACACCACCCGCATGATCCCGCGTTCGAGATCCAGGACCGGCCGCAAAAGGGCCATGTTGGGATAACGCTTTTGGCTGAGAGCTTGGCCAGAACCTCGATGTACCAGGCACCACTCTCGATCCCAGGCCAGACCTTCTGCCCTGACTCCCCAGCGAAGTCCTGGCGGAATGACGAAGCCTCCACAGCTTTTGATGGGGTAGACAGTCATCGCCTTCACCCTGAGAGTGCGTGAATTTCGGGCTTTCGTACTCCTGTCTAGGTTGATATCTGGCGGCGGCGGCGTGCCTTCAACAAAGAACTCTCTGACAAACTCGGTAAAGCTATCGACGTCGGATGCGATACTCATGGCACCGAGGCTGGCTCTGATGACGCCATGCGGCTTCCCCGTCATAATGTCGCTCTCGGTTCCGCATCGATACCCGGCCGAGAGGTTCCTCTTCAGTTCCCAAGGTTCCAGCCCAAGTGTGGATGCTATTCCCCCTGGACAACACAGCCCTCCTGTTCGGACGTGCATGTTTCTCAAAATCGCCAGCTTTTCAAACTCGGCAAGGCTGACCCAGCCCCCTGCGCCGTTGACGATGTTGAAGGACACGACTGGGCCGATGCCCTGCCCCTCCCGGTCCTCTGCAGTAGCATTGTACATGACGCAAACCGGCCGCCCGTTCCCGTGTCGCAGGGAGCGGAGACCATCACGCAGTTTGATGGCCAGGTAGCTCGTGTGAGCGGCAATGTTGTTCATCGACCCGAATAGCTTTTTGTGCACCTTCAACGCTGCATCGATGGCCATGATGCTTTGAAAAGGCAGTGTACCGTCTTCTAGGCGCTCATGAAGAGATTGCGTCTTCCGGACGTGCCAGCGCTCCTTTCCACAAGTCACCATGTCGACAGTCCCTCCCCCGAAATACTTCCGACGATCAAACACAGGCTCGGCAGAACGGCGTATGATGATGACACCGAGCTCGGGAAACCCAAAAATCTTGTACAGGCTGAGAAGGGTGAAGTCGGCAGCGAAGACAGGCGACCCGAGATGCAGCTGCGAGGTCGCACCCAGAGATGCGGCATCAAGGAGAGTATACAAGCGCGGTGAGGCTGCTTCAGTCCTGTCCTGCAAATCTCTGGGCCACGACAGTGGATATCTCCGGCCGTCCATGTGAGATTGGGCAGAGAAGGAGAACAGCCTGGCCGACGGTGCTTGTGGCGCTGTGTCAAACGGGTCGACGCCATCGAGCCATGACTGCACGCCGCTGTCATCAAGACATGTGCTGGAGCGCGCATCCTCCCTGGCTCCGACCAAGCTCGTGTGACATGCTTGATGGTAGGCATATACGTAGCCGTTGGGCAGCGACCTCATGGCCTCGACAACGAGCTTCACGCCAGCCGTGGCGTTGGCCACGAAGACGAGGTCGTACTCGGCGGGATCGGCGTTGAAGAAGCCCAGCAGGCTCAGCCGAACGTCATCGATGCGCGTGGCCGAGAGCTGGGAGGGCCACGATGCCGAGTGCGGATTCCCGTAGAGCGTCGAGGTCATCTCGGCGGCAAAGGCGTCCATAAGGGACTTGGGAGACGGCGTGGACGCTGCATGGTCCAGGTAGATGCTATCTGAAGAGCCGTTCAACACGAAGGCCGGCAACGCGAGCCATGGGCACGGGCTTACCCTTGAGCATGGGATATTCTAGGTCCCGCAGGTCCTCGACAGCCGCATGATAGGCGGCTTCGACCTGGCTTGCCATGCTATGCCACGCCGTTGTCGCTTCCGGGGCGGGATACCTACTTGTACTGTTGCCAAGCGGAGTACTGTGAGGACGGTGGGTCTCGCGGGTGACGCCCAAGTCTTTTTCAGCCCCGACGAGTTACTTGGTGCTCATCTTGGTGACGGTTGCGTGTGCCGGTGCAATGGCGATGGTTGCCGCCGCAGCGCATACATTTTACGCAACTGACGCCGTCTTCCTCCAGCAGGTTGCAACAGGTCGGTCGTCGCCGGCCGGGGGGGAAGGGGGGGTTCGTCAAGGTTATCTGCAAGGCCGCTTGAAGGTCTGTCGGTTGGTTCCGTCAGCGGAGATCGCCACCCGTTTCGGTGATTGGTAAGTTGCAGAGTAATTACAGTACATACCTACCCAGGTGGTTGCAGCCTTTGCTGCCATTGGTCCATGCGGGCTCTCGCACTGTGATAAGCCCTCGTAGCGGAGCGGCTTATACCGTGCCCGGCTCGTCGCCGACACTCAGGCCCCAGCGACCTTCACCCTGCAAAACTTTACAGCTGGATGGCCCGATGCGGCGCTGGTACCCACACCTCTCAGTCAGACTCCCGCGACTGCCTACGCGGCAGCTGAGCGGCTCCACCACCACCTGTCGATTCGAATCTCCAACCTCGTCCGCTCATCTTTGCATGATCTTGTCCAACGGCGCGCCACAGTACGCAGCCGAGCTTCTTTGCGGCCTTGATCGGGGCCCTCATTGAACCCAGTTCGTCCTCCTTTTCCTCGCCCACGCTCCTTCTGCTCCTTTTTACCTCTTGCCCGTCTTCCTCTCTCCCTTTTCTTCCCGTCCTGTCAAATAGTCAATCCCACCCGCCGCCTCGTCATGCATTCATATATCTGTCCGTCCTGTCACTCTTCTGGCCGTCTGGCCAATTGTCGCATCCATTCTTCCCTTCTGCCTTCGCCAGCCTGCTGGTCCACGCCTCAAAGCTCATCTTCGTTTCTCCCTCGGCTGCGCCAGCGCCTCCCCTCGCTCTCTTGATTGACTGCTGCCTCTATTCTGCCCATCTTTTCTCTGCTCAGAATGTCCTCTCTAACAAGCCTCTGCGCCGCTTGCTCATAGGTACAGATCTCTGCCGTCTCCTCGAAAGTTCCACGGTACTAGCTGTGCACAAACGGACCGTATCCAGACTTTTCATTCACGCTGATCAACCAGGCCGCCCTCGAATCACGCGTGATCCGCAGTCGCGCGTCAGCATCCACGCATCCAAGAATGGATTCGTACACCTCGTATCGTGATTCGTCGGCCAGGTCTCCCTCGGAGCGCACCTGGGGCCGAGACGACCGGGACGACCGACCCGACAGCTTTTATCGAGCGAGATCGCCAGGTGTGTGCCGCCAATTCCCTCCCCATGTCGTGGAATCGTCAGCAGACAGAAGCATGGACGTGCTCGACTCGGTGTCACGAGCAGGGCTGACCTTTTCCCCCAAAGCAAACGACCGGAGAGACCGTCGGCGCTCGCGCTCTCCAGCCGCTGTCGACAGGTACGAACCGCGAACTCGCCGAGATGACCGCGACAGGGATAGTCGTCGACGAATGACTTCACCTCCGGCAAACATCGATCGCTACGTTCCTGGCCAGGACAGTGCAGCTCCTGGTACGGTGGTCAATCCCCTGACCGACCCGTCCAAACTCCCATATCAAGTTGGATTCTCCTACTTTGGGGAGTGGTGGAGGCTTAACGAAAAGGTCAAGGAGGACAAGGACCGCGCACATGGACGCAGACGGGAACCCGAGAGGAACCGCGGCCCCGAGGATCGCGAGAAGGAAAAGGCCAAAATCCAAGCAGCCTACGACAAGTACAAGGAAGAATTGCAGGCCAAGATGGCTCGTAACTTCGTGTCCGAGCACAAAAAGGAGCAGTGGTTCAGGGAGAGATACGTCCCCGAAGTGCGAGACGAAGTGAGAGCCAAACTCAACGACATCCGGCGCGGTGCCTACAGCCAGTGGGAACAGGATCTGGAATCCGGTACCTTTGATCAGTTTTCGCTCGAAGGAATCCCCAAGAGCGAAAGCAACGGTGCAGGTGGCGTCGTTGAAAAGGAGGAGGGCGAGGCGACGGCGAGCAATGAGATTCTAGGCGTCGGCGATCTCATCCCCGCCAATGGGGCAGATATTCGCGACGAGAATCAGTACCAGCCCACCTTGCTTATAAAAACCATTGCGCCCCATGTCAGCCGTCAGAATCTGGAGGCATTTTGCAAGGAAAACCTGGGCGAAGAGGAAGGCGGGTTCAAGTGGCTGTCGCTATCCGATCCCAACCCTAGCAAACGTTATCATCGCATCGGTTGGGTCATGCTTCATCCTTCGTCCGATGCTCCGATGCCCGTCGACCGAGTCGACCCCAAAGATGATGACGGAGACGAGCTGGTCAAGTCTCCGCAGCCCGTTTCTACCGCGGAAAAGGCCCTCGATGCGGTCAACGGAAAGACGGTCAAGGACGAAGTTCGGGGAGATTTTGTCTGCCACGTCGGCGTACATAACCCACCGACAAACCCAAGGAAGAAGGCCTTGTGGGACTTGTTCTCAGCCCCAGAGCGGGTCGAAAAAGATTTGATTCTAGTCCAGCGACTGGTCAACAAGTTCGAGGAGGACTTCGAAACTGACTTCCAGGCGGTCCTGAAGGTTGAGGAAAAGGTGTACGACCTTCGAAACGCCGGTCTGCTCCAGCCTGCAGTCCCATCCACGGCCTCGAAAAAGCCCAAAAAGGAGCGAGAGGTGGCAATGGACGAGGCCATGGATGACGAGGACGGCATGGTCGAAGACGACGAGGAAGAGGAAGACGGTATCGTCGACGACGACGAGTCGGACGATGAGTACCTGCTCATTAAGAAGAAGCAACTGGATCTCTTGATCGAGTACCTGCGTCGAGTCTTCAACTTTTGCTTCTTCTGTGTCTTTGAGAGCGATTCCATCCACGAACTCACGCGCAAGTGCCCCGGCGGCCACCTTCGTCGACCCCGGAGCACGCTCTCCTCTTCAGCAAGGGCCGTTGCGCAAGCCAGCGCGAATGGCGAACCGTTTCCGGGCAAGAAGCGAAGTGATGGCGGCGACGAAGGCGAGGCAGAGCATCCAGAGGCGGAGAAGAAGTTCCGAAACACTTCTAGTAAAACGGAGCAGCAACTTCTTCGAGCCTACAACTGGGTCAAGACGTTTGAGGACAAGTTGGCGCAAATCCTGGACCCGCACACCGTCAACCTTCGCAAGTTGGGTGGGCGGCACGTGGAGGATGCCGTCGACGGCGAGCTCATGGCTTTCGTGAAGCAGGAAGATGAGCACAAGTGGCGTTGCAAGGTACCCGAGTGCACCAAGCTCTTCAAGGAGCTGCATTTCTGGAAGAAGCATGTCGAGAAGCGGCACACCGAGTGGCTGGACAGCTTCAAGCAAGAGGTCAGTGGCCAACCATTTGCGTTTTGTTTCTGCCTTGTTGGATGTTTACAATCTAATAGGAAACGCGACAGTTCGAACTCATCAATGCCTATGTCATGGATCCTGCCCACATTGCACCTTCGCGAACCGACGCCAACTCCAACGGCCACTTCCCGCCAGCCAACGGCCAGTCAGTAACCGGCACTCCCCGGGGGTTCAACATGCAAAACTTCTCCATGAATAGCATGATGGGGATGCCAGGGTTCCCCATGCCCCCAAGTGGCTTCCCGCCCATGTTTCCGGGTATGCCGACACCAGGCTGGAACCCGATGGGAGATGACCGCGCCGGCGGAGCCATTCGTCGAGGGGGGATGGGCGGCGGTCGCGGACAGCATCGCGCAGGACCGTATGACCGCCGCGGGGGCCATCGCTGGGACGGCGGTGGTGGGCGAAATCGCATGGGTGGGTCTCGATGGGGAGATGGGGCTGGCGGAGCGGCAGGAGGACCTCGCGAGGCAGTCCAGGGCAGAAGTTTGAAGAGCTATGAGGATCTCGACCAAGTCTCTGGCAGCGGCGGCGGTGAGCAGCTCAACTACTGAAATCTTGTGCAGCGGGAGGGCAAGCTGTGCGCTTCGGGGGACAACTGCTTCATCCGGCTCAAAGGAAGGGTGGGCGTCAAGGCCAAGATGGCTAGGATAATTCACTGCGGGAGCAGGCGGATTGTAGGCATGTAAGAGTTAAAGTATAAGAATTTATGACATGGTTCCAAACACAACATGCATGGTAGTGACGTACAAAGCTCGATGGAAGGTTGTTGTAAGTTGTATTTTGAGATCTTCGGTCAGTTCTCGGTGAGTGTCGGTCAGGTTCGGTCAGTGCTAGTGTGGGTCTCTGTATGATGCCTCCAGCCAATGACAGAATGCGATTAGACCCCGCCAAACCTTTGGAGTGTCTGGGAGCGGGAATCTTAGTTTTTTTTTTCCTCGCTGCTCCTGTGCCGGCTCGCACAGTCCGTCCTGCAAAACACACCTGCGCTGCCGCATCCCACAATCGTCGCAATGGGTCTTCTGGCCGAATCCAAGAGGTGAATATTCTCGGGAATATCTTGGCTAAATATTAGCTGACCAGAGTCTCTTTAGCCGGAGGAAAATCTCCAAAGACCCAAACAACACAAAATGGACACGAGACACGTCGACCTTTGGCCAGAAGATCCTGCGCGCTCAAGGCTGGGAGCCAGGGCAGTACCTCGGGGCCAAAGACGCAGGGCACTCCAATCTGCACACGGCCGCCAATGCCTCCTACATACGGGTCTCGCTCAAGGATGACATGAAAGGCCTCGGCTTCAATAAAGCAAAGGAGGACGAGGTGACGGGGCTCAATGTCTTTTCCGACTTGCTGAGCCGGCTGAACGGAAAGTCGGAAGAGGACGTCGAGGGCGATAGGCGAGCCAGGCTGGAGATGAAGACCAACGTATATGTGGAGCAGAAATGGGGTGTCATGCGTTTCGTCAAGGGGGGACTGCTGGTAGGCGACACCATGAACGGGCAAGAGGCCTCGAATGAATCCTCTGCGGCGCCTGAGACGGACGAGAAGCGTGGAACCAAGGACAAATCGTCGAAGAAGGAGAGGAAGAGCAAGAAGCGGAAACTCGCCGACGCTGATGAAGAGGATGCCGAAGCCGAGTCGAAGAAAGAGAGGAAACGACGGAAAGAAGAGCGAAGGGCTCGGAAGGCCTCTGCGGAGTCCGCGCCGGACAGCACCGAGGACGCAAACCAAAGCAGCGACGCCAAGGCAAAAAAGAAGGCGAAGAAGGAGAAGTCGTCTCCCGGCGACGATGTGGACGCCGAGCAGGACCAGCCTGGTTTCACAGACGATGGCTCGCGAAAGAAGGCCCGCAAGTCGAAATCCAAGGACAAGAAGCCAGACCCGCCGATCGACGAGGATCCCGTGAAGGCCGGGAAAAGGTCCAAGGACAAAAAGGAGAAGAACAGGAGGAAGAAGATGGACGCGGAGCCTGCCGACTCCAAAGCGTCCGAGTCGGCGGAGCAGGAAGACGTCGCCGGCTCCGCGACGGCCACTGGGGCCTCGACGCCGACGGGATCCGGCACTGGCACGTCAACACCCAAGGGCGGCCGCAACTTTGCCAGGTCACGCTTCATTGCAGCGAAAAGGCAGGCCATGTTGGATGCCAAGTCACTGAACCAGGTTGGTGCTTTTTATCGCCAGTCCATCGAGAGACGGAAACTAATGCGCTCGCAGATCTTCATGATCAAAACATGACGGCCTTTGCCAGACCCGACATCAAGGTCGATTACGCATGGTACCGGCGAATTTGTCTTCAGGTAGGAAGGCGTTTGGCGCAGACCCCATGGTTCAGGACGATGAGGCCACTTGCACATAACCTCGAATAGAAAATCACGACGTGTTTCAATTTGTTATTGTTACAAGCTTGGGTACGCATGACTATACAAAATTATGGGCCGACAAGTACACAATGTTGTGATAAAATCATTCCATAACAACCGTTATGCTAAGTAGGTGTGGCTAGGTTCCCTCAACAAACTCCAATAGCTCCAACCCTTGGTGATCCTGACCGTCCAGACACCAGTTCCATGGTACAAGAAAGGGAAAAGTTATGCTACTCGTGGCCATGGCTACTAATTCGATATCGCCCGACATTACTTGGCGTTGCGGCCAAGGTTGCTACGAAGCGGGTTAGCAATTGACACACAGTGGTAGCAGTTAAAACTGCAAGGTAAAGGGATGCCATACTTGTGGAAAAGTGTGTGGAAAATGCCGCCCTTGGCTTGTTGGTCGGACAGACTCTGGCGACGGGTAGCATCAGTGCCTCCTCGCTTCTGCTGCTGGAGGCTGTCAAAGGCGGGCATGACGCCGGAGCTCTGAAGAAGACATAGACGTTAGCGACGGCTCTCGTCCGATGCCTGATGGTCGGCCGATGGTTGTGACGAGGATGTTGATGGTGGGAGGAAGGATGACGAGGAGGGAGAGCGGAGGGAAACATACCCTGCGGCGGGGACTGCTGGTGTTGTTGGACTGGTTCTGAGTGGGCTCGCTCATGATGACGGTGGATGTAGGCAGATGAGGACGATGGATCTGATGTGGTGGTGATGAAGCTGTCGAACAGGAGATGGCTTGAGTTGGCTGGGACAAAGGCTGGACTGATCGGAAGGAGAGGAGGGCCAGAGCGGTCTTATAAAGCAGGCACAGCAGGAGGGAAGGAGGGGCTTCACCAATCGATGGCTGCTTGTTTGAGGTGGTCATGCAATCATCAATCCACTCTTGCCAGTGCCGGTATTCGTACTCTGGGTGCTGTACAAAGAGGTACCCTTGGACAGCGCCGTCGGCGTGTCGTTGGTGGTGCGAGTACCTCGACCAAGGTACCTATCCAAACCTGTCTCCCTCACATCGCACCAGGAGGATGGGGGGGGGGCGTGTCGATACAGATGCGAACCCTGTTGCTGCCCATGGCGCGACCGAATGACGTTTCCGACTCGTCGGCGCCTCGCCCTTGTGCATCCTCCACTGGCTCGCTGGCGCAGTGACGCAGCCGACGGGGCGGAACGCTTCATCCAGCCACGGTCCCCCCCTCTGGCGCGCTCCAGCTCACGCCTCTGCTCCTGTCGATCGACACTACAGCACTGTACAGTACTACAGTCACCACGAACAGTCGCCATGACCAATTGCCCGGAGCGGGGAGAGAGGCTGCGGCGCAAGTTCGGACGCCGAGCTCTGTCCTGGTCCTCGATTGCGCCGATTCATCAGCGCCGGCCTTCTTGTCGCCTTGGTCAGCCTCGGGCTTCCCCCTTCTCTGCTTTGCTGACAGCTGCAAACATGTCCGGGCACGCGACTCAAGATGCTGTCAGCTACTCCGTACTGTAGGCATTTACAATCGAGGCCCCACAGATCTGACGGAGTGTATGGGCCCTTGCTCGAGACAAACCCTAACGAGGGAAAAGGAAACCGGGGAAAACAGGATGAATCATGACCTGACAAACCAAAAGGGCCCTTGACGCACGCGCTCCCAGATGATGGAGAAGCGGGTGAGCGTGTGGAGCACAGACCCCGATATCCGCCCATCGGCAGCCACGAGCAATCGACCACTACATACCACATACTGCAGGCACACAGCAGAGTGCTGGCCAAAGTGCCCAGGGCTCCTGGCCATAGTCCCCCCCAAATCGCCCTCGTCAGCGTCATCGTGTCGTTGGATCCGCTGCATGCGCGACCCGATACTCTGGAGTCAGGTGGAGCTCGAGTCCTTGGACCTGCCGGCTCTCATCCCATTCATCATCAAATCTATCGCAAATCAACCCCCTCGACTCGGGCTCTATTCCCTCTCTAATCTCACGGCAGCGTTCCTCTCAATGAAGCCCAGGTCTACCTTATGGCCCAGCAGCTCCCGGATATTGGAGATCTTGTACTTGATCATGGTCGGCCGTTCCAGGCTCAGGCCCCATCCAAACACGCGCATGTCCTTGGGCAGGCCCATGGCCTCGAGCATCTCCGGCCGGAACATGCCGCTGTTGCCAATCTCCACCAGCTTGTTTAGGCCCTTGTGGTAGCTAAAGATTTCCATGCTCGGCTCCGTGTACGGGTTGTACGCCGGCTTGAACTTGAGATCTGTGATGCCCATCTTGCCAAAGAAAATCTCCATGAACTCCATGAGCCCGCCGAGAGACAGCCCGTAATCGGCAATCACGCCCTCCACCTGGTGGAACTCGGCAAGATGCGTCGCGTCGACCGTCTCGTTGCGGAACACGCGGTCAATGGAAAAGTACCGCGCCGGCTTCGGCCGCCCGTCGGGGCCCTTTGTCATCGCCAGCTTGTGCAGCATGGCGGCCGAGATGGACGTCGTGTGCGTTCGCAGCACCAGCTTGAGCGACTCGTCCGCAGACCATGGGTAGCGATAGCCAATGGATCCGTACCTGCCCGACTGGTGCACCTCCTTGACGTTGTTCCAATACGCCTCGGTGTCCTGGCCCGGCTCTTGCGGCCGTGGCTTTTCAGCAACCTTGGGGTCCGAGATGTAAAATGTGTCTTGCATGTCACGCGCAGGATGCTGCTGCGGCACAAAGAGGGCGTCAAAGTTCCAGAACCCCGTCTCGACAAACTTGTTGGTCGGCATCTCCTCGAAGCCCATCTCGAAGAAGATTTGTCGAAACTCGTGTCGCACCTTGTTGAGCGGGTGCAAGGCCCCGGCACTTTGATCCGCCCCCAGAGCCTTGAAATTGTAGGGCTTGAAGGTGGCCGTCTTCCAGGCGCCAGAGGTGATCATGTCGGCTGTCAGATCCGTCGCCTCCTTTTGAATCTCGAGGGCAAACTTGGGCCCCTTGGCCATCTTGAAGGTGATAATCTTTTGCATGCGGATGAGCTTGCGCTTCTTGAGGTCGTTGAGAACTTTTGCGTCTCCGGTTCGGGATTCCTTGATGTGTTGCAGCTGCGCGCGCGTCACGTCTTGAATAGAGTCGGCCTGTCTGTCCATCAGCTTGACGGTCGGTCCGTCGGGTGGACGAGGTAAAACGCACGGTGGCGACGAGCTTTCCGTCCTTGCCCTTTGAAATCCACTTCTCCCTAAAGGCCTTGCCCTGGCCCAGCTTGGTTACAGTCTTGTCACCAATGGCCTTTTCCAGCTCCTGGACCGTCAAGCCCTCCATGGCCTGCTTCAGGGCATCAAAGACGCGGGCCTCGTGGGAGCCATGGGCCGCAATCTGCTCCGCCTCGGGTTCCAAGACAGCCTCTTCGCGGTCGATGGTCTCGTAGGTGATCATAGACCGCGAGCCCAGCCGGTCGAGCGCGGCCTTGAGGTCCTGGAAAGGGACGTCGGGGAAGGCATCGACGGACTGGATGGGGCTCTGGGCGGATAGAGCCTGCAGGATACGGTGGACGGGATCGCCCGCAGGCGCAGAGCTCGCGTTGGTCATTGTTCTGTCGCGCCCTGCCGTCGAAGCTTGCCAGGGGAGCGAAGGAGAAGCAGGAATTTGAGTCACCAGCTTGGTGTTGCTTGGATACTTTTCCCCCGCTAATGAGCATGGCGGGGTTTGGCGGCCCAGCCTAGCTCTGGCAGGCGTCCAAGGTTGCCCACTGCGGGCCTTTCTCCCCCACCTTCGGAAATACTATTGATCCTTGCCGTCGGAGACGTAGCCGGCTTTCGATAACGACTGCTTCCACCTTGGAGCTTTGATTGGTTTCAGCAAGCGTCAGCCGCCGAGTCCAGCAGCCTATTCCAGACCCGGCACATCCCATCAACTCAAAAGCCCCGTTTTCTTGCGTGCGCCGGAAACTCAGCACCGTCAAATAGCGGCCTCCATTACAAGCACCGGTTGAGCTCAGGCTGCTTCGATGCAGGCAAGGCTCATCCAGCGCAGATGACGAGAGCCAACTATGAGCCATGATGCTTCACCCAACCGGACGGCGCGAAGCCGCGACGCTGCCAGAGACGACGACACAGCCACCGCCAACCATCACAATGCCTCCTCTCCCGCTCGCTCCCGGTCCGCATCGCGCCAGCGCCGCAAGAAGAAGAGCAAGAAGAAGCGCAACCCGGGCCTCGCCAAGAAGCTGGGCTTCATCACCCACCTGCTCAAGACGCTCGACCTCGTCATCTTTGCCGAACTGAGCGCCCTCTACTACATGGAGTATGTTCGCTTCTCCCGCCGCCGCTCTCTGCGAATCCTCTCTGACTTGTCAACTCCAGGTGCTCCCTCTTTCGATTCGTCGTGCGCTCGGCCGGCCAGTATATGTACCTGACCCCCAAAGACGAATCGTTCCCCTTCCTCATGCCCGCCACTCGAGTACATGTTCTGCTAGTCTTGATTCCAAACATCATTTGCATGGCTTCGCATCTCTTCGGCTCCCTCCCCGTCGGTCCCGACTTCCATCGAGGGTACCAACATGGAGGGCTCATCATCGACTTCATCGGGCAAAGGCCTCCCACCTGGAGACTCTACTACTTTCTGGCCGACGTCGTCATCCTGGTCGTGCAGTGCTTCATGTTGACGGTGCACACGGAGCGAGAGCATCTGCGTGCTGCGCTCAAGACCTTTCGCCCTGTCTTTCCCGTTGTGGAGGATACGACGGCCCGATCGACCGAGGACTTGGATGCCGAGGAGCGAGGCGTCTTGCGGAATGGCTCGGAAGTGGTTCATGACGAGACTGACGGCATCGATCTACACCCCCTCGGCCAGCCCCGAGACGGAGGTGAGGGTAGCGGCATGCGAGGAGATGACTTGGCGCCCCTGCTGCCGGACGCCGCAAGTGGCGTCGCACCTGGGACACCTCTTTCCGACATTATGACCTCGGGCAATGCGATTCTAGGCGAGTACCATGTCCTTCACTCCATGTTATCGGCGACAATGGGCTTTGAGCGGACCGCTGCACACTCGCTCCAGACTATTAGTTACGGGGCCACCATGGCGGCATTGCAGGCCCGGCAACAAGGCGCTTCTGTACAAATTTCGTCACAGCGTTCGAGAGGATGAGAGCAACGTGGCGATTTGAGCAAACAAACACTTGGCCGTTTTTCGTCTGGTGAACTTGCCGTCTGTCTTGCTGAGCTTATGCTATCTTTCTGCCTACGTTGCCAACGCCAGTACCCTTGACAGAGATGACAAGATCCCCTGTGTCGTCCTCCACGTCTCTCAGCCCCCAACTGCTGGCGCCAAAGATTTTCAGGTCCCTCGCCAGCCCTACCAACTCTTCGGTTCCGATGATTTCCCTGCCTATCCTTAAACGTCCGACGTCTTCCGATCCCATGGCCATGAGTATCAACATGGCACTTGCGGACACCTGGCTCGCGCAGCCGCCTTGCGCAATCGACTCCAGCAACTGGCACGCACATCTCTTGCCAATCTCCTCGGGAACGACGCCTCCGGATGGTGGGACCACGACGTCTGCCGAGTACAGGACGCCGACGGAGCTAGATTCTGCCACCAGACTCAAGCCAAAGCCGATGCCCAGCCGCCGCTTGCTTCCCGCCTTGTCCGTTGGCACCAGAGGGGCCTGGTCGTATTGCGCGGCGATGTGGATGTCGGCGCTAAAGGGGTTCAGAACTTCGCGGGCAGAATGGATCATGCGAGCATTGTTCGATGCAGAGACGCCGGTGCAGTACGCGACGCCTCGTATTCTCTTTATCCGGCCGGGGCTGCGGTTGAGATGCAATGTTTTGGGGAGGCGTACTTGGCTGGCGAATCGCAGTTCGACGCAGCCGCCTCCGCCTCGGCCGCCGGGGCCAGCGCAGGATCTTGACAAGACCCTGAGCTCGATTCTCGCTGGCGGGATGCCGAAGAGGCCGAAGAGGGGGAGGATGGCGGTTCGGAATGTGTCGACGGAAACATCCCCTGTCTCGGTGGACGAGGTGATGACCCCCGGCCCGGAGAACCGGACGTTCATGTGCGCCTTGGAAAAGGGCGCCAGCAGGCAGAGCGGTAGCAAGAAGTAGGTTACGCCTCTCGCGCAAGTATCCGGGATGTTGTGTAGAATCACGTCGCCCTCGGTCGCGCCTTGGCCCGCAATGGTGCCCGAAATCAAGCCCGGGTGGTATGTGATTGTCGTGCCCGTGTACGAAATCTGCATCGAGCTTCCGTTGGTGACGGCCTCGAGCAGCCGCAGGAAGGAGACCTCATGGGGGGCCAGGCCGGGGTTGGTGGGCGATGCGCTCCGGATCTTGGAGATGTGGACGGGTCGGCCGGTAAGGGTCGAGATGGTGAGGCGTCGGCTGAAGTTCCGATGGCCTGTGAAGCGCAGGAATTCGGGGCCTTGGGCAGACATTGTCGCTGTCGCTGGTTGGGTCGGAGGCAGTTGGCCGGAGTTGGTCGCGAATTCGCGGTTGCGATGTCTAGAAAAATGATTTTCTGCCCGAGTCCGGGCCCGCGAAGCCGCTGTAAACGGTAGGCGGTGGGAGAGACCCTGGCGCCCCAGAAAATTTCGGGGCTGCTCGCCTTATCGATAACCGCCCGACCTATGGAAAATCAGCTCGGCGTGTATTGCGACAGGCTTTCTCCGGGGATGGAATTATTCGAACATTTGACTACCCTCTCCCGTGGCTAATCCGCGCCAAAGTATGCCTTGCAGACCGCTGCTCTTCGATCTGCGAACTCAGAACCGCTCTATTTGTCGATCATGTCTTCATAGCATCCGACGGCAAGCCGCCCAGCCTTGGACTGCGGCATACAGCACCGCCTCTCCGAGGCCCGAACCACGCGCGCAGGTGGCCGACTCCGTTGCGCGCCAGCCAAGCAGAGCGGAGCTAAAGCAGTACCTGGATCGCCTACAGCAGCTGCAGAGGACGACATCGGCAACCGAGGGTGCGGACGACTTCTCGGTTCGGTTCTTCGAGCAAAACGAGCAAGGGCGCACCGAGCTGCCTGAGGAGCAAGGCTTTGCAGACTCGCCGACCAGTTTCGATGGGTCCGAGCTCAAGCAAGCCCTCTACAGCATCAAGGATGTCCTGGCAACGCAGGAAGAGAGGGAGGCTTTCCAAACCGTCATGCGCGAAATGGGTGGCGGCTTGGACAAGCAGATCACGGCGGACGACCTGGAAAAGATGATGGGCGGTATGAAGGCCTACACCGAGTCCATCGACGCCGAGTTCGAGGAAGCCACCGCCGATATGCCCCGAGAAATGCTGGACGAGCTGCGGCAAACCATGGCTGAGTTTGAGTCGGTGGAGGAGAGCGGACCGCCGGCCATGGCAAGTCCGCGGATCCTCGAGAAGCACTGGACTGCCAACGGGCGCAGAAAGATTTCCAGGCTGAACAGCGTCCTTGCACGCGTCTCCCACGAAATGCGCGGCAAGCGGGGCATCACAAACAAGAGCGTCTCGACGGTATACAAGGCATACCATGCCGCCAGACATCACCTAGCTCGCGACTGGAGCCACGTGCCTGTCGATGTATGGGACCTCCTCTGGACCGTCTTCTCTGCCGACGAGTCCATCAACATTCACCGGCTGGCCCACGTCTCCTTGCTCGCAAGAGACATGAGCGAAGCAAACGTCACGCTGAGCCCCCCTCAGCAGCTCCTCACCATCGAGGCATTGTTCGTCGAAGGGTGGGAGGCCAAGGCCATCGACAGCTGGAAAAGGTGCATGGGCTCGCTGGGCGACGACAAGTCTGAGGTGTTTCAAGACTTTTGGGAGCTTGGGGTGCGAATGTACTGCCGCGCTGGGGATCTGGATCAGGCGGAGCGGGCTGTCGACAAGCTCCTCGACAAGCAGCTGGACGCGCGCATCATGATGCCGCTCATTCGGTCGTTTTCGGAAAAAGAGAGCCCGGAGTGCCAGGAAAGGGCCTGGGCGGCGTACCGGCGGATGAGAGAGCTTCTCGGCAGGGGGATGAAGCTGTCCGACTACGACCAAGTCGTGTCGTACTTTTTGACGACAAACCAGACCGAGAACGCGCTCTACGCATTCGTCGACATGATGACGGACGGCGGAGTCGATCTGAAGCGGCAAAAGTACTTGCCCTCGGTCGTGGCCAACAAGTTCTTCCTGGGCAAGTGGCTGAAGAGACTAATCGGCGCCCGCGACCTGGACGGGGCCTATAGCGTAATCGAATTCATGCGAAAAAAGGGCATCGAGGCGTCGCCCATCCATCTCAACGGCCTCATCGGCGCCTGGCAGAGGTCAAGGACTGCCGAAAACCTCGAAAAGGCGGACAAGTTGGCGTGGAACATGATTGAAGCGCGGGTCCGTTTTGTGCACGAGAGGAAGTCGGACGAGGGCGGCAGCGGCGCCGACGTGGCACCGTCGAGCAGCCCGTGGCCGAGGGCAACGCTCGAGACCTTTTCGCTCATGGCCGAGAACTACCGCTCACGCGACCTGCTTGGCAGCATCGAAGCTCTGTGGGATGCCTTCCGGGACGCCGAGATCAGCCCGGACGCGTTCATGATGAACCAGCTGCTCGAGTCTCATATCCAAGCCGGGCGCGCAAAGGAGGCCGCAGCTCTGTACCAGGTTCTGGTGGCGGAGCGAGGCGTCGTCCCGGACGCCCACACGTTCAGTGCGCTGTGGAAAACCCTGGCCACGAGCCGCCTTGTCAAGGTGGCGCCCGAGGCGCGCGAAGAGGCCGTGCTGGAGACGCGCCGCCTGTTTGAGGAGATGGTCAGGTTCCGGCACGTCTTCGAGCCGGGCGGCATCGACGGACAGCTCGCGCGCAAGATCCTGCACTCGCTCCGCCGGCTCCGGGACAACGACGGCTTCGTCGTCGCCCTCACGGCCCTCCGCGCCCTCTTCCAGTTCCTGCCGCCCGAGCTCCTGGTGCTGGAGCTGCTGCTCGGCGTCTCCAAGCTCGCGTGGGACACGCCGGCGCAGCGCCGCCGCCTCATGCTGGCCAAGCGCTCGCTGGACCGCGAGCTCCTGGCCTGGGCGGGCGGCGACGAGCGGCGCCTCGAGAGCGGGCCGCTGCGCGCAGAGGCCCTGTACGAGTACCTGCGCAGGAGGCTCGGGCGGATCCCGGGGCGCTCGCGGCTCGACGAGGCCAGGGACGTGGCCGCGGCGGCAATCGAGATGGGCGTGTATGAGCTGCTGTCGCCGGCGTTTGAATTCAAGGGGTGAGGCTGCCTAGGCAAGCTAGGCGTCTTAGTGGACGGACGTTCAAGGGGGAATTGAATCGTGGCCATGTAACAACGCCAAAAGATTGGTCTGTACATTAGCCGAGACGGAAATGCATTACTGCTCCTCAAGCACCATCCGTGGTCTTTCGCATGCTGCTTCTGTGCGAGATGTCCTGTTTTATACATCAACTGCAGTCGACGTAAACCTTGCTCAAGTCCAAAACAACATGCTGAGGCCAATAACCTCCTGATGCAAGATCCATATAACTTAGATGCCCAGGCAAACGGGTGCCCCCCATCTTGGGCTGAAAGTACAGAGGCGCGCCGCGACGGCCCGGATGCTCTCCTATTGATATACCCATCCCCTCCCCACTCCGTCCCGAAACTCCAGCGCTATGCATTGTGAAGAAACCGACAATAGTGCCAAGAATGGAAACCAAAAATGGAAAGAAAGTCACCATTCACGCCCACGGTCGAGAATATCGCAAGGGGCCCATGCCCCCCCTTCCGCTGTTCACACCAGGTCCATTTTTGAGTCGTCGGCGCCGTCATCGTGGCCGTCGAGGCGGTCGCCCACGGAGCTGAGGCCCGAGCTGGCGGCCGACGGCGACGGATGGCCGTTTGTCTGCGGCTCCTCGGGCGGCGACGCAGACGAGGCGGCGCTGCGGCGGCGCGTGATCCACTCGTCGATGCTGGTGATGGCGCCACCTTCGACCTGGACGTCGCCGATGGCGTCGATGGGCCTGCCGATGAGGGAGCCGTGGTACTTTGTGTCCTCTCCCGTCTTGCTGTGCTTCTTCTTCAACGCTGTTGTCGGCGGCCGGGAGAGTCAGCGCGCGCCGTTGCTTCTACACACAGACAGAGTGGAAGAGAGAAAGCTCACCGCTCAGATAATCAGTCGCATCAATCTCGCCGTCACCCCGCCCCATGTCCATGAGCTCCTTCATGCGCGGGCCCGAGAACCACTTGAGAAAGTCGTCGATGCCGCGCAAGTCCTCGTCGCCCCTCCACGCCTGCTCCGTCGCCGCCCTCTCCGGCAGCAGCGCGCCGGCGTCCTGGAGCGCGAGCCGGATGTCGACGACGCCGTAGTCGCCCGCGTCGCCGTGGTTGTGGATGGCGTGCGCCGCCGTCCTCTCGCACAGCACCGACAGGTACCGTGCCGCCAGGTCGGTTAGCGAGTCGAGCACGGCGCCCTTTGTGGAGTGGTAGCCTGTCGCTCGCAGCATCTGCAGGATCGACGGCCGCAGCAGGGCGTGGAATATGGCGGGCTGGCCAGCCATGCTGCAGAGGCACGATGCAGGTCGTACGGCTCGGGGGGCGCAGTTTTGGTGATGTGCTGAGTTGGCCTGGTGGCGCTGCTGCTTCGGACCGAGACCGTCGGCTTCATTGGAGGGCTCGCAGTTTGTGCGCGCAGCCCATGATGACGCGTGTGTGTGTGGATGGTTGACGCTGAATGTTTGTGGAGGTGGGTGTTGCCTTTGCCCTGGTACAGTGTTCTTTGTACTTTGCACAGTACCTAAGAGTTTTGTAGCCTCACACCGAGCGAGATCAGCGCGAGGAAAGCTGGAGTTGCACAGTGCATATAATCCAATATTTCTCTTCGCACGGATCATTCTATCCTGCCGTGTGCGCTATACACTTGACTTCTTGACTTCAACATCATTCCCCTTGCCTCGTACATGATGAGCCAGTTCAGGCACGAAACAAGCTTTTCAAATTCTCGCTGCCTGCCTTTATTCGCTATTCCAAACAGACATCACACTTCGGTCTGCCAGGGACTACAGTGACCATCGTTTGCTCACTGCTGCTCCTCTATCCCCCACGGGCTCACTCATCGGCAACGCCGCTGTACTTGTTGATCCAGTTGAGAACCTCCCTATGCCATACCAACGAGTTTTCGGGTTTGGTAACCCACTAACATGGTGTCAGTCAGCGTGTATCGGACAGCCCCGCCCGCCACCGTGACTTACATGGTTCTCATCCGGAAAGACCACGAGCTTGCTAGGCACATTTCGCACCTGCAAAACATTGAACATGGCCAAGCCTTCAGAGATGGGCAGACGGTAGTCCAGTTCGTTGTGGATCAACTGCGAATACCATCAGCCTCGCCTGACACCACGTCGACAGGCTGCCAACTCACCAGCTGTGGCGTTTCCCAGTTGTGAAGGTGTAGCGATGGATCCCATTTGGCGTAGTTATCCCGGTTCTCCCAGAGCGTACCGCCGAAATCATGCATCGGGAAGAATAGCTCTTCAGTCGACCACTGATTTTGCGTCGAAAAGACCCCGTCGTGGCAGACCAGGGCCTTGAACTTTCGCCCCAACTCATGGCCCTGAATCCAGTCTGCCATGTCGTCAGCCGTCCGATGTCTTGTTTCGTCCTTTCAGAGAAGTGGACCAAGAGAGGTAAGGAGACAAGGGGAACAGTCGCATCGAGTCCAACTCACTGATCATATAGCCGCCGTACGAGGCTCCCAAGGCAACGGCACGCGACGTGTCAATGTAGTCAACCTCCTTTTCCAGGTACTCAAAGCACTTGACGAGGTCCTCATATGGGCTGCCGCCCCAGTTGCACGTGATGGCATCGACATGCTGCTGGCCATAGCCTGTGCTGCCCGTCGGGTTGGGGCATACGACTACATAGCCTTGTTCAGCAAAGATCGCGGGATTCCAGCGGGTACTCCAGTCGTCTGTCCAGGCCGATTGAGGACCGCCGTGAATCAGGAAGGCGAGGGGATACTTTTTCGAAGCATCAAAACTTGACGGCTTGACGACGAGCGCATGATTGTCGTAGCCGGCCGAGCCTGGATACCAGATTTCGTCGCGCTGCGACTTACATAGACCGTACGACTTGCCGTGCTTGGAGATGGACGAAACCTCGATTACTTTTTTGGCGGAGGGGTCGAGGATGGAGTAGTTTGAGCTCTCGACCAGAGACCTGGTGGTGATGAGGAGCGAAGGGCCATCCCCGAGGAGGTTGGCAAATGTGACGGAGCCATCTTCGTGGATTGCCTCGGGCGGGTGCTTGGCTTCAAGGGGAGTCGAGGGCAGCTTCCAGAGCTTGGCGCGGCCATGCATTTCCGCCGCGACAAACAGCTCCTTGGCGTCGTGGCTCCAGGTGATGGACTCCGGGTTGCGATCCCAACCGCCGTTGCCGTCTTGGGATTCGTAGAACTCTTGGACGTTGGTCAGGTCTTTGACGTCGGGGATGAGGAGGAGTCTCGCCTTGTCGGACTCATACCGGTCGTTCTTCATCCTGGCGAAGGCGATCTGCTTTCCATCCCTGGAGAAAGCTGGGGCGACTGAGTATCCGCGGAGCTTGCCCGTCTTGACCATGGACGGGGGGGCCGCAGGCACGCGGGTGAAGGAATTGATGGGGACATAGTAGAGGTCCGTTTTGGTGTGGGTGGCGGGATCCAGCTCCGGGTCCTTGGCGACGAAACAGATGGCGTCGCTGGCAATGTCAAAGTCGCCGGTGCCGCCGAAGGGGGGCACGGGGGAGACCAAGGGGGTGCCGGCGAGCAGATTCGTGAGACCGGGGCCTTCGAGCGTCCACTTGCCGTCCACCTTGGCGAGCTGACCGTACCAAAGCGAGCTCTTGTTGTCTGTCTCCCACGCGTCCCAATGGCGGACAAAGAGCGACGAGTAGATCTTGGCAGTCGAGAGAGTCTTGGACTCTGCCGGCGGCCAGTACATTTCTCCCTTGGGCGTCGTCAGGGCGCCGCAACACAAGGCAACCTTGCCGTCTGACAATTGCTTGACCTTGGGGCTAGCAAGGTTGCCCGTGACGCAGTGGACCAGGCGAGGTCTTTTTCTCGTTAATGGATGTGCAAATAGCAGGCAGAGGGAGGGGAGAGGAGAGAAACTCACTCGGAAGCGTCGGCGACATGCTGGGACCAGAGAGTGGTGCATTCCTTGTCGCCGACCTTGAAGTACAAGACGTCTTTCTCGGATATCCAGACGGGGTCGCTGGCTGCCGGATCCTCGGAGATGACATGAGACGAGCCGTGGTCGATATTCAAGACGCGGATAGAGGACGATCTGGAGTGCGTCTCGAACGAGTATGACGACACCTGGACACTGTTAGCCTGTCACTCTTCATCTCGAGCACTTGAAGAAGAAGCAATTCTTTTCGGCTCTTGCCCGGGACCAAACCCGTGGCGTACGTACAGTGTAGAGCACCAGCTCGCCGGTGGAATTGGGGACTCCGGCGGATCGGCGCGGGGCCGAGAGGAGCACCTCGGGGGTGAAGTGGGCGGCCTTGATGGTCATGGCGATAGACCGGTTCGGTATGACGGGGGAGGGCGAAAGATGGATGATGCTTGTTCTCGTCTTCTCCGCAGTGCGATGTTACCAGATATGTGCATGCAGTACCTCTGCGAGGTCGGTTGGAAGGAGTACATGCCTACCTACCTGTTTGGTAGAAGCTCGTACCTACCATAACCTAGTACCTAGGTAATTAATTACCTACCCTTACTTACCTACCTTTCCTTGGTACCAACCTGCCTATCTAGGTACATACTTACTCGCAAGATAGGTACTTCAGGGGCTTTAGGCTCTACTTGCCGTTGCTTCTGTCGCCCCGCAGACGACGCGGTATCTGCATGCAGCGACGTAGTAATTAACGTTATGTACGGAGTACTGGGGTATGGAGATCCCCGCACTCGAAGCCGTTTCTAAGTGAGGGACTCAACGGCTCGACCCAAGACCACTCCGCCTGCATAATTGACCATCAAGCTCGTGGTCCACGTCCTTTCCACGGGCTGGTATGACGGCGTCAGCCGCCCGTGCATTAGAATCCCAAATTAATGATATAAAATGCTAGGTCGAATATGCAAAAAGCAACCTCAGCTGGAGGCTGAGAGACAAACACATCATCCGAGACTGGAGCAAGTGCTGCAACGTTTATTCCTCCAAAAACGCAATCGCCTTTCCCTCAACGCCATTTGCCCAAGGCACAAGCTGCGTCCTTGTAAAACAGCCTGTAAATCACAACCGTCGTGGTTCCCAACCATGCATTTGTGTCCCCAGAGTACAACGCCAACCCGTCAACGCCTCGTCCAAGCATGCTGTCGAATGATGCGCAAGTACACGCACATGGACCAGAAAAGACCGAGTCGAGTATTTCGTTGCGCGGCCTGGCCGAAATCTCTCGTTACTTGCGCGACGCCCCGAAGTTGGTCCGCTTCTTGTTGGACTGCGAGTCTCCCTCGCTCTCCTCGGCCTCTTTCTTCTTCGACTTGTTGGCGCTCTTGTTGCCCGTTGCCGGCGTCGGCGTCGGATGCGCCACGGACCCGCTGTCGCGGAAGGAAGCCGAGAGCGGCGTTGGCGCGTGCGATGCGGGCGTCGATGCTCCGGGTGTCGACGAGTCCTGATGTATCAATCAGGTCAGCATGTTCGTTTCTGGGAGAGGGAGAGGGAGAGACTTGCCGCATTGTTGGGTCTGTAGGAAATGGAGGAACGCGAAAACACGCGATTCTGGTCCAGGGAGCCCGCCTTGCGCCTCTGGGCAGCCGCGCCGCTGGTGCCCTTCATGTAGTTGTCGAAGCCCGTGATGATATTTCCGGCCGGGTTGCTGTCTAGGTACGCCGACTCCTTGTGGGCGATGCTCTCTTCCATTTGCGCCTGCGCCAGCATCCGTCGCGTCAGCACATGCCACTTGTTTGTGCCCCAGTTTCTTGGTCTCCCTCGCGAAATAGACTCACAAGCCGCCTCTCCTGCGTCCGACGCCGTTCGACCAGCTCGCGCACGCGCGCCTGTGCTTTCTTGTACTCGGCCATGGTTGGCGGCGCGCCGGCGGCATTGCCCTGTTTTCCGTCTGCCATGCGTATGTGCCTCGATATGGGTTCCCCAAGCTATCGTCGTGGTTGTGCACGAGAACCTTGCCTTGTTTGTCGATGACGGGTCACGCGTCTTTTGATGAGGCGAGGCTTTGGTTGTTGCCGAGGCTGCAAATGGTCAACCTTGACAAGCCGCTTCTGACCAATCAGAGGGCTCAGGAGTTCTCCACAGCAGTGCAAGCATATTGCGCCGCTAGTGCCTCTCCACTAAAGAGCCACCACTAACTTAGATAGCTCCAACAGCCTACGAGAGTTGACGGCACAGATTTAAGGCCGAAGCACTCCGCTGTTCTTCAGAGAATGCCTTCTTTCAGCTGAGTTTCTAAAAGTGTTACGTGAGCAATACCAGCCAATACATGAGTTCAGAGCCTGCTTCAGCTCTTCCAACACTCTGTGATGCAGGCCAACTCGTCCGTCAAGGTATAGCCAGATCACCGGGGCCAAATACTGCATAACCTCCTTCCCGAGTACTTCCAAGAGCCTGGAGTCTCGGCCTTTTACCCTTGACCAGAGCGATTTTTTTGCGCTGATCATTCCACTTGAGCCTTGTTTAGCCAGTCTCGCAATACAACGGGCCGTCCATCCCTGGCGGAACTATGGACAGATCCTTGACAATCTCCATGACTCCCCATGGCACAATGATGGCTTTCTCCCAGTCTATGATGGAGAGAATGGCTTACTCTGAATCAATGATGATGTTGCTTCCGTACAAAGTCGGTGTGGATGAGTGGAAAGGGATCGGTCTGCAAGAGGGGTCGTCGAGCCAGCAGTGCAAACTGAGCCGGGAACTCGCGTATTGATGACAGGGCATCTTCCGTCAGGTTCTTGGGCGTCCTCCTGGAATGTACCATCGGGTTAGGGAAACATGTCCTTGCTAGCCCGGCTTCGACATACTCGGCTGCCGAGTCAAAGGCCTCTACCAGCCCAGGTATAGATTGGATTTGGTCAATACCAAACCTCAACTCGGCCAACAGCACTTTTTTGCTCACTGAATGTGTTCATCCTGGAACTGATAACCTCAATCACGTCTCTACCAAGCAGCAACACCTGGCTGGGGAGCTCTCTCGGGCTGCAGCGATGCAAGAGGCATCGAGATTTGATGAGTGGCACACAAGCCCAGGCACTCTTCAGCAAACCAAGCCCTGAACAACGTGCCTAGGGCTGTTTCACTGACTCTATGTGCCTCGAACGCTTCGGACGGACTTTCTTGGTATCGCTAGACAACTAATAACTGAAATATCTTTTTATACATTAGATCAATGCGGAGGATGGGCGCCTCCATCGCGTGCCCAGAAACCGGGTAGGAGACGTGTACCGAACACCCGAGAGGGATGTTCCTTGCGTGCAGAGCAAGACTTCCGGATATAAACTCGGTGACCTCTGGCCGAATGATCCTTGCGTGGTCCGCTCCGCTCCTCACCTCACGAGGTATCAAGCACCCCCGACTGCCATTGCCCTAGTATTATCGAGACCTCCCAAAACGGCGACGCTCGAAGCCAGCTCCAACGTCACACTGGTGCTTTGTGGACTCACAGTGGTGCTCTCTTAACTTCATCTCTAGCTAGTTCTCCTCGAGCAAGTTTTCGTTTTGTAGAGGCTTCTTGTTCTGCGCCTCCCCGTCGGTCAGTGTCGAGCCCTGAAAAAGCCATCACTCATGCCTCCGTCGCTTACGAGGCACCCACCTCTTCGTCGTCTTTCTCAATGGACACGATCGGCTTCGAAGAAGCGGCACGAGGTTCATCTTCCAAAACATCAGCGGTTTGGCCAAGAATGGGTGAGAGTGAAAACTCGGATGAACTGTTACGCCTCCGGCCAGTAGAGTCTCCTCTGCCGCCTCGGAATCCACCACCTCCTCGGCGTCGACCTCTGTAACGTCCTCGTCCACGCTGATGGTCAGAGTAATCTCCAGATGAGCTGCTATAACGTCTCTTTCGACGCCTCTCTGCCATTGAGTCCCCTCGACGGTTGCGAGGCGAGTACCGGCTGGAGCTGCGGCTGCGGCTGCGGCTGCGACTGAGGCTATCACTGAGGCTGCGACTGAGGCTGCGGCTGTGACTACGGCCGCGACGGTCTCTTCGGTTATGCTGGGTGCGAGACAGTGAGGAAGAGTCTCGTCGATGCCGTTCCACCGACGAGCTTCGCGATCGAGAACGTCGTCTTCGCTTCGCAGCTGGCGAGGTATCGGGAGTGCTGGAGCGTGGATTTCCACGCGCGTAGCGCCGATCGCGAGCATCGTAGCCACGTCGCTGATACTGAGAATCGGGACGGGGAGACCTGCTTCTCTTTCGGGAATATTGGGGTCGAGCTGGTGAGGGCCTGCGTCTTGGGGGAGTCGGCGAATGCGAGCTGCCTCTGGACGGGCTCCGGCTGCGCGAGCGGGACCGAGACGGGGAATCAGATGGAGACCGATCACGGCGGCGTCGCAACACTTGATCGCGTCCCCGTCTTGGCTGGGGAACGTAGCTGTCGCGGCCGTACGAGTCACGCGCTCCGCGTCCTCGAGGCATGGGAGAAGGCGACCGCTGCACCGTGCGACCAGACCCGCCTCTATTTCGATTGCCAAAGGCACGATCTCCTCGCCGTCCCTGTGCGTGCCAGGAATCTCCAACTTGTCTCGAGTCTCGGCGTTCTCCTTCTTTCGAGTCTTGAGGTCCACAGCCGCGGCGCGTGTTTTCCCGGTCGGCGTCCATCTAGGAAGCCAGATGTGAGCAGAGCCCGTACGCTGGAATCGAACATCAACATACCTTTCCTTGCATGAGCTCAAGCTTCTTGGCCTCAAGCAGCTCCTTTGGCACGCCCTGAGAACTACTTTGGGCACTCAGCAGTAGGTTCCAGAGATCCTTGCAGAATGGAGCGGTGTCTTTGTCGAGAAAGCCAGTGATCTGAATCTGCACTGACTTTATATCGGGCTGGTACCGGTGGGTTAGTGGTGTCTAGCCTGAGGAGCGGGTGCAGACTGTCGAGGGAAACATACATATCGTGAACCTTCAATGAGGTTGCAGCACAGCTCAATCAAGACGTCGTCCTCGCTTCCGAGAATCTCGCAGATTCTCTTCGCAATCCATCTGCAACAGAAATGGTCAGCGGGTGGGCATGAGCGGCAAAAGGCAGTCGCGTCAGTAGGGAGGACAAACTTTTTCATGACGGGCAGGTTGACCTTTTCCGTGTCCACCTTTTGATTGAACTCGGAGGGGAACTTGGTCGACTTCAAGAGCCGAGCATCGACCTTGGACGCCATGGTGGAAGCCGGCTAAGCCCCTGTTTGCGCGTCGGCGAGCGCGGGTGGGAGGGAAGAAAGGATCAAGCCGAGGGGATGAAAGGCGTGGAGAGAAGAGGAAGTGGTCAGATGGGGAAGGGGAAGCAACGCACGGATCAGGTGCAGCTCAGACTCCGGAGAAGACCCCGCTTGCTTGCACAAAAGGCTACCTACAAGGGTCGTACCTGTGGGCAAGGACCAAGGTACATCCTTGGGGCAACACTCGCTATCTCGCACAGCGATTTGGGAGGAAATACTTGCCAACTCTCTCACATCGCCTCGAGAGTACAAGCTATCAAGGTGCCCTAAAGGGACCTGCTTGCCGTGCAACTCCCAGGCCCCCAACATGACGTACCTGAGGTACCCACGGTGGGGGCATTTGGCACTCAGAGTGGTACCTACCTGGTAGATACTGTAGGTACTTGGTACGAGGCACCTCCTCCCGGAGCTTTTAGAGCGCTCTCTCTCTCGTCACACCTTGGACCGCGTGCTTCTGCAAACGCGATAAAACAGGCCGGATCCCAAGGACCAACTCCTGCACGACACCGTCTCGTAGCATGGGGCTGCCGCTCAGGATGAACAACCTACATGCGCCGACGGTGCCTTCCGGGCCTGCAAGCACAGCGACCGCGACGAACGGACATGCGGGGCAGACGAGCTTGGCCGAGCTGCAACGCAAGAAAGACGACTTGGAGGTTGAGCTCAAAGCGCTCGGTGGCGTCCTTGACTCGGTGCATATCAACGCAGGCCGGAAAACGCCATGTTCGTCTCTGCTAACTAGCCTGCATGTAGCATGGAGTGGGCATGGACACGCCTCTGGTGACCAGAGACGGTTTTCCGCGAGCCGACCTTGACGTTGCGCAGAGTACGGCATCCATGAGTGGCTCGCTGAGCAGTTCACGGCGCGACATGCTGACTGGGTCGCAGTTCGGACTACCAGAGCACGAATCATAAGGTTACGAAACGATCACAAATCCCTCATGGAGGCCATCGAAAAGTTTCTTCACGAGCACTTTGCGAGCCTCGACGACGCCGATAACGCGTTGGCCCCTGGCTCTGGCTCTCAGCCGCCACACGTGCTATCAGACGCACAGCTGGATGCCTCAGACGAGGCATTTGCCAAGGTCAACACAGTAGCTCCCAACAGCCCGGCCGAACGTGCTGGCTTGATGGCGGGAGACGAGATTCGCACCTTTGGATACGTCAACAAGTCGAACCACGACAGTCTCAAGAGGGTGGCCGAGTGTGTTCAGGGCAACGAAGGGGTAAGTATGTGCTGTTGTTTACAGCCAAGCAGCTGGCAGCTGACATGGCTCAGCGGGACATATTCATCCGCATATCGCGGCCAACAGGCGCAGCACAAAGGCAAGAACTGCGTTTGACCTTGACGCCGGCTCGAGACTGGGGTGGTCGAGGAATGTTGGGCTGCCATATCCTTCCCTTGTAACAATCATGACCGCATTGCTCGCCCGCGCCGTCCGATGGCCGGCGGCATTGTGCACACGCACATGTCGCGCCTGGCCTCGTCCCGGTGCGCTGGGTGGTCAAGGGTTTGGGAGCGGGGCGACGGTGAGAGAGGGTTTGTCCGGTGAGGGTTGTCGTCACTGTGAAGGATTGGGCTGTCGGGTCGCAAGGCAACAAACAAGATGAGCAAGGAAGCATGTGCCAGCCAACGGAACGGCATGGCATGGCGGGATGAGGGGCTTCAGGGATTGATTGGGCATCAGGGGTTAGATAGATGAGTAGCCTTCGCAGAGTCAAAGCAATATTTCCTTGGGCTTGAACATGGTTGTTGCAAGTATGTACTTACTTGCTTGATAGGCACTCGGGATGGGGTTCTGTCTTTGACGGTCAAAGCGGAAGCAGAGGATAACTCAGCGGGGCACAAGGCAGGCAATCAAGAATCGGCCTGCTGCTGGTGCATGATGCCGGAGGTCGGTAACCTTGCCCCTCGACTCTGATTGGGCGACTGTCTGCAGACGCCTGTGCGTATGAGTACTGTACATAGGTACTTTCGGCTTTGCTTGACGTCACGTGCATTGGCCACATCCCCCCCAGGCGGGATGAATTTTTCGCTTGAGGGTTGCCCGGGGCCAGGTTCCCCGCCGCCTCTCAAAACATCTGGGCAGACCCGACCGAGCCTTGTGCAAGTTTGTCCTTCACTCTTAACCCAGCAAACACCTCCTCCTTAAGGTACTGCCGCCCGCCCTTCCATCGATAAAGCTTTTCTGGAACCCCCTTGCACGCCGCTCCATCCTCCAATCCCGCAGCATCGTACGAGCTGATTTCCCCTCCCGCGATTCGATCCATCGTCCCCTCATCGCCGCCGTCGCCTTGGTAGGCTAACCGCTGCGACTCTAGCACCCCGCCTGTTTGCATCACTCGACACTCGTCGCCACGCCATCCATCTTCCGACATGGCTCAGCAGCAGACGCCGACCTTCAAGCTTGTGCTTGTCGGCGATGGCGGCACTGGCAAGGTATGTCATGATGTCGTTCACCAGGCTGGCCGCGTTGCGCCCCATCGGCTGGGCCTCGGCCGCACCCCCCATGATAAAGATATCTCGATGATGGGATCTCTTGCTTACGAGTGTGCTTGCACCAGACCACCTTTGTCAAGCGCCACTTGACGGGCGAATTCGAGAAGAAGTACATGGCCACCCTCGGTGTCGAGGTTCACCCCCTCGGCTTCAGCACCGTGAGTCCTCGCCAAACCCCCCTCCACGGAGGGGCAAAGCGCTTACTGTTCGCAGAACTTTGGTCAGATCCAGTTCGACGTCTGGGATACCGCCGGCCAGGAGAAGTTTGGCGGCCTGCGTGATGGCTACTACATCAACGGCCAGTGCGGCATCATCATGTTTGACGTCACCTCCCGCATCACCTACAAGAACGTCCCCAACTGGCACCGTACGTTCCAGCCCGCGTCGAAATTTTGAACTGGTGTGTCTAACGTTTCTTGACTTGCAGGTGACCTCGTCCGAGTCTGCGAGAACATCCCCATCGTTCTTTGCGGCAACAAGGTTGATGTCAAGGAGCGGAAAGTCAAGGCCAAGACCATCACTTTCCACCGCAAGAAGAACCTGCAGTACTACGACATCTCGGCCAAGTCCAACTACAACTTTGAGAAGCCCTTCCTTTGGCTTGCTCGTAAGCTGGTCGGCAACCCGCAGCTGGTTCGTGCTCATACCCCCTCTTGCCCCGTGTGTTGAAGCCATGCGTTGACTGGCAATGCAGGACTTTGTCGCCGCCCCTGCCCTGGCTCCTCCCACCGCTCAGGTCGATGAGGCGCTCCTCAAGCAATACGAGGACGAGATGAAGAACGCCGCTTCCATGCCTCTGCCCGCCGAGGAAGAGGACGACGATCTGTGAACGAAGCCGACAGAGCACGGCAAGGACTAGCGGGAAACATGAGCTGCCGCGATGGATGGGTCTTCTGCAGTCTCAAGGGCAGTACATGAGCGGGCCTGCACGGCTATTTACGAAACGGAATGGGAATCCTTAAGCTTTACGAGAGCGTGACCGGGAGGGGTCAGACATTTGCCCGTTGAACTCCGGTCGGGGTAGATATTGCGGCATCGCTGCGTGGGAGCAGCAATCAAGTAGTTAGACTATAAACCACTCAAAATGTGACACTTGCCGGCATCGGTCACCAAATGCTTGCCGGGTGAAGATGGCTGCTGGTTGTGGGAGTGATTCGCAGGCATGGATGCTCCCACCCTATACCGGTATCGCTGTGAGATGTCTCCGCAGTAATGCACGTATCGATGCCAGCGACTGCGGATGTGACTCGATGAACACGTCAAAGAGTGCACGCTTGCTTCTGGGGCTGACGCTTGGTAGTTTGGTTGACAGGGCCGAGGCCGAGGCTGCACTGCGTAGTGGCTTCATTGCTTAGGAACCATGGAGGGTTAAAAGACATGCCCAGGTCTTGAAGCAACCAGTTCGGTTCTTTTTTTTCTCAACACAACCATGATTGGTCAATTTCCCAGTTTACACACGCAGACGGCAGCCCCGTCGCCATCTGCCAGTGACACCGCTTCCACGATTTAAGCGGTTTCGGGGGCCGACATTGGGTGTAGGATGAGGCCTTTGGCCTACCAAAACAGGGTCTGGTGAAGCGACATATGTTAGGTTGATTTTTTTTTGTTGACAAACGGAGAAATTAATGGGCAAAAGGAATATATCCATTGCCAGCATGCATGTAATTAAACCATCAACTTGGAATGATGGACTTGTTCGGTCCGTTGGGCAAGATATGGAAGGCAAATAATTACCCGTTGATCTTGGTGTGGGGCCACAGCAGCCCAACTAAGTGTCTTCGCCACTTAGTTGGCCCAAAAAATCCGGCACAGCCCAAAAAATCCGGCACAGCAGCCCACCTCCAAAACGTCAACCCTATGCATCTCAACCGCGTTTTCTCGCGCAACTTGACTTTATTTACGTATCTTTTTGCCGGAATACATTATGACAGATAACATGGCTACCCTGGAGGCAGCAAAGCCGTTCTGGCGTCTCGTCGCGACCCCAGAGCCGATGTTCGTCGCTCAACAACACCAAAAGAACGCCTCTTTCCGTGCGAGATGCGGCCATCCGTTACAATGTGAAGAGCTCATCCGTACAGAGAGCCATTAATTTCATAAGAAACCCCTTTTCCCGTGCTCCAGGGCGTCCATTGGCGCTGACGGAGGACGAAGACGACGCCCTGGTTGCGTATGTACAGTGGATGGAACGCACCGGCATGCCCGCCACGAGAGAGCAACTTGAAGCTGTTGCAAATGCAATAAGAATGCGTCGAGATCCCAATGCCCGCCCGGTCTCGTCAAGTTGGCTTGACAATTGGCGTGGAAGTCATCCTGCGATCGCGAAGACGTATCTCAAAGCAGTTGAACGAGCCCGGAAGTCCTTTGAAGCCCACGGGGTAGAAGAAGTCGAATTTTTCTACTCAAAGCTTCGAGAAATCATCACCAGCTACCGTATTGGCAGTTCAGAGATCTGGAATGAAGACGAGGCCGGAATACGCATTGGGTGCCTGCGAGAACGCATCCAAGTTCTCATCACGCGCACCACTAGAGTCAAGAGCACCCGGCCCCGAGTTTTAGACCCAGCAAACCGAGAATCCTGCACGGTAATTGCCTCAGTTAACGCAGTGGGGGACTCTCTTCCACCCTGGCTTGTTTTCCAACATTACCCTACCACCAACTGGGCCGGCATCGACATCATGACAGGCGTACGGTTTGCCCAGTCGCCAACTGGCTTTTCCAACGCAGAGATACACCTTGAGTGGGCAAGGCATTTCAACTGCTGGTCTTGGGCATCGTCAGCGCAAGCAAAACAGTCAGGAAATTCGCTGGAAGAGTGGTTCGGCTGTGACGAGCATCTTCGGCGCCCCAACATGGGGATGAGTCGTGGAGGCGCCGCCAAACCAACGGCCTGACGACGAGAAGATCTACCGATTGCTTGTTGTGGATGGCTTTACAGGGCATACCACCCTTGACTTTGCTGAGTATTGTATCAAGTTTGATATCATCATTGCTATTTTCCTCCACATTCCACCCACCTCAGGCAGCCGCTTGATGTTGGGGTATTCCAGCCACTAAAGTAAGCACATCAGAAAGCGCTTCGAAGTCGCTCGCAGAAGGCAACATATCATTTTCGCGGGTCAACTTCCTCACAGCTTTTCAGGACGTATATGAGGCTGGCTTCACGCGGCATAACATTATGGCGGCATTTGAAAAACAGGCCTCTTTCCTGTCGACCCAGCGCCGGTGATCACCAAGATCCTCCACGAGCAGCTACGACAACAGCAGCCGATCAATCCTGCATACGCCTCGCTCCTACCCTCGGAGACGCGTTTCCAAGTCGCCGCGGATGCCCTCAATGATATCCGGCAACGGTATGGGCCCCTCATGAGCTCGCCATCACGAGAAAACTTGCGGGTTCTTGCGAAAGTGAACACCGAGTCTATCGCGATGGCGTCACATTCCCAGGGCATAGTCAGCGATAAGAATAGCCGAACCCAGGCGTATGCGAATCGAATGAAGAGAGGCAAGATTGTCAGGCCGCGCGGAGAGTTTATCACGAGCTCCAGCATGGCCGACATCACCCGGGAGTATGAGGAGCTCCAGGCAAAGCAAACCCGGCTTCAAACGCGCCAGGAGATAAGGATGCATCTTAAACGAGTTCGTGGAGAGATGCAGAAGATCCGAGAAGACTATAAAGTCGGGAAGAAGCAGTTAGTCAATGGCAGAGTCAAGACATTGAACTTTAAGCCCTGGCTAGAGTTTACGGGACGAGACGTTGAGTTCTACACTCTGGAGCAAAGTTGCGATACCCTCATGCGGGAGCTCAAAGAGCCATCCAAGGAATCCTTTTCTATGATACCACGAAGAGAAATAACTCCGCCAGAGATGTCAGGGCGCGCAGCGACCCGACCTCGCCCACTTACAGATATGTCGTCGTTGCCCGGCAGTGACGATACCGTCTATTTCACAGGCCTCGATCTTGACAAACATAGTGAGGATGGCGCCGACGATGAAGACGAGGACAATTTACTCGACACGCAAGAGAATATACCTCATCGCCGCCGTTAGCAGCGGTTGAAGCGGTAGTCGATACACCATGCCCTCGACCGCGCACCCGATCGTCCAACAAGATACAGCAGACGCTCCAGGAACACAGGTATGGATAAAATAGCTCTCAGAGACGCACAACAGGCGAAATTACTACATAATACGTCTATTTGGACTCACAAACGCGGTCTTCCTATCTCTTCGACTGGAAGGCGGCAGCTCCTAAATAGGCCCAAAGACGTGATTTTTTCACTTTTCGTTGTTACTTGCGTCTTTAGGTGATCCGCAGCTATTGATCACATGTATATTTTAGCTATTTGAAGTCGCATTGACGGCACCATGAAGCGAAGCGTAGAATTTCCCTTGATTTTGCACCCCAAATTGAGGACCCTGCTGTGCCGGATTTTTTGGGCTGTGCCGGATTTTTTGGGCCAACTAAGTGGCGAAGACACTTAGTTGGGCTGCTGTGGCCCCACACCAAGATCAACGGGTAAGGCTATACCGGTAAGATTACAACATGTAGGCACTTTGGCAATTGAGTCGCTTGGCAACGGGTTCTCGAGAGCACTAGGGCCACGTCCCGGCGCGTCGGCGCGTGTCACCCTGGCCCGCTGCGGGGACGCTGCAAAAGCTCGGTGCAATAGGGCAAGCTAAGGCGTGGAGCTGTCTAGAGGGGTTGGACGTAGACGATGGAGCCGTGCACTGTTGTGAGTGAGTGTTGTTGATATCCCTGCTGCAAGTGTCGTTGTGGGCTATTTATGATACATATATATATACATATACGTATAGACACACACACACACACACACACACACACACACACACATAGGCAACTGGCAAACCGAGTCTGTCCCGTCTTGCACAGACCCGGACTCAGGAGGAAAAGAAAGCCGCTTCACGATAGTATGACCCGGCGAGCAACGGAGCTTGCTGGAATGGCGGTGCCTCTGAGCAGAGCTGACGTGCCAGAGCTCGAGGTGAGGATGAGGGTCAGATGTATGAACGGGTCCCGCATGGGCATACTGAAGACGACGTTATGGAGAAGAAGCTGAAAGAAAAAGAGTCGGATTCTGAGCGTATGAAGAAGCGTAACTCCGGAGGACCGCCTACTTAGGTATCCGTAGACAACAGGGCAGAGTCGATGATGTTTATAAAGTAGCGGCGAGGTACCCGGGGCAGCCAAAGCAAGCGGTTGCTGGGGGGGCCTGATGCGCGCTCCGTCACGGAGTAAATACGGGGTAATAAGAAAAACTCGTCAAGGGACTTTGTGCGCGCTTTGTTAGTTTACGCGTCCGAGGGATCCATTTGCCTTGCATCGGCATCGAGAGTCGTGTCTGCAGATTCGGATTGCGAGGTCCGTTGGCAAGATGGCTCTTTTAATTCGGTGCGATGTGTGTGGCCATGGCCATTGCTATGCGTCACGAGGGCACTTTTTTTTTACCAGGCTTTGTTTGAGGATATAACTTGGTGTTATTGACAACGTGCATGCAAGACAAGGCCGTATTGTGATGGTCCGATGGGTCAAGCGCCTGGGGGTTCATTGTGCTGCTGTAAATACCCGCCGGTTCCATGCCGAAAGTCTCGGTGCTATGGATCAGGTACCTCACAGGTACTCCCGACGCAGGGTACATCCACCCACCGCACGGAGTACGCGCTGGCCCGGGCCAAAACCCTTTTGGGCACAGGTACCCCCCTGCTCGTGCGACGCGTGTTGACATGCTTCCTGTTTGGGTCGAGGTACGTCTGCAGCGCGCGACGTGATTTGCCGCACATTGGGAAGAGAGAACGCGGAGGCATCTCTCGTCAAAGTGGAGGGGCGGCTCGAGCAACCGACCGTCTGCCTCGTTTTGCCCTCTCGCTCTCTCTCTCTCCCTCCCTCTCTCTCTTCATTGGGCCTTTCCCGCCTCCCTCCCACCTCGACTCGGCCGGCCACTCACAAGCTCTCCTCGTCTTGCTTGCTCCCCCATCGGCGAGGGCTTCGTGCTCGACTCCAGCTGTCCCCCCCTCGTTGGCACCATCGAGTCCTGGTTGAGCTCCCTTCGCAATCGCTCAGTAATGCATAGCTTCTTCTTGGCGCTCGACCTTGTCTGCTGCTCTCCCCGCCATGTCCAACGACGCCCCGCAACCGTCTCCTCCCGCCGCTCCGGAGCAGCACGCCGTCAGCTCGCCTCCGGAGCATCGTCATGTCGATGCCTCCTCGTCACAGACGCTGCTGCAGCTCTCCGATGACACGTCGGCTGCCGGCCGGGCCCCCGAGGAGGGCAAGCACCCCAAGGGCAAGCGGAAGCGCACTGCGTATGTCGCCCTCCAAGCCTTCCCCATTGGACCTTAGCTAACCTCGGCATCAATTGGAACGACAGGGCCAAGGATAAGATGATCCTCGAGGAAGCGTACAAGAACAACCCCAAGCCCGACAAGCAAGCGCGTCTCGAGATAGTCGACCGCGTCTCGCTCAGTGAGAAGGAAGTCCAGGTGGGTCGTTGGCAGCATCCTGCACTGCGCAACCGACGCGTCTTGCCCCCCCAATCATCCCAACGCCATGCTGACCCGGGGCCGGGCAGATCTGGTTCCAGAATCGACGACAAAACGACCGCCGGAAGTCGCGTCCCCTGTCTCCCGAGGAGCTTGCCGCTCTTAGGTACGGCGGCATACACTGTGTCTCCTCGGATTCCGGCACCCCCCTAGGCGCCAACCCCGAGTCCGATAGACCTTTCCCGGCCTCCGACCCGGCTGCCGTCTGGGCTTCCGTATCCCCCACGTTCAACCACAATAGTCCGGATCACTCACAGTCATTTGCTGATGCATCCCTGCCGAGACAAGGAAGCCAAGAGACTACCACCCCAGCCCAGCCCGGGAAGACGCCACCGCAAGGAGAGGACACCCCGTCCTCGCAACCATCTCAACCGACCGAGACAATGGCTCACTCCTTCTCGAGCTCCGTAGGATATCTTGCCAACAGGTGGAACCTTGGCAGTTCCTTCTCCACCCCGTCCTCGCTCAGAGAGAGTGGAGAAGAGTCCCTCAAGTAGGTTGCGCAGCTTCACCTGGATGGTGCGCGAGGCTGACCGCTGTCCCAAGGCCCGAATCGTGCCCTCCGTCGTCGTGCCCATCCGACACGGGCCGCAACGCGACCAAGTCCCAGTCTCACGTGAGGCTCTCGCTTTCGTTGGAGGGCAAAGCTGAACTCGTCTCAAACCAGCCTTCACCTGCGCGCGCTGCTCCTCCTCGGCCGTCCTCCGCGCTGTCCGGTCACCCGCAAGCTCGTCGTGCAGGCCTCCAACGAAGCCATAGTGCCCTTCCATCCATCACGCTGCCTCCCATCTCAGCACTTACGAGCTGCCTTCCCCCGCGGCTTGGCCGGGGTCGGTCGCGCGACGTCCACGCCTGGGAATCGTGTGCCGACTCGGAGAGGCGAGACGAGCTAACAACCCAGGCCGAGCACGAGTCCAATGGTTCGGCCATTGCGGCCATCAGTCTGCTGCGGTCTTCCTCTGGAATCTTGCAATCCAGCTCAACCAAGCGAAACGCATCGGTCTCGAGACCACCACAGGCTCGCCAGGCCAAGAAGGCCAAATTTGGCCGAACCAGCTCCACGTATGCTCGTCTGGAAAATGTCGGGACCGGGCTCGACAAGCCAGGCGACAGCTTCAATGGGAAGGTCAAGGTTGCGATGCTGGTGTCTTCGAACGACTCTGACAAGGAGAACTGGAGCCCCGACGAAGACGCAAGCACTCACGACCGTCAGCGTCGACGACCCCTGCCCGCGGACCCGCCATCCAAACCTCAGCATGCCCGGCGACAGGCTCGTGCTCTCCAGGATCAGAAGCGCCCGGGCTTGCTGAACAGCCGTGCCAACACGGCTCCCTCGGGCCTGAGCGGGTCGGCCAAAGGCGCCGTTGAGATCTATGAAGATCCAGTCAAGAGATCGCGGGACGATGAGGTGGCCCGGTTCATGCGGGGCGAGGTCAGCCCGAGCAAGAAGGGCGACATGGACTGTGTGGCGGGACTCTTGTCCCTCAGCCAGGGAGCCTGGAGATGAACGCCGCCGTGGGCAGAAGCGGATCGTCCCCCTTATTTGTTCTTGTCCTTCATCTTCATAATGCCGTCATTGGTGGCAAAGCGTTCCGTGTCCCGACGGCAGGCGTATACCCTTGTGGGGGTGCATGTCTAGCATCCGGCGTTGTCGATGTGATTTTTGCCCACTGGCTTTTATTTGCCCCATCATGACGATCAATGGTGTACCGTTTTGTCTGCGGTTTATAGGTGTTGGATATACTGACAAGGCTCTTTTCTTCCTCTTCATCATCATCTTCTCTTTCTAGTAATGGAGAATCTCGGTTGGGGTTGAATGGATGAGGAGGTACGAAGTCCAGAGGCATGTGTGTGTATGGAAGTGGCTTGGCGGGGGATGGGGAGGTAGAGACCAAATGACGAGGAGACGAGGGCCTTCTCTAATAAATCAAGTCGCCGTTGGCCTTGACCGCGGAATGGAGTGTGTGCCATGCCCCCTGCCCATGCCTCCCGTGAGCCGCCTCATGCGGCAAGCCGCTGGCTGGCAAGAGAAGAAGGAAAGGGGGAAGAGGGACGCCGAGATCTGGTTTGCAGAAGCCGTGCCGGAGGGACAAGGCAAGGCGAAGCAGACGAAAGGAGTCGTCGTTTGACGGGCATGTCCAAAGATGATGCAGGCTTGGGCCGGGTAGAATCTGAGCTACGTCACGCCACGAAACACCGCCCTCTCGACAACTGATGGATGATTCTAATTCGAGCCAACCCAAAAGAAAACCTCGCGTCTTGTCATGCCGGGTGTATTGCGTGCCCCATGTCTTCTAAAAAACCTCTGTCATGCTATGATGCAAGAAAAAATAAAACCCAAAAAAAGCCAGGCCATATCTTGTTTGTACATGATAAGTGTGTATGCCACGGCCCGTGTTCAAACGCGCAAAGCAAAATTCAGAGCCGCGTCCGTCGATAGATGTTGTCGCTCCCAATATGTCTTGCCTGGTAAACGCCGAAACTGCCCGTTGCTCCGAGAGGTGATGCAAAAAGTGGAAGCAAAGGGAGAAGGAAAAGAAGTATTCAGGTACAAAAGAGCTTATGTTTCTTTATGTCATCGTATCGTCTCATAAGCCCAGCATGCTCATCTGCCGTCGGACGGGACTTGCGCTCACGCTACCCTCCTCGCTGGGGTAGTAGGCGCTGTCCTGGTCAATGTCCCAGCAGTTGTCGTCCTCGTCCTGCGACGGCGCCCCGTCGGTAATGCACTTGGTGTCAAACGGCTTCTGCGCCGCCGCGCGGACGTTCCAGCGGAGGGTGCGGCTGATGCTGTCGAACCACTCCGTGTCTGTGCGGGTCACGGTGGGGAAGGGGTACTGGGACGCGGTGATGGTTACGTGGTCGCCTTGGCGCAGCTCGATTCGGCCTTTACCGTCAAAGGCGCAGTACGCCGTGGCCCGCGAGTTGCGCGGCACGGCGACGCGAAGCGCCATGGTATCCGAGAGGACCATGGGGCGGAAGGACAGGGTGTGCGGGCAGATGGGCGTCAAGAGGATGGCGGGAATGTCTGGGTGAACGAGCGAGCCGCCGGCAGAGAGGGAGTAGGCCGTTGAGCCCGTCGGCGTGGAGAAGATGCAGCCGTCGGCTTGGACGACGGTGAGGAGTTCGTCGTCCCCGTACAGCTCCAAGTTGGAGACGTAGGGGGATGGCCCACGGTCAATGACGAGCTCGTTGAGTACCTCGAACTGCTCGCCCTCGCCCATCTGCTGGCCGCGGGAATCGTGCCGCCACACTGTACAAGTGAAGCGCATGCGCAGGTTGATCTTCATGCCTTCGTCGCCCATGACCCGGTTCAGATGCTCTTTGTACTTGTCAAACTCGAAAGTCGTCATGAATCCCAGGCTGCCGAGGCTGAAGGACAGAAGCGGCGGGACGACGCGTTGGAAGAGCCAGGACGTGAAGAGCACCGTGCCGTCACCTCCCAGCGTCAGGACCAAGTCGAACCTCTCGGGCTGGCTCCAACAGAGGTCGGGCGTCCAGTACTTGAGCATGTTCTCATAGCGCACATCTTGTGCGAGGATGCCCGGGGCGTCGAAGCGCTTGGAACTGCGAAGCTTGGCGTCGACGAAGACATTGACGCCGACGTCGGATCCGTACCGAGGGGTGCGCAGGAGCCAGGCGGCCAGTTCGCGGGTGAGGTGGACGAGCTGGTTGTCGCGGGCCTTGGTGACAATCATGACGTTTCGGACTGCGCGTTTGATGGGCCGGCGTTGCAGCTGCTTGGAGACCTCGCGAACGCCGGTTGCGGTCTGGACGAGGCGCGAGTGGGACATGGACTCGTCGTTTTTGATCTCCTCAAGGACCTTTTGAATGTCGACGGCGTCGTCGAAGCGCTGATGGTAGAAGCAGGGCGACTGCAGAACGGTCAAGGCGGTCGAGGGCGTGGATTGCCTCTTGGCCAAGTCGTGCAAGGCATCGGCCAGGCGCATCGGGGAGGCGGCGGATCCGGACGGACCGGTGCGAACGCCATTTTGGGACATGAACATGCTGTCAAGAGGGAGGGCCTCAGGCTTTTTCTTGCGGGCGACCGAGGCAAGGGCCTTGATGATGGTCCGGCGCGGGATGGAGTCGTGCGAGGGAGCACTGCGGCGGTGGCCGTGATGGGGAGCGTGGGCGACGGCAATTGGTGGGGGCGCAGGTCCAGACAAGGTTGAAGCCGAGGACGACTCAGGGCAGCTTCCACCTAGGGCTGGCGTTGCAGTCGGGGGAGTAAGGGAGTCATCGGCGCCGCGAGTGGCCTTGGAAGTGTTGACGGAAAGGGTTCGAGGCCGGTGGACGGCTTTATCATCCGCGGGTTCCGCGTCAGCTAGAACCGGGTGGAGGGCAGTAGGGGATGCGATTGTCATGGCGCAATGGAACGGTGGCTGCAAGCCAGGGGCGTTGGATAAGTGGAATGCCAAGCGCCGACAACCAATGGCGACGGGCCGAGAGGAGGGTCGGCAATAAGGATCTCGCTACGTTGATGCGACGCGGAAAAGATGGGCTAAGATGCAAAGTGCACACAGCGTCCAAAGTTTCAGTGCCACGTCCTGCCCGTCGTTAATAGGCAGAACGGGTTTCAACCGGCTGTCCAACGGTCCAACGGTCCAACGGTGACCTGGAAGCCATTGTCAGCCAATGCTCGATCCAAGCAAGACAGGACAGAGCCGTGCCGCAAGCAAGCCATTGAAGCAGCCGCTGAAGCAGGCGGCGCCGTGACAGCTCATCGCCCCCCTTCCCCTTCTTGTCCAGCTAGTATTTGATTGGGATTGGGGGAGGGGGATGGGGGCTTCTCACCTGCACCACGTTTCTTCAGCCTTCCTCCACCACAGGGCCATGCACGTGGTCGGTCCGTCTGCAGCGGCAGGTAGGCAATGGAGAAAGCGATTGGTGGCTGGCGACGACTTGGCCCGCAAGCTTGTCTGTCCGGATCGAGAGTCGTGGCTGGCCGTCAGATGACGACGCCTAGCTGTCGGTGAGCAACGGCATGGAGGAATGGACGACGCGGGGAGGCGAGACAGGGCCGCGCCTAAATGCGGGGGGGGGAAACAAAAGGAAGAAAATCGATGATGGGGGACAAAGGAAGGCGCGAGCGACCGGCTGGATGTCAGCACCGCATCATGGGCGGGTTGGGGAAGGATGATGATGCACAGCACAGTGAGCGAGAAGAGAAAAAAGCCCGTAAAAACAACAATCGCAGAAGCAGCAGCAACAGCAGTATCAATCCAAAAACGTATGGGGGAAGAAAAGGACGAGAAGACGGAGAAGAATGAGGAGGCAGCGAACAAAAACGCTCATGTATCAATCGGCAATTATCGGCAATCACAAAGAAAGACAAAGCCGAGGAGAACAGAGACAAGCCCGAGAGAGAGGAAACAAGGCAGCCAGCTCTCCCGCTTTCTCCGACAGGCCCCCCTTTCTTCCATTTCTTCTCGATTGTGCGATCAACGCTCCAGGGGATCAAACCCTCCCCAGCATCGCGGTTACAGTCACCGTGGGCTCACTTACAGGCAGACAGGGGAGGCTGGGACCTGAGACGCTCCCGTGACTCTCCCCCCCCGTTCCGACACTGACAGGGACGGACGTTGTACTGGGCTCCGGTCGGACTCGACTGGCTCATTGCGTTACTCCGTCATGAGTTTCGAGCCGCATTCCTCCAAGTGAGACGTTGCCGCCGTTGCCGAGCTTGCACAGGTTGCCCGTGTGGCGGGCGACACTGTGAATTCTCGCGTTTCCAGTATCAAGTAGATGATGATTGTGTATTTTCATGGCCCTAGAGCCGAGGACACACAAGTGAGTGTCGCGGGCTGCCTCCGGCTACAAGTAGTCTGTGCATGAGCCCGGCTCGACATGCCGACATTTTTCATGCCTCCGGCCCATCAGACGGTCAGACATCTGCAGAGGGCCCCCCCTGACACGCCCTGGGCAGTCCTGAGGTCAAGATGAAACGCCGCCCTTAACCTACTTCCCTATAGAGGCAACGGCTAGATGCGCCATACCCGAGGTGCCGCCACTTGCCCAAGCCGGTAATGCTGCGGTTCTTCGGGGACAACCGAGACGGACACCCCCATCGGACACATGGAACCGGCGCCTATTGGCCATTGCCCATCTCCCGCCCCTTCTGATGCCGACTCTGTCATGCATATGAGGTGAATCTTGCTTCATCCCGCGTCATGCTCCAATTGCCCTGGCAAGTGGCCCTGCATAGGGCTTATGCCCATGCTGCTCCACAGGCAGATCGGCACGTTCAAGATGCTTCTCGTCGCAGTTTCGCATCATTTCCAGTACAGCCCTGTCGACACCTTGGTTTCCATGGTGGATCGGATGAATGCCTTGATGCTCTGCGACTCCAACCCACCGGCAGCCATGGCAGTGTCGGGGCCCAGGTCGGGGCCTTGGCAGCATACAGACCGCCCAGCCTCGAGAATCTTGTCCCACTCCTGGACCGTGAATGAGCCGGAGCACTCCGCCAAGAGAAGCTCATCGTCCGAGGTGAAACCAAGCACATGGATGGACCGGGCCTTGTCTGCCTCGGCCAGGCTCGGGTCGACGAGAATGCCGTCCTTGCCGTCTACCCCCATGGCAAGTGTCGTGGCCGTAGCAATCGTCTTGAGCGGGATGGCTGCACTCATGAGGCCCAAGATTGAAGCGTGTAGCAAAGCCGGGATGATGGGCAGGTTCTGCATGCGATTATGAGCCGAGGCACGCCATTAATCGACGACGAGGAGTGCGTGCGACTCACCAGTTGGGCCTGAAGCAGCTTCGTATTAACGTAGGCATTCTCTGGCATCTCCATGACCTGGAGGGTGACCTGGATCATGCATCTGGGGAAGTTGCGGACGGGGATGAGCTGTCGAAGGGCTGGCTGTAAGATGGACTCAAGCTGCCTCTCGGCCGTACCTGGTTGAAGGGGGTCAGATACGGGGTTGAATACTGATGCAAGGATTCTATCAATGCATACCTCCAACGCCCGCGGCCGGCCGTACGGTGACATCGACAAGAGCCTCGAAAGCGTTCTCGTCGCGCCTCGGGGCTTCGATGGGCCCGTTGACGGCAGAGGTGACGGTGAAGCCCGAGTGCGAAAAAGTTGCAGAGCCGTCTGCCTTGGGCAGGTGAGACAACTCGGCCGCCGGCTCAGCTGAAGGAGCCATTCCGGAGCCGTCTCGCTCGCTTCACGGGCCGCCGGTGGTGGGAAATTTTGCTTCGGCGACGGTGGCGGATGGCGAGGTGGAACCAAAAGCCGGCCAGGATCTGAACGGAGGTGCGGATAGTTACAAGGGTAATTACAAAGTACGGATACGCGGAGTCGATTCCGCCGGATCCTGCGTTAGTAAGCCCAGGCACCAGCAAGTGCCAGCATGCGATAAGTGTCAGCTACTTCGACTTTGCGTGTAAGTCGGGCTACCAGCCGAGGTAGCAGATACTTCTAGTCAGGCGGGAGACGCCTTGAGGATGGCTCGAGTGTCCATCTCGTCTCTCCTCTTCAACCCATCATCATCATCACTCGTTTCCTGCCCCGAGGCTCGAGCTCACCTCATGGCTTCCAACACTCCGTCACCCCATTTGCGCGAACCGATTTCTGCGGGCCCCAAACTCAAGGACCAGATCCCCAAGCTAGAGCCTCGCAAACGGCGACCCGAACCCTCAAATCCAACTCCAGTCCCCGAGACTCCCGTCCTGCCCTCGCCACCAGACACATCGCACTGGTCGTTCAAGGTACCGACGAGGCGAATCATCTCCCCCAAAGACCATGGCCTCTTTCTCTCCTCCCCAGCCAACAGCCTCGTCAAAGCTTGGGTGTTCGGGCTGTCAGAAGCCGTTGTCGATACCCCCTGTTCTGCCGTCAAGGAAGATGGCCTCAGTGCAACGGTACAGGCCCTCCTGACGATACTGGATGAGGCCCGCGAGCTCATCGCCAAATCGCCTCCAGACGACCAGGGGGGCTCACGGTTTGGGAACAAGGCCTTTCGAGGCTTTCTGGATCTCGCCAGGAGCAAGTGTACGAGGTGGCACAACATGCTGGGGCTCGTCAATGACGATGCCATCGCCGAGGCATCTGCCTACCTGAATCAATCCTTCGGAAACCGTAACCGCATCGACTATGGCTCGGGCCATGAGCTCAACTTTATGATGTGGCTTCTTTGTCTCTACCAGCTTGGCCTGTTGCAGACGACAGACTTCAAGCCCCTCGTTCTCCGTGTATTCCTGCGCTACCTGGCCCTGATGCGCTCTGTCCAGATGACCTACTACCTGGAGCCCGCCGGATCCCACGGTGTTTGGGGCCTGGACGATTACCAGTTCCTGCCTTTTCTCTTCGGCGCAGCTCAACTCCTCCATCACCCATTCATCACCCCTCGCGCCATCCACCAGGACCTCACCATCGAGGAGTTTGGCAAGGACTACATGTATCTTGGCCAGATTGGCTTCGTAAACAACACCAAGACCGTTAAGGGCCTGCGGTGGCATAGCCCCATGCTGGACGACATCTCCTCGGCAAAGTCGTGGTCCAAGATTGACGGCGGTATGCGCCGGATGTTTGCTGCAGAGGTGTTGGGCAAGTTGCCGGTTATGCAGCACTTCTTATTCGGCTCATTGATTCCCGCCGCAGCCGGCATGAGCGAGGAACACCCAGATGCGGCTGCGGACGACGACGGGGACGATGATGGGACCGCTGACGCAAGACAACATCCCGGCCACTCGCACGATGGTACGGGTTGGGGAGACTGCTGCGGGATCAAGGTTCCCAGCAGTATTGCGGCGGCTCAAGAGTTGAAGAAGGGAACCGGGGGAGAAACCTTGCGGAGAATTCCATTCGATTGACGGGAATCACCACGAGGTGCCTGGGCAGAGCTTGCACGAAGCTCGTGTCTGGCGGCGCACACTCATCGGCCAGTCTGCGAAGAGTTATGCCTGGGAGTTTCTCGCAGCCCCCAAGCGTGTTGCTGTGCCGTCCATGGAAGCTATTCTCCCCCCTGGTCCGGTCACGGGTGAATGCGATGGGCCGCGTGTGCTGGAATTCGAGCCGGACGCCCGTCGCTAGACCCGTCGTTGCAGGGGCACCGCTCACGCGCGCCCCGGACAAGTCCCGGGCACATGCGCCCTGCACCCCGGGCATAGGCGCAAACAAGGGGGCTATGCCTTGAAGAATACGAGGATATTTCGGGTATGTCGATGCTGTACATGGGTCATAGGGCCCTGTCCTTCTTCGAGAATGCACACGTGGCGGCGTTCCGTACCGTTCTTTGTTTCCCATGGTCGTCAGCGACTGGGATCACGACCAACCGCCAAGGATCTCCGGACGCCGGTGATGAGTATTGGCGCTAGCGTGAAGACGCCCCGGCAGAGCTGGTGAGACCAATTGTGGAGCCGGCATGGAGTATCCGGGCATTTGGTCGGAACCAAAGTTCTGGAAGGCATCATAACTATTAAACCTTGCCCTGTCATGCATTCGCATATTCAATGACTAAGATTACTTCGTTCAATTTTCTGCATAACTGTAGTAGCTCTTGCTGGGTATAACTGGCATGGACTGCGGGAGAATGAGATTTTCCGGTCCCGACGTCCTATCCATCGGCTGGAGGCTGTCGTGGGTGTCTGAAGCGACGGTGATTCATCTCGTTACGGTACCGAGGACGGGCATTCGCACATCTTTGCGGCTCCGGGCTTGAACATCCAGCTCTACTTTTATTGGAGCATCCTCCGCTCCGCCTGGTCATCGCATATCAGTCGGTGCTGGATGCATGAGCCATGGAGTCAAGGCCCGATCACCGGTTCGACCCCTTTGGACCCGGTGCAGATGCCTATGGCGACGACAGACCCGACCTGGGCGGCCCCGATTACAATGATCCGGCCACTCTCGCCCAGCTAATGCATCCGGACATGCCCGTTCCAACCTACAAGTCTCCGGCCGACGTCCGCCGCGAGGCCCAGCAGCGGTCCAGCAGCATATTCGCTAGCTACCATAGACTGCAAGCCATCCTCGTGCGTCACGAGGCCACGATCCAGAGGCGCTGGGCAAAGAAGAAGAAGCAGCAGAGACTCGAAATTCTGCTGAGTGCCTGGCCCGGCATGGCCAAAATGCATCGTCCGGACTTCGAGGCGTTCCGCAAAGAGTCTATCCAGTCCAAGCACCTGCCCACAAGCTACAAGGACCGCTTCATGTGGGCATACATCAATCAAGAGGACCTGTCGACGCCGAAGGCTCTGCTGTTGCTTCTCAATTCCAGAGGTCGCTATCATCCCTCCCAGTTCGCTGCCGCCGATGGCGAGGCGATGCATCTCGGCAAGGTAACAATGAGTCTTGTTCCCATCTTTCTCAACGAGCACGTCCTTCTGCTTAACGGGGTCCTCGACGCCAGAGAATATGGCAAATTGCTGGCCTGGGACGATCATCCCGATGCCTTTGACTGGATGCACACGAGAAAACAGTTCTTGCCAGGCGAGGGGCTTCAAATTCTCGAGGCGCAAGAGAGAACCCTGGCCTTTCTCGTGAGCTGCTGCTTGCAGATTCTCCACGACATTCCAGCCGACGCGCTGACTAGCAACGAATTTTCTCCCCAACCAGAGCCGCAACTGAAGAGTGAAAAGGAGACAGACGGGCTCGAATCCCTGGCCGTTATGGCGGCGGAGGCTCCTTATCGAGTTCCCGCGCAGCTCGACCTTGGCCGAATCGAGGCGCTCCTTCGGGCCAAAACATCGGCGGCTGAGGATCACCTTTGGGCCCTGCGAGAGGATCCAGGGTACTTTGCCGAGAGGCTGCTCCAGGTCCGAGAACACCGACAGGAGATGCTTAAGGACGTCTACGGCGATGCGCATCCCGTATTCAGTTTCGGCCGGCAGAGTGTATTTTGGACCCGTGTCGTGAGTAATATGGTGCTCGACGCCCATCTGGAACTTGAGGTCTATTCCAATCTTTGCCAACAGGCCCAAAATTTGCAAGCGCTGCAAGCCAAGCACGCCGCGGCCATATCGCCCATGCAAGACCTGCCCGAGGAGTTCCTGGCGGCCCTGCTCAAATTCCGCTTTTACCTCGACTGGGCAGTCAAGGGACCTCTGAACCAGCTCAAGCACAGCGTTTCTGCATCTCCGCCAATGCGAAAGTTCTTTGTGCGCGAGCCGCCAGTAGATGCCAGCTCCACCATAATTCAAATCAGGTCCAAGTCTGGTGTCAAGATGAACAAGGTCGAAGCTCAACTGACCTGGCTGCTCCGCACGCTGTGGGAAGACGACCGTCAACTCTTCTTGGTGCGCCTGCCTTTGGCTTTGGATGAGCTGGAGCGCCTCTTGATGGCCGAGCCTCAGGCAAAAGAACTTGTATCGGCACACGTGGCCGAAGTCATTGGAAACCTCTCTATCCTTTCGCAATGCTTGAGCCAGCTCGACTTGTACCAGCCGTGGGCGCAGAGCTTTGAATCGAACATGGTGGATCGGGAAGACGGGATCAAGCACCAGTTTGACGAGCAGACCAAGTCGTGGGCTAAGCTGGTAAAGGCTGTTAGTGACAAGAACCTTCCCCGGGCGGCCAAACTATGCGATCCTTCCGACAAGAACTTCTCCTACCCATCGGGAAAGCGTCGGACCAAGGAGGATACCGAGGCAATGCGGAGAGCCGAGCAAAAGCTCGACGACTTCTGGGCCATTGTCGATCGCGTCGTTCGTGTCGAGTGCGGCAACTTGGAGGGTACAGCCCTGGGACATCTTCTGTCACAGCAGCGCACTCTGCAGCGCACGCCGGAATGGGTTGCCGAGCCGGCACCGGCGGCCAAGGGACGAGATCCGAACCTCGACGTCGACTCCATCTACAAGCCACTGTCAACGCTGTATATCGGTCTCACGTACAGGCCGGGGCAAGCCCACTCGCCATTGAAGACAAAGACAAAAACGAGAGGACAGTCATCACAGGAGTATGCCCCTACCGACACGGGCACCACCGCCACTGAGGCAGCTGCTCCGGACTCAATCGCGGTCGACGCTCGCGCGCTCAAGGTGTTTCGGACGCTCTTCTTCAACCCGGCCGTGACGTCATCGCCGGGTGAGATTCCGTGGAACGACTTCACCTATGCGATGACATTGACGGGAATGTTTGCGGCGGAGAAGTTGTACGGGTCTGTCTGGCAGTTCCAGCGGGTGGACGGATCCGACCAGAGCAGGATCCAATTCCACGAGCCGCATCCTCGGGCCAAGATTCCGTTTTTCATGGCCAGGAGGCACGGAAGGAGGCTCAACAGGGCGTACGGGTGGGTCGGGGAGACATTTGTCTTGAAGGGGAAAAAGTAACACAGCGAGCGTGGTATGCCGCGGCGAGAAGAATGTACGAGGTGGAACTTGTTGAAATGAACGGGCGCTGTTTGCCCTCATCACTAAGTATTTCCGGAGTGTTTTTGGTTTAGCTGACCATGGTCCGTTGAGTAATACCACAGATTGGAAGTCCGTGAGCGAGCCTGTCAATCCCCACTCTCTGACGAATCCAGAACCATGGTTCGCGCCGTGTTTGCGCCGTCTCGGTGTTTTCGTGAGTCCCAGGGGCCGACGGTCCATGGCACGGGGTCGGATTCGGGCCATGGGCAGCAGAGATGGGGAGACAAGAAAGGGCGCCCAAGGGAATCAGTTGCGCAGATTTTCTGATACGACCTGTTCCGCAGGAGACGTTGGAGCTTTGCCCCGCCGCCGCTCACCGAGGGCTGCTGCTGCCGCTGCTGCTGCTGCTCCTGTTTGCGGCAGGTCATCAAAAACCCGTCCTGGCGCACTCGAGTTCCATACATCCCCAGAACCCGCGAGTAGGCGCGGCGACCGGTGCCCTGCCGAGCACGCATTTTCCCGGGCCCCGAAGAAGGCGGGCACACTTGGCGCCCAGGCCCATGGTCCGCCGCTGAGCCTCAGCCCTTCTTCACATGTTGACCGGGGGAAAAGGGGGGCGTGCGTTGTGCCAAGCAAGGCCCCGATCAGGAACCGGAACCGGTGGGATTGCGCTCGCCGCCCAGGGGCCCCGGGTCTTCGCATCGAAATGCCCTGCGGTCCGAACGGGAGCGGGACAAGGGGAGGGGCGAGTGAGGATACGAAAAAGACGCCGGCTGTGCAGCTTGTTTGTCGCCCCCTCTCCCCCCCTCGGCACATGGGGCTGTGATGGTGGCCAGGGAGCAGTCACGTCGTAATGGCTTCTTTTCAAGTCTCCTCTTGGCCGGCCTCAACTCGTCATCGGGCATATACGTGCCGATCGAACACCTCCCTGCCCCAAGGGAAGGGCGGAGAAGCTCACCAGGTGTCCCATCTCACAGGAAGCTATGACGACAAGCTTCTCATGCTCTACAGTACGCCCTCACGGGACCATCAACATAGCGTAGAAGATTGGCGAGGCTAAAGACAGGCACGAGAAGCGAGGAAAAGGCACGGTGTTTGTGACTGTCAATAGATTGTGCCCGCTTAGAGGCCAACGCTATCGTCATGCGTAGCCTGCATATGCCACCACGTGAAAACGCTCGCACACTGCGTCCAGTCTTCAGCATCATGCGCCTTTCGTCCATCCACGACGAGATTGTTCCCTTGTTCATCACTTCGTTAAGCCTGCATTGGGTACCGTCGTGCACCTTGGCCGTTCTGGCCACAGGCAGAGTTCCCCTGTCCCAACGCGGCGATCAGCTAGCTAAAGCAATTCATGCATTGCCCATAATCATGCTAGCCGTCTCTCTTTTTTGTCACTTTTTGTTTTGCTTTCCATTAGTCGACGTACGCCGCCCTCAAGGTATCTTTTTAAAAATCATTCCGTAATCAAAAAAAAAGTGCAGACGCAATGCAATCCCGCAATCCGGCGATGCTTGCTGGCGAAATTGAGGCACAATAGAGGAAAAATGGCCACCGTGCCGTAGTGTTGCGTCGTATCGACTCGAACGAATAGGCAGGAGAAAATGATGAGTGATGGTAATCTCTCAAGTCTTCAGTCCTTGCAATGGCATGGGCCCGGTTTCGTCGGGAATTGAGCGTTGCGTAGGAGGCTGGCGCAGGCGATTTGCCACATGAATGTCGATGAGCATCTCGACCAAGGCTTCGGCTTCCCCATGTAGCTCTCCGAGCTCCTCTTCGCTCAAGGTACGGCCCAGCCTGTCTTCGCCTGCCCGCGGTTTGCGGTACGCGGCGAAAACGATGCCGCGATCGATCCTCTCAGACAAGCGGATGCCCGACACGGGGCCGTTGGCGTCAGGACCTCCAGACCTGGTGTATTGACCGGTGTAGAATGCGCTTGCGTAGCCACGTGCCAGATCGTGGCCTTGGGCCTCGAGATTGCGGTACTCAATCCAACCGTCGGAGCGGAGGATGGTAGTGTGCACGAGGGAGGAGATTTGGAGTGGCGAGGGAACATGATGCAGGCCATGAGCGGCCAGAAGCCGACCCATCATTGGCTTGGGAGCCACTTTTGAATCGTCGTTTGTTGCGCCATCGAATTCCGAGCCACCAAGGCCAGTGCTGGCGTGGTCGGGCCACAGGTTCACCACGTAGACCAGGTCGAAGTCGTAGCGTCGAGCAATCCGGGCAGCTTCAAAGGCCGCAACTGCCGCGGGACGGCTGGTGCGCGGGGGCGTCAGGGTCAGCAGGGAGGAGGTGAGGGGCTGCGACGATGAGATGGAAAGGCCCATCGGTGGTAAAGCCGGCTCAGCCTCATCGTTGGATTCCAAAAGCGGGCTCTCAGGAGTCGACTCAGCAATGTCATCGTCGCTGAGATTGAGAAACTCGTTGAAGTCGGGCTCCCGCAGTGTCGAGCTGCAGAAAGAGAGCTGGGCGGAAGGGGCTATGCTGGACTGGCTGTACGATCGGTGAAGGGACAGCTGATCGAACGAATCGCCAAAGTCACTCAGCAGGGCCTTGGAAGCCGATTTTTCGATGGTGTCGAGCGACCGTGAGCCTCTGAGTTGTGAATCGGATACAGGGCCAAACTCGGGGGTTTCTTCTGGAGTAGGAGGGGCTCTGCATGGGATATCCGGAAGCACTTTGGATGGCGGGGCGGACAGGAACAAGCCATTGTCCTCTGGGTCCGAAGAAGGCGGTGTATCCAGTCTGCCTGTTGGAATGGCTATCTCGAGAGGGGACCGGCACCGAGGACTTGGTAGTTGAGGAATCTCGAGTGGCTGAGAGGTGCACGCCGCAGGAGCGGGGGAGCTTTCGTCCCGACCAGAGGGTTTGGGAAACTGGAAGTCGCGCAGGCCGGCAACAATGTGCTCGACACGACGGTTGCTGAACGAAGGAGAACGAGTGGGCATATGCTTGGGGCGGAGCGGGCTGTCGGGTTGCGCGTGCGAGCCCATGCGTTGCGTGGGCAAAATGTCCGGCACGGAGGGAGAGCGTCCCGCAGCTTGCCTGAGGCGCACCTCATCGCGCGCTGCCATTCGAGTAGTCTTGGGGCGAATGAAGGAAGGCGAAGGAAACTGGGGCTCCGAAAATTGGACAGCATTGCTAGGCTGAGGGCCTGGGCCTGGAGAAGCTCGACGCTTGTAGGCGAAGAGCCGCTCGAGGCGGTCCAAGCCGTTGGTCATTGAGGCGGCGGACAAGAGTTGAAAGATGGCTGTGAAGACGGCAGATGCGCAGGTGCGTTGGCAAGGTGAGGGAGGTTGTTGTGGAAAGTGGACGGCGCCAAAGGAGGGCAAGGCGGGGGAACAGAAGACGAGTTTGCGTGGCGAATGGGTTGGGCGGTCAAGGGGGACTGAGTGTGTGTGGGTGGCAGTGAAAAAGGCGGGCAAGTGCCGGTGAGTTGACAACTGGTTGCCGTGATCGTGGGGTAGGTCAGGTGGCGGAAAGCAGACGAACGAACAAGCCGTGACGTGGTGGTAAGAAGTCGGTCGGAATGATGGCGTGCTGGATCTTGGGACGCGTGGGATGAAATGCAGATGCGCTCGTCTTTGTATCACGACGGGCCTGAAGCCACGAGGGCGGTGGCGGTGCGAGCCGAGGGTTGTCGATTGGTATGTGTCGAGGGAGGTCGAGGCCGCTCGAGATGGGGACCGAGGCGCAGGCCGTGGAGAGCAGGAGGAGGCGAGAGACAGAGACAGACAGCTGGTACTATTGGCCTCGAGCGCGCCGTGTGGGTGGGCGATGAATTTGGGCGATGAACGTGGGCGATGTATGTGGTGTGGGTGGTGTGGGTGGTGTGGGTGGTGAGCCTCACGGCAGGCAGGAGGAGGAGTGTGTAAGTGCCGCGGTTTCCTAATTGGGCTGCTGCGTCGAAACGGTCGGCTCACTGGACACGAGGGAAGGAGGGGCCTGGATAATGAGCAGGTGCCAAGAAGGGGAGGCGGGCGTGGCCAACAGCTTCTTTTTTCGTCCCTCAGTGTTTGAAGTCCCGGCAAGCATCCAGAGGGGTTTCCCTCGTCGCCTGGGAGAGGGGGCCGAGGGAGTCTTTAAGATGCGGCGAGAGTGACGAGGGGCTGACATCAAAAAGCAAACAAGCTCCAGCCAAGCTCCAGCCAAGCCAGCCTCCGCTCTACGGCCGAGCCCGAGGGTCGTCGGCTAGTCCACGACACTCGTCCATCGGCCGGACCCAAGACCTGGCACCCACAGACGTTGAGATGACAGGGATGACAGGGATCACCGGGCTCTCGGACGCCCAGGTGCATAATAACAACGGGCCCAGTCGAGCTCGCATCCTCCCTTCTCTCTCTCTTGCGCCGGCTCCTGCTAACTCGTCTCGCCCTCTAGGCTCTCCCTCGCCCTCTAGGCTCTCCCTCGCCCTCGCCCTCGCCCTCGCCCTCGCCCTCCTCCTGTCTCTCTCTGTCCAGAGAGCGGGCTGTGTGCGAGACAGGCTCTTTGAGAGCAGGCCATTGATTCTTTCAAATGGATCAGCAGCGGGGCATCGCGGCAACCATCCATCCATCCACCCATCCATCCATAGTCACCACCAAATTGCCCAACCAAACAACAGTTGCCCGTGGCGTGCCGTTCCTCGGCTTCATGGCGTCAAAGGGCTCGCCTATGATGAGGGTCGCTTTCTTTTTCGGCAACATCGTGTCGTCTTGTATTTTTCATATGATTACTAGCGACGAGGCAGGTGACGAGGCGGCATGCCAAACCCTCTCCTGTTGCTCTTCTCTCACCTCTCACATTTTCCTTCTGCCATGGCACCCCCATTTATGTATGCGACCAGTTAGTTGCACGGCTGGCCTGTCTTGTGCATACACACACACACACTCACATACTCACACACACGCGCACACGCGCACACACGCACACACGCACACACGCACACACGCACACACGCACACACACACACACACACACACACACACACGCACACTCAGACACACACACACACGGAGCATTTCACCCTACTTTGCCTACCTGGTCTACCGTGGCTCGACTCGCGCACAGTATGCGAAAGTCGACACGTTTTCTTGGCCTCCCACCCCCCACAAACCTGGACACGCGCACTGCAGATTGTACTGGCGGCTACGCCGTGCGGCAAAGCAGAAAAGAAAACTGCTGCTCGTGCCCCGCATGTGTTCGTACATACGCGGGCTCGTGCGTCCCGGTCCTCCAAGTTCAAGTTCGCCCATGACAGACGCATCTCAGACAGCGGCGAGACACTTGGCATCAGTGGCGACCTGGGCCCCAACATGCTTCATTCTCGACAACTGCAGTTGTATGTCGAAGCCGGTTGAGGGTACGCCGCTGTTTCGAGGCAAACCCCAGTCACTAACAGACACCACGCGCGGCTAGGCATGGATCCGAGTGCTGGCGCGGCCGCCGGACTAGCTGCCCTGTACTGTACCGTCTTCTATAACCCATGACGCGAGCCTTGGAGGAGTTGGAATGTCCAAAAGCAAAACCTGCGGTGGGAGCGCAAGCTGTCGCGGCGGTCCGCCTTCTCGAAAGAGGCTTGACGAGCTGACTACGAATTTAGACACGCTGGCAGGGTTTCCCCCCATCCCCGGCCTGCACGTATACATGCACCGCATCGCCACCCGTGATAACCAGTTTACAAAGCAAGGCCTCGCTACCACAGACAGCCTCTCTGCGTCAGCCGAGAGCGGGGCGCCTCTGCAGCCTGCGCCTAACGCGGCCTCGAGCGCAGCGTTTCATTCCGCCTCGGCCTCAGTCCAACAACCGGGCCCTTGGGATTTTGCCAGAACTTTCCATCCTTCTCCCGGGCGCCCAGATGGTCGCTCTCTTGCACCGGGCGAAATCCCGGGCTAGGGAGGGCCTCCTTGTGTCGATAATCCAGACTACTCGGTAGTATGACTCCACCCGACAGCATGACACTTCGAACTCCTCTCAACCAGCTCCACAGCGGTGGTTCCCGTCCGTCACTATGGGCGGGCTGTGGCGGCCGACTCGAGGCGCACGGCCCTCGCTCAACACCACCATATATATCCGTACGGAGTACATACGTCTTGGCTCATGGCCACCGTTTGGCTTCTCTCCTGCAATGCTCTGTGAGATATGCTTGACTCGTCCGTCGCGGTATCACGGCCAGATTGTTATGAGTCGTGCAGCAGAAACAGTGCAATATATCTTTTGCATTGTCTGATTGCTCTTTCTGCCCTCTTCTGCTGTCTCAGCCGCTCGGGCTCCCAAGGCTCTGGTTCTACTGAGGGGGAGAGGGAAGGCTCTGCCCTGCTTTGGCCCCGGGAGGGGGAGTGTTGATGCCGGCTAACGGTATGTACATACCCCCCAGACAGGAGCCATGCGGAGCAGAGGCATTGCTTCTTCTGTTCGCCAAAACGTCAATGGCCTCGCCCATCTGCCTTGCATATGCCCCATGCAGCTATATCAACCACATCCAGGAAAGGTTATATTGGACCGAGGGGTGGGCGGGGGGTGACGCCGCGTCTTCAGGACAATATACCCCTTGTGCTCGAGCACATGGTGTCTGCACAAGCCTACCCAGGCTCCGTATTTTCTCCGAGTCATGGCAAGATGGAAGCTGGTTCTTGACACCCACAACACAAACTACTCCGCAAACTATACTCCGTAGTCGCCTGCGGAAACGCGGGGCGAAGTAAAATGGATGCATCTGCCATCTTTCCTCCTTCCTGCCCTTGTTTCCTCTTCCATCCGGACCATGAATTGGCATCCATCACCTGTCTTGCTCACGGGGACCTCCAGTTCCCTCAAAGACAAGGAGCCAAATTCGGAGCAGAGATGAAGCAGGTGGAAAGAGGAAGAGCAAAAAAAAAAAAAGAAGAGGGCCATGCGGCTTGGACGAAGGGTCCCATCCAGAGACGGCTTGGAAGACCAAAGGCCGGTGCGCTCGGGTGCAGCAACCGCAGCCGCCGTTCTCTCGCTTTCGCCGCCCTACCTTCGCGTCACTTTGGTGTGGCACAGCCGACTTTGCTTGTTTTCCCCGCCAGCCGATTCTAGAGATCCCCTCCCCTCTATGTCACCGCCAACATCGGACCCTGCAGATCGCATTTTGAGCTGCGTTGAAGCTGCTGTTTCGGAACTGTTGGAAAAAAAAATCTTTCCGCACGCAGGGACTGACACTGGCTGCCACGTTCCGTTCGCATAACCATCTCTCAAGGACACCTTCGAATAGGAGCATTGTGGCCGGAATTACGAGTTGCTTCACTCGACGAGGCCCATCGGACGGGAGCCTTGGGCTTCTCTGGCAGGTGAGACAAAGAGATCCTGTGTCCGCGTGTTATCGTCGTCGCCCGACCCGTCCGGGCTGATTGCGACTGCGCCGACCCGATGAAAGGAGCATGCCGAGGTATGATCAACACCCTGCGCCATGAGCCAGAGCGACGGTTCCCAGGCAAAGAAAAAGCAACCAGACGAGCCTAGGCTTGCGGGAGCCAAGTGACAATATCCATCTCCTCATTAGTTAGTCGGCGGTCGATTGGCTTGTGCGGGCGACCTTCCCCACAGCCTGGCTCTCCCTGCCTCGGGCAAGCTGATTCCTCTCGTCCGTGCTGTCCGGCGCTCACAATGTTAGCTCCGATATCGTGTCAAACATTTTTGCGACAAAGGTCCATGGGCGCGGCTCGAGCCCTCCTGTCGCAAAGTAATGAAATGCCATTTCTCAGGCATGGCAAAATAACACCCATCTTTCGCTCGCCAACCATCTCCACAGTCCACACCACCATCTGGACCATGGTTCGTCTCCTTCTGGCCCATCCAGACGTCATTCATCATCTGCTGCCCTCGCGCGAGACCGCCACGTACATAGCGGCTGCGGAGGGACGGGGTAGCGAATCCACATATTGGGACGCAGTCACTTGCAGCCCGGGTGCTGCCCTGAGCGTGACCCGCAGATCGAGTGAATCCTTTATGGCTCTCCCTCGCTCAAGCTCATATTGCGCGATTTAAGTATTGGCTCTCGAGGGGGGAATACCACGGCAAGAGCTGAACCTAGAGACTGCTGGCTCGAGCACTCTGGCGTGTCTCGATTCAACCCTCGACTCAACCATTGAACCATGTCTCCGGATGACAGCAACCCCCCAAAAGGGGTTCATGAGACGATCCTTGGGCTGCATGATGATGTCTGTTGGTTCTCGTCTTCTACAGCGGTCTGCTACAGCGGCGCGAGGCGATTTGGCGGTATCCTGGCTTGTCTTTCCCAAATGTGCTTTCGTTGGTTCCAATATTGTCGTCTTGTGCTGACACTGTCCGCAAGGGGAGGGGGGGCCAACGGGTGATCATACCGCACCTCCCTTCGTCTCGTCAACGGGTCATAGCCGGAGAGTCTGCAAGGTGATGATGCTGGAGATGGCGTCCTACTATCCCAAAGGCGCGGGATGGAGCTCCCACACCTGTCAGAGATGGGCATATACATGTCCTCTTAAGCGTGAGCCTCATGGAGAAGGTACCATGGCACAGGCTCGACCTCGGCCAAAGGCACTCAGTCATCTTTTGGAGATGCCTCGGAGCACTCATATCGCCGACTCTCCGCATGACCACGAGCTGGGTCAAAGATGATGGGTCAGTGGTCTCATTGGCAAGCGAAAGTGAACGCTGGTGGTGGTGGCAAGTGTCGCTGTTCTTGGTAGGCCTGACGACGGTCCGGCCCAGTGGGAATAGGCCGCACAATGCTCATCATCGACGCAGAGGCATCTCTGTTGCAAACACGGATTGGAGAGACTGCTTCCAACTCTCAGAAAAAGGGGATTTGGCAAAGGGATGTATTTGGGCTCTTGCGAATGGAGCATGTGAGCATGCCATCGGTGCCTTGAGGCTGTTTTCGGTGAGGGCACAAGACTGAGCGAAGCATGAGACGAGATGTTAAAAAGATTAGACATGGTCTCCGAGCCAACATCAAGCACCCCCGCGGCTACCGCCGCCTTTCGTTGCAGGACATGGGGCGCCTCATCGCATCACAGCTTGTAGGAGCCAGAGTCGCCGTCGATTTCTCCAAAGAGACCAATGAAGGCATTGTGAACCTCGTCGGTCAGGTCACTCGCCTGCAGACTTCGACCCCTCTTGAGAAAGGCCAGCCGAGAAGATTCCTATGCCCCTGAGGCGTTAGCTCTTTGCGTCCTCTCGATTGGACTTGGCCTCGCTTGTGCGACAGAAGGAGGCAAATATGGACAGTGGATATTGAAAGGGGGGTTTCTTGCCCTCGTGATTGCGCTCCCCCCGAAAGCCGCGAGTCCCATCATCTCGTCGGCCGATAGGCGATCGTCACCAGTGTCCCAAATGCCGTCTAGGTAGGCCTTTCGCCAGCCGAGAAACGTCGCTACCGACCCGGTCAGGGTATCGCCCTGGCCGCCGCTCCTCTTCCTGCCCCCCTCGAGGTCGTCGGTCAAGGTGGACTTGCCGTTGGAGATGAGGTCAGCCTTGCCCTTTTGAATAATGGTCACGCCGCCCAGTGCCTTGGCCATGGCCTCGACTTTGCCCGTCTCGCCGGCGGCCCCGTCCTGCTGCTGCTGCTGTCCGAGCTTGAGCGAGTCCCAGAGCCGGCCAAACTCGACGACGTTGGGCGTCAGGACGGCGCCGGCGTACCCCCTGACCAGGTCCGGGTCCCGCTGCACCAGCTGCAGCGCGTCGGCGTCGAGCACGACGGCCATGTCCCTGTCGCGGGCGGCGCGCACCACCCGGGCGACGGTGGCCTGCATGCGCGGGTCGCGCCCCAGCCCGGGCCCGACGACGAGGACGTGCAGGCGCGGAAGCATGTCGATGATGCGGGCCGCGTCGTGTTCTGCGTCGCCGTCATGGTTGGGGTCCTGCGCTGAGGATGAGGAAGAAGGGGATTGCCGCATCAGCGGATGGACCATTAGGTTGGGCGAGTAGGTCTTGATGACGGCGCCGGCTTGCGGTGTGCAAATGACATGGGACTGCGTGTAAGAAAGCCCCCGTCAGTTTCCTCGACATCATCGTGAACGTCCACCCGCGCCCCCAAGTCGAGTCGTGTCAGATCACGGCATCGGCACGCACCATGTCGCATCCCAGCCTCGCGCTGGCCATGGCCGAAAAGTACGGCGCCCCCGTGTAGTCCTCGCTGCCGCCAATGACGGCGATGCGGCCCAGCTGCCCTGCGCCGCGCCGCTCAAGTCAGTCAGCGAGCCTTTTTTTCTTTTTCATCTCCCTTCATCTCATCCTCATCCTCCTTCTTCTTCTTCATCTTCTTCCTTCCCCGCGCCGCCGTTTCATGGCTGCTTACCAGCGGCACCCCCGGCTCCGTCGTCAGACCCCGGGGAGACACCTCCCCCCCTGCGAGAAAATCATAAACGAAACAAGAAACACGAACCCTTGTGAAACTTGTCCAGCATGGGCGGGATCATCCTCCGCACCCTGCCCAGCACGTCCCGAGTTGCCGCGGACATTTCGGGCGCCGGCGCCTGGTCCCTCGCTGACATGGCGGCTCCAATCGCCCGCGCCGTGCCGTACTGTCGCTGCTCCTCGTGATACAAGGGAGCTCGAAATGAAATACCGAGAGCAGGTGACGCTCATGGGGAAATCTATCCAGGCCTGTGTCGGGCAGGTCGAGGTGGGATGCAGTTCCGGTGCGGACCGCTGGGGTGGTTCGATGAGCTCAGCAACCCTTACATACACATGATGTCACGGGATGCTCGTCACGGGAAGCTCTGAGGCTGCAAGACATGGCGTATCAACCATCCCGCCACTTTAACTTGACCACATTCGCACACCGGCACACAAACCCCTGGCATACTATATACTGTATGGTCGTGTACGGGCCTCCGTAGTATCGGAGACAAATGAAAATCGCGGGCGTTGATTGAGTAATGAGCTCTATTTTTACATGTGGTGGTACGATCGGCGAACCCCCCAGAGTCACCCATCGCGTCCGTCGGAAACCCTCTCTTGGCTGACCCCGACTCGCCTCCATCGAGGACGGCTACATAACTCCGATATAGACAGCAGCATCTCCAGCAGCTCTTGCTCCAAAACTTGTGAGGAGATGTGTGATTACATGATTAGCCGAGGAAGCTCTTGATGAACGCCGGGGTAATCTCCTTTAGCTTGGCCTCGGTCTCCTTGCTGATGGAGCCCTCCTTGTCAAGAGTTGCCAGCAGCTCAGACTCGTTGGCCTTCAGGTGGGAGAGGTAGTCGGCCTCCCACTGCAGAACCTTGTTGACGGGGATCGGGTCGAGATACCCGTTGACACCGGCGAAGATGAGGGGAACCATCTCGTTGACGGCCATGGGAGAGTACTGCTTCTGCTTGAGGAGCTCGGTCAACTGTGGCAGGGCAGTCAGTAAAAGTCACGGCGGCCTCGGCGCTCGACAGAAACTTACGCGTTCACCTCGGGACAGGGTCTGCTTGGTGGCGGCATCGAGATCGGAACCAAACTGAGCAAAGGCAGCAACCTCACGGTACTGGGCCAAAAAGAGCTTCAGGGAGCCAGCGACTTGCTTCATGGCCTTGAGCTGGGCGGCGGATCCGACACGAGACACGGACAGACCGACGTTGATGGCGGGTCGGATACCCTTGTAGAACAGCTCGGACTCAAGGAAGATCTGGCCGTCGGTGATGGAAATGACGTTGGTGGGGATGTAGGCAGACACGTCACCGCCCTGGGTCTCGATGATGGGCAGGGCCGTCATGGAGCCACCGCCGTGGTCCTTGTTGAGCTTGGCGGCACGCTCCAGCAGACGCGAGTGCAGGTAGAAGACGTCACCGGGGTACGCCTCACGGCCGGGGGGGCGGCGCAGCAGCAGTGACATCTGACGGTAGGCAACGGCCTGCTTCGACAGATCGTCATAGACGACCAGCGAGTGCTTGCCCGTGTCTCGGAAGTACTCACCTACAGAAGCCCCTAGCAAGACAAAAATGGTTAATATTTGGGGCAGAAGATGTGCGGTTCAAAGTATAAGGCAGGGAAGACTCAAGGGGAAGGGGAAAAGGAAATTCTTACCGGTGAAGGGAGCAAGGTACTGCAGAGGGGCGGCCTCGGAGGCGGTGGCGGCGACGACAATGGAGTACTTCATGGCGTCGTTCTCCTCGAGCGTCTTGACGAGCTGGGCGACGGTGGATCGTTTCTGGCCGACGGCGACGTAGACACAGTAGAGCTTCTTCTCCTCGTCGTTGCCGTTGTTCCATCGCTTCTGGTTAAGGATGGTGTCGAGGACGACGGCCGTCTTGCCGGTTTGACGGTCACCGATGATCAGCTCACGCTGGCCACGGCCGATGGGAACCATGGCGTCGACCGACTTGAAGCCGGTCTGCACCGGCTGGTTGACAGACTTGCGGGGCAGAATGCCCGGGGCCTTGAGCATGGCACGGCGCTTCTCCGTGGTCTTGATGGGACCCTTGCCGTCGATGGGGTTACCCAGAGCATCGATGACACGGCCAAGCATTTGAGGGCCAACGGGAACGTCCACCTGGGGTACGTGTTAGCGACTTGCACACGTCCTCATCATCAGATGCCAAGCATCGACTCACGATTTCACCGGTTCGCTTGACGGTCTCGCCCTCCTTGACAAGACGGTCGGAGCCGAACAAGACGACACCGACCTGGCCGGCCTCGAGATTCATGCACATGCCCTTGACGCCAGAGGCGAACCTGAGCCATCGGGGTTAGTGTCTGGTCGCGGTCGCGGGGCTGCATTGGATGTGGCACCACGTACTCGACGAGCTCCTCGGACTGGACGTTGGTCAAGCCATGCACACGGGCAATACCGTCACTGGAAATCCCGACGTCAGCCTTGTGCCCCCCCTAACCTCTTCCAGCCCATCGCGAAGTCCTCTTGTTTGTCGTGAGAAAGGACGTTGCTGATTGCCCAGCCTCAAGTCGAATTTTGGGCTCCACATACCCGACAGAGAGAACGCGGCCCGTCTCGGCGAGACCGGACTCTTCCTGGACGCCGCGGATTCGCTGTTCGAGTATGGACGAGACCTCAGTCGGCGCGGGTTTGGCGTCGGCGGCGTAGGATCGAGCCTGAACATTGATGGCGGCGGGTGCGGCATTTCGGACCTGGCAAAAAGACAGGTTAGCCGAAGGCCGAATCTCACTGTCAAAGCCTGCCAAGCCCCCCAACCCGAGAACACGTCGGGAAGAGACGCCCAAAAGTAGAGCATTCGCTGCTCAGCGACCCAATTGAGCTCCAGAGGCTGTTTTTCGATGGCTGTGGGCAATCTCGAATGGGATTTGGCGGGCGGCTCGAGGCCTCTGCGCAGACTCACCGCGGCGATCCTGCCGGCGGCAGAGACGGCGCCCACGGCGCGCGTGGACTGTCGGAGAGCGTTCCGAAACATGATAGGGAGGCGTGAGAAGGTCCAGATGAAGAGAGGAAGCAATTGCAGCAGGGTGCAACTGGGGAGAGGGGAGATTGGGGGCTGCGATGCTGCCTTTGAGGAGAGCAATGGAGTTTTTTGGGAGGACAGTGACCAGAGCAGAGTCTGTGGAGGGAGGAGGTGGAGCGGAGCTGACCGGGCCGGCCAATCAACGGGCCACGCGCGGTTTTGCCTGCAAATTCCGAGGCATGCTCCCCTAGCAATTTTCCGCGGCCAGCCTCTGAAGACAGTACTTGGCACAGTGCGAGGGGCCAAAATTGTCACCTGAGGAATCAGCATCTGCAACCCCCGCCTTTGTCCGGCGTGGCCTGGGCGAGGTACGTGCGTGATGCGTGATGCACTATCAGTGCAATTCTGACTTGATGGCCAAAGGGCAAGAAGTGGCGTGGGCTGCACAGTGACACCTACGGAGCACCAAGGTTCGATCCACGCCCGACTCGGCACGCATGCATGCGCCGTGCGGTGGCTCGTGCCGGGGGTTTGCAGACGAACGCACGCTTATTTCGCTCGCCCTCACATGTCCGCCCTCCAACTATGATTCAGTCATGAAGTGCGGATTGCGACGCAAGGGCGGGCTGGTGCCGGGCTTGGGCCACCGGCGCATGGACGAGCAGATATAAAAGGAGCACGTTTACCGCCTTGCTTTGTGGTTGATTACCTTTTCACCTTTTTCCCCTGTAGGCAGATACAACATCTTCTCCTCCAGACAGACAGACAATAGACGGACCCGAAGAGTATAAAACAAGCTATAGGCCCTTATCTAGTAGGACAGATGGTTTTTTAAAAAGTTTCTACCTAAGTTTGAGGAAACTCTCACTTAAGCAGCAGGCAATATAGTATAAAAAGCAGGTTAAGTTTACCTAGCTATAAAATTCAATCGCTTTAGCGCTATAGTTAGTCGCTTGAGACCACGAACACGTCGAGCCTCGCCGCTTAAGAATAAATTGCAATGGGTATCTTAGGTCTCTATCCGAAACGTAGCCTCATGCGCTTTAATTCAGTCCATGCAGTCGTCCAGCTCCCTTTCGTCACACGGATGCCGTGGTGGCTGTTTGCATCTGCCTCTGCACGATCCTCAGAAACGATACCACAGCCATGACCGCCCAGGCATCTCCCAGCTCGCCTGATGCCCCTCGCCCCACGAACTGGAACGCTCCCGCTTTGCTCAAGGACAAGCTCAACGCTGCCTCTGTTCCAACAGCAACGACCTCGTCTTGGTGGCTCAGCCACACCAGCTTCCAGCCGTAAGACTGCTCGCCTAAGCCCCTGACCTCGTCGCCGCGACTGCTGCGCCACTCGAACTTTTCAGGCAGCGAAGTCGAGTCAACCATGGTCACGAATGCGTATGACATGGACCATCCATTGCTTTGGCACCGCAACTCCTCCCGGGTGGGTTGTTGCTCTGGTCGTGATGCTGCTAGCTCGATGCTGTCGTGGAATCCCATCTTTCGGCCACTCCGTACTACAGCCACAGGGGCTGCCTCGACAGTCGGCCCATTATACAGGATAAGCTCGCCATACCAGCCGCCGGGCATGGAAACCAAGCTGCAGGGCTCTGACTTGCTCTCTCCCAGGACCACTTTCAGTCCACTCTTGCCTTTGTAGTACATGTTGAATCTCTCGGGGAGATTGATGTTGGCGAGTCTTGCCTGTCGCAAGCGGCCTTCCACTTGTTTGGACTCGGCCGAGCCCATTGTTGCGGCTGAAGTAGAGGTGGTTGGTGAAGCTCGGATGAGGTTGTGCTCAACTATTCCTGTCGTCGCGGTTTGATATGATGACAAAGGGAAAACGTCGTCGAGCAGAGAATTGATACTCGCTCGTCAAGTGGACCGAGGATTGAGAGGGCGTTCAGTCTTGAGGAGACGCGACTAAGAGTCGAGCAGCCGTCGACGTTATATGTAAGAACAGCAGGGCAGTGAGCTGACATCATTCCACCCCAGTTTCAGGGGCTTCCCTCGCTAATCGCCTTGTGCATGGACCCCCGAGCAAGAAGTCGGGCGATTTGCGACATGCTTCGGCGCTGTGTTGTGCCTGCTGCCTGTTGGACTGCGGCCGGTGGCTTTGGGCTGAGCCACCTGGCCCCACCCGCGCGCCATGTTGCCTGTTTGGGACAGCCGTGCACTCGACGAAATCGTTTGTGCGCTGATTTAAGAGTCTGAGTAACCCGTCCATTGTCCATATACTGTCAAATCTAAGGTACGTACAGTACATGCTGGACTTGCGAGAAAGCATTCGGCGGGGCCGACGAGCCTCACATTGTTCGTGGGCAGGTGTACGGAAGCCGGCGGAGGTGCCGGTCGGTCTCTGAGGCCGTGCTCGACGAAACTCTCGTTCGAGCTCATGTAGAAAGGAACCGGAAATACATGACGGCGTGTTCCTATTTCCCCCTCAAAACAATTCGCCATTGCCAACCGTAAAGACAAAACCCCGCAAACAGCCCTTATCGGACAATGCCGTCGAAGCGCTGCTTGAACCACTTGGTTGTCTCCTCGCGCTTGATGCGGTGGCTGGCACCAATCTTGCTCTTCATGCGTCTTCGGCGGGTGACACGCTCGCCGGGGCGGGTCATGCAGCAGTAAAAGTCCATGCCGTAGATACCGATCGAGGGGTCGTACTTGATGCCGAGATCGATGTGCTCGCTGATGCCGAAGCCGAAGTTGCCAGTCTCGGAGAAGTTGCGCTTGCGCAGTTCGTACTCCTTGACCTTGAGGCCACGCTCAAGGATTTCCTCGGCCTGCCGTCTTGTTAGAGGACCCGACAGCCGGACGCTCTGGCGGCGCAGTCAGGGTTTATTTACCTTGGGGCCTCGGACAGTGACGTGGACGGCAATTTTTTCGTTACGACGGATGCCAAAGGTACGGACGGTGTAGCGGGCCTTGCCTAAGAAACAACATATTAGTCGAGTCCAATTCGGCACTGCATCCATGGGCGCAACATACTGTAGACGGGCGTCTGACCCGACAGCTGCTCGAGCACCTTGGCGGCACGCGTGAGTCTGTCACCAGATTCACCGACGGAAATGTTCAGAACCAGCTTCTGGATCTTGAGCTCCCGCATGGGGTTGTTTGCCTTTTCGGACGCCATTGCTGCGGTGTTGTTAGTCGACAAAAGGCTGAAGCGTCGAGGTTGTCGGAAGGAGGCGGCGCTTGGTATGGGCCGGAATTTTTGTGAGGTGCTTGAAAAAAATCGAGGGTTTTGCTGCCCTCAGGCGAGACGGCCAAAAAGTGGAGAGCCAGACGGCGGCCCAAAGCGGACTAGCGGGTAGCTGGCAGCTGGTACATAGATCCTGTATCTTTCCTGCTCAGCCTTCTGCATCAGGCTCCGCAAAATTTGGACCTTGCACTCACCTCTTTGCAAACGCGCCCAGAGCTTCCATCATCGTCGCGGTCGCGCAAGAGCTCCGCAGACAAGACTTAGTCCTTCGGCCTTTCCCAAGTTGCATTTGACAAGCTCTCAGAGCTTCCTTCCGTCAATATGTCGAACAAGCAGGGGAAAATGGTATGTCTCCCCCCGGCCCAAGGAGATTCAGGGAAGATGCTAATGATTTCTGTGTTTCTCCAGATTGGATTCGTACGTGCCCCCTCTCCGATGCGAGAAGCCGCCGAAGGAGCGGTTTTTCGGGCGCCGATCAGGCGAAGAGTCCTCTTCGAGTTGTAGCTGACCCTTCTCGTGCCAGATCAACTGGCGGATGCGCGTCATTCTCAATGACAGCCGCCACATGACCGGCCAGATGCTTGCCTTTGACAAGGTATGTTGTGCAGATGGAGTGCCGCGACTTTGAGCCACGCAGCTGACTTTTCAAACAGCATATGAACCTCGTCCTCGCCGACACCGAGGAGTTTCGACGCGTTAAGCGCAGACAGACCAAGCCGGCCGCCGCGCCTGGTGGAAAGCCCACCGTCCAGGTCGTCGAGACCGATGAAAAACGAACTCTGGGTCTGATCATCGTCCGCGGTGCCCAGATTGTGTCCGTCTCTGCCGAGTCGCCTCCCCCTGCCGACCCCAGCGCCAGGCTCGGGAAAAGCGCTCCGGGTGGAATCGCCTCTACGCTCACTGCCGGTCCTGGCGTGGCCAAACCCGCTGGACGAGGAGCTCCGCCTCCTTCTTTGGCCGTGGGACTCCACGACTCCTATAGCTCAACCAGTTCTGAGGCTGACAATGATCAGGGGCCTGCTGCCGGTGTTGGTGGTGGTGCCATGCCCCCCGGCTTCCCCAACTTTCCAGGGTCTTCCGTTTTTACGCGAGGAGGTACGTGAATGTTTGCTGAGCACCCGCCTCTCCAAGACGCTGACAGGTTTCCAGGTCCTCCCCCTGGCTACCCCGGAACCTGGCCTCCTCCTGGTTTCCAGCCGAATTTCCCTGGACCGTCTGGCTTCAATGCCCCGGGTGGTCCTCCCGGCGCTCCCCCAGGTGCTCCTCCTGGCGGTGCTCCCGGCTTCAACCCACCTCCTCGACGCTAAGCACTGTCCTGCGTTCAATGGACTGGGTGCTTTTTGTGTTTGTTGAATAACGACGACACGTTTGCCGCGGGCGAGAGACCGGGAATTGCTGTGTGGAGGGGAATGAGATCCGTCGCTACGGATTCGCGAAATGGGGAATGAGGAACGTCCGGGTCAAACAAATGTACGTGGCTCTCTTCACGATGTCTCTCGGCTACCAAGACCACAATATTGACATGGACCATGAAGACTGGCGAGGCACACGACTGGCCGCAGACTCGGACTGCACGTCTGCCACCATGGTGGAATGAGACCCCCGGGACTACACGTTGTGCGAATAGGCGGTTTCGTGCTACGAGTTTCCAGGACGCTGGTTTTCGACCGCGGAGGACATGGCCTGTACGATGCTGCCTGGCCAGAGCGCGTGCCATACGCAACTGCTTTTAGGACCCCGAATAAAATTGCCTTTATTGATTACAGCTGCCTGCACCTGATGTCAAATCCAAGGATACACAGAGCTTGAGAGGATGAAGCGTGAAGAGTCGTCTAGGCTTGGGAGGTGTCCGTTTGGTGTCTGACGGAGTTCAAGGTTTGTGAGGAACCGTGCGCGAGTGGGCTGGATGCGCGTCCAGGAGCGGTCCTGGCGAACTCCCAAAGAGGATCCTGCGAGGCAAGCAAGGAGAGGCGGGCTCAGCCCTGCGTCTCCCGACGGCTGAAAATGTTGTTTACTAACAGCTCAGCACATGGTCGCCGTTGGTCGCGTCTCACACGCCAACGGCATGGCTGAAGACGCGGGCGGCCAGTTGGCTGAGCAACCTGGCCCGGTCGTCCTGGGGAAGTTCCTGCACACCGAAACCAGTCAGCCGCGGGTCAAGAGAGGGGAGCAAAGGGCCATATCTTTATGGCCAGCAGCTTGGCAGGCGGTAGCAAAGACAAAGGGCGGCAAAGGTTGGTTGCATCGAGGTGGGCTGCGGGCTCACCTGGAAGACGGCAAAGACGCTCTTGCCCTTTGCGTCGCGCACGGCGCCGAGGCGGTTGCCGGCCACGGCGCCGGCCACCATGCCGGGGACGTTTGCGACGATGAAGCCGAGGGCGCCGCCGCTGACGCCGCCCAGCAGGCTCCAGAACTTCTTGGTCGGCCGGTTGGTGCCGTCCTCGGCCATGCCCTGCTCGCGCATCATCTCCTCGAAGACGTCGCCAAACTGCGCATTCTCCGTCTGCTGTCTGTCTGCTCCGTCGCCGCCGCCTCCGCCGCCGCCACCGTCGCCGCCCGCGCCAGCCTTCTTGGTGAAGAAATTCCACGCCCACGAGTAAGCGCTTTGGCCAGCGGAGCCGGCCTTGTGCGGCTCTTCTTGCCCTCCCCCCTCTGCCTCGCCGTCAGCCTCGCCAAAGGGGTCCGCGGAACTGCTGTTGCCGCCGCCGCCAAAGAGCTTGCGCTGGGCGTCGTAGTCGCACCGGCGCCGGGCGTCGGAGAGGGTGTAGTAGGCGTCGTTGACGAGCTGGAACTTGCGCGTGCGCGCCGGGCGCTCGGGGGAGTCGGCGGCTACCCGGTCGGGATGCGTCTTGAGGGCGGCGCTGGCAAGGGTGCGTGGGCGAGGTCAGCACCCCATCTGTGCCTGTGCGCTTGGCCTTGACAGACTCCCACCGGGCGCGTGGGGGGGTGTTCTGTGCATCACCCACCGCTTGTAGGCATCTCGAACTTGCTGCTCCGTCGCCGTGTCCTGAATGCCCAAGATGGCGTCTTCGACCAGGGGCCCCCGGGGGGTTAGCGGGTGTGCTCGCGCGAGGGGCCAGGGAGGGGACTTGCAGTAGTTGGGGGGACGTTCGGTCGTCATGTTTTCGGGCAGAAGCGTTTGCTTGTTCCGTCTGCAGTCGTGACGCTGCAGTCAATCAAGCCTCGCGGGGGTTACGTGTCTGTCGACGGCGACTGGTGATGTAGGTGGGTTCAGGTATGGCGAGCAGTTGCAGTGGGCGCGTGTAACAGGGAAGTGGCGCACGCTCGAGGTGCGCGCAACGTCATCGTGGCGGCTAGACTTTGTCCGCTGGAGTGGGTGGGGGCCACTGGACGGAACTGCAGCTTCCCACTGGTGAGTTGCATATAAACGAGAGACATGGCTTGCGCTGCACACTCGAGAGCTCTTGAGAATCCATCACTTCTCACACAGGACATACCGTGGTTTCAGCTGCCATACATTCAGTCGGTCGGTAAACTCGAGGGCTCTGCCCATGGTCCTGGCGTCAAGTACACGAAGTCGAGGCTCTGCAGCATCTACATCGCACGCTTTGTACGACCAGCCAGTCCTGCGCTGCCTGCCCGACGACTCTGGGCGACAGCCATGCAAGATTGGCGAGTGGCAGCTGCCCAAGTACACAAGCACATCCATGCTCCTACTCTTGCCCGTCATGGTCGCGCGCCGTGCTCATTGCCTCGGCTAGGCCGGCCTGCAGATGCCGCTCCGCCCTCGCCGTGGCATCCTCGGCAATCTGTGCGGCGGCATCCTGTCTGCCGGCCTTTTGAAAGTGCGCCGCGAGCACCCACATGTCACGGATGACGCGCAGGCTCGATTCGGCACCATGCGCCGCCTCGCGCTTCGTGATGGCCCACCGGAAGTTCTCCTCGGCCCGCGCCCAGTCGCGCTTCTCCTGCTGCAGCCGCGCCAGCATCTTGCGGGCGTAGGCGTGGAACCTCGCGTTGGACCTCGCGCCCGCGTCCGACGCCGTGCGCATCAGCAGGTCCGTCGCCAGCTCCTCTGCCCTCTGCAGGTCGCCAAGGTCCATTTGCGTGTACTCGAGCACGAGCGCGTCGATGCGCAGCTTTTCGTACTCGCCGGCGCCCGTCGCCGGCGCTTGCTGCTGCGAGAGTTCATGGAGCGCCGGTGTGATGACCTCTCGCCTCTGCGCCAGCGCGCTCCCTTGCCGCAGGCGGGCGCGACCGTCCCAGATGAGCTGCTCGTATAGCCAGAGACGTTGCGGGGCCAGTGAGCCGATGTGTTGGCCGAGGATGTGCACGTTGCGCAACCACGCCTGGCGAAGCAAGTGGCAGATCTGACGCTGACCTTGCTCCGTTCGATGGTCGAACTTGGTCAGCTGTTGCAGAATCTTGAGGAGCGGGTGGTTTGCGGCCAACAGTCTTGTGGCCAGCGCGTTGGCATGGGCGAGAAACATGGCGTGGAGTTGAATATGCCCTCGGTCAACCATGTCGTAAATCGCGTCGAGAATGTGCCACACGAGATCCGGATGGTCCTCGGTCAGGACAAACTCGAGCGCGTAAAAAGCCTTGCGCGCGGCCATGCCCGCCAGCTGTCCCTTGCCATAGAACCACAGGTCAAAGACGAGCTCAAAGGTCCGGTACATGGTCCGGCTGTCCTGGATGGGCGGGCGATTCGGTGATGCGAGATATCTCGACATGGGGTCCGACTGGATGCCGCGGCTGTGGAGCTTGCTCAGACTCCACGCAGCCACGCTGTCGAGCACCAGCTCAAGCCCGGCATATGGCTCGATCCTGGCGGTGCGGCTGACAGCCACTTGGGCGCGCCCGGCGGCCGGCACCCGTCTTCGCGGCACTTGCTCCACATCGGTGTCTTCCACGTCCGAGGCGTCGAGGGATGGCGCCGGTGTCGAAGCACCAGAGCCATCGACTGCTTTACGATAGCTCCGTTTCCGAATGTTCCACTTCCTGAGTCGTTTTTTGTACATTTGCTCCCTTGGCGAGGTGACGTGTCAGTACGCAACTGCCAAGGTCCACATATGCGGCGAAGGGGGTGGATGGCCGACACTCACGTCGCGGCGAAGCCGTGCTTGGATTCGAGGATGGCCATGGTCTCGGTGAGCTTGCGGTTGTCGCCAATGTACAGCTTCTCGATGAGGGCTTTATGCACCTCCCATTCTTGCTCAGAGTGCTCCTTGCAGCTGAGCTTGTCGGCGACTGCAGGCGTCCTGCCCGGCAGTCGTGGAGCCAGCGTCCTCAGCATTGAGAGGGCGTTCTGGTGCAGCGGCTAAGGCGACCGAGGGTTCTTGGGTCTGCTCCGGGGTTGACAGGGCATTGTTCCTGTCATGGCCGTGCCGCTCACGTTGGGGGGCCGGCTGGACGGGATGTTGGCTTGCTGCTTTGCAGTGCAGCTCGGATCCATGTTGCTCGGTGGGAGTCAAGGTCGGCCGTGTCACTGCTAGAGAGCCCCTCCAGGAGCCAGCCAATCAAAGACTGAGAATATCACGAATGATGCAGATGCTCACCCGTCAGCAAGTCTCACATGAAAGAAGGATTACAATGCTGCAGAGGAGAATTTCCCTCTCCATCTTGTCCCGGCTCAAAATCGGTCGGCGGTCCATGTCCGAACACACGCACAAGGCCCGTCTCGAAGAAGAGGCGCATTGTGCAAATATCTACAACTGGGAAATCCCCAAGGGTCCAGGGTAGACACCCAATGACAGGGATCATCCACCACCACAGGCGGCAGGCATGACTCAGCAGCATGCACGATTTTTTTCGGGGACCTGGTCCGGTATAAATTTCTTGCTTCGCGCTCCTAAGCTCTGCTTCCTCTTTCTTCCTTTCTTCTTCGTGCGGCTGGCATAACATGAAAAATCATATCCCGTGTTGCTCGAATCCTGTTCTCAATGGATCTCCATCGAAGCGTCAGTTATGCCCCAGAGCAATTTTAATTGCACGCCGATCACTCCTCCGAATTGGCGCCTGTGCCCTTCGCACTTGAGCCGTGGCGGAGAGATCGGACATTTCCTCCCCAAACACCAGCTTTCTGCCGAACATCCCAAGAGAGCCATTCACTACCTCGACGTGCCCCTGTCTTGAAAGACTCATTGTAGAACAGCCAAGTGACGTGAGCGTGCCGCAGGCAAGAGTGAAGCTAGCCAGTAGACGAACTATGCGGGTGTCTCGTCTTGCAGTCCCGGCCCCCATCCCCTGAAGCGCCAAACATGTTTGCCGGCTCCTGAAACAAAACAGCAAAGGGCTCGTCCCGTCTATCTGGCAGCATACCAGCCAACGCCAGAGCGACCCAATACACAAACACATCTGACGTGTGCGTTTGCCTTGACAAGTGCCCGTGGAGGCAGCGTTTCCATCCCTTCTCCCCTTCACTCGTCATCGCCGACCTTCTGCAACTTGCCCATATCTCGCCTCGGCCCCGCCTCGCCCACGAGCTTCAGCCGGTCGATACGAACCTTTTCAGGGCTGCCGTAGCCTTGCTGAACATAGACAACCAGAGTCGTCGTCTTTTGAAACTTGACAAAGCGCAAGCCAATGTTGGCGGTGCCATCTGGGTTCCAGTCATCGGCGGTCAAGGTTATGGCCTGCGTAGGCTCTGTCTCGTCCGCCTCGCCGAAATCCATGTTCTGGGTTCGATTGATGTATAGCCGGATGACCTCGGGCCTCGACACGTCGTCCTGACCCTGTGGCGGCAGGGACGTGAGCTGCAGGAAGCTGTTAGCAGCTGCACCTGGACAGGCAGGAAGGGAAAAGCCAACCTGCAGGGTATGGAGCTTGATCGAGGACTGGAAGGGTATAAAGAGGAGGAGCTGGTCGTCGGCGCCGCTCTCCACCCAATCATTGGCCGAGCTGTCCCCCTTTTCGAGGGCGCTGGGCTTGGATGTCTCGAACAGGACCCTTACGGGGCCGGCAGCTTCGTCGGCGTTCAGGAGCTCGCAGCCGGTCTTTTCGATTTGGTCTGTGATGTCGATGTAGCCTCTGGGGATCTCGGCGCCCCTCCAAGGGCCGGTGCCGGATGCGGAGCTCTCGCCGAGTGTCTCGACTTGGGCGGCAAGCTTGGTGACGACGCCTTGCAGTTGCTTGGGGTTGGCTCCCTGCACCTTTTCCATGACCTTGGCGTCGCGGAAGATGAGGAAGGTGGGCAGTGCGGAGACGCCATATTCCTCGGCAAGGTCCTGGTTGGAATCGTTGTTGATCTTGACAAAGGTGACGAGGTTGGGACGCGTCAGCGAATGGGAGAGTGTTTCGTAGAGCGGAGCGATCTGACGGCAGGGACCGCACCAGTCGGCAAAGACTAGAACGAGCATGGCACGCGAGTCAGCCTGTAATGCGGCATAGAGAGATTTGGAGGTGGATGATGCGCCATGAGATGGCGAAACGTCGCAGCTAGCGGCAGTTCCAAGGTGGGCATGGGGCGCCGAGCAGCATCGCATCGGGGGCTGCTCACAGTCGGCAACGACAATTGTGGACGACTTGAGGATGCCGTCCAACTGCCCTTTGGAGCTGATGACGACTGGGGACTTGGACATGGTGGCGGCGAAATGGCTCACGCAAAGAGAAAAGGTTGCGACGGCGGAGATGGGAGATGGAGGAGCGCCGAGAGCGGGCTTTGGTTGAAGCTGCACAGTGAAGGGCGGCGAAGAGGACGAGGACGAGGACATGGACGAGGACGTGGAAGAGCAAACGACAGCGAGGTGGGGGTGGGGGAGGGGAAGCAGCTCAATGTGTACTTTTCGCTCGTTGTTGCTCCGAGTACTTGCCCCCGTTAGGGAGACCCTTGTTCACGCGCAGGGGCTGGGCGGATGATTGAGTGGGAGAATATCACTGCAAACGTTCACACCAGAGCAGGATACCTAGTTACCTACGGACATGTGCCACTCTGGTGGGACAGGATGCTGTGGCGACTCAGGAACCAACCCATCTGCTAAGTACGTATCTTACTTTTAGTTACAGAACTAATTGGGGGTAGGTGAGACAAATCCCAGCATCAAGGCAGGTAAGCATGGACCTGGCATGGAAGGTGACAAGCGATGGACGAGCTGTCGGGCGCCATGGACACGCCATGGCGCCCGTCATCCACAGCCGTCTGGTGCGGGTGGTGATGAAGCTCTTCAGACGCAGTGGAGCGGTGCCCTGAAGAAATACTTGATCCAGTGCCTGGGCCGCGCGCCTGCTTCGAGCGGTACCGCACGGCCAATTCAAGCGCGCAAGGTACATTGTCTCACCCGCGAGGGCCGGAGCAAGGTACGTACTGCACAGGTTCTTTCCTCCCTCTCGACGCCGCGGCAAGGCACCAGCAAGGCACCAGCGAGGCACCAGCGAGGCACCAGCAAGGCACCTGATCTCCGGGTACCTGGCCTTTGGTCGCGGCCAGAAGGTTGATTTAACGTCGTCGAGACAATCTTCCTCTCAGCCCATGTCTAAGAGCCCGGAAAATGCGAGCCCAGCTGCCAGTCAATCAGGAGGACAACAAACTCCGGGAAACCCGCTCGAGATGTCCGTTGCGACTCGCAGCCCGCCGTCGTACAAAGGACGGCCCACGGCATTCCCCCCCCTTCCCTCCGCCCCCCGCCCTGGGCTGCCGAGATGGAGTCGCAGATACGATGGATGGATCCCGCAAGATTCAGGGCAACCCCCCACTCTCCCATTCCTGTCCCAGGCCTCCGTTTACCCTGATATATCGCGGCACGAACACGATTCATCCAGCACGCAGTCTTAGTCATCCGGGCCCAGCTCTATCTAGACATCAGTGTCATCTTTATGCACTCGCCTCCCCGGATCACTTGTCCATCCGTCCCCAGGGTCCTCAACCTGCTCCCTCTTCTCCTCTCTGCCCGTCTTACGTTGCCGCCCCCGCGACCTTGGTTCCCGTCCTCGGAAGCTGTGCCCACCGTCGTCGATGGCGCCCAAGAGCAAACCCATCTCACATACCGCTCAAGAACACCTGCTCATCCCCCCCCACAGCCACTCTGGCAATCCTCGTCATAATACCGCTGGACCGCAAGCCGCAGACCCTCCCAGTTGACGCGTGGGGCGAGACGGCATCCTTTCGGAGCGTATGCCGCCTAGCAACCGTGAACCGATGTGCTCTCTTCTCCCCCCCAACGGGCCGAGGCAGCTGTTCGCACCCGCTGCCCTCAGCGTGAATCAGAGTCATGGAAGCGTGCTGGACCATGCAGCTTGTGTCATCCACCGCCGTCACAGGCCAACGCCTCTGGTTTTACCTCCGCAACACGCTTCTTCCACCTCAGCTCAACCCCTGGCTCGCCCAACCAGTCCGCCCGCCATGCTGCGAACCTCCCTTGATGGAAGGAGCCGCAAGAACCCAGAGCCCCCGTCCAAAGCCACAGAGACTCCCAAGGCCCAGTCCGCGAGCAAGATTTATTCGGCAAATCTGAAGGAAGCCTCTCCTCCCAAAACAAACCCGTGGCGACGCATCAAGGCGCCCTCGCCCCAGCTCCAAGAAGCTTCCGAATCTCTAGACCAGCATGACTGGCCCCGGGCAGAAGCGGCTGCCCCCAAGCAGGACTCCGTAGCTTCAGCTGCCCCAAAAGCTGTGCACAACACCGGCACGTCACCGGCGGCTCGCGCGGCACGCCAACGTTCCGCATCCGCATCGCAAGGCTCATCTCGGGAGGTGTTCCAGGCCGCCGCCGCCCGAGCTGGAGAAAGGTACGCGATTCTTTCCCCTTCATGCCCCTTCATCCCCGGCTGACTTTGAACCCGCACAGCCTCTGGAACCTCCCCTTTGGTGCCGACATCTGGCTGTACGCTGAAGACAAGGTGCTTCAGGTGCACCGCAGCGTCGTCGCGCCCAAGTCAGGCTGGATTCGGGATAAGCTGCTGCCTCCACACTCGGTGAGCATGGCGCGCGGCCGTGACGGCTCACACAGGGCCTCTCAGTCTGACCTAAACCAGAACGGCGCCCCCGTGGGAGTCTACTTTCCAGGCGCCGCAAAGATCATTGGGCATAGCCTCAAGTTCATGTACACTGACAGTGAGTTCCCGACGCCAAACGTGTGGGTTCGCTGGCTGACTGTCGGGGAACCAGGAATCGAACCATGCGAGCCCATGCGCGAGAGCCCTCATGATATTACTCATGTTGCCTGCTGTTCTCTCTTCTATCTTGTGGCCGTGGACCTGCGCGCACATACCATGGCGGTTCATATCCTCGACACACTCGCACTCACGTCGGAGAAGTGGAAGACCTTGTTCGTTGCACACTTTTCAAGACAGCCCATGAGTCGCCAGGAGGGCATGGAGTTCACCCTCTACCTCAAGGACGCACTCGAGGCAGCCTACGCCTACCCCAGCGCCGATATTGTCGCCCCTCTCAAGTTGGCACTGGCGGGGTTTCTCGACATTGTGCTCCCATTGATCATCCAGTACCCGACAGTCATCAACCTGCTGTCCACGGCCGTCTGGCAACGCTATTCGTCCCTGATCACGGCGGACATGATTGAACACCGACACCGCGAGAGGTCTGGGCAGGTCCCCTGCTGGTCCCTGCCCCACGGCCAGACACTGCAGGCTCTTTTAGAGCAAGCCCCGACGCGAAGCTGCGACTTTGTGACCTGGTCAAGCCGAGGGCAGATGCCAGAGGCCTCGGCGAGGGCCCTATATGAATCGGCGAACACTTTCGGGGGAGATGACTAGAGTCAGACACCGTCGGCGTGGCCAGGGGGCTTGAGGGCAGGCGAAGGCAGAGCTGCCGGGGGGTGACGAGTTCACAACTGGCAAGGGGTGCTGAATAGTCCGGATGACGTGAGCTATGCCGCATGCTGGCGAAAGGGTGCAGGTGTTGATGAGGGAAAGGGAGAGAGTTGGACAGCTCTGAGGACCGGACCTGGACAAGCGTCATTGTGTTTACGTAGGCAAAGATGAGCCAAGCAGTAGAGAAGAAGTAAAGCAGTTGGTACAGTCATCGTGCTCTGTGGCCAGCAAGTCAAGGCATGAAGCCCTGCTCTGGTGCTGACGTGGGCGATTCGACGCCGGCTGCAGCCACCTCGCAGCCCCGTTGTGCATCCATGCAAGAGAACGCGCCTCTTTGCCCCAGCCGGGACGCGCACAGAATCTGACAAGGGTCTCTCTCGATTACCACTATCAGCCGCAGCTCGCCCCCCCTCTCTCCCCCTGCTCGGGAGAACGGCCGAGAGGTGATTGGGCGCGCTTGACGACGCCAGAAGACAGGCCAGGCAAAGCTCGTGGCAGCCCGCCGTCGACGTCCTTACCCCAGCCCAGCACGCTCGGCCGGACAGAATACGCACACGCACACGCCTGAGTCCGCGTCTCCGCGCATCGGGGGTATCGACGCCCAGAATGTGGCACAATGCGTCCTCCTACCAGGAGCCGCGCGTGCGCTTCGCGGGGTCTCGCAGTGGCAGACAGGTCCGGCCTTTTTTTTTCTCCCTTCCCACCTGCGACAACACAGGCACGCCTTCTTGGAGCTTGGAGTGTTTTGCTGACTCCGGGCGCGCGCGAGAGAGAGGGCGAGGGCGGGAATAGCGTCATGATGGCCCATATGACGGCGCGGCTGCGAGGCCGTGGCGCTCGTACACGGATGACGATTTCGAGTACCGCCTGCCGCTGCCGCCGCCGCCGCCGCCGGCGAGGCCCGTCCCAGTCCGGGTCTACGGCCGTTCCGGGGAGCGGCAGCAGCGCCGACAGCAGCAGCAGCAGCAGCAGCAGCAGCAGCAGCGGCCGGTGGGATACCGCGAGTCCGTGGCCGTATACCCTTCCAGGCTCCGCATGGCGCGGCCCTTCGGGCTGGAGGAGTCCTTTGGCCGAGAAGAGGTCTCCTTTGCCGAGCCGCCACCGCCTGCTGCTGCTCCGACGATGCGCGTCTTTGATGCGGAGCAGCCGCCGCCGTCGGAGCGCAGGTTTGCCACGACAGCCTATGACGATGCACAGCAGGACGAAGATGGACAGTATCTCTTTGATCTGCCGGCGGGACCTGATGTGAGCGACGGCGACAGCAAGCCCGGCCGCGGCGATGGCGTAGGCGAATTCGGCTGGTCCGAGGGCTCCATGGCCTCGTCGCTGCGGCCGGCGAGCCAGGCGGGCGACGACGACATCGACGTGCTCGACGGCTTCGACTTTGTGTTTCCGCGCGCCAAGTCGTCGTCGCTGTCGTCGTCGTCCAAGGACAGGGAGCTGGCCGAGCTGCTCGACTCGGCGGCGGGCGCGGCCGAGACTGAGCCCTCGCTGCGAGACGACGCCGCCCGGCCGCCCTCGGCGTCCAGCGCCACGCGCGCCTTTTCGTCCACGTACACCGGCGACGCCGAGCTCGGGGGCGTGCACGGCGCGACGCTGACGGTGCTTCACGACCCCAAGGGACGGAGTCGGCCGCTGTACCACTGGCTGTAGGGGCTTGCTTCCACCCCCCCCGAGACTATGGTCGAGATGAGCGTGGCCGGGCTGACGTGTGTCTTGGGGATAGCCACATCCAACAGGACGTGATGAACTTTGACGAGTTCTGGGTGAGACGAACCGACTCGCCCCGTGTGTGCTTACCCCCTTTATGAGGCTGATTCTGGCATCCCTGCCTCGCTGTAGGCGGAAATACCATGCCAAGTGCGCCTCTCAGAAGCTGAAATGGCAGCCACGGCAAAGCTGCGAGCCGAGGTCAAGCGACACGCCGTCAAGTCGCGGCAGAACTCCAAGGGAGACCACGTCGGCTACATGGACCCGCGGTATTTCCAAGTGCCCCTCCAGGACGACGCCGCCAAGAAGAAGCAGCAGCAGCAGCAGCAGCAGCAGCTGTTCGCGTCGTGGTCGTCGCCGGCCGTCGCCGCGGCAGCGCCCTGCGGAGTCGCCGCGGCGCGCTGGATCTGCCTCCCCTACTTCTCGCTCCAGCGCTGCGCGGGCCTGCTGCTGGCGTCGAGCCTGGCGTCGTTCCCGCCGCTGACGCTGCTGCAGTCGCACTACTCGCGCACGCCCCAGCAGAGGGACCTGGGGCAGGCCGTCTGCGAGCTGGGCGCGGCGCCGCGGGGGGATTGCTTCCATGTGGCCCAGCTGTGGTGCCTGGTGCTCGATAACAGTAAAGTCTTGCCTCCCCTCTCTCGGGGTGCTTGGGCAAGGGAGAAGAGCCCCCTGGTCGCTGACGGAGCACGTGCAGCGCTGCTCGTCACTTGCGGCTCCATGGCGCAGTCGAGTCTGTACGGCGACTTTCTCAAGGTGGTTTCGCAGCCGTCCAAGGCGCAGTCGAGCACAGCAGAGGCCAGCGGGCGGATTCTCGTCTCGTACGGCGGCGCTGTGACGTGGGCTCTCGACGTGCAGGACTGCCCGACTTGGTTTGTGGGTGCCCGCCCTGTCCATCCCCTCGACCTGGTTTGGCATTTCTCCTAACTGACGTCGGGCCAAAAAGTCGTTTCTGTCACGCTTCGGGGCATATTGGCCCAAGAGCTTCGAGTTTACATGGCACGATCGAGTCGTGACCCCGGACAGCTGGCCCAAGATCTTGAAAGTGGCCTCGCGCCCTCAGGGGAGCGTCGCGCTGAGCCTGAGAGTCATGTAAGCCTCGTGGTCTCCGACGCAAAGACGAGGAGCCGTCCAGCCCAGTTGACGCGCGAGCACAGCCCGCAGCCAGAACCCCCCAAGGCGACCCTGAAACCCGAAGACGCACCCCAAGCCGCCGCGAAGGACGTCCAAGACGACGCCGCCGGGCAAGCCCCAGAGTACCTGCACGTCTTGACCCTCCGCCCAGCCGACTCGACACCGCCGGCGGACCCGGGGGCGGCCTCTTCGGCAGCCGAGCTCGAGGCGCTCAACAAGCAGCTCGAGGCCGCCGAGAGGTTTCTCCTGGGCAAGACGTCGTACGCGCAGCAGAGAGCGTACAGGAGCTGCCGCGGCGCGACGCGCGCAGACGTGCGGGCCTACCTCGCCGACCGAGGCGACGAGGTCGAAGCCAAGGCCAGCGACTCGATGCGGCGCGCGTACGAGGAGCGGGTCAACATCTTCCATGCCGCCGATGCGCTGTTCCAGCTCTTCTTCCCCAGGGGCTTCGACGGCCCGACCACCAGCCAGTACTGGGCGTCGGTCAAGTCGCTCGTCCTGGTAAGTGCCGGTGGCCCACGTTTATGAGCCCCCGGGGACGTCTGGTCTAACAACAGGCCTGGGGCCATCCAGATGCCCCCCCCTGACAACGACGGCGATGCGCACTCGCCCGGCGACCCCGAGGTCTTGCGAGATCTACGGCTGCAGCTGCGGGCCATGTCACAAGACATCCAGGCCTTCCAGAGCATCGTGGCCTACGCCGACGACAAGAACAGGGCCGCCATCGACCTGCCTCGGCCGTTTGTCAAGGCATGGCTGCATGTGGTGTCGAGCATGATCAAGGTCGGCGCATCCACAGGCCAGGGCAGTTGGTCGGCGCACATGGCCAAGGCCAAGGCCTTCATCGAGGACGGCGTACGGAGCGTCCTCCAGGGCATCTCGAGCCGCAGCCTTGTGGAGGACCTGGCCGTCCTGCCCATGGAGGTCATGTCGCTGATCGCCATGGACCTGCTGCAGGACCAGGTGGGCAAGGCCGACGACATAGCCGAGACGTATTCGCAGTATCTCAGCTCACTGGTGCGTTTGGCCCCTCGAGCGGATGCTCGTCTGAGCGACCTCGTGGGCACTGACACGCAAAGCGTAGGATACCGACATCACCACCAAGCCGTCGGACCGCTCGTATCAACACCGCGTCGAACTAGTCCAGCAGGAAATGTCGGCCATCAAGAAGACGCTCGCGAGACAGCGCCACATCCTCGGCGGCATCAGGAGCAACCTCTCGGCCGCGACCGGCTCGGATGCCGTCGTCGTCTACGACGTTGGCCCCGGCCACAGGCGGAGCAGGAGAGAAGCCACGCCGGGATGGGACCAGCCTCCCGCTTACGGGGAAACAGCCGCCAACCACTACGCGTCGTACCAGGAGCCCGTGACCCGGAGAGCCGAGTACTTTGAGGCGGGCTTGGACGCGCACGCGGCGGAGAAACTCCAGGCGGCCTCCAAGCTGTCGCCCACCGACGGCCTCGGCTTCCGCGGCCTCTTTCTCACCGAATGCGCCCGCATCGTCGAGCAGCGTGAGTTCGACTTTCGCCGTCACACCGAGTTCGCCGAAGACCTGGAGCGTGCCGCCGCGTACAAGATGGGCTGGACCAAGGACCGGCAGGAAAACGCAATCTACGCCTTTACCATTGTCACAATCATCTTCCTGCCCATCAGTGCCACCTCCAGCATCTTTGGCATGAACACGAGCGACGTCCGCAACATGGTCTCTGGCCAGTGGTTGTACTGGGCCGTCACCGTGCCCGTCACCCTCATGGTCATTCTCATCGGCCTCTGGTGGATGAACGAGCTGGGCAACGTGATACAGTGGATCATGGGCAAGCGGCCAGACCGCGCGCCGGGCGCTGGCAATACCGTCCGGTGGGTCTCGCAGATGCCCGGGACCACCTACATGGCCTCGGCGCCGCCGCAGTTGGACCCGGAGACAGCTCCCGCAGTGCCGTATGCGGGCGAGGTTCAGGGAGATCCTGTTTCTGCGCGGTGGCGTCGATACTCGGAAGACCTCCAGCCTGTTGCTGCAGCACCCCAACTCCGCCGGCGCCCACAGACCATGTACGTATACTAGGTTAACGGGCTGTCTTGGGGCAAGTCTAGAGGACAGCGCTTTGAACCAACCCGAGGGATGATGAATGACAGCCGTTTCCCAGTAGGCGAATAATTAAAAAAAGAACTTGAAGGGATGCGACGTTGAACATAAAGGCCGTGACATGACATGACGAACATCACAGCTTGCGGCCCAAAAGACCTAATCCCAGCGCTTAACGTCCCGTTATATATCATAAATCATCAAGAGGGCAACAGAATCCAAAGCGTGCCTCCATCAACACCCGGGTCTCGCCGTTCAGCGCCGGTAATATTCACGAGTGCGACGGTGATCAGAAATGGAAATGTGTTCCCGCTCGTCTTGGGTCCGCTCGTCCTGGGTGATGAGCCTCCTTTGGGGTGGCGGGGGGACGAAGCGCCGGGGAGCGTCGACGTATCGATACGTATCGTAACGGGGCTCGGCAGGCACGGGCACTGGGATGAAGTGATCGCGCTCGACGTACACCTCTTTGTCGCGCCTGTGACTGTGGCTGCGAGAGCGAGAGCGGCTTGACTTGGAGGAGCGCTTCGAGGGCTCGATGTCGACGGCTATGACCTCGATCTGGGGCTCGGGCTTAGGCCGGGGGGCCGGAAGACAAGGCGGGGGGGCCGGAAGGCAGGGCGGGTCGGGGCATGGCGGCGCTATGGGTTCTGGCGCAGGCTCCTCAATGACGGGCGGCGGCGGCGGCGGCTCCTCACAGGGTGGGGGACTGGGGGGGATAATTCGGGTGATGCGGCGACGGGAGAGGTAGGTATCGGGTTCCGGATGTTGAAGGTAAAGGCGCTTCTTCGCAGGGCCCCTGTACTCCTTGGTGCCTGCGCAACAATTGACCAGGATATTAGCGGGCTGGCAGCTGAGCCATGCTAGGCACAGGGGTAGTTGGCAAAAGTAAGGGGTAGGCGAGGCCGCGGATGAGACACGAACCCATGATGGAAAGTACAGAGTAGCGTTGCGGTCGATCAAATCGCGGAGGTGGAGTCTGAACTGTGTGGCGATGACGTGGGTGACGTGGGTGACGTGGGTGACGTAGCGCTGCTAATGGCGCGCGCGCGCACGATGCGAAAAAGCCGCTGCGAAATTGAGAGCGATATTCAAGTTAATGAAGTCTACGGGTGGTAATGAAAGCGCCGGGAGGCGGAAAAGGCGAGGGACCACGACGATGGAAGACGGGCCAAGGAGGAGGAGGAGGGGATGATGAGGAGAAGATGGGAAGAGGCACGAGGCAAGCAGGGATGGTAAGACGTTGGCGGTCATGTGCACATTGTCCCCAGTATGAAGTACACGGGACTTGGGGATAATTTATTTGTGGCTCGGGATAGCGCTGCTTATGCGTAAGCAGGCAAGTACAGTATACCTGGGTAAGCTCCGCCTTATCTTGGGTGCTCAACCGAGCTCTGATGAATGAGCCCAACCAAGGCAGCTGCTTTTCCAAGGCGCCTGCCACACAGTAAAGTACGGTACTGACTGTACGTACCATGCATAGCCAAGGGCCTATTGCCGCATCGCCTCGGCTCACCGCCGTCTTGCGTCTGCGTGGCAAAGGCAGAAGTGAGAATGAGCTGCGGCTTTCACTGTACATACCCACAGGTAGGTAACGTGATGTCTTCTGGCCAGAGTTTGGTCTGTTAGGACCGAGTGGGCAGCACAAACTACAGACACAGCTGAGGCATAAATGCATGACGAGTTGCAGTGTTCCCCCATTCGGCTCATCTGGAGCTGGGCATGACGTCCCAGGTCAAGCCGACGACAAGGGGGAAAAAGTCTGCACGGTTAGCTCGTGCCTGTGTCGTCCAAAAGGTCTAGAAGGCGGAGGGAGGATCCTGGTTCCGTCTGAATCCTCACATGTGGAGCTGGAGCCACTGTGCCTAGAACAAGCGGATGAAATGAAGAGTTGACAAAAAGGGCATAGAGGTATTCATTTTTTCAAGGACAAAGGACACAGGGAAAAACAATGGGGAGGCTGGGACATGAGGCAAGAGATTAGTCCGGGGCCAAGGGAGAGAGGGCCCTTTGTTTCTCCCTTTCGAGGCATGTCGGCACCTTGTCTAGGCTCACAGGCCACCCAAGGCGAGGACGGCGTCGGCATCAAGGTACGCGTACGTGTGTACGTGGCATGGGATGGATGGACAGTCATGGGATGACGACGAGAACATGTGTGCCCTCGGATATCGACTGGCAGTCATCAATCAGCCACGGCATCAAAAGACGCCCTCTGATCACCGAGGTCCCCTACATGAAGTGCACCAGGCGCCCAACCTGGTGCAAGGGCCGTCAGGCTGTCCTGCAGCGCTACTCGCACGGATGTATAGTAATACTGTAAGTTAATTACATGCTCATCCATGCTGTACAGAATGTGTTGGTTGGCACGCTGCTTTGGCTCGTCCTCACCCACAGGACCCTGAAAAGACAAGACCCGACGCATGACTGCTTTTTCTCGCCACTTGCCTCGGCTGCGTCCGATCGACCGGCCCCAGGTGTCCAGGTGTCCAATTCTCCGCGCGCGCCTGCGGGTCGGCCTGCCCGGAAGTCAAACGCTGCCGTGACAGTCTGCCTTGTCATTCATCCGTCAACGGCCAACGCTGAAACGATGCCGGATGAAAGCCAAGGAGGGGCCAAGGGCAAAAGGGGCGCGCGTGGGGAGCCGACTGTTTCACGACCGCGACGTAAGGGGAGGGGACTGGAAAAGGGGGAGAAGGATCTCGATGATGAGACGAGGAGACCGAGTCGGCCATCTCAGGTATCAGGCAGCTCTGCCCGCCAAGGCTTCTGACGCGTCCATTCTCTCGCGCAAAGTTCGTCCGATGCTTGGTGAGCCCTCGTCGCGGCTTCTGCAAGCCAGCGAAGACGTCGATTCGGCTGGGACTCAACGACTTGAACTTGCGGCTGGGCCGTGACATGTGGGAGCGAGAGCTGTCTCCCCTCTTCCGCCTAGGTGCCTCACCGAAGACCAGTATCCCCTGTGTGCGTCTACCACTTGGCATCACGCGCAAAAGGATGGCCCCGGAGGCGAATACCCGGCACATGAGATCCTCCATCTCCTCTGGCCCCGGGTCACGCTTCGGCTACAGAACCCGGACTTGGCCTTTTCCTTCGGCATGTCGCTCTGGCAAACCCGACCAGTTTCGAAGGGACCGGACGATGCGCGAGAGCCTCCTGAACTCAAATGGATTCAATGCGCCCCCGACGGCTAGGCGCAGACCCGTGCGCGCAGAAGGGCCGTCCATCCATCTCCGGGAAATGCTCAGGGTCCCTCTATGCCGTTGGAGTCTCGAACGGAACGCTGTATTGGACGCATTTTGGGCCGCTGGAGAGGCAGCAGGTTTCGGCAACGACGAGGAGGAGCCTGCTCCCAATATGGTTGTTGAATGTCGCTATGCAGAGGATCGGTTGCCATAATGTGGGGCGCCCTCTCTCCTCGTCTGCGCCCACTCACATGCCAGTCAAGAGGCACGTGCCAATAAATGGGAGGCTGGGACTGTCCTCCCTCGACGGACGACGAGGATCCAGTGTGAATTGTAATAAGTTGGGTTGGCTTTTTCAACAATCGCAGCCGTGCCTTGATCCAGCTGCACGAATTGTGATGCGTGTACCAGGCATGTGCACCAGGCATGTGCACCAGGCATGTGCGCCAGGCATGACGGGTCCAGCCAGCTGTGGACTTCTGCCCATGTGTGTCATTGGGATCAGGCTTGCCTTGAGTATATTTAGCGGAGACTTGTCGAGCACGGCCTTAATTACTCGGTTTCATGGAAGCCTCCCGTCAAGCGGACGACTGACTTGTCCCAAGTGCGAATTGCTTTTGGCGCCGAAGGAGGCTCTCGCGCATCTGTCACGCGGCAGCTAAGGTAGGTACAGGTAAGTACCGTGCCTGCCAAAGAAAATGAGCTCATTTGTGCATGCGACTGGCGCGAACTCGCAGAGTTGCTCCCCTCCGAGGCCAAGGTACTCACTCCTGGTAGGGCCAGTCGCAGTCGGTACTTTGCCCGCCGTTGCTGAAGCGCCGAGTAAGGCTGAATGAAGCTGGCAGCAGCCGAAGTCCCAGCCGTGCTCGGTTACGCCGGCGAGTAAGTCCATCCCTCCTCGCTCCACGCTCCTCCTCCCTCCTCGCTCCACGCTCCTCCTCCCTCCTCGCTCCACGCTCCTCCTCCCTCCTCGCTCCACGCTCCTCCTCCCTCCTCGCTCCTCGCTCCTCCCTCCCTTCGCATCGCCTCGAGGCATGCAAGCCATCGCACGGCCTGACGCATGAGAGGAACAGCCGAAACGAGGAGCTTGCCGCGGTTTTTGGGTCAGTCGAGTGGAGCCCAGTCCATTCCGCGCCAAGATGGGCGACTGACCCCCAAAAGCCCGTTGCGGCCCCACCCCTTCTTCCTTCTCTCTCTCTTGAGGCTGAATCGGTGCTCTCGACGTGCATCCAGAGACGCTCGGCCATGAAGAGAGAGGAAAGGGGCTACGCAACGACATGACTTGCAAATCACCCACGCACTCAATCGGAGACTGGCTATTAGCTTCCGGAAAGCCGGGTGGGCCTCTCCAGAAAGGGATACAAGAGCAAGCAAAGCCCCGCGGGCCAGATACCTCGGGCGTGCCAGCAGGGCATTTGGCATTGGCCTGACTTGCTGTTTTCTGGACAGCCTGCCGTGTCTAATCAAAAAAAGATGCCTCACTAAAACCTGCTTGGAGCTACAAACCGCTCAAGGTGTGAACTGGTGGCGCCGGGTTTAATTATGGATCACCGGCCTAGACAGCGTCTGTCTGTATGCACGGCGGTGCCTGCAGCGACAGCAGGTGTGTGCTCATCTCCTCGAGCTGCATCTCCTCGTGCTGCATCTCCTCGTGCTGCTTCCGAGTACCCGATACACGGCAGCGGGCGGCAGAGACGGCGGGCCGGCGAGTACGGATACCTCTCCCCCCAGGCCCCTGGCATCATGTACGGTACCTGCTCCGTAGTACCTAGGTAAGTCTGTACAGTACAGGAGGTGCTCACTGTAGATTACCACCTTGGTGTTAGTGCGCCGCCTAGAGGCTAGCGGACAATACCACTCTTCAGGGCGCGTCCACGAGTCCAGTCCCTCGGCCGATGACTCGCCTTTTCATCTCCCGGCCGGTATGTGTGTGCGGGCTCGGTACGGGCTCGGTATGAAGCAGCATTTACCGTCCATCCGACTGACTCTCTCCGTCTGCCTCCTTCGTGTCCTGCCCGTTCTCTCTCTTTATTGGTGACGGCCGTCGTCCTGGACAGGCCGAGAGAGTGACAGAAGGGGAGAGAGAGACTTGGCCGGGGGCATGGACCTCCTCCATCCCGTCTCTTCACCACACCCTCTTCCGATCCAAAGGTCGTCGTCACCACCATCCGAGGACGCCGTCGTAAAAGTAAATTCAGGCCAGGCCGGAACCCTGCCTTGTCGTAAAGACAATGTACATAAGCTACATGTATCTGCACGGAGCACTGTACTACCTTACAGTATTGCCCTCTTGGAGCGAGGCCAATGAGAAAAACCGGCCCGTCGAGACCCAGCGACTCGCAGACAGGGATGGACCCGTCCCATGCCGACCAAGAGACGCAAAACACCAACACGGCAATTCCAGTTGTCTCGAAAGCAGGGCTGGTTTGATGCCCAGTGGGGAAACGCCTTTCGCGACAGAGTCGGTCCCGTCTCTCCTCCCACTTCTCTGAGCGAATGCAACTGGGTGCATCCACGCCCCAAGAACAAAAAGTGAATCAGTTGTCCTCGGGGGGGTGGGAAAAAAAGAAAGGGTCAAAGCCAAGGTCAAGCAGGTGTCTCGAATCCGACTGCCTGCTCCACCCGCAGAAGGCGGAGGTAGGTTGTGCATAACGCGCCCATGTCGCAGCTTGTCGGGCCCCGTTGTCGCCAGGACCACCAACAACCCTTCTCCTCCTCCTCCTACTCCTCCCTCACTGATAATACTGCTGCACCAGGAGCAGCAGCAGCAGCCGCCGACGACGCCGTCTTCTCCGCTTCCGTCCCCGGCTCGGAAGCTCAACTCGCCGCCTGCTCCTCCGCTGCTGCTGCCGCCCGTGACCCTGTCTCCGGCTCATCTGTCGCCTCGCCCTCGTCGTCCGCCACCAACATCGCCACCACCACCGCACCCTCTTCTGACGACTCCGCCCACGCCGCTGCCGCCTCCTCTTCTTCCTCATCTAAGCCCCCGCCCCCCTCCTTCTCGTCGCCGTCCTCTCTGCAACATCTCGCCGTCAATGGCAGCCTCCCCGCCCGTCGCTTGATCACGGTGCCGTCGTTGTCGACTGTCGGCTCCCTGCCGCATCTGGCATCTCCAAGGTCAGTCAAGAAGCACAACAGAACGTGAATCCAAACCGATTGGACCCTGGCGCCCGCTTCATCTGTCCCCTTCCGTCGCCCCTGGCACCTCGAATCACCACCACGCTCTGTGGACAAGCCAAATACCCGCTTCCCTGTCAAGAGTCCTGCGGCCTTGGTTGGGCCTGTCCTCTCCAAGCGCATTTCATATTTACAAATTTGTCAACCACCGCTGGCTCAGGACCTCGTGCACCTCGGAATCCCGGTCTTCTCCCCTTCCCAGGACGCCGCTGCGTAGCCATCCGGGCTTGCTGCTGCCGTGAAACCTCGCTCTGCTACCAAATTGCTGCATCCATGTGGCTGACCCGCCTCGCCTGATAGATCACCGCGACCGCCCATTCCCAGCCCGTTGTCCACGGCCAGTAACGTGGCGACGTCTCCGTCGAGCACGGGCTCACGGCTGTCAAGTCTCCCCCCGATTCAATCCCGGTCCGCCCCCATTGGCTGCCGCTTGGCGGAAGATACCGTGCCTCCCCGCGTGTCTATGAGCGAGACGCCATTTCCCAGTCAAGCCTCCAACCCGTCGTCCCCACGAGAAGAAGCCCCAAGGTCTGTCTCTCATGCTAAGCTCTTGCTTCTTGGACCTATGAATGGCTGCTAGAGTGGCTGAAGGAGGGCGCCACGGGCACGAGACAAGTCGTACAATCTGCCCATGACCCGTGCTGACCACCTCTACCCTACATAGCCTGAACTCGTCCGACATCCCGAATGCCACCCGAGACGTCTCCGACCCCCTGACTTCCAAGCCGCCGCCTCCATCAAAACCTTTCTCCCCAAAGTCGCCTACATCTCGGGCGTCCAACAAACCGGCAATGGCTGCTCCAGCGGCGGCCGCCCTGGGCGAGGTGCCAAAGTCTCTGCCCAGGAACTCGTCCATCGATACCGCCATATCCGCCGTCTCCTCAACATCATCCTCCGTCAAAAGCAACCCCCAAAACGACCAGCACAAGGCTATCGACATTGCCGGTCTCATCAAGGCGGCTGGCAGTCCCGAGGTTGTCATTCAGCATCTTCTCAAAGAAAAGCAATCCCAGCATCAGCAAAACTCGCAGCTTTGGAGGCTGGTGGACAAGCAGAGGGCCATGATCTTGGGCCTGAATAAAGACTTGGAGCAAGCGCTCAAGGAAAAGGAAAAATATAGGAGGAAGCTCAAGGATCTGATGGCCAACCCTGCTGTGCTCAAGGCCGCGGGAGCCCCTCACGGCGAAGGCAACCCGGAAGGACGCCGAGGCGTGACGCTGCCTCCCGTCGATGTTGCGTCATCCAAGGCTCCCCCGTGCCCGGCGCCCGAGTCCCCGAGCATCGAATCCGACAGCCAGAAGAACTCCCCCGTCGAGGTATCGATGGCGCCGTATCCCATCACGCCACCTGCTGATCGACCACAAGAACCCCGGTCTGCTGTCGACGAGCTCCTGGACCCCAACCACGATATGCCGAACCCGCAAGAGCATGCGCTGGACAAGTTCGATCACGAGGCAGAGGACAAGGCCGCCGACGATGAGCGCAAGGCTACGAACGAGAAGCAACTCAGGGAGATACCCTACAACGTGTCACTTCCCCCGTCTCGATCCCTTCCCAGCGATCCGCCAAAGGTGCCTCCTCCGAAGCCCCCGACTTCGGCCCCTCCGACAGTCACATTATTCGACTCCACGCTCCAGCCGGACGAGAGGCTCGCCAAGTTTCCCGCCCCTCCCCGGAAGCCGCCCCCGGCACCCCTGCAGTTGAAGCCGACAGTCCACCGCGAACAACCTGAAGACGAGGACACGGACTCGGACTATGACCATCTGCTGGAAGTGGAAATTATAGATGAGAAGCGTGGCCGACGCAGGACACGCGAGGAGGATGATAACGATCGGGATGTTGTTGCTCTCAAGGTTTCCGAGGAGCGGAGTGTCTCAAAGCAGAGCAGCACATCGGACGTGGCGGCATCCTCTCCCAGGGAAAGGGAAACTTCGCCAAGCGCAGACACATCGCTCTCGGGCCAAACGTCAGAAGCAGACCGACCTACTTCTATGAATCCAAAGATGCACGGATACATCAAGAGAGAGCTTATGGCGCCAATCAGCAGCCCTGGACTTCCGATGAGCCCAAGGCCTCTTGGCAACAAAGCTAAGTCTGCGTCTTTGTCTCCGGCCATGGGGATCCGCGCGGTTTCTGCGCCGCTGTCTCCCCGACCACCACGCCAGGCGATGCTTCTTCCCCCAAATGCTCCACAAGGCTCACCCTTGGCTGTGTCGTCGACTCATTCCTCTCCCGGACAGCTGCTCAACGCAGCCAAGCGAGCGGCGGAGACGAATGCGCAGCCCGAAGCTGCCCAAACTCGGGCTGACTCGCCGGAGCGCACCAAAGTATACAAAGGACTTGTCACCGAGGAGTATCCGGACCTTTTGCTGCCCCCAAATGCGCTGCCCTCGATCAAGATCAAGGTGGCTTCCTCGCGCATGAAGCCATCGAGGGCCAGCTTGCTGGCCCTGACGCAACTGGATGAAGATCCAGTGTTTACGTTAGCCATCATCTCGCGGGCCGATCGCGGTGAGCTGTGGCGCGTGGAGAAGGACATTGTCTCATTTGCGAAGCTGGACCAGCGCCTGAAGCAATGCACCGCATTCACCGCCAAGACGCCCGAACGGTCCCTGTTCAGCGGCCACGCACCGGCAAAGCTGGATGCTCGCCGCGTAGCCCTGGAGCAGTACATGACCGAGCTGCTCGACACGCCGCTTGACGCACCGACTGCGGTGGAGCTTTGCAAGTACCTGTCCTCCAATACGCTCCCTCCCAACGCCGACGAGACCGGTACGGCGATGAGGACCCCTGAGAAGAGTGGCAACACAATCAGCCCGGACGGCCGTCCGATCCGGAGCGGTTACCTGACGAAGAAAGGAAAGAACTTTGGGGGATGGAAGGCGAGGTTCTTCACCGTTGATGGGCCTCAGCTCAAGTACTATGAAACGCCAGGCGGCACCCACTTGGGGACAATCAAGCTGGCACATGCCCAGATCGGGAGACAGTCTCAAAGCAACGAAAACCAGTCGCCTGCAACGGGGGCCAACGGCGAAGAGCTCGACAACCAGTACCGTCACGCATTCCTCGTTCTGGAACCCAAGAAGAAGGACTCCACCAGCCACGTCAAACATGTGCTCTGCGCCGAAAGCGATAAGGAGCGAGATATCTGGGTCGACGTCTTGCTGCAGTGGATCGACTATCGCGATCCCGATGAAGCCGACTCTCAAATCTCCAAGGCGCTCGTGCAGGACCGTCACGCATCCGTTGCCGAGTACCCGGGCGGGCAGAGGATCAGAAAGGGAAACCAGAGCAGATCATCTCATCAGCCCACGGGTTCGGACCCATTGATTGGCGTCAGGTACGACTCGATGCAGGCCAGAGAAGCGCCTCAGGGCGCCCCCAGCGGGCTCAGAGCGCCTGCTGGCCTACCCGACTTCCCCAGCCAGCTCAACATGGGTGGAGAGACGATGAGCTCCCAGGTGAAGATGATATCCGGTCCAAGGGACCCACAGGTCATCTCGGACTCGTCTGCCTGGGGCAACAGAATGGGCGCCCCGATTCCGACGACCGAGGACAAGAAGCAGAGGAAGCGAAGCTTCTTCGGATTCGGACCCAAGACGCGCTCGTCGTCTGACGGCCAGGACTCATTGTTTGGCGGAAGCGAGACGGGCTCCCTTTCCACTCCGCCGCAGGGCTCATACCAGGGGCTCGCGCGCCAGGTTTTCGGAGCACCCCTGGGCGAGGCTGTTCGCTTCTGCTCACCGGTCGACGTCGACGTCCCCCTTCCCTGCGTCGTGTACAGATGTGTCGAGTATCTGGACAAGAAGAACGGCATACACGAGGAGGGCATTTTCCGTCTCAGCGGCTCCAACGTGGTCATCAAGCAACTCCGCGAACGCTTCAACACGGAATGCGACGTCAACCTGCTGACGGACGACCAGTACTACGACATTCACGCGGTGGCGTCCCTCCTGAAGCTCTACCTACGAGAGCTCCCGACGACGATCCTGACGCGGGAGCTGCAACGGGAGTTTTTGATGTCGACGGAGATTCCGGATCGCGCCGAGAAGATTGCGGCGCTGAAGGAGCTGGCGACGATGCTACCGCAGATCAACGCAACGCTGCTCAAGTACTTGATTTCGTTCCTCATCAAGATCATCCACAACGCGGATGTGAATAAGATGAACGTCCGCAACGTGGGCATTGTCTTTTCGCCGACCCTCAACATCCCTGCACCGGTCTTTGCCCTGTTTTTGCAGCACTACCAGGAGATCTTTGGCATCGACCCCGAACGGTACGAGCCCCCGTCTGGGACACCGGAGCCGGACCCGCGAAGAGGACGTTTCGATGCCCGGCCGCGCTCAGAGATGCCTCCGCGGGCCTCGACGTCGTCAGGTAGCGCGTCTCCGCAGCGTCGGATGCAAAGGGACTCGAGGAGAGAAAATCCGAGGTCGACGCCGACGCCGCCCCTGATGCAGATGGCGCGCAGCTCGCCGACGCCGCCCTCGGCCACGTCTCGGCAGCAGCACGATGCCGCGCACCTTGCGCAACAACGCGCCTCCACGGCAGGCACGTCGTCGCGGCCGGCTTACGAGAGCGGGTACGGCCTGCCAGTCGGCCATGAGCTGTACCAGCACGTCCAGACGCAGCGCCCCCTACCTGGATATGAAAGGCCGATATATGGCGCTGTCAAGGACGATCACAGCAGCGGTGGGCAGCCTGCGGACCAGCCCCAACAAAGCGCGATTGGCAAGCGAAGAGAGAGCTCCATCTACATGGGTGCTGCCATGGGCCTTCAGCACCCAGGATCGAAGAGTCGGCTTCGCGAGGAAGCCCGATTCTGACGTTGATATTTTCTTCATGACGACTTCTTTCATGGCATAGGCATTCGATACGGAGAGCGATGATACCATTATACTGTTGCATTTCTACGCTCATACATGTTGAGTCCTTGGCGGGGATGGCCATCTTTGACGGAGCTAATGCGGTTTTCTCAATGGACGGGCGACTGGTGATTTCATCCTTATTCAAGCATATTCCGCTTGGGAGTTGCGTCATGGCTTTTGAACAGCCGCCCAACCGCCGACAGGAGCTTGACTTGGGTAGTATCAAGCAAAGACGAGCCGAGGGACAAGATGGCGCATTTGCGGGAATGAAATTCATAAGGAAATCGGAACACCTGTTGGAGAATGAAGGCTGCCGCGGCTTGGCTCCTGCGGGCAACCTTGGGAAGTGTTTGGAAGCCTGCATTGGGGGCTTTCTCTTTTTTATTTTCATCACCCGTCCTCATTTCTATCTTTGGGTTTCTTTTGCCCTGTCACGGGAAAGCAAGCAAGGAGATTGGGTATTTCAGCGAGGCGTTCCTCCGCACATATGGGCCTGGAAGGGGAAACCCCCCGAGGGCGATGATATGAAGGGCATGCATGTAGTTTCAAGGACGAGCAGCACAAATGGATGTTTTTGCCATGGTATCTTGAGCCTTGCGGTAGTATGAAGAGAGGAATACTTTGGGAGTTGCAGCTGCTGCTGTCGTCGGGACAGGTAGCTGCGATGGAGCCTGTTGCGGAGAGGAAGGTGGCAGGCAGAGTGCTGACTGAATCCAAGCTCCCGTCGGACATGGTCCACGTAGACGTTTCGAGTCCGGATACTATTTACTGTCCCTACTAATATTATGTAGGAAGCCGTAATTAACTTTGTTATTACTGTACTTTGGACGAATCCCTGCTCGCCTAAAACGGCATCGGGCCAGTCGGAGACTCGGCGTCAAAGAGGGCCGTTTTCCGCCCCTCGCCCCCTCACCGTCTGCGCGCCGAGGGCAGACCAAAAAGCCACCATGGAGCTGGATCCACGGCTTCGACCTGGCCAGGCCTCGCCACCGCCCGATGCCGGCAAGAAGCAGTCGAGCACGCCATCGTCCGAGTCCGAGTCGGCGTCGCCGTCTTCTCCCCAGCTCGAGTCCTCGTCTGCCGCTGCGGCGGCACATGCCCAGCAGCAGGATGCGGCCGCCGAGGAGGCCATCAGGAAGCCAAGGGCCTGCGAGGCCTGCCGCAGCCTCAAGGTGCGGTGCGAGCCGGCCGACGACGACGGGCCGTGCAAGCGCTGCCGCAAGGCCGGCCGCAGCTGCGTCACGACGGCACCCACGAGGAAGCGGCAGAGGAAGACGGACAGCCGCGTCTTGGAGCTCGAGAAGAAGATTGACGCCTTGACGGCGAGCCTGCAGGCCCGTGCCGCGCCGGCGGCGGCGGGAGGCAGCAGCGCAAGCCCACGGGTGGCGGCGGCGTCGGCGGCGTCTCAGGCGCACCGGCCATCTGGCGGCGGGACCGTTTGGGGCGCCCATGACGAGGCGACGAGCTGGGGGGCCGCCACCGTCGAGACGGGCCAGGGGCGACGGCAGCAGCAGCAGCAGCATCGCCTCTCCGCTGCCTTGTACGAGCCCGCCGCAGCCACCGCCGCGGCAGGTCAAAAGAGAAAAGCCGCCGAGAGCCCTGACGGCAACGACAACGACAACGGCAGCAATGAGCACGGGCGCTCGCCGTCGCCCGCCCCGGCCCTGGTGCCCAAGCCGAGCGAGCGAGACATTGTCGACCGCGGCCTCGTCAGCGTCGAAAAGGCAGCCGAGCTCTTCTCGCGCTACAAGGAGAGCATGATCCGGCACATGCCGGCCGTCGTCTTCCCGCCGAGCATGTCGAGCATGGAGCTGCGCCGCAGCAAGCCGTACCTGTTCCTGGCCATCATGGCGGCCGCCTCGTCCGAGACGCACCGGCTCCAGCGCGCGCTGCACCGCGAGCTGATGCAGCTCTTTGCCTACAAGATCGTCGTGGCGGGCGAGAAGAACCTCGAGCTCGTGCAGGCGCTCCACGTCGCCGTCGTCTGGTACTGGCCGCCCGAGCACTTTGAGGAGCTCAAGTTCTACCAGCTCGTCCACATGGCGGCCGTCATGGCGCTCGACATTGGCCTGGGCAAGCCGCGCGCCCCCTCGCGCCGCGGCATCCCGCCCTTTAGCTGGAGGGAGGCGGCGCGCCCGCCCGAGCGTCGCCACGATGCGCAGCCCGATCCGACGAGCCTCGAGTGCCGCCGCGCCTGGCTGGCCTGCCACTTCTTCGCCGCCAACACGGCCATGTCGCTGCACCGCCCCAACCTGATCCGCTGGTCGTCGTTTATGACCGAGAGCCTCGACCTCCTGGCCTCGTCGCCCGATGCCGCCCCGACGGACCAGTACCTGTGCCACCTCGTCTGGACGCACCGCAAGGGCGAGGAGATTGGCGTCCAGTTCTCTATGGACGACCCGGGCGCCGCTCCCGTCAACATCACCGACGCCAGGACCCAGTATGCCCTGAGGGCGCTGGAGCGCGACCTCGCCAAGTACCGCGCCTCGGTGGCCAAGGAGCTGCTGCAGCGTGAGTCCTGGCTCTCTGCCCCTTTTCCTGACCCCCTTCTCCTCTGTTGCTGACGAGTCCGCAGCAACGCTCAAGATTGGCTTCCACCTCCTCAGCCTGTACATGCACGAGCTCGTCCTCCACTCCAACATGTCGACGGAGCAGATCCGCCCGCCCTTCAACACCGACGCCATCCGCGACGGTATGGTCGGCCGCGCCGAGCCGCTGTCGGCCGCCCACATCAACGCGCTGTCGGCCTGCCTGGGCGCCATTGCCGGCATCCTTGACACCTTTCTCGCCATGGACGTGTCCGCCATCCGCTGTCTGCCCGTCTTCAACTTTGTCCGCGTCGCCTACGCCGTCGTCGTCCTCATGAAGATGTTCTTCTCCGCCTCGGACCCGCGCTTCGAGCTCGGTAGCATCATTGGCCGCGGCGACCTGCGCGTCGACTTCTACCTCGACGCCCTGCTGCAAAAGTTTCGCGTCACCGCCGCCGACGACAGGTGTCGCCCTGCAGCAAAGTTCCTCGTCGTCCTCGTCATGCTCAAGAGCTGGTTCCTGAGACAGGCCAAGGCTGACGTCGACTCTGGCGGCGGCGGCGGCGGCGGCGGCGCAGTGGAAGGCGGAGACGGCTCTGGCGCGGCCCTGTCCGGGACCAGTCCCGCGCCCCCGGATGCCCCCCCTCCCTCCTCGGCCCAGCACCCGCGGCAGCACTCCCTCAACACCCCCCTGCAGGTCCTCTCCGAAGTCGCCATGGGCCGCGAATCCAGCGGGCCGCCGCGCCCCGTCTTCGGCTCCCTCCCAGACATCCGACCCGGCCATGCCCACCACCTCCACAAGCCCCTCTTCCACGACGCCGCCTCCTCGGCCGGCGGCGCCTCTACCTCGTCCCCCTCCGGCCCGAGCGCAAACTTCACTCCCACCGCCGCCGCCGCCGCCGCCATGGGCCCCGCGTCGTCGTCCTCGTCGTCCATAGGCGCCGGCCCCGGGGCCGCGGGTGCCTTTCCTCACCCCCCCTGGATGGACCAGCAGCAGCAGCAGCAGCAGCAGCAGCCGCCAGCGCCGAACTGGGATCCCCTCACCGGCCTGCCCCCGAGCCTCGGCCTTGACCTCGAGAGCCTCGGCCTGCCGCTCGACTCCTACGACGCCCACGCCGGCGGCGCCAGGATAATCATCAACGAGCCCTGGTTCACCGACGTGTTCCAGGGCCTGCCCGACCCAAACGTCTTTCCCTTCTGACGACATCGTCCTCTCCCCTCCTCCCTCGTCCCGTCTCCGCCCTCTCTCCCGCCCCCGCGTCGTCGTGTGCCCCTGTGCAAAAGTGTCTCAGCCCGTCTTTGTTCCCTACGCCAAAAAAAAGGACAGGAGTGTACAGCCCCTGCTTCGAGGTCAGGCAGGTACAGAGAGCAACGACGTCATGCGAAAAAGTCGAGACCCCTATCGTCTCCTGGTGTTGTGGTGAAATTGGCTGAAAATTAAAGATCCCCCCCTCAGGTTTTGGCGAAGCATTTTTGCTACTGTATTTGATTTGTACCTTTGAGACTTCTCTTCTCTATGCTGGTTACTCACTCATGGACGGTGCAAAGAGCTTGTGCGAAGACATCGGAAATGGTGGCATGTTGGCCTCGCGGACAGCGCGCCTAGTGCGCTGCTCGAGTAAAGCTACGATGCGTCGTACCTTTGCCTATCCTCTTATGTTCGTCGCACACTACTCATGCCGTCATTGGACGCTCCGAGACTGCTTATTGCCTTCATTGCACATGAAGAGCTGCACCATTCCAGATACAGGCCGACCTGTGTTTGAACCCTTTCACATTGTCAACGGCTCAGCTTTATAAGCAACGCTCGTTCCGAGCGACATCAATCTCAACGGGAGGGGTGAGGAGCAAGTCGTCATCGCCCTGGCCGAGTCCTCAACCCAGACTGACGTTGCACGCAACCGGTGACGCCGGCGGCAGATGTCTCGTAGCCTCCTCAAAGCTAGTTCCCTCCGCTCCTTGCACATTTCCACAGCCGCCACGCGCCTGGGCCACCTCCAGACGCGGCATAATCGTACATAGACAACCTAGGTAATACATAAAAATAGGCCATGTGACCAGCTGGACCAGCTGGGATCAGCTGGACCAGCTGGGAGCCAAACGATCCCTGTCGTCGGCTGTCTTCATCGCTTGCCCTGCAAACGGACTTGTGCCACATTCTGTCCGGAGTGACAATAGGAAAAGAAGACTCTGCCAGTGCGTCGAAATCTCCGTGGGCATTCTTGGCGAAATGGATTGTAAAAGACCCAGTAGGACGTCGCCATACGTTGTTTTCGGTGCATTTTCCACTTGTTTCTGAGAGCAATTCATAAATGGCAACATTAATCGAGGCAATGTCATCGAAAACCGTGTAGGGCGTGCAAATGCTTGGCACGTCGCAGCCCGGGGAAGGAAAAAGACCAAGAAGCCATCGCCAGACACCAACGCGAGGCAGCTGAGACGCGTGTGGCCGTGGCCGGGTAACGAATGCTGATGGTTTAGGACCACGGGCGCTTGCAGTACGGCCCATGAGCCGTCAATGGGGTGAGGCCACGTGGCGCAGGAGAGCGCAAACCTGGGTGGTGGAAGCGGCTCAGTCCATGTAGAAATCGCCCTTGAGGATTCGCTCCTGGAAAGCATCGGGCTTGCGGCTCTCCGGCTTGGGCTTGACCGAGGCAGCCTGGGCAGGGGGCTGGGGCATGTCGGAGACCGACTTGGCGCGGTCGTGGTGGGTGGGGCCCCTCGGAGGGGACGAGGCGAGTGGGAAGGAGGGGCGAGCTCCGGTAACGGAGCTCTCGGCACGGGACCTAAGCTGCTCGGACCAATTGAAGCCCTGCTGGTCTGCACGAGGAGGGACATTGTTAGAAGATGCTCTTTGGTGCTTGGTGTTGCTTGCCTGTGGAAGAGAGGCCGGGGGCATGGCAGTGCTGGCTCGGCGGCCGGCCCCAGAGAGGGCGGTGGTGACAGCAGAGGCCTGCGGCTGCGAGGGCCTGGGTCTCGGTCCGAGGGAGGACAGGGGAGAGTTCGGGTTATTACCATTGCCAGGACTGCCGCCCGGACGGTACCCCCTCATGGCAGGAGCACCCAAGCTCATGCGGCGGACAAAGGGCGTGGTGGGAGCGGTTCTAGCGCTACCGACGGGGAGGTCCTCATCCTCGACAGCGCTCTCATCGATGGAGTCTGAGCTGGTTGAGAGGCTGCCTCGTCGGATGCCGAAGGCGGCCGGGTTGGTGGGCGAGGTGCCCGAGAGGCCGATTGTGGTGACGGACAGACGACGTCTCTGGGCGTCGGTAGCGGAGCCAGGAGGGAAGGGAGGGCCGTTGGGGTTGGCAGGGGGGCCACGCTGGAAGAGGTTGGAGAAGGCGGCTTGGGTGATGGAGCTGCGACGGTTGCCGGGGCCGAGGCCGCCACCAGGGCCGGACGGAGAGGTGTTGTCGGAAGACATTGTCGACGATGTTTGTTTGAATGACGAGAGATGGAGGTTGAGGGAGCAGAAAAGGCGTTGGCCTTTTATGAGGACGGTCTAGTCAGGCACCCAAAGGCAGGCGTCGGAGGGTCGGAGGGTCGTTTGGTGGTAGGTAGGCTGATGGTATCAGGGTGGCATGAGAGTGGTTCGATTTCGAGGGGGCAGGCGTCGAGGCGAGGCGCGGCACGTGGGATATATAGCCGTAGCACGGCAGAGAGAGCAGCTAGCCGACCAGGGGGGTTCTGGCACACGGCGGTGAGGAACAAGACAGGCTGGCAGGTAGGTACTCCGTACTTTGTTGCAAGAAGGAGCGCGAGAGTCGAATGACGACGGGCCGCTAGCAGGGGCGTATGTATGGTGGCAGTGGCGGCGGTCGGTCGATGGTTTGCTGCAGGTTCGTGTGGATGAAGGGGAAGAGAGATGGAAGTGCCGGGCTGCGGCTGGCCAAAGGACGGATCCAGATGAGGGGAAAGGGGGTGTGTAGGAAGGAGAGAGGGAGCAGGATGAGTGGGAGGCGCGAGGGAGGAGAAAAAGAAAGGGAGCGAGAAGAGAGGGGTAGCCGACAAGACTGACTGACTGACTGATGGACGACGGAGAGAGAAGGGGGGGGGGGAGCGAAGGCGCGTGTACTGCCTGCACTGTACCGAAGTGTATGTATGTACAGACCAAGCAAAGATGAAGAAGAAAGAGTGGCGGTGGTGGAGGTGGTGGAGGTGGTGGAGGTAGTGGTGGTGGTGATGGATGAACTGAGCGTTGCGTTGGAGGAAGGAGGCTTTGCGAGCAAGCAAGCAAAGCACGCTGGAGCCACAGCTGGAGCCACAGCTGGAGCCAGCAGCGAAAGCCGGAGCCGGCTGCTGGCGTCTGCTCCCCGGTACTTCTTAACTTACCTAGGTAAGGTTAGGTACCTACCTACCTACCTACCCAGGTAGGTATGTACCTCGAGCACTAGCAGCCAGGGATACAACGTACATGGGCCCAGATAGGGACCTAGTGTCCGACTCGGAGACCCTGCGCCACCAGCTCGACCCTCGACGCTGTCAGAGCATCGGCAACCAGTAGGAAGGTCGTCGACACGAGACATATGCGCGGGTACCTGCCGGAAACAAAAAAAAAAAAAGAACTCCCCCTGCACAGCCGTCGGCAAAGGAGACCCAAAAGCTTGGGGGGAGGCAAACTCAAGCTGCGGCATGGACTCGTTTTCCAAAACAGAAGGGGGAAAAGGGGGTCGTGTGGGAAGCTAAGCACGGGCCGACCGACCATGGCTCAAGTTGTCTTTTCTTTTTTCATCTTTGCGAGTGGTAGGTATTAGCTGTTGATGGATGATGCCCTGGCATGGAGTTTCGCTATCCTTCCGCGCACGCTACGTCACCATTTTTACAAGTTCCCGAGACAGTCCGGCAAAGGGTCCCATCAATTCCATCCATGGACGTGTGTACAAGCAATGCACGGCCTGACGACCAGCATTCAACATAGCTAGCCGAGGTTTCAAGTCGTGTATGTACACCAGTTACGGAGTACATGGCAGCAGCATGGCTCTGATGGCGCAATGACGTTGTGAGGTAGGTAAGGTTGGTAAGGTATTAGGTAGGTAGGTAGGTGGGTAGGTAGGTAGCTGTATACAGTAAGTACCTAGCTAGGTACCTACCTACCTACCTACCTACTATTATCCACGGCACTCACTTTATCCTACCTAGGTACCTTAGGTACCTTACCTCATGGTCTGCACTCGCGAAGCTTATACACGTCGTCACATACCTCTGGTACATCTCTGCATAGGACAACTCATTACCTACTGCCGGGACGGTTACTCCCGGCGGGCAAAAGGATGCATCTCTCTCGAGGCAATCCGCCGCCGCCGCCGATCCAACTATAGCGGCCAAGCGTTTCAATCCAAGTCACATGCTGAGGGCCGGCTCCTGCACCGCGTCATGCCAGTCCCCCACTGTACCGGTACTGTACCGGTACTGTACATTACGTACATTGATCAATCTGCGGGGTAAATGCGGTAAATGCCCTCCAGGTTACTTTCCACCGGCGGAAACGGCCATCTCCATTGCCCGCCCATCCATCCATCGTCATCGCCTGCCAACGACGACGCCTGAACAAGGTCCAACCAGAGTCGCTAATGCCTCCCCCCGCATCTGCTTCCAGCCAAGCGTCATTTGTCCACCGAACCCTTGCGAGAGCGTGCGTGTGTGTGTGTGTGTGTGTGTGTGTGTGTGTGTGTGTTTGTTCACTTACACACTTTGACACGCTTTGACACCAACCGACACACGACGATGCGTTGGCCCTACCAACCTTTACAGTACAGTACTGCACATGCAGCAGTGCCGACCGTCGTCGTCGTCTCGGCGCCTTTTGCCAGGTCCGTCATCCAATCACCCTTCATCTCCCATGCACGACATTGCTACCCTCGGGGCCATGCTGATCCCAGGGGGCGAATCGGGTGCCAGGCAGCATCCCTCGAGCGCCGTGGTAGCCGGTGTGCCCACGCCCCAAGCTGCACCTATACTATACACTGCCGAGCAGATACCCCCATTCCGCAAGATTCGCGAGCCAAGGGTCCTGCTGTCGTATGTGTGCAGCCCATCCTAGCCGTGCAATGGCGGCTCCACCTCCTCATGCGCAAATGAAGCCTCTCCGCAAATGAAGCCTCTTCAGCTTCAGCGTTTTGCCCGTATCCCCTCCCCGCGCCTCTGTCCGCATAGCCCGCACACCCCGCAGTCGCCAGAATTAGCGTACGAGCTGCTCGTACACGCCGTGTTGCCGCATCGCCATGTCCCACCCGTCTTGGTCGTATCCAGCACGTTGGCGCACACTCCGCACGTGGCAGCCGGCCCGACGTTGACAAACGAGCACGCAGGGCATGTCGTCGTGTCTCCGCGACCCTCGACTGTCGGGCTCGGCCTTTGGCTCGTCTTGGCTCGAGTCCGAGCATCCGGTGGGGCTGCGGGAGCGGCATCCAACACTTCTACCGAGTCCTCGGTAGCCTCGCTCTTGACCCCTGTCCGTGGTCTTGGCTTCGACTCGACCAGCCTGTTCCGTCGACCTTGTCTGCCACGAGCGTCGTTGCTGTCCTCGACCACCCCCTTGGACCGCCGCACTGCTCCTGGCGACTCCCTCTTTATCCTGCCTTTTCGAAAGACGTCCCTCAGCTCGTCGAGCTCGCCTCGGGCATCGACATCGTTGGTGTCCTCGTCCTCACACACCCTGACCATTCCCCTGCCCTTGCTGTCCACCAGGGGGCGTCCGTCGACATCAACGGCGTCTTTGGAGTCGACATCTTGGGCGTTTTCGTCCCCATCCTCGCTGTCGCTCCCAGTGTCGTCGTCGTCTTTGATAATGCTGGCTGTCTCTTCTTTGGGCTTCTCAAAGCGTGCCAGCGCCGCGGCTGCGCGTAGTTGCCGGCCTCGGTCACTGTTGGCGACTCTCGGCTTGGCCTTGGTCCTCTTGCCTTGCTCCAGCTTGACCTTCGTCTCTTCGTCTGCGCCCAGAGCCACTCCGCTTTCGCCGAATCTTTTGCGTATCCTCCTTTCTTTCCTCTCCTGATACGTCAATACCGGCTTCCTCTTCCTCTTCCTCCCCCTCGTCCTAAACGTGCCGCCGCATAGGTGCTCGGGCAGCACCTCGTCTGCCTTGATCGTATCCCTCTCCCACTCGCCTGTCCTCAGGTTCGCTCCCCGGCCCCAGATGCCTTCGCCCGCGTAGCCCTCGGTCCAGAGCTTGTGCATCTCCGCCGCATAGCCGTTGCGGACGGCCCAGAAGGCGCGCGAGTGGTTCATCTGCTTGCAATGCGCTAGCTCGTGCATCATGACCATCTGGACGTACTCAAAAGGTAGCCAGTGCCCGGTATGGGGGGATTTGAGGACGAGCTGGATCACCTCGCCGGCGTTGAAGTTGCGGCCAACGAATTCGTGGTTGGGTTCGTACTCCTCGAGCGACATGACGTAGAGCTGGTGCTTGCGCATGACGGGGACTGGGGGAGAACAGTGAGCGGCCGGCCGCGCTGCTTGCAACGAGGACTTACCACATTGTGCTGCGATCCGTTCCAAAAACCCTTGCGCAACATTTTCGCTCGGTCCCGCCAGTGGCTTGATGAAGACAATATTCGGGTTTGGCTGTGATTTCCTTGCATTGAGGCGCTGGATGCCCCAGGGCATGACGACTGCAATCCAAGTCACTTTCCTCCTATTGGCGCACTGTCGTACACGGTTCGTACAGGGGATGAAAGATCCCAAGAATCCTGCAAGACTGTTGGTCTCTATCACATCGGGTGATGCAAAGCGGGCGTTGGAAGACGTAGAAGCGTAGCGCGGGGAGACGTGGATTGGCGTGCCAGGGACGAACACGAGATCATGTGACTTGGGCCAAGCCACTCTATTCCAGCCAAAGCCAACATGACCAAATGCAGGCTTCAGTTCTCTTATCAAACCCCACGCATTTGCAACATGATATTCTCATGCCATAAGTCTACGAGCACCAAGCAACCAATGCTGATGTATATGCCGTGACTCCTTCGAATCTCGTCGTTACCGCCTTGCAGCTTCACCCCTCTCAAGGTGCTCGTCTAATTACCCTCGGCTTCCAGGGCTTCCCGAAACTCGTGCCTCGCCTCGACATTCGCAATGGCGCTCTGCACGGCGCTCGTCAGGTCCACATGAAACAGGGGCATATCCAGGCCGTGGACGGCTGCACCCGTTCGCCTCTGCTTCAGCATCTTGGTCGCCTTCTCCCCAGCAGCCGTCGCAGAACCTGCAAAATCCGTCCACTCGCCCTCTTTGCCCATTTGCTCGTCGTCAGTCCACTGCGGCGGGCCGCTGAGCTGTCGCGCGTTGGCGTTTTCCTCTGCCACAGCCGCCGCAGAGTCCCGTCCCCCAATCTCCGCTACGCTGAAAATCGACTTCCACCGGTGCTGAGTCCCGTCCCCTACCCCGGTGGGCACGCCGAAGCCTCCCGCAACGAGGGCCCGTTTCGTCCACCGGTTGTTTATGCAAGCTATGTGCCAATCCACAACGTCTGGCGACGCGTACTGGTCGAGCTGATTCCGTACATCGATTAGACGCTGCACTGACGTAATGTCGACGTTGTTGACGGAGCTAAAGTCCAGGATAATGGCCTTGAGCGTCGGCCGGTCGTTGACGTCAGAGTCTGCCCGAGATTTTGACGTCTTGCGAGGCCCAGGGTTGTTCCAGGGCCTGTCCCCTGCCCGTTCAAACCTCTCTGGGCTTGTGCGGCAAGTGCGCGCGATGATGAAATCTGTCAAGTAGTCGAGCGAGAAGTTTGCGTTGGGATAGTTGAACCCCTCAAAGAATCGATATATAAATATGCCGGGATATGGATTATCAACTTCAACCTCGGGGTTGGAACCGTCTTCATGGTCAAGTGGCAAGAAGACGTTTCGCGCCGCGTTATTCACCGGCTCCTCAAACGTTCCGTATTCGCCGACGGGCTTCTTTGGGTCGTCGCCGATGACATGGTCTCCTAGAACAGAGTGCACCCGAACTTTTCCAAGGAATCGTCCGCGCGCCTTTAGAATCCGATAAATGAGAATGGCGGCCGATATGCCGACTGTCGCGTACAGGCCGTCTTCAATATCGACGAAAATACTGACCAAAACACCGACAAAGAAGACAAAGACTTCTAGCGGAGAGACTCTCCAGAACTGGTAGACTGTGTTTGGCGGGGTTATCAGATCACCGACGGCGTGAATGATGACGGCCGAGAGTGTGGCGTTCGGGATATAGAAGAAGACGGCGGTGAGGAGGTACGTGGCCAGAAGAACGACAAGACCGGACACTAGACCCCCGGCCGGTGTTCGCACGCCCGCCTTGGAGTTTACGGCCGTCCGGCTAAAGGACCCGGTCGACGGATAGGCGCCGAGAAACGGGCCCAACATGTTGGTGACGCCGATGGCTACCATTTCCTGGGAAGGGTCAATGCTATAGTCATTTACTCTGCCAAACGACTTGGAAATGGCAATGTGCTCGACCAGCATCACAATAACAGTTGCCGGAAGGTGGGAGCCAAAGTGGGAAACAACATTGCTCTGCAACTGGGGAACGCCGGCGTGGCGAAAGCCTGGACACGGGACGGTTAAACTCGGCAGCTCGAGGGAAGAAGGCGCTTACCCTTTGGCACGGTTCCCAGAAGACGGAATGCCGGGTTGTCTCTTCTGTGCATGTTGACCAGCCAGCTGACCAAGGTATAGAGCACTATGACGACGACGGTGCGCATGGTGTTGACAAAGAAAATAGCGCGCCTCTGCCTGGGATACCTCTCCGCTGCCTTGGCTAGACCGTACCGCACGAGATAGAGGGCAAAGAGGGCGGTGAGGCCCATGACAGCATCGAGCCTGGCGTGGGGCAGGTGCTTGAGCGTGTTGATGACGACCTTGTAGGGCGGATCCCGGTTGGAGAAGCCGGTGACACCGAGGAGGGCCGGGAGTTGACTGACGGCGATTGTGATGGCGGAGCCCGTCATGAAGGCAGACAAGGAGGTGATGGAGATGAGATCGACGATCCAGCCGCAGCGGAGAAGACCGATGGCGAGCACAACACAACCGGCAATAACGGATAGGGCCGAGGCAATGACATGAGGCGGGATATCCTTGGCGTCGGGACGCGAGGTGACGTCGTCAACGACGGAGCCGACAACGGTAGACAAGACGGCAACGGGCCCTATGGAGATGTCCTTGGAAGTGCCGAATATCCAATAGAGGATGACACCCATGAAGGACGAGTACAGGCCAAACTGAGGCTCGAGCTTGGCCAGGGATGCGTAGGCCATGCCCTGAGGGACGACGACGGCACCAATGGTCATTCCCGCGACGACATCGCCGGCAAGCCACTGGAGGTTGTAGTGGCGAATCCAGGGGAGAAAAGGAAAAAGGGACTTGGCATATCGGGCGGCGGCGCCGGGCGAAGGGATCTGGGCGTTGAGCCACTCGGAGGTGGTCGGAGGACCTTCGACAAAGCTGTCGCGGCTGCCTGCCGAGAGGACGGACTCGCCTCTAGTAACAAGGTCTCCGGCGTCTTGGCGTGGGTCTTGGAGCTTGATTCCGAGGAGCTTGGCCAGCGCATGGCCGACCATTGTCGTGAGAGGCGGCATGGATGGAGGTGAGAAGGAGAGGGAGATGCGGATATCTCATCCTGCTAATCCATGGCCTTGCGAGGAAGAGGGTGACATGAGACGACAGGCGCAAGGGGAAGAGGAAGATCGGGTTGCGAGGTTGCCACACATGTCAAGGACACGTCGAGGTGTAAAGACGGCGTTGGAGCTCGACGGTCGGCGATGGAAGCCTCGGGCGGGTCCCGTGCAGTGAAGCAACAGCGCTAAGCGCCCAAAAGCCGCTGGGAAACGGGCGCGGAGGGTGGCCGGCCATGATTATAAATCGTTGGCAGTCTTCAGCAGTCTTCAGCAGCTCAGCCCCGTTGGCCTCGAGCTCCAGATTTGGATCTTGGCGCATTCTGGGAGCCGCGATGCCCATGGTAAAGGCTGGATGGGGGGAATGGTGGTCAATCATGTCTTGTCTCGCCTGCGGGGGCAGGTGACGGCGTCAGAAGATGAGCCGCATGGCGGCGGCGTCGGCGTCGGCATTTTCCATTGCCGATGTGCCGCCACTATCTAATTACGGTACAACCCTTCTGAACACTGTACCCCGTACTAACTAACTTGCAGGACAGGCACAATTTGGGTGGCATTACAGAGTACCATTACATCCAACCAGATACTGTGTGTCGCACTGTGCTTGAAAACACGCTCACTAGCACGCGAAACCGACGCGCCGCTATTTAGGCAGTTTGCCCGCGTGCGAAGTAGCTACAGGCTACAGCACAAACGGCGCCGTGTTATAACGCCTTGCTTGGATACGATCCAAGCAGCACTCTGGCATTCGTAGCTTTAGGTGGTTGATAATAAATTCAGTGGTAACCACGATGCCACTGAGTATAAGCTCCGTGCCGACCTTTTTTTTTTGGTTTTTCATGAATCTTTTGGCAACCAACTACAACGGATAAGACACTATGTTAATACCTACCTACCTACCTAGTAACTTTGCCGCTACCACTTCTGCCCCCAACGCCACCACTTTATCCAGCCTCCCCTTCATCAACTCTCGTCGCCAACTGCTTCGTCCTCCCAAACCTGCCGGCAATGCCAGCACCCCGAGGCCTCCTCCCCCTACCGCGCCCCCTCGCCCCCGCGCGCAACCATGCCTAGCCCATCCAGACCATCGCCCTCGCCCTCGTCGTCGCCGCTGCACCCTCCCCTCCACCCAGCCGGCACCGAGCTCCAGGCCCCTCCGTCGCCGCGCACCCATCGCGCCCTGCGAAGACTTCAGTCCGCCCATAGCCTCGGCGCCTCGCGCGTTGCCACCAACCCGCCCTCTCTCATCTCGCAGCAGCGCCGCGACCTCCACCGCCACGTCTCCCCGACCAGGGACCCGGCCAACCACTCGCCCCACCGCAGCCGCGCATACAGCGATGCTTCCTCCCCCCTCGGCCATCATGACATCAACCCCGTCGCCGTCGCCAAGAGAGCAAACGTCAAGAAGCCCGTCTTCTCCCACGGCCACCTTTCCCTCCAGCAAATCATTCGCGAAGGGCCCAACGACGACGATTTCCCCGGTGCCCTCGAGAGCGCAAGATGGAAGGTGGTTGACGAAGGCATCAAGAGTGCCGAAGATGGAATGGTGAGCCTTCCTCTTCCTGTGTCTGGGTAGAGAGAGACGGTTGACGCTGATTCTCGTCCTTCTAGTCGACGCTGCGGATATACGTCTGGCTGGTGCTCCTCGACGCTCCCATCATGTCCACCGATGACTACCTCTCCCTTATCCACCGCGGTGCCTCGCCCGCCTACTCCAAAATCCGCAACGATACCTTTCGCACTCTCACCACCGACCCCTTGTTCCGCCGCCGCGTCAGCGAGGCCAGCCTGATCCGCCTCCTAAACGCCATCGCCTGGCAGCTGCACGACGCCAAGGAGGATCAGCGCCAGAGCCGCCCCAGCAGTCGGCAGTCGTCGCATCCCCGCGACAGCCTCGTCGGCAGCGTCTCGGGCCATTCCCAAGCAAGTATGCGTCCTTTGAATCATACGCCGCCCCGCCGACGCGCCGGCTTTCATCCCCTCGCACAGCTGACCAGACGTCCCCCCCCCGCAGAATCCAGTGCCGGCCCGGAGCCAGGCACCTACGTCCAGGGCATGAACGTCCTTGCCGCGCCGTTCCTCTACGCTGCGCGCAGCGAAGCAGAGGCCTTTGTCGCCTTCCACTCCCTCCTCACTCGCGAATGCCCAGCCTACATTCGAGGAGCCATGGACGGCGTCCACCGTGGCCTCGCCCTCGTCGACAAGGTCCTGGCCATTGTCGACCCCAAGCTCAGCATGTACCTGACAGCCAAGGGCCTCTCGGCCGAAATCTACGCCTTCCCCTCCGTCCTGACCCTCTGTGCCTGCACGCCGCCCCTACCCGAGGTCCTGCGGCTGTGGGACTTTTTGTTTGCCTACGGGCCGCACTTGAACATTGTCTGCATCGTCGCCCAGCTAACCATCATGAGGTCCCAGATCCTCCAGTCTCCTAGGTAAGTCCCTAACTTTTGCTCGCGTATAGTGTCTCTGGCAGCATGTACTGACCATGCCCCAGTCCCAACAAAGTGCTTCGCTCGTTTCCGCAGCTGCACGCTGATCTCATCAAGAACGTCACCATCGGCATCATCAAGAAGATACCCGATGATGTGTACGCCGAGATTGTCTCACACGCGCTATAGTCACCGCAATGGCGAGCTTCGCTGTTGCTGTACACCCGAGCGAGAGGCGGCATGGGCAGCCGCTGCGCCTCGACTCGGCACGAACTGCTATGAATTTTACGATGACGAATGTGTTTCTGTGCGCCAGTCCGCCTCCGCCGTGCCAGGCCCAGGGGACGACGGATAAGGGTCACGTCTCCCTGTCCGTCGCGTCAAGAGGACGCGCCGCTTCTTGACGACCCAAAGACGAAGAGAACTCTGTATACTAGAGGATTTAACGAGGAACGACGCACCGAGCAATGTGATGATACTGGAAACATGGACGGCGTGCCATTTGTGCACGACTGATCCGCTCCTTGATTCATAATACTCACTGGTAGTTAATTGAACCCTGCATGGCTGTCTGGCAAGCTCCCATATATACAAGAAAGTTGTAAAAAAGGCCAAGAAAAACGCCGGTGTATCGATGCCGAAGGAAAGGAGGCTTCTTCATGCAGCACCCACATTGTATCCTCTCCGTGGAACCGTCTCCAACAGTGTCTACCGTTCATGTGCCCCAGCTGGCATGACGGCACAAAATGCCCTTGTCCTCACTTATGTGGCTCCTCAATGCCTGCAGCTTCCGTCATTGCTGATCTTCTTTCTAAACCCAACCTAGCTTCGAAGACAACAACAGCCAAAGACCCCAAGCTGTTGAGCCGCGAAGACAGCGCGGTCACTCGGCTCTCCATGCACGTGCCCTCTTGAATCTTGATAAAGAAACAGAAAAGTAAAGGAGCAAAAAGACAAAGGAGACTGTAGACGAGGGACGGAATGTTGCTCGCCGTGAAATGAAGACTGCATCAAGCAGTGCGGTTGTTCGATCCTTAGGAGGCAGGGCAGCCGCCCTCGAAGCGGCGAAAAGCGTTGGAAAAGAATTGCTGCATAGCCGTGTAGTGAAACAGAATGCCGCCTAGCACGGCCGCATGCCAAAGGTTGTGACTTCCCCCAATGTAGTCGAATACGCCGGGGAACCATCTCTCGGGGATCTTGCTTCCGTAGACGATTGCTCCTCCGAAGTAGACTAAAAGGGACTTTGAGATGGGCGAGTAGAAGTTGATGACGAAGTCGGACCCGTGCGTCAAGTAGAGCTGCAGGATGGGCATGGACCCGGTCAGGACAAGGCCGACGTAAAATGCGACCCTGACCCAGGCCATGTCGGCGCCATTGAAGGTCGGGTGCCAGGGCAGGGCGACGCCGCCAACGCCCAGGAGCGCGGTGAGTGTCATATAGGTCCATCGGCTCACAGGATCGCAATAGAAGGCCGTGTATTCGGTTGTCAGGATGGAAGCTGCAATCAGTAAGGAAATACCTGTGTAGTCGACGCAGGCAAAGATGGAAATGACATTCACGTCTGCGACGGCATTCATGGTGTGCCATACGATGGAGCAGACCAAAGTCAGGCAGGCGGTGACAAAGAAGACTGCCGCCACCAGGACATCGCTGGTGGAGCTCAGGCCAAAGTTGGCGCTGCTGGGGTAGAAGTAAAAGGCGACGGCGAGAACCAGGACAAGGCCAATCGCATGAGACCAGATGTTGAAGGACTCGTTGGAAATGTCAAACATGGACCGCACGCATTCGAGCTTGGTCTCAGTGAAGCGGTAGCCCTTGAGGATGTGGGGGTTGTTGCGCCACGGCATGGGCAGGTCATCGTAGAGGAGGAGGCGACGCTCTCTCGCCAGGTCGACGGCGTGCTGGATGTGCTCCTCAAGCGACAAGGCGGCTCGCTTGGCACGCTCGATGCCTTCATCCACAACCCCCCTGGCTCGCTCGATGCCCTCGTTTGCGACTCGCCGGCCCTCATCCATGAAAGCCTCGGCTGCGGTGGCAGCGTTGGCAAGGCCTTGTTCTCGCAGCTTGTAGGCTCGGACCTCAAACTCGGACAGCATCTCCTCGAGAAGATCAATGCCCACGCGGGCCTTTTCGTGGAGCGATTCGGTGGCTGCCAGTGTCTCCTGGTAGCGCGCCTCGAGGGTTTCGACCATGACATGCAACCTCCGTCGGCCGGCGCCAATGACCTCTTCGGACGCCTGGGAGCAGCGGGTGCGGACGGCTTGAAGGGTCGAGAAAGCTCGTGAAAAGCTGTAGTCCTTTCCCAGATCGCCATAGCTTTCGATGAAGTCGAGCCGCCTCTCCAGCTCGGAGAGAAATAAATCGACCTTGAGTAGGAGTCCTTCTTCGCCTTCCATGATGGTTTCAACGATAGACTTCCTCCGCGGTAGGAAAAAGGAATGTCGACGCCGCGGAACCGCATCTGCTCCGCGACTGAGGTTTGATCCCGAGGCCATGGCCAGGTCATCATCGTCGCGCGGTTGGCAGCCGCAAGCGGACGTGAGGGTCGTCACGTCGCCCATGACGTATGAGGTTCTGCCACGCAGCAGCATTGTAGGCTATTGTCTCTCCGCCCAGGTTAGACTAGCAGATGATGGCCGACATGAGGCACAGTCGGAGAAAGCAGCGAGCGCAAGGGCAGATGAGGCCTTTGAAGGTTGGCCTGGCGCCGAGGTGGCGGAACAGTTCTGCCGTTGGAGACGGGCCACCGTTGATTGGTGGGGGCGCAGGCGTCGGCCGTCGCTTCTTTCGCTTTTCAGCCGCAGCGATGCTTATCAGCGAAGCACGATCGGATGCGCGACGGCGTAGGTAAGGTACAGCGTGTTTGTAGGAGATGGACGGACGAGAGAAAGATGCTCTTGTTGTCCCGACTGTCTTGCTGCGAAAGACGGCGGGGATCCCACCTGCCGGGCCAGCAAGGACAGGCGGTTGGTTTCCTATCGGTTTCTGAGTACCAGCTACCACCTGTTCCGCCAACGGTGCTGGTGGATAAGCCGATAAGCTTTGGAGGCCCAAATTTGCCGCTCGCTTGATGTTTCCGGAAACGATTTCGACGTCTCCGTTTGGCCAGAGATGCCGCCGCTATCGCCCGTTGCATCCAGTCCTCGGCGTACATGAGCCTGCCATGTACGGTATACCTGCCAAGCGATAGTGTTGGGCACTCGAGAACGTGCGTCTCACTCCGCACATTTCATGCCCGTTAGATCATGTGCCCGCCTAATCTCGCACGTCAGGCATGAGCTAAGGCCACTGGGACAGACTCCACTGGGGGAGACTCCATGTGCTTACCTAAGTATCCAGGCACCAATCTCCACTCTCCGCTGCTGCTATTGTCGGTACCTGCTCTTGTCGCAAAGCTCCTCGCTCTCGTCGGTCCTTTCAACCTGCGAGTCCCGCCTGCGCTGCCGTCTTAGTCCCCTCGACGCGGACAAGGCAGCCCGACAACTTCGTGCCCATCAACCCGCCTTGCCAGCCATGGCCGTCAACAAGATTGTCAACGACTCGACACTCACCGCTGTTCTTCAAGTCTCGGACCAGGCTCGCGACCAGGCGCAGGCACTACTCAGCCTTACTGACCAGGCCAGGGAAGGCCGGCCATCCGCCGAGCTCCAGGCTGAAATCGCAAAGCAACAAAAGCACCTCCTCACGAGCATCTCGCATCTGCGTGGTCTACATCGCACAGCTTGCATCTCGGCGCGCGAGACCAAAGCCGTCACCTTGGAGGCCCGCCAGGAGGTCGACCGCCTGCATCTGCAGCTGCAAAACCTCTACTACGAGCAGCACCACCTCCAGGGCGAGATCTCGGCCTGCGAGTCTTACGAGTACGCTGCCGCCACCCTCGTGTCAAGTCTTGAAGCCGCGGTTGAGCGTGAGAGCTGACCCATTCTCCAGCCACAAGTACACTCAACTTCCTCTCATCCCGGTCGAGGAATTCCTCGCTCAACATCCTGAGCATGTCGACAATGACGAGAACGAGCTCATGGTTGCCCGCATCGACCACGAGCGCGCGGAACGCGAGGCGTTGGAGCAACAGAGACAGGAGCTCCTGAAACGCAAGCAGAAGTTGATTGCCGACAACAAGCGTCGCAAAGACGATCTCGCCAACCTGGATCAAGATCTTGAAAAGTTCATCGATGTGCGTGCTCCCCTACCCTCGAGGTCTACCCCTTCGCTGACATGCCGTTTAACACGAATACCGCAGGCGGCGAAACCTATAATGGAGTTGTTTGAAAAGGCTCCGTGAAAGCCACAGCTCGGTTGGAGAATCTCGCGAATGAATAGTGGCGGCGGCAGATGCCGAACAGATCTGGAATCCCTTCAGCCGGGCTCACGTGTGGGCCATGCGGGTCACGCAGCAGAGGACGAATGTCTGCCCAACTACCCACGCGAAAGAAGTGAGGGTAAGACACATAGACAAGCACAATGACTTGACTTGCACGCGGTCGAGCTTGCATATTGCTGCCCTGCCAGTGCTGGGGATTGCAGCGAAGCTGTCAAGGGAGTACACACACGTCGCAGCCCGCAGGCCCCGGGCTTGACGAGCTACCTTTGTACTATAGTTTAGATCTCGGGGACGTCATCGGCAGGGACCTATGGATCTCGGGGCCGGGAGCCCGTGCTACAGTGGGAGAGGAACTCGAGAGCATCCGCTACCTTGGGATGTATGTTGATGTATGGCTGCGAATGGTCGTGGATACCGATTCCTCCCTCACCGCTCTGCCCGCAGAAGCGCGCCCCAACAAGTCTGCTGGACCCCAAGCACAAAGGGTCAAGCACAACCCTGTTAGCTCGCCGCCTCGCTCTCCTTCCCCGCCACCCCCTCCATTTTGTTTGTCTGCAGGGAGGGAATTCGGAATCCTGGGGCGTCGCTAGTACACAGCCTTGGACCGCTACTCACCCTGGCAGGCGTTGTACATGGCCTCAACGAGATCGCACTTGATGGATCCGAGAGAGGCGCACTGATTCCCGACATTAGCACGGGGCTCTCCGAGACTGTCGGGAGCACGTGCCGCTTACGTCAACTTCAATGGGCACCGTAGTTGCCAGCCCCAGCGCGGCCACAGTGGCTATTTAAAAGAACCTGATCTTGCACTGCCCATAATATTCAGCTATTATTAACCGTCTTGCAAGCAACTATCCAAGCTAGGCTCCTTTGCCTTTTCGTAAATATCGTTTTTGGCATATACAAATTATAGCTCCTTGTGCTTGCAGCACAGCAACTGTGCCGAAGTCAACCCGAGGTGGACCCAACAGAGCCGACAAGCGACGCGACTAGGATAGAGTTTTCCTCCTTCGGCCCCGTACTAATTACTGCACCAAGCATACGCCAGCCCTTAGCATAGCTGCTTAATGTAGTCATCACGGATAGTATTGCTATCAAGCTATAGATACCGATTCAGGGCCGTCCATTTAGGCTCGTCTTTAAAAAGCCGTATAGCATGCATATACTAGACCCCCCAGTTAAAGTGTTAATAGCAATACCGACGTAGCTACCGGTACTCCTAGCCGCTCGGCAGGAGAGACGGATATGGAGGATAAAGCCCGTGGCGAATATAACTTACGTTAGATTCATCCGTGGTAAAACGGTGATAGATGCCCGCCGGCAGAATTAGTAGATCGTCCTTCTCAAGCTTAATGCGTATCCAGTCATCTTCCTTACTTCGGATATCAAAGTATCCCTGGCCGCCGCGGATATATCGAATCTCCTCGTCCTCGTGTAGGTGCTCGTCGAAGAATGTTTTGACCTTATCCTTATACACGGCTCCCATCGCGGCGGGCGATATAGTGATTTCGTCGCGATTCTTGTAGCCTCGCTCCGCCGCTAGCTTATCGACGTCGTCCATCTCGGGGAGGTAAAGGAACAGCACCCCAAGCTTGTTTAACTCGTTAATGCTTACGGCGCGCCCCGAGTCGTGAGGGAGACGCTGGTCGCCCTTGGCCATATTAGTCACCGTCGTTCTAAAGCCACAGACGAGCAAGCAGTCTAGGGGAGAATCATTCGCCTACCGGGGAGTTGTCAAATATATATGCCTTCATGGTTTCTTGCAGCGCCAAGCAATATATTACCTGCTTAGATAGCGGTGATTGGGAATCGGGCACGACGTAGTACCGGTAGGCGATTAAGACCTAATTAATACCTGCCCACGGGGAGCGGGGTCTTTTCCCCCGCTTGCCATCCCGCAGCCAGCCTCTCGAGTGGCGAATGAGGCCATTCTTGTGCCCCGCAGCACCGGCATCGCGGTGGGCTGTGGCTTGTTATCTTGGTAGCCCAGCCCTTAAGCCAGCGGGGAATGGGGGGGCTACGAGAATCGCTGCATGTGCGAGTAATTGATGCGTCTCGAGACGCGATTAGGTTTTCGATGGCGGGCAAGGGCTCTGGCATGGTTGTACCGTGGCCCGCGGCTTTCCCGTTGCCTGCTGAAATGACGGGCTCTTTGTCCCTAGGTATGGACCATTGTCCGGCAGTGTCCAGCCACTTGCAAGTCATGACGACTGTGCCGGGAGCGCACAGACGGTAAGGGACCGAGTGGCGGCCACATGGCGACCTGGTCAAGAGGATGGCTGGAGCATCAGATGAAGAAGGTGGTGCGGTCCTGGATAATAGGGATAGTTGGAGAGAGAGAGAATTGAGGAGAGGGCACAGAAACAGTTCGGGCTCGAGGAATAACGGGCGAATCCCGAATGTACCGGGTACAAGTGCAGCCCTACGAGGCAGTCACTGTCCGGGATGTCCAGAGTTGGGCTGTTTACCTTCGTGCTTTGTTCCACTGGGTGTATGTACAGTACATTCTGTACAGAGGATTTTTCGTCAAATACTACAGGCTACCGTACTTGGCACGTCTTTTATTGCCAACGAAACATCTCGTCTGACATTTCTCGCCGCGCGCGTGCATGCACACATAATCTTCTTGTGGAGATTTGAGGCTGACAGGGAGCCAGGAATGCCCTGCGCGGCAGCGTGGCCTGCCCTTGCGCCTGTACTCCGTAACGGACGAATGGCCCAGGAGATGGCGAGGCAGATTGACAGTCCTTTTAGCGGTTAAGTCACTTATTACCTACCTAGGTAGGTAGTTGTCCTTCCTCCAGAGAGACGCTATGAGGGTGAGGGACGATTCCCCTCGGCTTGTTGTCCTTGGCCGTCACTTTTTACTTTTTCTCTTGTTTATTTTCCGTTCGCCGGGCCCACGTACTACAAACACCGTCTTGCTGTGGGTTCGTGCGCCGGTTTGTTTGGCGATGGAACGACAGACGGCGACCGGTGCTTGTGCAGTTTGCCTGACGCATGGCGACCTGTCATCAATGACTCCGGACTGCAGCCTCTATGAGCCCGAGACTACCCCGTCTGCGTTTTGTGTCATCGGGACGTTCCGGGTGTAGGTGGCGTAGGTGATGAAGGTGGTGTAGGTCTTGGTAGCTGCCTTAATTAGTACTCGCTCGGTGCGGTGGAGTTCATGTCGACATGCGGCCAGCGGTCAGGTGCACAGCCGGCTGCACGTCGACATGGACAGTCCATCTGATGAACCTATTCGTGCAAGTTGCTGTGCCTGGCAGACTTTGGCGCAATATTTGTCGTGCCTGCCTGCCCGCTCATGCGGTACAACGGCTGCAGGCATGTGCAACACATAGGTACTGTAAGGTAAGGTAGGTAGGTACCTGAGGCAAAGCCGCGGAGTTAGTAGCCGGGTACGTGAATGGCAATCATAGGTACGCACTTTGTAAGTTACTCCGTACGTTCAAGTGGTCTGCAATAATCATCACACGCCGCTTACTCGCGCCTTGTCGGACAAAGGTTTCGTTGCTGACAGAGGCTCAACGAGTTCGAGCCCCCGGGCCCCCAAGTCATCATGCGCTTTCCGAACTCTTGCAGAGAACAAGACACAGTGACGGACTTGTCTCCACGGTCCCGCCGTTTCGCCCTCGTCGCACTGGTCGCCAAAGTACCCCAGTACCCCTACACGGCCTAGAGGTCACTCAATACTTAGGTGGCCGTAGTCAAACTAGGTCCCTAAGGTAGGTAGCTAGTAATAAGCCCACGCCCTCCTCAAGCAGCGCTAGGCTCCTTCAGGGAGAGGCGAGAGTAAGAAAAGACCTATGACGATTTGACGGTTCGCCATAAGTCTCGTTCCATGCCAAAGGCACCAACGAATAAAAAGAAGAAAAAAATCTTTGGAAGGGTGATTTGAGAACCTCGTCTCGCGAGGCCAACAGTCCCTCTTTTCTTTTGTCCCTGCAGCAGCATTTCACCACGCTCGTGCCGCTGTTTAGGTGAAACCCTCGCAGACGCGATGGTGCGACTCTGAAAGGCCGGGCGAGGCCAAAGTTTACTCCAACACCGCTCAGCCACTACCAAGTTTAACCAAGGTAGAAAGAGGCAACATGACGGGGTCCTGGAACACACCCGGCCGTCCAGACCGCCATGTTGCTGCGCATGGGGATCCATCCGCCTTTGCCCATCAAGAGTTCTCCGTTGCCTACGAGGCTGCAATGGGGCGGCCAAACTGCATCTAGCGCAAAGGCAGCCCTCCATTCAGCCTCGCCACGTACGTATGGAGGCGTGCTTTGCCGGGGCAGTGCTCGGCTGGGGTTGCTGCCATGATGACGGCGGGGCATGCGCAGTGCGGACTCGAAGCTCCATCCGAGGCAGATGCCGATGGGCAGGCAAGGAAGGAGGCGGTGATGGTGTGCTCGCCCACCTCCCGAGTTTTTGTCCAAGTCCCGCCAGGACATGCCATGATCCCCCGCATGGCGCTCGCATGAATGAGGCACGGATGGAGAGGATGGAGAGAGCCAGGGTCCTTGCTGCCTCTGCTGTGTGAGGTGGGCAGGTCCGTATAATACGCACTTTACCTTAACCTTCTGCGACTAAGTATTTACCCACCAACTTACCACACCCCCACCCACGGTAGGGACCCAGGTGAAGACCGCAGAGTAGGTAGGCACGGGCATGCAATACTCATAATCACCGTCCAAATTACCCAGATGCAACGGCATCCCAATCCGTCGTTGGCGTCTTCAGAGATGATACGTATGCATGCATCTATATAGCATGTACTGTACAGTATGTAATTATCCATGGAAAAAGTGTGCGGAGGCGACTGGTGTGTGTGCCGCGCATGTATGTGCTGTGCGTACGTGGCACACAGCACACAACACCGCACACAACACCGCACACAACACACATGTATTTCCTCGATACAATCTTCACTGACTAGCGTCGGAGTGAGGTAGCACTCCGTCCTCAAGTAAAATTACCTTGCCGTCTTTCCAAACTAAGCCGGCAGCCATCTCGTTGCCTGCAGCGAAGCGGCCTTGGCGACCACCCGCCCGGCCATTGAGCGTGCACCTACCAGTGGGCTTCCTCTCCACCACCCCAGCTGGCCGCTTGCCCTGGTCCAGATCCAGGTACCCGACGGGGCCCAGGCCAGTCAGCCACCCACGCACGCCCTGTGCGTGTTGTTGCGCTACGCAGTCTACGCTACAGAGCAGGAGAGAAGGGGGGGGGGGTTCAATCAGAGCCGGCCCTCTTTTTCCCTTTCTTTGTTCTACTGTACCTACCTACCTAGCTTCTGGCCTGTGCGAAGAGACGCTCAGCGCTGAGCACCTAGCGCGTGTTTGTGTGTGTGTGTGTGTGTGTGTGTGTGTGTGTGTGTGTCCGATTATGTGCCCCGGGAGAACACAAGGGGCCTGTTGTATGTTATGTTATGTTATGTTCTCCGTGCATGCCCGGGTCTCTCTGACTGCAGCGCCCTCTGCCTGCATACAGTACATACAAGCCCTCGGAGGTGCTCACGCAGGGCTATTGTTGGTGCATGGCGCGTCAAATGCCTTGGCTGGAGTGCCTGAGTGGTCTGTTGCGCGTCCCAAAGCCCCCCTCCAACTCCGACAAGCTCCTGCACCGCTCGGCAGGGGCTGCGTCACATGTACCTGCCGGTACTCGGTACACATTGCCCGGGGAGCAAGTACGGACATGGACAATGTACAATGCACAGGCGCGAAGAATATGGCCAGGTGCAGCTTGAAAGGAACCCGAGTTGTCCTTGGAGACACTCCGCACCGGCAAAAGAAGAAAGGAATCTCAAGAAAAAACAACAGGGATTCGCCTTTCGTACATATGATGGGCATGTTGATTAACAGCCATGGGGCCGGCCAATGGTTCCCTCGACGGCACCGTCGTCCGAGCCCAGCAACGGCTGCAAGTCTCGCCGCCTGGGCCCTGAAAGCCTAGAGAGAGGAAACCCTGCCCCTCCCCTATCTCCGGTCAGTGCAATCTCCCTCTGTGGCGCCGCCTCCCCAGAAGTGGATGCCAATCACTGGCTGTTGCGCACAATGTTCCAGGTACCCTCTACCCACGCCCAGGTACTTCATACCCGCCATCGGGTCCTGCCCACGCGCCAGCACGGGCGGAGCACCCGCGCAGGCCTCCCATTGCCCACAGTCAGCCCCAAGCCTTGCCCACCTCAGTCAATCCGCCCACGCCCCTGGGTGCTGGCCTTGGATCCAAGCCAAGGTACTGTCGAGTACCAGTGTACTTGACACCATGTGTCCCAAAAGCAAGACCCTGCGCACAGAAGTAGGTACGTACCGAGCCCCGGCGCCTCTTCAAAGTTCTCCTGGCAAATTCTCCCCCAGCGCTGGAAGCTTGTCAACGCCTCGTCGCTGCTACTTTCCTTTTTCCTTCCCAGCGCCTCACACTCCTTTCCCCGTCTCTCCTCGCCCATCCCCCCCCCTTCTCCCTCCCTCATCCTCCGCTCGACATCGTCCACGCCATCTCTTATTCCATCCAGGGCCTCTTCTCGTCATCGTTTCTCCTCGACGACGCCCGCCGCCCTCGCACTCGCCTAGCCGACTTCTGCTGTTCCGAGGGCGCTACCGCCTAGCAGTCGTCCGAGAGATGTCCCTGTTCGCATGGTGTTCGCGACGGGCCGGCGGCCTGAGCATGCTGGCTCTACTGGGTCTTTGCTACTGGGTCATTTCGCAAGAGTCGACTCTCCAACGGCATGGCTACAAGTCTGAGCGACCGAGCGCGCCTGGCGCATCCTACTCGTCAACGTCGACGTCGGGCGCCGGCATCTGGACCTTTGTCTTCGCCTACTACTGCCTGCTCATCCACGTCCTGGTTTTCCTCTTTCCCCTGCGTGCCTGCTGGTCTGTTTGGGACATTACGCAGTCGCTCAGGCGGTCGGCACAGAGCAAGGCCCTCGAGAACTTCAAAATGGGCCTGCGCAGACGCGGCTCGAGTACCTCGATTTCCAGCTCCGAAACGCTGACCTCGGACACGTTGACCTCGGACAGCAATGCTTACTCGTCGACCGTCAGCGAAGCTAGCGACGTGGAGCCCGAGCTCTACACGGACAACACAGATGCTGCTCAGGACCCCGTTATCCACGCCATCATCATCCCCAACTACAAGGAGGAAATGGACACGCTCAAGGAAACGCTCGAGGTGCTGGCCTCGCACCCGCAGGCGCACCTCTCTTACGATGTAAGTCCTGCCCGTCAACCACCCAGCACCCTCGCGAGCCCTGGCTGCTACCCGTGGCAACCCCCTCAGTCTGGATTTCGTTGGTGGTGGGGGGGAGGGGCGTTACGCGCCCGCTGCGCGTTTTGCGCCAGCTGCAGCCTGGGCCAAGGTTTGCTGACACGCCGCGCCAGATCTACCTCGGGATGGAACAGCGTGAGGCCAACGGCGAATCAAAGGCCCTGACCCTGATTCAAGAGTTTGTCAAGAAGTTCCGCTCAATTGACTATGCTCTCCACCCTGCCGACATCCCCGGCGAATCCGCCGGCAAGGGCAGCAACCTGGGCTGGGCCGCGAGGAAGCTCAGCGCAAAGTATTCAATGGGAGTTCGGAAGAATGTTATTGTCACTGGCATCGATGGTACGGGCACCCTCATATCATCCACGCTGTGTCACGCCGCGCAGACGCCGTGCAACTCGAGGCTGTGGTCGGCCTCGCGCTGCTGCCTTCCCTTTTGCTGACTTGCTCCCGCAGCCGACAGCCACCTATCGCCCAAGTACTTTGCCAACATCACCCTGATGCACCTGTCCCACCCGGAGACGGCGACGACGACCCTGTACGCTGCGCCCATTGTCTTCGACCGCAACGCCCACGGCGTGCCCGCCATTGTCCGCGTCGCCGACATCTTGTGGTGCGCCGCCGGTATCTCGGGCCTCTACCGCGGCTCGTCCATCGCCCCGCCGACCTCAGTCTACTCCCTGCCGCTGGTGCTGGTCGACCGCGTGGGCGGCTGGGACTGCGACGCCGAGGCGATTGGCGAGGACTTGCACATGTACCTCAAGTGCTTCTTCGCCCTCAACGGCAATCTGACGTGCCGCACCGTCCTGAGCCCCGTGAGCCAGAGCAACGTGACGGGCGGCGGCAAGGGCGGCATTCGAGGAACCATTGTGGACATGCAAGCCCGGTACAAGCAGGCCCTGCGGCACATGTGGGGTGCTCTGGACACTGGATTTGCGCTGAGGAAGGCCGTCGAGATGTGGCAGGAGCGCAAGCACACGTCCCGGGGGTTCCGCCCTCTGCATCGCAGCCAAGGCGACAGCTCCAACTGCTATTTCCCAGTCAACCAGCTCTCCGACGGCAGTCCCGAGCAACCGCGCGAGAGCGGCGTCTTCTCGGACGTGACCCAAGATACGCTCAAGGAGCCGCACTGGGAGCACATCTTTTACCTTTTCCACCGGTTGTTCGAGGCGCATTTCCTGCCCGTGCACATGACGATTCTGGTCCTAGCGTCGGCGCTGTATGTCTGGGTGACGGACGGCACCGACGACCCCAACAATCTGGGCTGGATCTTTACTCTGTGCAACATCCTGCGAACGTTGGGCTTCATGGAGGTGGCGTGTTACCTGTTCCTCTACGAAAGCTTCCACCGGATATGCGTCAAGACGCGCGAACGGGAGATGACCAAGGCGGGACTCGCGGACGGCATGTGCTTTTCTCACCGATCGATCAAGAAGAACCTGCTCGACTACGTCTTGGTGCCCCTGGTGGCGCCGCTATACGGAGCGATTCCCTGCGCCCAGGCAGAGATATCCCACTTTTGGACGGTGGATTTGGTTTACACGGTCAGCAAGAAGGTGACGCGGCAACGAGCCAGGTCTTTTATAGTGGTCGACGACTTGGCATGAGGCGCCGTGCATTGTTGTTTTTTCCTCGCGCACATTTTATGCCAGCTTGTTGGATCTGTCGGCCGCTCATCTGCGATTCAGGAAGGAGCCTGGGGCTTTGATTCACCACGACACATTTTTGGCCCCCTTGGACGGGCACTGGAATTTTGCCGGGCGGTGCGCGGATTTCCCAGGCGCACCTGTATATAGACGGGTTTTGGACTTGTTCGCGCACGCGGTGGGCATAGCATCGGCATTGAGCAGCATTTGTGAATATTCCGGCATGACGGGACTGAGTTTGTCTTGGGCGCGACGACAAGATGGGCGTTTTGGGGGCAAAGACGTTAGGGCTAGATGTCCAAGGCTGGTCAACTACAATCGCTTTTATTATTCTTCATCAACACTGGGAAGGGCACGAGGAGATGAGTGGAAGGAGCAAGGGTCACCGGGACGACGATGGGGAGAGGAGCGGGGCCGAGAGCTGAAGCGACGGCTTGAAACGCACGGCTCCAAACCAAAAGGGGCCGCGAGACAGGCAGGAGGATTCGACGGCGGACGGGGATGGGGATGACGAGGGTGATGGATGGCCTGGCGAAGCGCGGGACCGTCAGGGACAGGCGACGACACACACACTCACCCTTAATGTTGACTACATAATACTTAATATAAAAGAGAATACCACCAGATGGGGTGGCTGCCTGCATGTGTGTGACGGTTGCCGTGTGTTGGCTGTTTGCTGCGCCCAGGCTTGAGCAAGGGCGCATGTTGACTGACGTATGACTGACGCGCAGGAGGGAGAAAGGAGTCGATGGAGGAGTCGATGGAGGAGTCGATGGAGGTGGGCCAAGCCACATGAGATTCGCAACTCGACGAACGACGGGTGTGTGGGGACGGGGTCATGGGGGGAGCGAGCATCAGAAACAAGAGGTAATAAAATTGGGATTGCAGAGGAGAGCTGAAGATGACTCGGGTGGCTTGCGTCGTGTAAAGGTCAAGGCAAAGGGGGCCCGACGTTCCAGGTGTCGAGGAGCAAGGTTTCAGTGCTTTCGGCGCCAGGAGTGCAGGCTTACTGGGCACTACTTATTTATGGATGGGTGGAGGAGGTTCGGATATGGAGGGCATGTCAGCCCGGACAAGATGGAGAGGAGCGTTCGCCGTAATTAGCCAACGGTCTGTACTCGCTACTCCCGAGCGTGCCCGGATATCGAGCCCGCCAGTGGCCAATCAGACGGGGCCGGGCGGATTGCCGACGCCGAGTCCGCGGTCCCGAGCCGGACGGACCGGGTCCGGCTCTTGTTTATTGGGAATTTGGTATAGAGATGGAGAGAGATGTAGGAAGTATATATATGATGGTATATAGTATATGTCTTTGGACCGAGCCCCCTCGATTTCTGCATTGTTGTTGCCGTCCGTCTTGTTGTCCAAAGCCGCGGCCGTCAGTCATGTCTAACAAGGTCCGCATCGGAGTCTTCATCCCCAACGGCGCCCAGTCGCTCGACACGGCATGCGCCGACGTGCTGGGCGTCATGTCCAAGGAGTATCTGTCGGCGATGCCGCCGCCGCTCCGGCTGTCGCACGTGGTGGAGCTGGCGCCGCGCGTCGACATGGCCTACATCACGACGCCGTCGCAGGGCGGCGACATTCGGCTGACGTCGGGCATGGTGCTGCGGGCGACGCACGACTACACGGACGCCGAGGTGGCGCCGGGCAGGCTTGACGTGGTCATTGTGCCGGGGCCGGACCCGTCGAGCGAGTTTGACGAGGGGGCGCTCGAGTGGCTGCGGCGCCAGTTTGCCACGCCGGGCGTCGACGTCCTGTCCATCTGCACGGGCATCTTTGTCTGCGGCGCGGCGGGCATCCTCGACGGCAGAGTGGCGAGCGGGCCGCGAGGGTTGCAGGACGTGATTCGGGCGCGGTTCCCCAAGGTGAGGCTTGCGGGGGACCGGTATCGATGGGTGCGCGACGGCAACCTTTGGTCAAGCGGTAAGCAATGAATGCAGGGACTGTTGCATCTTGGATCGAGACTGAGTTGCGTGCTGGCAGGCGGCGTCACAAACGGCAACGACTTGATGGCGGCCTATGCGCGCGCCAGCAGCAAGCACTGGCCGCCGTCGATTGTGGAAATGTGCCTCATGTTGACCGACGTGGGCGACCGCGGCCAGGTCTACGGACAGCGGCAGGGCGTGTTTACGGCCATGTTTGGCTGGCAGCTGCTCAAGTCGTGGGTCGCCAGCTTCTTTTGCTCGGCGGGCGGCAAGGACAAGGCGGCCTAATAACAAGGCGGGCTGACAAGGCGCTGGAGAGCCGGTCTTTTTTGCAGGGGAGAAATGAAGGAGTTTCCGGACTGATGGAGGAGTCCCGTTGGGTTGGGGGCCTTTACTGTCAGTACGTATTGTACGGAGTACGGATACAGTACTGTACATACAACTATACGGATACATGTGTCGGGGCCAACCAGCTTCATATTGGCAATGCGGGTTATGCATGTCTCGGGTTTTTCCCAGTGATTTTCCCAGATGAAAAGAAGATCTTGTCACTTCTGGCAGAGGGAGAGGTAGGGTAGGTAGTACCGGTAATTAGGTCCAGGGTCCATTTATACGCCCGGTGGGTCGACAAGCCAGGGTCCATCTGGTTTTTTTTTTGCTGAGACACCGCCTGCCATGCTCCCGATAAGCGGCTTATCGCCACCCCCCATTGGCCCGCTGCACAGAGGTGGGGTCCAGGCAGCCTCGTCGGCCCAGGAAAAAAAAAGGCGAAGAAAAAAAAATCCAAAGTCCGTCTCCTCGTTCGTCAGCTCAGGATTCTTCTTTTTTTCTTCACCTGCCGTTCCTCTCTGAGAAGCTCAACCGCGGACGTGCAAACCCCAGGCCGCGCGTATCCATTCTCTCCTCGCCGTGTCCCCGCCACATTTAGGCAAATCTTTGGCCCAGGCTGCTCGCCCAACTGCTCACTCCGTCTCCCAGACCACCAGCAACCATGTCTGCTGTTCCCGGTCCCGTCTACGGGCTCGAGGTCCCGCCTGGCGAGATGTTGATCCCCGCCGCCATGGAATTTCCCGCCTCTGTAAGTGCTCTCTTGACCATGCCGCTCGTGGCGTCGCTTCCCGCGTTGGCGCTGGTCGAGGCCGAGGCCCTAGGCAGACAGAGACGCCCAGTACTGACCTGCTTCCCTGCCAGTTCCGCATCACCATGGCCGCTCTGGATCCGACTGAGGAGCCCGAGGCCGACCAGGAAGGAAACGTCCCAAACGTGCCCCGCTCCACTCTGCGTCTGATCAAGCGCGCCTTTCCCGGGCTCGACGACGACGAGGACGATGAGATTGACGACGAGTACATGAGAGCCATGCTCGCCGCGTCCGACGACGATGAGGAAGACGACGACGACGACGACGACGAGCCCAACGGTGGCCCCAGCGACCCTGCCAAGGCCAAGAAGCAGAAGCAGGCCGCCGCCATCAAGAAGCTCTTGGAAGCCGCGCAGGAGGACGACGATGAGGACATGGAAGACGCCAAACCCAACGGTGTCAAGGCCAAGGCAAAGGGAAAGGGAAAGGCCAAGGCCGCCGAGAATGACGACGATGAGCAAGACTCAGACTGCGACTCGGACTGCGACTCGGACGAGGGCGCCGATCTCGAAAACTTTGTCGTTTGCACCCTGGACACGGAGAGGGTACGATCTTCTCAGACAAACACCAGGGATAAACGCTCGCTAACATGCAACCGCAGAACTATCAGCAGCCCCTCGACATCACCGTCAACCACGGCGAAAAGGTCTTTTTCGTCGTCACGGGCACCCACACCGTCTACCTCACCGGCAACTACGTCATGGACGATGCTGATGACGACAGCGACGACGATGACGACGATTACGACTTCTCCCCCGACGAACTCGACTATGCTCTGGGCGGGGACGCCAGTGACGACGAAAGCGATGACCTCGACGGCCTTCGCGTCACCGAGGTCGAATCAGAAGAGGAAGCGCCCAAGCTGGTCGAGACAAAGAAGGGCAAGAACAAGCGCGCCGCCGAGGACGCCGTCGAGAACCTCGACGACCTGATTGCCAAGTCTGACGACTCCAAGCTCTCCAAGAAGCAGCAGAAGAAGCTCAAGAACAACAAGGGCGAGGCCGTCAGTGCCGAGGACAGCAAGAAGGACAAAAAGGTGCAGTTCGCAAAGAACCTCGAGCAAGGGCCCACTGGCTCCGCCGACAAGGCCAAGCAGGACCCCAAGGCGTCTGGCGGCGTCAAGATTATCCAGGGCGTCACCGTCGACGACCGCACCATCGGCAGCGGGCGAAAGGTCAAGAACGGCGACACCGTCGGCGTCAGGTACATTGGCAAGCTGGCAAACGGACAGCAGTTTGACTGTAAGCGTCGCCATTTTCTCCGATATATATATATATATATATCCATATCCCGCCTTGGCGGCATGGCTAACTCCTTCTCGCAGCCAACAAAAAGGGCAAGCCCTTCTCCTTCAAGGTCGGCAAGGGCCAGGTCATCAAGGGGTGGGATGTTGGCATTGTCGGCATGGCCATTGGCGGCGAGCGACGCCTGACTATCCCCGCAAACCTCGGCTACGGCTCTCGGGGCATGCCTGGCATCCCCGCCAACAGCCAGCTGATTTTTGACGTCAAGCTGCTGGAGATTAAATAAAGCACCTTTTTTGTGTCCGAACTGAGGGCATAATAATACTCGGCCGGGTCTTGGCCGCGAAATCCATCAGGTCGAGAGCTGGGCAGTGAGTGCCGTGACTTCTCTAGCCATGCGATGCTGAGCAGACTTGGGCCCGCCACTTCCGAGTCGCTGCGTTTCGCCGAAAGCAGGCTTCAAGATGTTCCTGGGCTGGATGGGGGACATGCGCACTGAGGAGCCCGCATGACGGCGTGGGTTGGATTGGTGTGTATAGATGGCGGACTCCGTGTAGGGTCTCTCTCCTCGAGATTGTCATCTCAAGCTGTCCATGTTTTTTCCTTTGTTGGCGCTCACGCAGATAAAAGCTTTCTATTCAACACTTCTCGGGGTCGTGGTGCCAAGTTAAGCTCCCATGCATTCACTCTGCAAGGGAAAATGAAGGGACGAGGAACATCTTCGTCTCTTTCCATGGTGAGTGAGTTTCGAGGTATCAGGAGCAATGGCGTAGTGCCTTGCTATGGAAAGAAGGAGCCACTCTGAGTCTCTGCAAAGGCCAGGCCGTTCCTTCGCCGCATTTCAGCTACCTTCAGACTCGCTCCTCTTACCAAGCATCCAGGCTTCAGGCAATTGTCCCTCGAGCATGCCTAGGGTATCGTCATTCCTTTATCCAGATATCAGCATCTCAGCTTCGGCCCGGCACTTCATGCTGCGGCCCGTCCCAGCCTCAACTGCTGTCTGAGCAAAGATGAGTCCCGGGCTCCTCAACAAGCGAAGCTGCCCAGGACTGGAGCCGACGCCCCCGACCACGCCAGTCGCGCCATCCCCGCTGGGCACCACCGATCTGGGAGATCACACGGGCTTGTGTGACTTGAAAATCGGCGGCCGGGGCTCGAGGGTTTGGTCCGAGATCCGGGGCGCCATCAAAGCCCTTGGGCGAAGCAGCCGTAGCGGTCAGTGCCTTTGACGTTTCTATCCACCAGAGTCCCTGCTGATGACCCGAGAGGGGTTGCAGATTCCGAAAGCTCCACGCTCCTCGCTTGGAACCCTGGCGGAACCCAGTCGGCGAAACGCAAGGGGAAAGGCATCGCTCGCGAGGAACTCGGGGATGCTGTAACCCCGCCGCCGCGCAATAACAAGGGGGTGACGCCAAAGGACCTGGTCAAGAGGCTTGGCATTCACTCGGGATTCGACTCGAGCACGACGGTGGTGCTTCGTGGTTCGCCGCTGAAGAGGAGGAGCTCTCTTCACGCCCTCGTCAGCGTCCGTTCCGGCCTCTCGAGTGAGCCGGGGAGTTCGGCGTCGTCCGACAGGAGCAGCAAGCTGTCGACGGCGGGAAACGATTCCACGAGGAAGACGTCGGTCGACTCTCGCTTCTCGGACGCCACGCTGATGAGAGAAAGCTCCAAGAGGCGTCGTAGCCGGAGGCACCCCTGGTCGAAATCCAGTCCCGACGGCGGCACGCTGCAGACAATCGACGAAAGCTCGTTCCAGGTGCAGCCCACCGTCCTCACGGTTGAGAGAGCAGCCGCCGCAAAGGTCTTTCTGGAAACGCACTTCAACGAGCTCCTGAACAGGCCGGATACTCGAAGTTTGCGACGCCAGTACCTCGAGTCCCAGCTCCATTACAGCCCGCACCTGACGCTCGACCAGAAAGAGGCCATTCGTCAGTCCTTCTACCAACAAGAGTCTTGCCACGTCCGGGAAATGCGAGCACTCAAGGCGCAGTCCCTCCTGTCTCTGACGGACAGGGGCTCCGTCCCCAACACTAACAGATATGAGTCTCTCAAGGTTCTGGGCAGAGGCAGCTTCGGCGTCGTAAAGCTGGTCCGAGAGAGATCTGATCCGGGCTACGCCTGCGCGAAGCAAGTCTTTGCAATGAAGGTGATTCGGAAATCGAACATGCTTCGCTGCAGCCAAGAGGGTCACCTGCGCGCCGAGAGGGATTTTCTTGTGGCCTCTGAAGGCTCCAGTTGGTTGGTGCCTCTCCAGAACCGAAAGCTCTGTGGCAAAAGGCGTCGGGCTGACGGCGCGCAGGATCGTCCCCCTGATTGCTAGCTTTCAAGACCCGAAGAGCCTCTACCTGGTCATGGAATACATGCCGGGAGGCGACTTTCTGGGGCTGCTGATTCGCGAAAACATTCTCCACGAGTCGGTAGCTCGCTTCTACATCGCCGAGATGATCCTGGCTGTCGAGGAGGCGCACCGTCTACGGTTCATCCATCGCGACATCAAGCCCGACAACTTCCTCATCTCGGCCTCGGGACATCTCAAAATCTCCGACTTTGGTCTTGCTTTCGACGGTCATTGGTCCCACGATGCCTCGTACTATGGCTGCCAGCGATACTCGCTTCTGCAGAGGCTGGGGATCAACGTCGATGGGGACGCGACGGACAAGAAGAAGTGCGAGAAGATCTCGACGCAGCTCCCGTGGCTGCAATCCATGAAGGAAGTCTTGCAGCGGCACGAGCTGCAGGCCGAGTCCGACACAGACGACCTGCAGCGTCTGCTCGGATGGAGAAACACGTGCGGCAATCGTGCCACAGCCAATTCGGTGGTGGGCACCAGTCAATACATGGCGCCCGAGGTCATTCGGGCCTGTCGAGGCACTGAATACGACGGGAGATGCGATTGGTAGAGCATCGGCATCATTCTGTACGAGTGCCTCTACGGGCACACGCCTTTCTTCGACGAAAGGGGCCGGAAGCAGACAAAGGAAAACATACTGGTGAGTTGCTCGTTGACGGCCCTTGCAGGCTTCCGTGGTCTCGTCTGACAGAGGCATTCCATTTCAACAGGATCACAAGGGGCACTTTTCGTTTCCACACAGACCCGCGGTGAGCGACAAGTGCAAGGACTTGGTATATCGCTTGATCCAGGAAAAGGAGGTGCGTCTTTGCTCAAAGCAGTATCACATCAAAGACCGCAGCCAGATGAGCACGAGGCGGCCCACGGACTGTATTGGCAGGTTTGTCTTTCCCGATGATGCCGAGGACATCAAGGCGCATCGATGGTTCAAGCACTTCCCCTGGGACCGCATTCACACCATCAGCCCGCCCTTTGTGCCCAACATTGCCAGCATGGAAGACACGCATTACTTTGACGAGTCGGAGCCGATTCAGAGCCTCACAAACTCGTCGTGCCCGCCCGTCGAGGTGACGCCAGACGATGTCAGGGCAATCCTGCACGAGTACCGGGCCTTTGTGCAGAACATGGCCATCGATCTGATCATGGAGCCCTACGACTCGACCAAGTTGCGCGGTGACGACCACAAGATCGATTCGACCTTGCGGCTGACGAGCAACGAGAGGAAAATGCTCAAGCAGTTTATCCGCATGTACGGGCGGAAGGAGCCCAGGCGGCCGAGAGACATACTGCTGCGAGACGGGGGTACCAAGGACGTGGTCCTGGAGGTGAGGAAGAAGACGGCGTTTATCGGCTACACGTGGAGGCGGATGAGGCCGGGCGGCTACACGTTGCCCAGGTTGACTAGCTGAGCCAGGCCGTCCATGCCTTCAATTCAAGGGCGTTGATGGACGAAGACCGATGGGTGGTGCTGGTGGAAAGCAGTGGCCTGGGTCTCTGTTTGCATAGGTAAAAGACGGTCAAGGAGACGGGGAGCAGCAGACTGGAAGCAAAAAGGCAGGTATGAAACAGAAATAGACGGCATTCTTCACCAGGACGGTGTCTTTTTGTGTCAGGTTGAAAGGCTAATTGAAGGCTACGTAGTTTTATACATGTAGCCCTGACCCGAGAGTCATCGACTCTTTTGTCCGCGGTTCCAGCTCCGGGCCCAGACGGTACGAAGGTCCCTTTTTTAAACGACTCTCACCCAGAATTCTCGGCCGTCGATTCGTCGCGCTGCGGAGGCGGCGCGGGAGAGGCGGCGGAAGAGGCAGGAGTAGAGGCAGAGGCAGAGGCAGAGGCAGAGGCAGAGGCAGAGGCAGAGGTGGAGGCGGAGGTGGAGGCGACAAGGGCAGCGCGTCTCGCGTTGCGAACCTCCCACTCAAACTCATGAAGGCTGCGGATCTCGGACGAGAAGAAGAGCAGGGCGAGCAGGCCGTCGACGAGTCCGGCGGCGAGGGCGAGACTGGCGAGGAGCATGAGCAAGAAGGCGACCAAGTTGCGGGGGCTGAACCACACGGCGACGAGGCAGGCGATCCAGACGACGACGGAGGCGTAGAAGTGCCGGGCGCGCCAGCGGCGCTGCTTGCGCTCGCGGGCCATGTAGGCACGCGTCATGTCGAGGATTTCGTCGTATGCGGAAAGAGGCAGACTCGTGTCGTGGTCGTGGAGCTGGGCGTCGTGATCGGCGCGGCCTCGCTCGGCGGCCGAGGGCTTGTGGTGGCGGAGGGTGGCTTGGACGGCAAAGTGGTCCGACAAAGAGACGTGGAGGTCCGGGTGGCGATCGGTCAGGGCGACCGAGGCCGACTCGACGACCCAGCCGCTGCCGGTGGAGGCGAAGATGTAGTCGATACGCTTGCCGCGGGGGTCAAGGGCGGCGGGGTCCACGGGACATTCGTGGCCGGCGCGCAGCCTGTTCTGGCAGTTTCTTGTCCAGCGCCAGGTGTTGTAGAGGCCGTCGCTCGTGGCGCCGTTCTCGCGGAGGTTGAAGTCGGCCGAGGGCACGGGGCGGTTACGGGCGGCCTCGGGCGGGTGGTCGGCGGGGCCGAGGGAGCTGTGCGGGTGGAGGACGCGCCAGACGTCGCGGACGGGGGCGCGGGCGGTGATGATGCGGTGAGCGAGCGACAGGGGCAGCATGTTGAAGTCGCCGAGGGCGAGGGTCAGGTGTCCGCGTTGGGCGGCGGCGGCGAGGAGCTTGGCTATGTGCCAGGCCTGGGCGGTGCGGTGGCAGACGTACGAGTCATTGGGCTCCTTTTCGTACGGGGCATGGGTCTGGTGGCAGGAAGATGAGGGCTTATCGAGAGAGAGAAGGCTTGGGCAGTCGAAATTAACTCACATGAGTGTTGAAGACGTGGATGACATGGTCCGGGTCAGGCCCGACGCGGAGAGTGGCACAAGCAACGCCCTTGCCAACATACCAGTCCCCCCTCCAAAAGGCCGTGGGCCGGCCGTTGAGCGGATACTGGACCATGGAGCTTTCGTGGATGGGCCAGCAGCTGAGGATGGCGAGGCCGGCGCCCAGGGGCCCGGCGTGGTAGAACTTTGCATAGGGCAGGCGGCGGCGGACGGCGCGGCGGACGGCGCGGAAGTCGTCCCTGACCCAGCACTCCTGCAGGCAGACAATGTGCGGCGGGGGGTCGAGGGCGGCGAGGCGGCGGCCTATCTCGGCAAGGCGGGGGGCGCGCAGGGCCGAGATGTGGGCGAGGCCCCAGCAGTTGAGGGTGAGGAGGTTCAGGCGCTCCGGGGGGGCGGCGGCGGCGTCTTGCGGGGCGAGATGGACGTGATGCTCGTCGTCGTCGTCCGTGTCGTCGTCGTCGTCGTGGCTGCTACTGCCGTTGCCGTTGTGTTCTTGGTGGCGAGGCATGGTCAAGGGAGGGCTCTTGGAGGTTGAAAAGAGGAGCAGGGAGCAGGACCTTGTTGGATGACGGGCACGAGTTGAGTGAGCCCTTGCTCCCGTCCTCGGACTGGCTTGGCCGCAGGCAGATACGAGAGTGGCAGGATGTTCCTTGTCGTGCTGGTGGTGAAATGCCCGGTTTCCCTCTTGCTTAATGCTGTGACTACATGCAGTCATAGTCATGCATGACACCTTCCCATCATGCTGGACGGCGGTGCGTCCTTCCCCGGCTCGGGCTCGGCAGCCGAGTCCCAATAGCGGTAGCCACTAACTAATTAACGTTCGTCCGTGCTGGGGGAGCTACATATTAATTGGCTGCATTAACAAGTTAATCCGCGCCGCTCTGCCTGGCTCCTTCTCCGCGCGTTCGCATGGTGTAATAACATGACGTCACTCCAAAGGCACTGAGTCTCACTCTTTTCTAAGCTCCTCCCTTTCCCCATGGACATGCTGGAGATATTCGCTCAAAACATGCTTCGACGAGATAGAGGAGACCAACGGTGACAATGAATGCCGGGCATGGTTAAACAACGTTTTCGACGCCAAGATTGAACTAGCAACGTTTGTTGCTGCCCGTCGCGGACGGGGTAGAGCCACTGAGTAATTATGTTGGTTTTCTCAAGGGTTCCTTCAACTTCAGCCTCCGCTTCAAGTTGAGCGATCAAGGGCCAGACGCCATCATCCGGTTCCCAAAGCCTCGACACACAGCCACGCATCTTCGAGACGAAAATGTTACAAATGAGGTCCAGGTCATGGAATTTCTCCGCCAGAAAACCACAATCCCCATTCCCCGTATTTACAGTTGGAGTGTCACTGCCGAGAGCCCACAGCAGTTTGGTCCGTTTATTACCATGGATTACGTCGAGGGCACCCTCTTATTGACCATCCTAAAGCAACCGACTACAAGCAACCAAGAGGACATAATTTTGAACCCAAGCATTGACGACACGGTATTAGACAAGATCTACCATCAAATCGCCGATTACATATTTCAGCTTTCTCGACTTACCTTCACCCGCATTGGAGCCATCGCAAAGGACGGCGACACCTGGTCCGCTACCAGGAGGCCCCTGACTTACAATATGAACGAGTTGGCTACTGTTGCCGGCTACCCAGATGACCGCTTTCCAACCTCAACCTTCGATCGTGCCAGCGACTACCTCGAGTCGGTTGCAAACGAGCACTTGGCCCACCTCTAGACCCAGCGCAACCTCGCAGACGACGCCGAAGTCGCTCAGGCGCGGTATATTGCCAGGCACCGGTTTGCCCAGCTTATCCCAAAGTACTGCATTGGTGATGCTGGGCCATTCATGCCTTTCTGCGACGACCTACGGCCTTCCAACATGCCTGTTCACCCGGAGACGCTTCAAATCACAGCGGTGCTCGATTTCGAGTTTACGAATGCCATGCCAGCACAGTTTACGTACGACCCGCCCTGGTGGCTGCTGTTGTCTGGCCCAGAAGTATGGCTTGATCGTGGTTCCATGGAAGAGTTCCAGGCCAGTTATGAACCCAGGATGGAACAATTCCTGCAGTCGTTGGAACTGGTCGAAAGGACGTCAGTTCCCAAGGATCAGCAACCGACTGAGCCACGTCTTTCTGCTCGGATGCGCGATTCGTGGACGTCTGGTCGCTTTTGGTTTGATTATGCCGCGAGAAAAAGCTTCGAGCTGGATGCAATCTATTGGGCCGCACTAAATGAGGAGGGGGCAGGTGTTGACTTGCTTGACGATGAGGCACGCGCGGAGATGGAGCTGTTCATCGAGAAAAAGATGCAACAGCTAAGGGCGTATAATGAGGAGTGTGCTGCTCGTTTTGCTGAGCCAGTGGATGAATGAAACTTTCTGTTTCGTTTGTCTTGGTTAATCAGTTCGCTTCTATCCATACCTAGCCACTGGTTATCTTTCCCTCAATGTCTGATGCCACGCGCCTCTTCCACCTACTTGCTACGTTTTGTATGGCGTGGGTAGGCGTACATGCAGACGAGATCACCATCACGGAGGTGAAGGCTGCAGGAGAAAACGAAGACACCGGAAAAGAGGTTACGGCACCAGTTTTCGACCGGCGATGAGACGACATCTTCGAGATGGCTTGTTTCGTTCTTCTTTTCGATCAAGACACTTTCGTTGGCGTCGTTGACTGCCAACCTGCGAGACTACCCTATACCCATCGAACGACCCTTGGATGCCCTCTACCTCAACTCTCCCCTGTAAAAATTCTTCACCCCGCGGAGCTGTTAGTGGCTCGTTAGCCGGGACAGGATCTACAGGCCACCCGACCGCGCTTTTGCTGCGGGGTCCATCGTGACCCTAACAGCACAGAGGAAGACCTTAGGAGAGTTCATATTCCTCTGCGAAGCCGGTCTCGACAACATGTCCACTCGGACCTCATGGCTCTCTTCGGAACCAAGGAGCTATGGGTATTGGAAGGCCCGCCCTTCTAAACAACGGTGGCCGGTTGCGGAGGTTTTTCTCCTGAGGGCAAGCTGCAAAGCCAGCCTCTGATCCTCCAAGAGTTTTTCCTGCCGCCGCTCCCCAGTCATTTCCACGGCTTGGTTACTGAGCGTGGACTGCGGCAGCAGTTTTGGCTGCGAGCGAGAGAATTCTGACCGGACAAAACCAAGGGTTGACCAATTCTTTGTGGCTGCGACCACCCGACACTTTGCCTTGACATCCCGCTGACGGGTACGAGGCTTGACACGAGCGCCATCGAGCCGATGAAATGCTGGATAGGGACAGAAGGGGTTGTTCACGGGTAGCGAACTACGAGCGCTGGGTGCATTTAGATGGACAGTGGTTTTTTTCGAGGGAACTCATTCGGGACACTTCTCTGTAACTAGCTCAGCACGTCCTGTGCTCCCTCGCGGAGACCTGAGCGGCCTGAGCCGCTGGACGCAAAATACACAACAACAACAACAACAACAACATGCCCTCTACCTTGAGCGCATCCGGGGCGGGAATCAATTATAATCGCCGTTCCCGATCCGCTTGTGCCTCGTTGCGCCCGGTCGGGCCTGGCCAGGTATGCATGTTCCACAGACTAATTGTCCGTGGACAAGATCCCGTCGCCGCCGCTTTACACACTGTGACGAGATGGCCGTATAATTCCTTACGTCACGCTGTCGAGACTGACCCCCAGGTGATGTAAAAGCCTCGCCCAGGGACGGTCCCCGCCCGTCAACCTCCATCTTCCAGTACACGCATGAAAGAACACACACAGAAAAGAAGGGAAAAATGGCGTCCCCGCAGCAGCACACAATCCAGCTCGGCGTCCTGACCGTCAAGCCCGAGCTCCGGCCCGACGACCGGCCCCCGCTGGACGACGTCTGCTCCCGGCTGCAGGCCGTCCCCGGCGTCTCGGCCCTGTACCGCGGCCGCCACGCCGAGCGCCCGGACCGCTGGACCCTGGCCGTGCGCTGGGCCGAGCCCGCCGCCCTCGACGCCTTTCTCCACTCGCCCTCGTACACCGGCTGGCTCGCCTCGCTGCGGGCCGTCGCCGACTCATACCTCTTCTACCGCGCCCCCGCCCTGCGTGGCGATGCCCTCGCCGCCCTCGCCGCCCCCTGCACAGAGGTCTTCTCCGCCTACGGCGCTGCCCAGTCTTTCCTCGACGACCGCATGACGCCCTTTGCCGATAATGTCGACGCCGGCCGCTTGCCGGGCTACCGTGGCTCCGCCTATGGCCGCTTCGACCGCCTCTTGCACCACGGCTCCCTCGCCTCTCCGGACGGCATCGTCGTCGTCATCCTCATCGGCTGGGATTCCAAGGATGCCCACATGGCCCAGAGAGGCGAGGGCAAGCGTCGGTCCCCCCTTTCCCTCACTCTTCCCCTGCCTGTCATGTCCGCTTACACCACTTCCCCCATACAGTCATTGACCAGCACATCCACTACGTCCGAGAGGACCGCGAGTCCGTCGACTTGGTGAGATGACGCCCCTTCTCCACCAACAGAGGTGACAAGCAGTGTAGCTGACCGCAGCCTCCCTTGCCCTGCCAGTACCACGTTAGCCTGACCAAACTGTAACCAACCGTCGTAAATCACCCTCTGCCCGTTCACTCAAGGTCATCAAGCACGCCTGGATGTCGCCATGCCTGGCCCTGCGAGGCCTACCCTTCCCCCCAGACCACGCTCGACACGCGCGCCGATTCAAAGCCTCGTCTGGAATATGAGCCCCTCCTCCGTTGACCACGTCTCAACGTATACTACACCCGCTCTCCCCCTTCAGCCTGGTTGAGCACCACCCCAAAGCGCATATGCATGCATCTGTCTCGAGCATCGCACATGCCATGGAAACTAAAAAGTGTAATTAAAAGAAAAGGGGCTTTGCCGCAGCTACTTTGGCTGCCGGACCGTCTAGTCCCTCCCCGGCAAATGAGAAAGGTTATCAAACAGACAAAACACGCTGTTGCATATGCCATCCGTACCGTCGAACACGTCGTCACCTCGAGCTTACCACTCAGTCCGGCCGCAGCCTCAGCATGGCTGATCGGGCCAAACACTCGTGTGCACCCGGGTTCCATTCGATAGTGCACTTACTGGGCCGTCAAGCTGTGTTCCGGCCATGCCAGGCCTCCAGACCGTCTTACGTTGTCGTTACCTGTGTACAAGCCATTGTGGCGCAACCGCCCTTCCTTTCCCTTGCACCGAGTCCGTAAATCAAAAGAAAAAACCAGAGCACAAAAGTCGATACCCTGACCCTCCTCCCCAGCCCCCCCTGCCGCAATTCGATTGGTCGAAACGTCGCGACGTTGGCGGTCGTGGGTTAAATGCGATGCTTCTCCGATTCTGTCATGGGCTTCAAGTCAGTCTCGGGCTTTTGCAAAAGGGTGTCCGGCTTGTCCATACCCAGACGGGAGTACAGCAAGTACAGCGCCATCCGGTTACACTCTTCAGTTCCAGTGACCGTGACAAGGCGTTCGTTGCTGCTGTCCTGGGGCTCATTGATCTTGATCACGCTGCCGCTGAGCTGTCGGATCTCGTTGATCTTTTGCCCGCCCTTGCCGATGATGGCCCCGACCATGTCGTTGGGGATGTAGATCTGCTGGGTGATGGGACCGCCGGGCATACCGGCATGAATGGGCTGGCCTTGAGGACCTCCGTGCGGCTGCGGCCCGCTGTGATGGGCCATGTGCGGCTGCGCGTGAGGACCAGCGCCGTACGCCGCGGTCTGGGCTCCGTAGTGAATCGGCATGGCTGGGTTTGGCTGGGCAGCCCCGTGCGGATACTGCTGCGCATAGGGGGCGGCCGGCATGTGATGGGGGGCCCGTCGATCCTGGTGACGGCCGTAGTTGTCGGGGCGACCAAACTGGCCGCCGGCCGGCTGGGGAGAGTACGGGACAACCTGCATGCCGCCGGGGATCGATCCAACAGGGGCACCGCTGCGAGTGGCATAGGCGGAGGCGGCGGGACCACCGAACCGCTCGTTGAGCTGCTCGAGCAGGGTGCTACCGACGTAGTAGGTTGCAATATGGACAGCGTCCGCAACGCCCATGACGACAAGAGAACGCTCGCTCGACATGGGAAGGCATGAGTCTGAGGCGTTGAGTCGAGCGCCCGACGCGTCCTGAATCTCCTTGATCCGAGCACCACCCTTGCCAATGATAGATCCAATGAGGATGTGGGGGATGAGAAGGCGAAGGGGATAGGTCTTGGAGGCAGTGGTAGACTTTTCGTTGAGCGGCTCGTTGTTGAGAGTTCGGATGATGAGGCCGAAAGCCTGCAGATTTCAGTTAGCATGGGACGCAAAAAAATCAGAATATCAACGAAGAAATCAATCACGCGAGGCTCGCGCTTGGACATACCTTGGCAACAGCATCGACGATACCGCTCACAGTCAGGATGCGCTCGACGGCTCCTTTCTGGTAGTCGCTCACGGTGCACTTAGCACCCGACATCTTTCGGATGTTGGAGACATTCTCGCCACCCTTGCCAATGATGGTAGCGGCTTCGGGGCTCGAGATGACGGCGCGGATATGGATCCAGGCAGTCTCGTCGTTGGTTGCGGCAGAGCTGGCACCTGCCTCGGAGCCGATGGTCACCGAAGGTGTAGCAACGGTGGCAGCAGTGGCAGGCACGGGGGCGGCGGTGCCGGACTGCTCCGTCTGAGCGCCGTTGGAGCTGTCGTTGCTGCTCTGAGCGGGGACTTCGATGGCGGTGTCTGCAGCCTCGGCTTCGTCGTCGGCCTTGGAGACCTTGTCGAGGGCAGGACGCTTAGCGTCAGGCTGATCGGTCGCACGCGATGGCGACGACGCCCCCTCAAGAGGGCGTTTCGCCGACTGAGTGGGCTGCGGGGGGGAGGCAGACATGTTGGTTGACGTAAGAATCCCCTGTCTTGTCTTGTTGTCGTTGTGTTGTCTTTACAGGTCGCGTGACGGGTGGTTGAAAGCGGCGGTGGTAAAGAAGTCTTCTATTCTCGTCTTATTTACACCTAGAGGGTTTTCGAAGGAAAACGGGCTGGTGTAGTGACGAGATTGCTCGAACGGAGCCTTCCTGCAAACTCGTGAAGTGGCTTGACTGGTGCCGCTCAGACTCGGGTCAAGGTAGTACTTGTCAATGGTGGCAGACGGGTTGCGGTGGGAGAATGAGCAAGTGTTCCCGCTCAGACGCTGCAGCACTTGATCTGTAGACGTGGCGTCGATGTGCCAGAGCTTCCCTTGGGAGAACGAAGTCGTGATGGAGACTTGAGGTATGTGCGAGAATGCAGGTTGCGGAGCTGGTGGTGGAGAGGACGGGAAGCGGCCGTGACTGGGGCTTGAGATCTTGCGTGGATGGAACGTGGAGAGGTAAGCAACAGGAAGAAGGAGGATCAGACGCCAGCTCGAAAGCAAACCTTGGCTTGTTCTGTTTGCCGGGGGGCTGCGCTCCAGGGTGCAGCCAACGGCGCTCGTCGCGGGTGACAAAGAGGCAAAAGCTTGCAACTCTGCAGCTGGCGGCGGCCGACGGGCAAGGCTGATGATTTTTGGTCCCTTTTTGTGCAGAGAGCTTTGGTTTCCTGGACTAAGTGGGTCGTCGATGAAGAGACGCGGCGACAGTGCGGCAGCCCAACGTGCGGAATGAAATGGGCACGGCCTGGAAGGGGCCGAGAAAGGGCCAACAACAAACGCAACAAGAAGGGAGTGCCCTGTTGCCGGCGGTGAAAAGAGGTCCAAGTTAAGGGGGAGGATGATGCCGTTGGCTGGGGGCGCGCGTCGCGGCTTTGCAGGAGAGAGGAGTGAGTGGGCGAGGTTTGCTGGAGGTAGGAAGTTTGGGTGGAGATGGCTAGAAATTCAGCAGTCTGTATGGATGCTCACTGTACAGCCGTGTCACGTGTTCTCGCCAGCTGGCACACCAGAATCGCCATTGCTGGGTAGGTACGTACTAATCGCGATGCACTGTGCACTCATTGGATACGCGTACAGGTCAATGGCCCAATTGGTTTCTAGGTTCTGAAGCCGCCTGTACATTCTCCCCCCCTCCCCCTACCTAGAGCTCAACTGAAGCCGGCTCGGGGAGAATAGCACCGTGCCTTGTGGCGACAGGCGACCCCACTGCACACCTGACGCGCCTGTACCGCCTGAGCAAATTGACAGGACAGGTGGTTGACCCCATTTAGCCGTGCCAAGATGGGCGTCAAAGGAAAACGTGCCCGCTCTTTTAAATCAGCGCATGCAAGGTACGCGCACCCCAACCTTGTAATCTGCTGCTCCATCCAGCCGTTGGTTGCTAAAAGAGCCCCCTGCCTTGACGCCAAAGCTCACCTGTAAATACCTCTCCTGTGCATCATGGACGCCAATCCGCGTGTCTCGGAAGCGGACGTCTATGCCGCCAATCTCGACTATACGCTCAAAGAGCTCCAAGGGAAGATCGATGAGCACCAGGCGGAGCTCCAGCGGGTGAGATCCCCTGGACATGAGCTTGACTTGGCCATGACTGACAGAAGAGACGGCATAGATACGTGCCGTCACCGATGAGGAGAGCCCCCTCCCCCCCGAGGAGCAGGCAGTCGTCATCAAGTCGGCCCTCGACGACTTGATCAACTCGGAACCCTTCTTGCCCTCTCCCGGCTCCCTTCTCCCCGCCCTGCTGGCCTTGCGCAGGACGCACCAGACGATTGTGGAATCAAACGGCTTTCTCGATTCGCATAGCCCCGACGTGGAGCGAGCCAAAAGGCAGCTCGAAGCCGACCACGCCAGTCTCAAGGATCAGCAACTCCTGGCCGATGCCCTTGACGTCAGGGTACAGTCCCTGCGGCATCAGCTCGACACCCAGTCCGACATGCCGCCCGAGGACGGCGCCAGGAAACGAATCGAAGAGCTCGAGGCCAAGGTGACCAATTACGACGCCCAGACGGCGAGGCTGATGAAGTCGCTGCTCGCCTTTATCCAAAATCACTTGGCCGTCATGCTCGCGGCCGAGGAGCTGGGAGGGCCTGTCGTCGGCAGCGCCCTGGACATTGATCCGCAAGACCTCGCCGCCGGCTTCAACGCGCAGGGAAAGCCCAGCAAGGCCAAGAGCGGCGCCGACAGCCGGGTAAAGCGCCAGCGCCGCATCGATGAGCTTTGGGGCACGGGCAGCGCGCAGGCCGAGGCCGCCGCCGACGACGAGGTCGCAGCAGCCGGGAGGGAGATGCAGCGGCTGACGGAGGAGCTCCTCAATGCGCTTGTCGAGGCCAAAGGAGACAACTCGGCGTCGTACGTGAGGCTGACCCGGGAATCGGCTGCCGCGAGGTTTCTCGTCAGGTCCAAGGTGGCGCAGTTTCACCCCAAGGATGCAACGAGGTTAAGGCTCGTCGACTTTGGCCGAGAGCTCGAGAGCTGAGGAGAAGCTCGGATGCTTCATCCAGCGGCTACATGCATTGGTGCCTCTTTGGCTAAGCTGCTGGGCACACTTGTCATGATATGGTCGTGCATATAGCCAAGGATGACGGCCTTGCCCGCGCCTCGATACCAATCGACTTCGCTACGCGCAGCAAGCGGTCAAGGCAAAGCCCTGCTTTTAACACGAGGGGCCGGCTCATATCGTGGCCTACGGAACCCCTCACATCATAAGGGCAGACAAGAGGCGGCCTCAACAGCAGGCTAGGCATGACCTCTCTCGAACGGATATGGTCGACGTGAGAGAAGTGTAGCTGCAGCCGACGGCCCGAGTATTTGCGCAGACTCGATGCAATTGGCGCTCCTACCTAGATCTGCTCAGATACCACTCCAGGGCCAGCTCTTCCTCCTTGGGATGCATCAACATCCTGTCTCTCACAGCCTCCAGCTTGTCTGTTCTGGTCTTAAACCACCTTGGCGCCGTCTTGCCTCCCATGTATTCATGGTAGACCCAGCAGGTCTGCCACCAAAAGCTCCCCTTGATGCGGTGGACGCCCTGACAACCCGGGCACCATTTGGATGTGAGTTTTGCGGTATCCGTCGACCGAGATGACGAAGGAGGCGACTCGACCGACTTGCTTTTCATGCGTACCAGCATCGTGTCGGTCTTTGCCGGCGGCAGGAGCTTGCCCGAGATGAACTCGTCGATGATCTCATGGAAGGCCACCGGGGCCTCTCCGTAGCAAATGGCATCGTTGACCTTTTTGCTCCAGCGCTCATGAAAGTCTGCATAGTAAGGCTCGACGCTTTCGAGAAACGAATCCTTGGCCAGTTGGTCGCAAATGGTCGAGCCCGCGATCTCGTCGCACCCTTCACTCAGGTCGATGACGTCGGAGGCCCAGGCGAGCCAATCCCGGGGACCCTCGCACTTTAGTTTCTCTATCAGTCTCTCAAACTGCGAGTGAGGTGGGTTTTGTTGACTGGAGCCAGGTCTTTCAAACTGCGGGTGAGGTGGGTTTTGTTGACTGGAGTCAGGTTTGACCCCCGTCATCAAGGACTCGAGGGTGACGAGCTTGAGGCGTGGCGTTGTGGCCTTGTCGCCGGCGAGGTGCGACTTCCATTCGTCGGCCACGCTCGAGTAGATTGTCACGTTCAGTTGATTCAGCTCCTCCTTTGCGGTGGCGTGCTCTCCGAGCTTGATCGAGTACTCGAGACAGTCGACACGGAAGCGATCCTGGCTGATGGCAAAGGACCGGCCAGCGAGGTCGAGCGTGAGCTTGTGTTCGAGGAAGCGAGCTTGGAAGTCTTGGTCTGACTCGTTTCTCCGGCGGCCTGCGAATGTGTCAAAGGCGGGGGGGACTGGGGGTTCCGGCCGGACAGGCTCCTGGAGCTGCCTGGCGCCTCTGGGATTGACGTATTCCCATATGCCGCCGAGCCTCGCAACGGTCTCGACGCGCTGCAGCCACATGTCCCAGCCCGAGCGGTCGGAGAGGATGGGGATGTCGCGCAGCACATCTTCGGTCCGGACGTCGGTGTCTATGCTCAGGTCCTCGAGCAGGTTGGGGATGAAGGGCGCGGAGCGGGAGCTCCCCATTCGCGCGGGCATGATGCCGGGTGGCCCAGACGGGCGGATAGCTCGAAAGCGAGTTTGCTGCAGGGTGTTTTCGGGGAGGGTTAAGGGGGGGAAAAGAGCGGGCTCGGGCTGAAGCTCGACGAAGCCTCGACGAGGCAAGGGAATAGACTAGTTAGTAGAAGAAGGGGTTAGTGGGTTAGTTTGGGCGAAGCAGCCGCGGGAGAAAAAGTCGGCACCGACTCCCGGCGCTCTTCTGGCAAAAGAAACGAGTGCCCGGAAACTCAATTTTTTTGTCAATTCACAGTTTGGTACCGCGTAATTACTAAGGCGCGCAGTGGCACCAGCGCCAGCCTTGCTCCTCTCTGCTGCAACCTTGCAATTTTGGTTCTCGCCAGACTCCCTTGTTTGCGGCAGGGCTTGCGCATCGAATTGGCCAATGGGCCCGTGTAAATCTGTGCAGTCGAGGGTCCGTCGAGGCAGAGGCATCTCGCAGCTTGGCAGCGATGGCTGGAGAAGGGAGCTTGATTACCTAAGGCCATCATCTTGCAGCTACCTGGGACGAGGTGCCGAGTGCACAGAAGCCCGCGCAGATACCCGGTACGTACCTTGATAGCCTGGTGAGCGCGTCTTTGGAGTCGCGCTTGTCGCGTCACCCAGAATTCCAGAACCCCCCCGCCCCTCCTCGTGCCTCCGAGCTCCAGCAACTCGCCTTTTCCTTGCCACCCCAATTCGCCAATTCGCCAATTCGCCCCATTGATCTCGCATCTTAGAGATAGTATCTCCCCAAACCATGTCGTCCACCACCGCCGCCGCCGCCGCTTCCCCGCCCTCCAAGCGCGTCAAGACGACCGACGACGGCTCGTCCATCATGGAGCCCGCCCCGGCCCTGCAGGTCAAGAAGCTCTCCGACCAGGGCCGCCTGCCGACGCGCGGCAGCGCCTTTGCCGCCGGCTACGACCTGTACGCCGCCAGGGACACGACGGTCCCGGCGCGGGGCAAGATCCTCGTCGACACGGACATTAGCATCGCCGTCCCCGCCGGCACGTGTAAGTCAAGCCCGGTTCAGACCCAAAGGACAGAGGGCACAGGAGGAGGGGGCACACGAACGCGCATGCTGACTTGCTGCGGGGGGGGGGGGGAAACAAAGACGGCCGCATCGCCCCCCGCTCCGGCCTCGCCTCCAAGCACTTCATCGACACGGGCGCCGGCGTCATCGACGCCGACTACCGCGGCCAGGTCAAGGTCCTGCTCTTCAACCACGCCGACGCCGACTTCGACATCAAGGAGGGCGACCGCATCGCCCAGCTGGTCCTCGAGCGCATCGTCACCCCGGACGTTGTCGAGGTCCAGGAGCTTGACGAGAGCGTGCGCGGCGCCGGGGGCTTCGGGAGCACGGGCAAGCAATGACGCGGGATGGGGCTCGGCGTCATCGGCTGAGGCCAATACAGGTCCCTAATGGCCTTGTGCAGTATCCTTCTTTCAGGATTCCAGATTGACCATGTTTGATGACTTTGGCGGCCTGGCTGCATACTTGGCTCCTGGGTTTCTCGGTGGAGAAATCCATAATCAAGAGCGCAAGGTCATAAAGAGACAGAACAGACGAAGCAGGCGACAGCCTGGGCAATCAGGCACATGCAACCGGCACACGGATAGAAGTCTTAGAGGAAAAAAGGTGAAAAAGTGGCATTGTCTATTCTACCCAAACTTTCACAAACATAATGAATGTGCTTCCATTGCATCCACTCTCGAGCTCCAGTTATATCGCCTTGGCCCTAAACTCCGTCGCCGGGGTGCGCAGGCAGTCCAGGTTCTGGACCAGCTGCAGCTCAGCAGCCTTTGTCTTGATGTAGTGCACATTCCTCTGGTCGGCCCTCTCGCCCTCGGTCATGGCGGCTCGGGTGCGCTCCACGACGGCGGGCATGGCGTCCCTGGTCCGCGAAAGCACCTCGTGCATGCTCGCCAGCACCTTTTCGGTGGCCCTGGCCAGCGGCAGCTCCAGCGCCGGCGTGGCATCGTTGCTCAGCCAGCTCGGCCGCTCGCGCAACCCGGGCACGTGCTCGACGGCCTCGCGCATGCGCGTGGTGATGAGGGCGCCAAACATGTCGCCCGTGCCGCAGAAGTAGCAGTCGATGGAGGAAAAGACAATCTTGAACAGCCGCGCCTTGCCGTCGGACGTCATGCTAGAACCCACCACGGAGAGATGGTCGGCCGGCTGGTCCGCGGCGGGGAGGCGGACCGAGGTGATGACGACGTGCGGGATGCGGTACTTGTCGTGCAGCGCTTGAATCGCCTCTGTCAGGCTCTCCATGCCGACGATGCTGACGCCAGACAGGAGCCTGGATGGGTGGAAGCGTCAGCCCAAGAACGAAAGGGGAAATACACAAACGGATGGAGAGCAACGGGCGGGAAAAGAAGCAACACGCACTCGGCTTCAAACTGGTTGGGGAGGATCAAGTCGGCATATGGCACGAGCGACTTGTAGGCGGGGACGACATCCTCTGCGACGTATATCTTGCCATTGTCGCCCATGACGGGGTCCAAGACCCAGAAGAAGCTGCCGGGCGCGCCTCGCGCCTTTTCCTTGAGCTCCTTGGCAATGCCGCCGACGGCTGCGACGGCCTCGGCGCCGGGGATGTAGCCCGAGAGCATCATGTCAAAGTCGTCGAGAAAGGACTGGCTCAGCCCCCTGTAGATGTCTGCAATCTCCTGGGCCGAGGCCTTTGTGCCCGTCCACTGCCTGTACCCGGTGTGGTTGCCTGCCGTTGCCTGAATTGAGAAGAGTTCTCCTTGTCAACAGCCGGTAGGACGAAACGTACTGAAGTGCACCGTGTTCAAGGCGGCCACGTCACAGCCCAGCGCCTGGAGCACGAAGACGGCGATCTTGTTCCCGACATAGCTGGACGAACGTGGACGTCAACAACGGATCACCTCTGTCTCCCCTTGTCGCGCCACGATGGCCCCTTACCCTGAGACGACCTGGAGCATGGCATCAGTGTCCCTGACTTTGAAGCGGCACGGCAGAGAGGAGGCCAAGGCCTTGTGGCAAACGAGAGGGCAAACGAGAGGGCAAACTGGAACGCACATGGCTGGCCACGGCCAGGACCCGCGTGGCGAGCACGGGGGCTCCGGCCGACATGGTGGGCGTCTGGTCGATTGGGTCGGTGCCGCTCACTTGACGCTGGAGAAGGAGTCTCCAAGGGTCGCGAGCCAATTGAGGGCCGGACGCGAAGCGGCGGGTGGACTTTGGTCGCTGGCTAGAGTCTGTCGCGAATTGACACAAGGGATCGGGGCTTGGCCACGTCGAGGCGGAGGACCCAGGTCTTCATAAGCCGTTACCTCACTGCCGGTACGAGGGAGACTAGAGCTCTAAAGTTAGTAGCGGTAATTAGTGCCAACCCAGGCAGAGCCCCGCCATTTGCCCCTCTTCCCGCCTGTCGTTGAAATCATGGACGACTCGCGACGTCTGGTCGCGTAATGCATTGCTTGAGGCGTGCATGCCAAGGTGGGGGCAAATAAAATCGAAAAGTCCAAGTCATTATCGTCAACGATGCGCCAGACAGACTGTTCTTCCCCCATATGTAGTTACAACAGAGTATCTCGGCAGCGCCTCGTCTCGCCGCGATCCGACGCCCGGCCCTTCCAAGCTCTAAACTCGCTGCCTCATCGCCGCCGACGTCTACTGGTCTCGCACATGCAATGCGGTACACCATTCTTACTCGTCGTCGCCAATCTGTCAAACTACTTGTTAGCGGCAATGACCAAACACGGGCCTCATCCAAGGCGACGAGACGCACCTTTGGCGCCAGATAGAAGCGCAGGTAGCTGCTACCAGACAGGTTGTACTCGACCAGCAGGGGTACCTCGCTGGACAGGCAGATCTTGACCTGGGAGGAAAGGGCGGCAGCCTTGCAAAAGTTGACGAGGTACTTGAGGGAAAAGGTCAGAGAGACGGGCTCCGTCAGCTCAATGTCGACGTTGAGCTCGGGCTTCTCGACGTTGGTGTGGCTCCGCAGCGTCACGGACCCGTTGCCAATGTCGCCGTTGCACGAGAACTTGACGCCGTCCTTGGAGGCCTCGATGTTGACTGCAAGTTGGTGGCGCGTCAGTCGTATTGCTTCTCGAGGAGGGCTGGGATGAGGTGTTACGTACCTGATTCGGACATGGCAGCCAGGTCTGTGCAGATTCTTCGAAACTCGGCAGCGGGCATGGCAATGGTGGAGGCATACTCTGTCTGCGGGATGCCCAGGTGCTCCTGGTCAATGTCCATGAGCTTGAGGTCGTACTCGCTGATGCGGTCGTTCTCGCTGCTCTCAAAAACGAGGTTGAGGACGTCGGGGGCGTCCTCGGCCTTGAGGGTCAGGATATCCTCGTTTTGAGCGGCGCGGAGAACCTTTGTCAGAGACGTCAGGTTGACGCCGAGGGCAATGTTGCGGTCGCATCGGTAGGGCGAGAAGCCCTCGGCCTTGAGCATCATGGACACGAGGGCGACGTGCGAGTTGTCCATGGCCTGAAGCGCGATGCCCGAGTCATTGCAGTCGAAGTTGCAATCCTGGACGAGCTCTTTGATGGCATCGACCACCTGCAGCGGGCTTCAGAATTGGTCTTCAGTCGACTGAAGGGTAGATTACCTTTTTCAGGATATTAGCCTGCTCGAGCCGTGCTTCCAGCATGTCTGTGTTCCACGGTCAGAGTCCACGTCGCGGCAATGACAGGTGGGAGCATGACGACATACCGTCGGATTATGTGAGGATGAAGGGTGCAAGGGAACAGTGAGGCCTGGGGGGGGGGGTGGTAAAAGCGAGCGGCTCCCGTTGACGAGGGCTCGAGGGGAGAAGAAGACGGAGACTGAAGAAGGAGGGTTGGAAAGGATGATTCAGAGAGAGGGTTCCTGAATGGTCTGGCGTTGAGCAGCTGCAGCTTGTGGCGTGCCGGACGTGGTTGAGGCTGGTCAAGATGGATGAAGGTGGGAGGATGGAGAGAGATTGAAGAGCGGGAGAGAAAGGCGGGCAGGCACTTTACGCGTACGCGGTCAGTTGGACGCGTCGCGTGGCGGGGTTCGGCCCTCACTGTCAGCTACCGTCTCTGCGCCAATTTTGCGCGGGGCCAGAAAAAAAAGAGGAGACAGACAAAAGATTCAGGGTGGAAAAGGGGGCCCCTGAGCTCGAGTAAGTCGATGGCACTCCGTCAAAACACGTACAAAGTGCACAGATGGCCATCATACGCTCCTAGAGTCGGTGGCGTTGGCGTTTGAAGCGCATGCGATGGATGATCCATAACCATGCGTTTGCCTGCACATCCTCCGAGTGCAAAACGCTTTGCGTCAATAGTGTTTCAAGCATACCTAGTCTGTATCTATAACCCTAGGCGGTAGATACATCGTCCCGTCTTGGTGCCATGAGCCTGCAGCGACCACCAACTGCCTGTTGCGTACGCTGTAAAAAGAGTTGCGGACTGTGACCGTACTTCGCTGGTTCGACAAACAAGAAGAAAAGAAAAGAAACCCAAGATCCAGTGCCTGTCCCGCTCAGTAAACAAATCGTCCGAGTCCCATGACTATATAAGTCCAAAAATAAAATAAAGGAAAAGAATGGTTCGAGGAGAACCAAGTATATCCAGAAAAGTCGTCATGCCCAGTGTTTGTACACCCAGGACAAAAAGCAAACGCCAAAGACTCCGTCGGCGGCCCCCTTACAGGGAGACGATCCGTTCCCCGGAGGGAGGGGCACTGGCACGGCTGCTCGGCCGCAAGCTGATGACCGTCTCCAGCTCCCGCAGCATGCCCCGCGTCGCGTCCATTTGTTGCCGCGCCTGTGCCTTTTGTTCCCTCTCCTCTCTCATCTTCACAAGCCTCTCGTCCCTCGTGAGAAGGCTCCGCGGCCGGGCGGGACGGGCCACGGCCTCAAAGATCTCGGGTGTTTGCGGCTCCGGCGGCTCCGATCGCGGTGATGACTGGCCCGTCAGCGCCTTGAGAGCATCTGCCGCGCCGCCCTCGTCCACTGTCGTGAGCCCGCTGAGGGAGCTCGTGGGTGATAGCGCCAGGCTCGCCGACGATAGCCTCTTCTCGTTTCTATCGATGCCAATAGCCAGCGCCGCCTTGCCTTCTTCCCACGCCGTCATGAGCTCCTTGAGATCGACCCCGATGGACTCGTATTGAGACATCAGATGCGGTCCTACCTCCGAGATGTCGTTTGAATCGTCCAAGGCCCTGTCCGACTCTTCTCTCAGCAGGTGGAGCTTGGCCTGCAACCCCCGAATCCCAGTCGACAGCGAGTTGAGCTTCCGCAGCTGAGAGCGCCACCTCTCCCTGTTTGGCGTCAGAGGGACCTTGGGAGAAGGCGGCACGGGGAAAGCTGCAAACAGTCAAGTCAGCGCAACTCTAAAGACGGACTCGACGCCGCCAGACATGAAGACCATACATTCTTCTTCGCCCAGAATCGCCCGCACCCTGTCGTAGGATGTCCTTGTCGAGACATTCAAGCCTCGCAGCGCCTCGACCGCGCTCCCCCAGCGGAGCAGCTCGGCGCCCTCCCCGTCGGCGTCGAGAGCTAGCAGGCCGCAAAGCAGCATCTTGCGCGCCGTGTGGAAGCGAGCTGCCAGAACCTTGAGCGTCCGCAGGGACTCCGGGTCGTCGAACTCGGTCTCGTTGTAGCCTTGAAGGGCATCCGAGACGTCAAAGTCGCTGATGTCATACATGTCGTAGTACTTTTCGAGTTCCGTCACTTCGGAAAAGCCCCTGACAACATTGGACGCCTGATTGTACTCTGTCAAGACGTCGCCAAAAGAATTCTTAATCGTCTTGCGCAAGCGCACGCATTTGCGGCCCTGGCTGCGGTCTTCAATCCGGCTCACAGGGGGTAGAGGTGCGCTACTAGAGGCAAGTCAGTTTCAAGAGGGCTTTGACGACACGTCCTGACGAGACCAACATGCGATATCCACGTGAGACTAGCTCCACCTCTTGGATCAAGGACAGGGTCGCCTCGGTCGCGCTGTCAAAGTCGTGAGAGTTGGATACAAAGGCTGCCATTTCGGAGAGGCATTGCTCTCTTTGGTAGCGCAGCCATTGCCGCCGTATGACAACGTGGCCCAGAAAAGCCGAGGCGGCGAGCACGGCCAGGAACAAGACCAAGCGCTTCCGCGTCACATGCGACAGCGCCCCACTGCTGCGAACCCAGCTGAGGAAGATTGCGACGGCTAGAGCCCCGAGTACCGGCACAAGAATGCCTTGGGTTGAGTGATGTTTATGTCCTATCGTTGCGCCGGCGAGAGTCGGAGCTGCAGGGCGGTGGCCTGGGATCGATTGGCCGCTCAGGAGCTGCGACGCAACAATGGTGTAGCGAAACTGCTCGAGGAACTTGGCATTGTCGGAGCGGTCGATACTTGCGGCGAGGACGGCCTGTTGATGAGGGGGCGCGGTCAGCGACAGTCGAGGGAAAGCACGGCAAAGGGGCGGCGAGTCGCACCGAGCAGTTTCTCCTGATGGCCCGCAAGGCCGAGGCATGGCGCGACTCAACTGAGGGCGCGGCGACGGGGGTTTTGGCACGAAAGCGAGCCTTTACTAGTGGGCGACCGGTGGGCGCAAAGGGCGAAGGGCTGGGAGGCGACGAGGAGCGCGACAGCGAGGACAGCGAGGACAGCGGTGAGGCGCCAACAGGAGCCCAGTCTGGGTCCGACTCGTCTCCTCCGTCTGCAGTTGGGCTCTGTCAGAACCGGCGATGCGAGCCAGCGGGGAGTAGGCCAGCTCACCTCTGAGGTAGTCGGCCAGGGGCGTCTCGTCGTAGACGACGGGCTCCATCTAGCGACGAGTCGATGATGGCGACGGGCTGACAGCAGGGGATCGTAGCGCCATGAAGCGCGCCGGCGCGCTAGGCACTCGGGATAGGGCGACAAAGGAGAATGAAGGACGCTGTAAGAATAGAGGGGTGAAGTGTTCTGCTTGCGTGTTGGCGGCCTCTACGACGGCACTGACGAGGCAATCATGGTGTTTGGGGGGAGAGGGAAAACAAGTTCGTGTTTACTCACGGCATGTAAGTTGACTTAGGTCGCGGCATGTACTCCGTAAACGGGTGGGCCGTTTGCGGCCAAATGTTTTGGGGGAGAGACACGGTTTTGCATGACACGAGCTACCTGCCTAACTTACTAGTATGTGCTTTACCCAATAATAGGGCAGATTCGCGAATCCTTGGGTACGGTATCAAAGTTACCTCACAAAGGTTAGGTACCTAGGTAGCTAGGCAGGTAGGGAGGACCGCGTATGTACCTTAGTAGACCTGCATCCACTGTAAATGGCCCTCTTTCAGCTGCCGGCAAGAGCCCAAAAGCACCGCCCCCAAGGCGCAACCCCAGCTGGGGAGGGGATGAACCGAACCAGGGGGCAGATCATGATGCACCGCATGAATCAAACAAGTCAGCAGTCAGGTGCTTCCTTTTGCACACCACACCGCAACAAAGGGACTGGCGACACCGTGCACTTGCACTTCCAGCAAGTCAAGTTCCATGTTAGTCGAGGTATCCGGAGTCTGGCCGAGTCCCAAACTCCGAATGTACAGTACAGAGCCTACCCCGTAATTATGTACAGCATTCCTCTTTGTCGCATATCGCGATAAGCACATGACTCAATAAGGTACAATAGCCAACCCTGTCGGGCTGACGTTTCGCCGCTCCCGCCTGCTGCATTGCTCCTCGGCTTCAAGCTTGGCCGAGCTCAACGACGACGCCGACCAGAGCATGAAGCTTCAATAACCCTCGCCCACTACCCTTCTGCCAATGCCCGTGCGGCCGGCGCCCGTTCAATGCCGGCGCGCCGTCTGCCGACACGCCGTCCCCTCCCCGGCCGCCGTCGTCCGGGTCCCCGTCGAGCCATGCAGCCGCCGCTCGACTTCTCCACGCCGATGCCTCAACTCGCACGCCGGCCCTCTCGAAGGCCGTCGCCGCATGGGAAAGCGCCATATGACGGGGCTCATGCCCGCCTCCTCCGTATACCCTCCCGTCTGGCAGTTCGATGCCCCTCCCGCCACCACCATCCCCCGATGGGAACCCCCGACCACGCCATTGTACCGAAGACAGAAACACGAGCGTCTGGGCCTCTCTGGCCTTCTCAACCACTTTCTCAGCTGGCTCGACCATTCCCATGCAGAGAAGCCCATGGTGCCGCCGGTGGCTATGCATGTTCATGCCGTGGACAGTACCGCTCAGTACCAAGCGACCCCTGAAGCAACCTCACCGGCCTCATCAAGCTCTTCACAAGCCAACCTCGAGTTCGTCCACCTGCGAAGCGCCATATGGGTGTTGGAAAACGTCGATGAGAACAGCTTGCAACCACTGTTCAACTCCTGTGCACACTCGCTATGGCACAAACTGCAAAGTGGAGAGTTGTCTCCCAACGCCTTAGACACCGCCGTCTTGGACCCCCTTGACTCGGCGACGAGGCAACGGATCCCGACAGAAAACATGGCGGACGAAATGGTCGCCTCCTTTCGCAGCATTGTCCTGTCGGCCCTCGAGGCTGTCCAAAGCGAGGGCGACAAGTCGGTCGATCCGACACTGTGGCTGAGCTTCGCGCAGAGGGTTTGCGGCACCAAGGGAAGACGACATGATATTCTACTCTTTGGCAAGCTGATGCGCACCATGCCAACTTCGCTGCGGGCGCAGGTCCCCCCCGATCACATAGCCGAGCTGGCTCGAGCAGTCGTGGTGGAACATGCGACCCGCGACGACCTGGCTCACCGCTGGTCAACTCAAGCCCACAGCTTCAGCCGTGCCTTGCAGGAACTGACTACGACGCAGCGGCAGAATCTTGACGACGACATGAGGTGGTTTTTACTGCGGCAGGATAGGGCAGTGAGAGAAAGGCAGATATTGTCCTTCTCCTGGCTGATCATCAAGGCTTACGATACTCAAGCGACGACGGCAGACTTGCTCAAGACTCATGTCGAGACAGCTCCACTAAACACTCGTGTCAGCAGTCTGAACCTGTGGCATCTCCTGGCGGCCCGGTTCATCGGGGCCGGAGCTGTGGAAAGCGAGCACAGCAAACTGCTGTTGGAGGCGGAATACGAGTCCCTGGGCCAACGTTGGACGTTTCTCGTTCTTGCTCTGATGGCCTCTCAGAAAAAGGATGAGAGCTTGCGTGAGCTGTGCTCCTTCTTGAGTAGCATTGGAGAGTTCGATACCATGGCCCAGGCCCTGACGGAACGGGCGCTCCCTGTTGTCCGCATAGACGCCGTCCAAGCGATAGCGATCGCCTGCAATGACCACAACCGGGCCCTTGCACTTCACGATGCTCTCCTCTCCAGGGGGGGGTCAGAGCGAATGCTGGCCTCATGGGACTGGACCATGTGGGTCAAATATGCAGAAAGAATCATCAAAGACCCAGCGATGGATTCTTGGCGCATCTGGGACGTGCTTCACCTGAAGCGTCGCTCAAGTAAAGACAGGAGGGATCGGGACGAGACTGCCAGCGACGTCGACGCCAAGGTTCAGCTGCTGGACCAGATAAGCCAGTGGTTCATGGAGGCGACACACATCAATGACCGTCAGCTGCTGCGAGAGCTGGAAAAGGTCATTTACATACAGAGGGGTTTAACGGGGACTCTGACACGGCAGTCACTGGCCCACCTCACAGACCTATTGACACGCGACCTCTCTCGAGGCCGCAGGGGCCGGACGGAGCGGCTAGAGTGGCTGGTCCAGTTGGTTGCCCAGACACAGGGCATGGACAAGGCAACCCGGGTGGCGTCGGCCATCAGAGGCTGGAGGTGGACGCTTGCCCGGAGGCGCGCCGCGGAGTTGGTAAAGTAGGGGCGACCCCGTTGGATAACGTGGACATCCACGAATATCTTTTTATAATCCGTACATACCATTGCACAAAAACGCTTACAAACAAAGATGATGGATAGAGAGAGACTGTAGGTGAGGCTGAAACTGGAATTTAAATTGCCTCGTAGGGTTGAACTCTTTCTGATCGTCTTGACAAGCCGCTATGCTATGTCTTCCATGACAGCTGCGGAAGATGCGCCAACAGAGACGATCTACAAGCAGCAAAGCATTCCTCCGGGAGTAGATGACGCGCGCTCCCTACATCCAGGTTTATGTTGTGTTGGTCTCTTCGTCGAGGCTGATTTGGGCCAGGGACCGGTGGAGCGTGGTGTAAGGAAGAGAACATTACTGTCGAGATTGAGTAGCTATGCCCAAAAGGAAGAGACAGCTCTATGGTTCGTAAGTGGTCGTTAAAGTAAAGTACAGCATGAGTGATAAATCAAGAATTACATCAAATTTTTTAACAAGAAAACGCGCGGGATATCGCGACCGCTTTTCGCCCCAATCTCATCATTTTTGACTCAAAAACAAAACCCCAGACCGTTTGTCCCGAGGACGAATACAAGGGGACAGACATTTCATACATGAAGAGGATCAAAAAGAAGAATATGAAAATCGCGTGCCCAAACTGCGCCAGCGATGCCGGTTTTTGGTCCGTTTCGCCAGTCTCGAGCGGCCGCGGGGTATATGGAGAAAACAGCTCGCTGCCAGCCCTTCTAGACATCGCTCGCCAAGTAATGCCCCTCAGACGGTGCCATGGAGTGGTCTGTCACGACACTGATGCGGCTCGGGGCGCCGAGGGATGCGCCGCCGGCGTCACTAGACGGCGTGAAGTGGCGCTTGCCCTTGTCGCGGGCCACGAGCACTTGTGCCGGGCAGACCACAACCTTGTCCTCGCCCACACCGTCATCGTCACCTCTCTTGACGACCAGGGGGAAGAGCACGATCCGTACCACGGCCCCCTGCGCCTCAATCTCCTCGTTGGTCATGGAGAGATTGCCGCTCCGCTCATTCATCATGGCGGCGTCAAAGTAAACGGTGGCGGCCAGTTCACCATCGGCATCGTACTCAGGCTGCAAGGGTGGAAGCATCATGTACTCGGCTCGCTGGGTGCGCATCTCGACCGACAGATCAACGGCTTCGCGCATCACCCTGCGCAGCTGCGACTGGATCTGGCTCTCCAGGTTGCTGGGCGGAGGCAGAATCTTGCTGAGGGTCTGGAAGATGGCCTGCACGACGGCCTCGGTGTCAAGCTCCCTCTGTTCCTTGAAGTTGCCTCTCTTGCAAAGCAGGGTCAGGGTGACGGCGCGCCACTGCCGGACCGCTTGTGCAGGGCCGACCTCGATGAGGAGCTTCTCGAGGGACTTGAGCTTCTGGCGCTGCTCGCGATCCATGCCAAAGAGGTATCGGGTGAAGACGAACTCCCAGATCATGTTCATGGTCATGGACATGAAGATGTCGCGCCGCCTGACCCGGTCGTTGAGGTACGAGTCGACGTCGGAGCCGTCGAGGACTGCATTGTCCAGGCGGTCGATTGTCTTTTCGTCGTTGATCTCGCTTGTCAAGCGGCATGCACGCATGTCAGAGAATTTTGAGAAGCGGAGGACCCACTGCTGGACGTGGGAGCACAGCTGCTGGCATCGATTGTCGAAGTAGTCCTCGTCTTTGAAGTTGAGGAACTCGGGGCTGCTGGCCTTTGAGTCGAGTATCTTGCGCTGCATGTCGCGCATTTGCTCTTTGGCAGACTCGAGCTGGGCGCGGAGGCCGGCGATCTCGGCGTCCTTTTCCTGCAGCGTCTGGCTAAAGGTGTTGTGGACGCCGCGGGCCTCGTCGAGCTCGCGGGCGACGGTTGCGTAACGGACCTCGAGGTCGGCGTAGCGGCCGCTGTCCTTTGCGGCGAGCTCTGCGTTTGCGCTGGCGAGGCCATCGTTGACCTCGGTCAGGCGACTGACCTCGTTGTGGAGAAACTGCAGCGACTGCTTGAGGGATTCGATCTCGGCGTCGCGCTCTGACAGGACGGCGGCGGCGCGCTGGCTCAGCTTGTGCTCGGCGTGGGAGCGGGCCTCGGCCAGTAGGGTGTTTTCGGCCATGAGCTGCTCGACGCGCGACTCGAGCTCAAGGACCTGCATGCTCTGGCGGCGGCGCATGCTGTGCGGGCGCGTGGGCGAGCGCGGCGAGCCCATTCGACCCTCGCCGAAGCCATCGTAGACGTCCGCCATTTCGCCTCCTCGGGCCCGCGCGCGGCTCTCGTTGGCGACGGGCGGCGGCGACGGCGACGAAGAGCCGGATGCTTGGTACTTGTCCGTCTCCTTGTCGTGCGTCGTCGAACTGGTTGCGCTACTTTGACGCCGCAGAGCTCGCAGGTCGCCGCTCATGCGCTTACTCATCCGCCGAAGTGGGGGGGCTGGGGATGACATGATGCTGCCTGGACTCTCAGGCCGAAACTTGAGCGGCTCTGGCGTGTGCCGCCGCGCTAGGCTCGTGTTAGACGCCGTCCGCCGCGCGCCAAAGGACGCCGCCTCGGCCCGTTCCGACAGCGCCTGGCCTCGGCTATCGGCGGCATGGCTGTCGCTCGCGCTGCGCTCCGCTTGCCGGCTCCCGGTCAAGGCCAACGACGACGACGAGGTCGCCGCCGCCACTCCGCCGAGGTCCCCGTAGCTCTTCTTCTTGCTGCGCTTCTTCTCTGGCTCGGGCGTCGCCTCTGCGGCCGGCGGCTCCCGCAGCACGGGCGTCCCACCCCGAACGACGGGCGTCCCGTACGGCGACCGACGTGGTTTCCCCCCTTGGACCACGCCGCCGGGCTCGGGGGTGCGAGCCATCATCTCGGCTCCGTCTCCGGTGTGGACGCCGCTGTCTCGCTGCTGCTGCTCCCACATGAGTTTGCCCCGGCGCTGCTGCGGGTTCGGCGAGCCTGATCCAAATCCGCTATCGCGGTTCACATCCGGCGTTGACCAGTGGTGCCGGGTCGCTTCCGCCTCTGCCTCAGCCTCGGGAAATTCTTGCACCGCAGGCAGCGCACGGGATGACGATATCTGCACATCCATCGCCTCCGGTGTTGCGCTGCCCTGCCCGGCTGGCCCCTCTCGTTCTTCCCTGAGCAGCCCACCAACTGGCTCCTCCACCTCCGGTCCTCGACGAAGCAGGCCAGCAGGCTCTGCCTTGACCAGACCTCTCTCTCCCCGACCCAGTATCGGGCTCTCCGTGAAATCCTCGTCCAGAGGCGCCCCTTGCCGAGCCGTCTCTTTCCAGCCCTCCTCCGACTCAGTCAAGCTTTCGCTCACGAATGCAGGAGCGCCTGCCTCCCTGGCATTGCTGGCTTCCGCCTTTTCCTCACTGTCACCCCAAAAGTTCTCGTCCATGCTTGGTCCTTGTTGCGTCTCCAAGCCTTTCTTGTCTGCCCCCTCCCACAAGGCTGGGTCGTCGAAAAAGTCTTCCTCCCGTGGCTGCCGCTTGTCCACAATCTTCTGCTTTCCCTTCTTCTTTTTCTTGCTGCCTCCAAATTTCTCGGCGATCAGAGCCACCCCGCCAGTTATCGCACCAGCTGCTGCGACTTTCTCCGTGTTGCTTGGCCCAGATCCCTCGACAGTCTCATCCTTTAGCGTCGCTTCCTTGATGGGCGTGCTGTTCTTTGCCGGTAATGCAGCTCGAAACTCCGTCCCTGCAACCGATGGTCCGTGGTCGCCCTCCCGGACATCATCAAAGGTACTTGCCCCCATGTCGGTTGATGTATCGCCGGAAGGTGCAGAGGTGTTCTCAATCTGCTTCTGACCAGGCTCGGAGATTGATTGCTCGACGAATGCCTTGGAGATCTCAATGGCCTCTGAAGCCGGCGAGGCCGCCAGAGCCGAAGCCGGTGAGTCGACGCTCTCCTTGTTCACTCCCGCCTCGGGTTTGGATACAGGGGAGTCGGCTCCATCGTCGCTCGCCGGCAGGCCCCTCGTCTCACCCTTTGTCGTGGAAGTTTCTTCAGCCTCACTTGGGAATGAGGCGGCAGGAAGTCTCTGGCTGGAAGAATCGGGTTCCGAGGTCAGAGCGATTGGCTGCTTTGATTTCCGCCTCTTGTCCCTTTTCGCCTTTTTCTTTGCTGGGGCTTCCCAGATGCTGTCTGGACTGGCTTCAGCAGGAGCAGGATCCATGTTCAAGACCATTGGCTCTTTCTCCGCTGATTTCGATACATCGACTGGGTCCTCAGGAGCGTCCACGTCCATCGCATCTCCAGCGATGTGCTCTTCGACGACCGAGGCAATCTTGGGCTCTTCTAGCTGGCTTTTGCCCATTCCTCTGCCGGCAGGCTCCTCAGGCTGAGCTTCAGACAAGATAAGAGCCCCGGAATCCTCGGCTTGGTCAGTCTTTTCTTGAGTGAGGGAGATGGATTCGTCGGTGGGCACCGCGGCGAATCCCTTGCCCTTCTTTCCCTTGCTTTTCCTTTTCTTCTTCGATGTGGGCCACTCATTCTCGGTTTCGACTGTAAGCTTGGGTTCTGTGCTCGGCTTCTCCGCTTCAAGGTCTGGACTTTTCTCTTCGGTTGGAGGGGGTTCAGTCGGAAGTGGCTGATCCTTGGCTTCGCTCGAAGGAACATCGCCGGCAGACGGCGGGCCCTCGGTCTCAGGATCCCGCCACGAGATCCCTGGAGTGTCTGTCGCCTCTTCTCCTTCGCCTCGCTGGGCTGGCTCAGTCATAGACGCCGAGAGGTTGTATACAGGGACCTCAACAGTCTGGGAGGGTAGCTGAAGCCCCTCATTCGGCCATTCTCTTTCGGAAAGAGGCTCAGTCGCTTTCTCAGGGTCATGTGTTTGTTCACCAGTCTCTCCAATCTCTCCAACGGTTTGGACTGGGTCTGGCTCGGCCAAAGTCTCGGGCTCAATCGCTGGTGTAGCAACGCCGCTGCCGCTCTTGCCCTTCCCGGTCGTGAAAGCCCATGTGTCGTTGTCTTCAAAGGATTGAGACGTCTGCTCAGGCTCTGTGGGCTTGGGCTCTTCAGGTTGTGGAAGAAGGTTGGCCGCAGGTTCAGGGCTAGCTTTTTCGATGGGTTGTCTCGAGAACTCTGCGGATTCAGGCTGTGAAGAAGCACCCGACTCCGTTGCAGGCGTCAGCGCCCCGCTACCTTTGCCCTTTCTATTCTTCTTTCCTCTCTTCTTGGTAGTCGGGGCCCATTCGTCCTCTGCGTCCACTGTCGTGGGAGCTTCAAGAGCCTGTGCTCCCACCATCCCAGGAATTCCAGGGGTCTCCACCTCCGCCATCGTGGGAGCTTCCAGGGCCTGCAAGTCTGGCTTGGTCTCCATAGCATCCACGTTAGAAGCTGCTCCGCTGATGGTTCTGGTGTGCTGGGATTCAGAGGCTGCAGGTTCGGGAAACTGCTCTGCTTTGACGATAGACATGCTCTCGGTATTGCTTTCAGCAGCACCGGGATCCGTCTTGCTTCCCTCTCGGTCCTCTTGGTTCTCGAACGGTACTTCGAGCCCACCATCCCCATCTTCTCGGACACTTTGCGGTGTCTTCCGAGGGACTTCGACAGAAACAAACGACACACTCTCCGACACCTCATCCGCCCACGACCTGACCGGCTCAGGCTCGCGAGGTTCTCCCGCGGGCTGGGGCTCCTCCGCGGGCTGTGACTCTTGCACATGGTGTGTCTCTCCCACAGGCTGCTGCTCCTCCTCCGCGAATGGCTCCATCGGTGGCCGAGGGCTCTCCGCTCGGTGTGACTCCTCCGCTGTCTCTTCCTTTGCTTCCATGCTTGCACCCAGAGCAACACTTGCAGCCAATGGGCTAGCCGCTGCAAGAGCGGCTCTCTGCGCCCTTTTCTTGTCCTTCTTCGATTTCTTGGTCGAAGACCAATCTTCCGAAGACTCCTGCGAAGTCACTTGCGCGACCTCCGGCACCTCTGGTATGCTCTCCAGAGCAACAGATGGAACATCATTCGACTCGGCCAAAGGCATGGGCTCGCTCCGCTCTGGGCCATCGTGTGCAGACTCAATCAAGCCACCCCGCTTCTTCTTTTTCTTCTTGTCCCGCTTTGAAAGCCTCTTGTCTGGCATGGTTTCCCCGAGGTCCTCAGAGCTAGGCGCATCTCGGCTGTCTGCTTCGGAAGTGGAGACATCTTCAGCTTTTGTTGACTCGATTTGCTGATCCAAGCTCCGAGATCCTTCGGCTTCGATGGCCTGAGCTGGGATAGCTCCTTCGGCCGGAGGTTCAGGATTCTCACCGATTTCCGGCACTGCTGTTTCTTCAGGAGCTGGCGTGGGCGCGACTGACGCCATCGTATCATTGACATTCGCATCGGCCACCTCTGGCTTTGGAGCAGCAAGTTCATGAAGGGGTTCGGGCGCAGTTTCGGATTGATGCTCGACAAGCTCAGGCTTCTCATTTCCTTCGAGGATGGGCTCAGTTCCCGTGACTGGGAGATCGGAGTTCTCGGTTGTCGTCTCCTCCAAAGGTAGAGCCGTGAGTTGGCCGCGTCGTTTCTTCTTGCCCCTCTTCCCTTTCTTTCCAGTCACAGAGCCAGACCATTCTCCATCTGTGCTCTGGTCCTTTGGCGTCGACACTTCAATGTCGACACTTTTTGGTGAAGACAATTCCTCGTCGTGCTTTGGGACACTCGCCGTCGCTCCAATGACGCTTTGCTCTTGCTCATGCAATGTCTCCGGCTCGTTGGGCTCACTCAGAGATTCGAGGCTTTGTTCGACTGACTCTGGCGGGGGAGAATCTTGGGAGAGATTGGCAGTTTCAGCAACAGCCTCCTCTTCCTTCGTTACCGAGAGACTCGATGCTGTAAAATCTTGAACCGGGGAGTTCCGGTGAAGCGAAGAGAGCATTTCTTCGTATAGAGTAGCATCTTTCTGTGTCTCAACAGTGGCGGAGGGCTCTTCTTCTGTCGGTCCAGGAAGATCTGACGCTGGGGAATCTTGAATGAAAGAGGCCTGGTGAAACGCAGAAATCACTTCTTCGTCTTGAGCAGCATCCTTACCGCCCTCGCCAAGGACAGACGGTTCCTCAGAGCCGACAGGATCCCCAGCAAGGGAATTAGGGTGAGGCGCAGGAATCGCGTCTTTGTCTAGAGCAGCATCCTCCTGGGTCTCGACAGTGACAAGGAGCTCTTCTTTGGTCGGTTCAGGGAGGTCTGACGGTGTCGAATCTTGAACTGAAAAGGCCCGCTCAGGTACTGAGATCATAGTGTCCAGAACAACGTCCCCCTCAGCCTCGACGGTGGCAAAGGGCTCTTCTGCTGTTAGTCCATGAAGAACTGATGTAGTAGAATCTCGCAATGAGGAGCTCTGGTCAGACGAAGCTTGCTTATCAAGAGTGGCATCTTTCTGGGCCTCGGCAAAGGTAGAAGATTCCTTGGGGCTGGCAGGCTCAACAGCAGGGGAATCTGGATGAGGCGCAGAAAACACTTGTTTGTCGAGAGCGGGGTTGTTTTCGGTCTCGTCAATGGCGGACGTTTCAAGATTGACACGCTCCGCAGCGGGGGGGTCTTCGAGTCGATAGGGATCATCTCGAGAGCGAGGCGCGGATTCGTTCGTTTCCCCTCCCTTGTCTAGACTTTGAGAGGTATCGGCACGAATTTCATCTCCCGGTGCTTCTGTCGCGGTTTCTTGCCATTCGATTAACACTCGTTTCTGTTTCAAATGGTAGACTGTCAAAATACCTACCTTCAATACATGCAGCCTCAGTCTTCTCAATACTCCCTTCTGTAGTCTGGCCGGAGATTCCATCGACCTCCGCACGAACTTCAGAATTTTCGGGCTCGGCGCTCTCGAACGGCGATTCAGCTTGATCCGAGACTCCGAAGTCAGAGGTGACAACCGACTCCAGTTCCATATGTTCCTTTTCCAGAGTCTCCTCAGGTATCGCCTTCGTTGATGGCAATACAGCTTCGCGTAAGGGATCAATGGCAGGGAGTGGCTCTAACTCAAATGCCCTCTCAGCCCCTTCGGGCGCCGCACTATCAGATGACAGATCTGCCTTGGCAAAGGCTTCTGGCTCAGCGGTAGGGATTGGGGCGGGCGGTACCACCGTGTCCTCAGGATTCTCGGGGATTGTCCCTCTTGACTGTAATTCGGTTTCACTAGAGGCTTCTAGGTCAGTGGTAGGGTCGGACTGTGGCACCACCGCCTTTTCAGTCTCTTTGGCTGCGGCACTCTCAAGCGGCAATGCCGCCTCACCAAAGGCTTCCGGTTCAGCGGTGGGGGTTAAAACGGGCTCCACTGGAACCTCTTCAGGTTTCTCAGGTAGTGTACTACCTGAAAGCGGTCCAGTTTCTTCCTGAGCTTCGGAGTCACGAGCAGGGGCTTGCTCTAATTCCAAAGTCTCTTCCGGCTCCTCCGGCTTGATGCTGGCCAATGGAGGTCCAGCCTCAACCAAAGTTCCAGTATCAGTGGCAGGGACCAGTTCTGGCTCCTTTGGTGGATCTTCACCAGCAAGTTCGATGCCCTCTCGCTGTGGTTCGGGTGTCTGTTCCACGTGAGTACCGACTTGCTCTCGCTCCGGTCCCGGAAGGGTGGCCGTCTCAGGTTCCTGTGGTTTCGTGGGTTCAACATCTTTAGCTTTCTTCTTCTTCTTGTTGTCCTTTCTGGACCTTTTTAGACTGAACCCACCCCACTCATCAGGAACCACCTCTGACTGCTGTTCGCTTGTCCCAACCGGCTGGTCGGTTGTTGCCTCGTCGGATGCACCTGGACCTATCACCGAAGTTCCAATTGCTGCCTCCTCTGCAGCCCGAGACTCGTTGATGGCACGATCCAAGCAAGTCTCCTTGGTTGCCTCCGACTCAGGTCTCGCTTGTTCCGGCACCACGTCCTGGTTGATGGCAAACTTTGCTGAAGCTTCCTCTGAGCCAGGTTGCGTAGCCTCATTCAGCGCCGCCTGCTTCTTATTTTTCTTCCTGTCCTTTTTGCTCATCTTGACCGGAAAGGCGGCCTCGCTGTCATCGGCAGGTGTGGTGTCTGCAACGCTGTATCCTGGAAAATTTGCCTCCAGAGAAGATCCAATGCCGAGGAATCCCGGGCCCGATCCAAGTTGAGTCTCCAGTGTGGGTGTGTCGCTTCCCTGCTCCATACCACGAGTCGACTTGCTCTGGTCATCATCCAGGAAAACAGACGCCTCGTCGCCAGTGAGACCAGACTCAACCTCAGGCAGCGTCTCAGGCTCGATGGCAGGTTGGTCCTCCGAGGGCACGGCCGGCTCGTCAGTCAGTTGCTGCGGTTTCATGTCAGAAGTCGAGTCCCATGAGAAGGTATGCTGCTTCTTCTTGTTCTTCTTTCCCTTCTTAGGAACTGCAAACTCGGTTCCACAATCGACCGTGGAACCAGATGCTTTGGAAACCTTTAATTTTTCGACAGGAGGCGCAGGAGTCGAAGAATCGCCGTCCAATGTAACGGAAATCTGGCTTTGACGCTTCTTTTTCTTCTTGCCCTTCTTGCCTGTAGCTTGTGGCCACTCATCCATCTCCGCGGAAGCACCAGCCAAAGGATCGGTGTGCGTACTGAGGAACGGCCCCTCAATGCTTGCAGCTTCCTCCGCTGCCACTGGAGGCTCTGTCGTCTGAGTCGCGAGGTCAGCATGCGGCGCTGGGTCAATGGTTGATAAAGGTTTGCTGTCCTCGGACAGGTTGGGCTTCTTTCCAGTTGCCGTCTCGTTCCATTCCCCTTCGGCTGGGACTTCCTGGGGGACGAGAGCTGATTTGGCGTCCTGCACGGCCTCGCAAGCTTTATCAACCGTCTCCGTTGTGGCATCTTCTACGACCTTGCCGAACACAGCCTGTCCCGTTGAAAGACCAGGGCCGAATGCATGCTCCCGAGAGGACTCATCCTTGTCAGGGTCCCGCACGCTGCCTTGGCTCTTTCTCTTGTTCTTCTTGCCCTTCTTCTTGGGAGCGACGAAATCATCGACTGAGGCCGAAGCTGTCGTCGTCTCATCCACAACGGCGCTCACGGCTGGAGCTGGTTGGTCTGCTTGCGTGGTTTCAAGGTGGATGGGGTCTTGAATGGGTTCCATGGCCTCGCCCTGAAAGAAGTGAGGTTCCGAGACGATCGATTCGAGAGCTTTCATGGAGTCAACGTGAGTGGAATCTTGAGTAGGTTCCGCAGGCGCTTCGCCCTGAGAGAAGGGAGGTTCCGAGACGATCGGTTCGAGAGCTTGGGTGGGTTCAAGGTGAGTGGAGTCTTGAGTATGTTCAATGTGGAGCTCGCCCTGCGAAAAAAGAGGTTCCGAGGTGATCGGTTCGGAGTCCTGTTGCTGCTGACTGGCATCCAATGAGACGTCTTTTTGACAAACGTCGGCCGCGAGCTCCTCTTCTTTGGCAGTTTGCGGCGCGTCAGCAAAAACAACCTCTCCCTTTTGTACTTGCTCGAGGACATCTTTCCGACTCAAAGGCTCCTGGTCCGAAGCTGCGATTGAAGCAGATACTGCAGGGACAAGTGCTGAAGCGGAGAGCGGACATGAAGCAGGCGTGCTGGACACCTTCTCCTCCACAGGCCCCTCTGCAGTGGCGTCCGGATCATGAAGAAGAGAGCTGGACGGAGAATTCTGAGCATCTTCAGTCTTGGCCGCAGTGACAGTCTCGAGCTCGGTGGACGGCTGGAGATCGGTGGCTTCTAGGTCTTTGGACGCGAGATCAATGGTCAAATCGGCGTCGTCTTTGTGGGTCTCTTGCACGGCCGAGGGTTGATCAAGTTCCCTCTCCATGGACTTCCGCTTCGACTTTTTCTTCTTGCCACGCGAGGCCGGAGCGAAATCAGTCTCTAAGGCAGCGGGCGCTGACTCCCCAGTAGAAGTTTCACCATACGGCTGAGCTTCAGTGTCAACGGGCTTCTCAGGTTCAACGGCTGTTTCGACAGGAGTCTCTTCCGTGATGGACACAGTGGTTGCGTCATTCTCTGCGGGCAAAGATGCATCCAGTCGCTGGCCCTTCTTCCTTTTCTTCTTCTTCTCTTTCTTGGAACTAGTTGGCGTGGCCCACGTATCCTCTGCGTCAATGGTTGACGAATCGACAGCAGAAGCTGACGCCACTGGCTCGTTCTCCGCCACTTCAGCAGCAGCCGCAACGATGGCTGGTTCACTTTGGTCAACTTCCCGCGGCTCATCGACAATGCTTGGTTCTGCCGAGGCCGAGGGCTCATTCTGTGGCTCCTGGGGTTCATCCCGCGGCGTGACTTCGATAGTTTCTTGGACTCTGGTCTCTTCCTTGTCAATAGCTGCAGGAGTAGCCCCAATGCCATCCCGATTAGCAGTGTCCGGGAGTTGCGGTGCAGGAGTTACGGCTTCAGGCTCGTCCGTGATCAATTCCTCCTTGGCCACCTCGGGCGATTCATTTACAGGATCCAACTTGTCGCGAGTCTGGTCCGCAGCCACATCTTCAAATGAAAGAGCAGGTTGATCTTCGGTTGTCTGAGCATCCCCTTTTTCCAAGACGGCCGCTTTGCCCTTCTTTTTCTTCTTTTTGCTTTTCTTGGAACTAGCAGTCGAGGACCACCGGTCGTCAGAAACAGCCTCTTGCGTTGGGGCGTTGTTGATAGCAAGTACAAGCTCTGGCTCATCCTTGGCCCTTTTTGTCTCGGCTGAAGGGGGGGGTTGACCGAGCGTCTCCAAGACCTGCTGCTGACCGACATCACCGGGCTCATCAGTCATCTTGTGTCCCTCATGACCTTGAAGTTCACCCTCAGGAGCTGGTGCCTCGCTGAGTGTCACGGCTTCTCCAACTTCTTCCTGTATTTCTTTGTCTTCGCTGGACTCTTGTAAAACCTCTCCTGCCGTCGGTGATCTCAGGGCAATGTCAATAGTCGGGGTGCAGTCACCCTCTGGGTCGGGGGCTTGATCCGCGGTTGGGGTCGTGTCAACGGCACTGGATCCGTCACTGTTTTGTGGTGCCGTGATAGCCTCCGTGTATTTGTCTGGGGATGCAGCTGCCAGTGCTCCATCAGCGTCCAGGTTCGGGGTCGGGATTGAGGTTTCGCGCTCCGTGATCAGCGAAGAATCATTATCCGCCGCAACGTCAGGAATCTCGGGTTGTAACGCTGCGAAAGATTCATCTTTGCCAGGCTCGGCGGGCGTTTCCTCAATGTCCTCCCAAGCAGGCAGCGTCTTCTTCCTGTTCTTCTTCCCCTTCTTCCCCTTTGTTGGTTGCTCAAAAGCATCCCGTGAGGTCTCCGGTTGGCTTGCAGCGCTGTCCTGGTTGCTTGCGGATTCGCCGGTCAGGACGCCCGCCGCAGCAGCGGCTGCGGCGCCAAGGGTAGTGGCAGCCGCTGCTGCAACGCTGGCCATGTCCAGGCCCTTATTCTTGCGACCCATCTTGGCCTTCTTCCTCTCCTTGACCGTCATTGTTCTCCACTCATCAGGCTCAGCCTCTTCAGCCTCGGTCGTGGCAGTTGTATCGGGTACGGTCTCCTGATCCGGCTGCTCCACGACCTGCTGCTCCAGGACGACCGGCTGAGCAGGTGAGGCAAGAGCCTCCTCGAAAGCATCCTCAGAATGCCCCTCCAGGGCGTCAGAGAAGTGCTCATCGGCTGAAGTCAGGTCCTCGGGAACGTCGGGTGATGCATTTGCCGTGCGCAATTGCTTCGTGGGAGGCGATCCGTGGGAGCTTTGCGAGGGGCCCTCTCTGTCAGCGGTCCTGTTAGACTCGATAGAGGGAGGCGTGGAATGAAGCAAGAAAGAGCTTCTGTCCTTGGACGTTGACTCAACGGGACCAGGCTCTACGTACTTGTATTGCTCCCCGTCGCCGCTCCCAGGTGCCGGCCAGCTTGGCAACTCTGGCCTCACCTCGGCTCTTGGCGTCGTCTCCTGAGACCCCGCGATGTCATGATCTGCGGCAGCTGATGCCAGGCTCGTGTCGATTCGGAGCCCGGAATCCGCGAGGTTTTGGGCGCCGAGTCCACTGTCAAGGAGCTCCATATCGTCATCAATGGCACTGAGTTCGGGAGCGGGAGACTCCCGGGACGGCGGCACGGGTATGTCGGCTTCTCGGGGAACACTGTCGGCAGACCTATGCCGCGAGTGCTCAAGCAGATACAGCGGCATTATCGCACGGCTGCTGTCCCAGGAAATGCGACGAGCCTGTCGCCTCATGGCAGCGTTCGGATTGCCAACGGGAGATCCTGGAGGAGGGGACTTGAACGTGCCAGAGCTCGGTGGGGTCGGAGTTCCCCTTTGGCCAAGTCGCAATGAGATTGGTATGGCCGTGCTGCTGGGAGACTTGACAGGAGTTTCTTGAATGCTCCGCCACCGGCGGTGTGTCTCGTGGTCGCGTTTCCGGTTGCGTTCGTCGGGTGGCGTGCCCGGGCGGCTGTCTGGCAGGCCGGGAAGCTCCTCGAGGGTTTGTCGAGGGCTTCCCGGCTCACTTGGGGGGAGGGGAAGAAGGTCGCCATACTGGGGGTCAATGGCTGGCTTGATTGCTCGTGGGGCAATCTCCGGGTCGAAGATCTCGACGTCTCGAGCGTCTTTAGGGGCCTCGAGAGGATCGTGCTCCATTTCCGAGGAGCTACCGGTGGCATGCGCGCGAACGAGGCCAGCCGTGGCAATGGCAGCAATGCTCGCCAAGCCGACACCTGTGCCAGAGGTGCCGGCATTATCTAAAAAAGACTCTCTTTTTTGTTCGTCTTTGCTGCCGCCAGACTTGAAGATGCTGGAAAAGAGCCCGCTAGACTTTTTGCCCGAGTCTTTGCTCTTGCGAGAAGGGCCCGGTGCTGAGGCGACCGACTTGGCGTCGTCGTCGTCATCGTAGCTTCGAGACGACCGCTTGCCCTCTCGCCTGTCGCGTTTCTGCTTGTCATATCGAGAATCAGACACGACCGAGCTCACTTCATGGTCCTCGAAGGGACTGCGCTTTGAGCGACCCAGGGGATCCTCGCCAGGGGTGACAAAATCATCGTTGTTGCCGCTGCTCCGCTTCGACTTGCTGCTCCGCCTGCTGGAGCTCGTTGCGGATACCTCTGAAGGGACCGAAGACCTGGTGGGCGAGTCGTGGGCTCCCGAGCTCCTCTTCGACTTTCTCTTGGACTTTTTCGAAGCTTCCCAGTCGTCGCCAACCGATTCTTTCCTGAGCAACTGCAGATCGTCAAAGGCATCAGTGGGAACCGACACCTTGGACTTGGTGTCGTCGTCAAAATCTCGGCTCCTTCTATTCTTCTTTTGCTTGCCATAAGCATTTTCCTCCCAGACATCGGGGTCAGCCTTGCCGCTCTGGCTACGCTCGGCCTCGGCTCTTGGATAATGCTCATCACCGTGCCTCGAAGCTGAGCTGTCGTGCTCGCGGTGGTCTTTTGTGCTGCCTCTCCGGGAAGCAGCATCGGCTACGTCTTCGAAGGCTGGAGTTCCTGAGGTTTCAGCAGTCGCCGGCTCCGACGCCTCGGACGACTGTCGCTTGAGCTTTTCAAGCCTCTTCCTCTCCTTCTTGCTCAATTTTGCGGGTACCTCGGCCCACTCACCGGCCACCGAGGCCGGGGATGGCTCGTCCCTCGGGGTTTCGACCTCGCCAATCACGAAACCCGGCTCAGACACTGGTCTCCCGCCGGCGACCGAGCCATGGCTTTGCAGGTTGGTGATGATGTCTGAAGCAGCCCTGCGGTTCCAACTGTCCCCGTTCGGCTCGCTCTCGCCTGGGGGTGAATCGCGGCGGTGATACAGCGGATCGTCGATGACAATGTTGGGGTCAAAGCCGGTGTCCTTGAGACCCGCCGCAAGTGTGGCTGCGAACTCTATGTCGTCGGCGAAGCCACCGGGCATCTGTCTTGGTTCCGGGCTAACCGGCTTGGGGCCGGGGACTGGCGGAGCAGCGGTCGGCTCTTCAGTGAAGATCTGCTCCGGCCCAGCCGCCGCCACACTCCGGAGCTTGGAATCCGAGGCCTTGTCCCAGTCCCTCGCCTCGGGCTCGTTGTCGGGCTCGGCGCTGCTTCCGGCCATGGCGGCAGCGATGATGCCCCACTGGCTCGACCTGTCAAGGAGTGGCCGCGACCTTTCTCCGGAGCCGGCAACGTCACGCGATTGTTCCGCATGGCCACGGGGCTCGGGGCTCTCCACCTCGAAACGCTTGGTCGAGTTTTCGCCCCAGCTGACGGACTTGGGCGTCGACGGCTGCGTCGGTTCGCCCCTTGGCTCATTCACCACGTCGGAGACGGGCTCTGGTTGCGCAGACCGTTGAACCTGTTCCTCGTCTTCCTGGAGGCGCTTCGCCGGATCAGGGCTTGGAGTGGGGTATCGGCTTGAGTCGGGCGTAGGATATACCAGATTGAGCACAGGGCGCTCTCGCTCGCACGACGGGTCCCGCGACTTGAAGGGCGCCACGCCCCATTCGCTCCCCGTCAAGCGGAACCTATCAACCTCGCGAGGATATATCTTGTTGTCGATGCGAACATCCGCATCAGGTGCCGCATAAGGCCCCTCATCCTTCTTCCATTCTCTGTCCTCGACATCGGGCGGGGTGACGATGGTGGGTTCGTCGACTGCATCGTTCTTGTCCCATATGTCCACCACGGAACGCTCCGACTCTTGCGAATGAGAGCGCACCTGGCCCCCGGCAATCTTGCGCGCAAGTTCAACCTCACGATAGTAGCGGTTCGCCTGCTCCTGAACCGCGTCCCCGGGCCCGTCCTGGCGTTCTGGGGAGACGCCATTCGAGTTTTCTCGGCGGCGACGCTCTCTTGACTGGGCTCTCTCGATGGCAATGGCAGATGCGACGGCGGCTACTGCTATCGGCACGGTGGCGTGTCTGGCTTCATCGTATATCTCCTTGGCCTCTTGCTCCCCTGGGTCGAAGCTGCGGTCGCTCCGAGGCCTGCCTCGATCTCCCTTTTCCTTATCCTCGACCATATGGTCAATGTCAAAAGAGTCCCTGCGACTCAGTCTCAATTCCGGCTTTGGCGATTTTGGCGACCAGCTATCAAAGTCTGGCTCTCGGTCGACAGTGACAACGGTCGGCGTCAATGGTCTCTCAGTGGCAGCCTTTGGCGCGACGAGGGTATCGTCATCAATTTGATATCGAAATGGGTCGACTGTGGCTTTCTCGGAGCGGCGGTAGTCTTGGCTGCCGGCAGGCTGGGAAGCTGCGTCGTCCGCCCTGCGGATGTCTCGACGGTCCATATGCTCGTCGTTGTTGCGGTCGCCACGGTGTCGAGGCTGAGGAATGTCGCTGTACCTGTCAGGCTCGGCTTCCGTCTCGATTTCCCCACGGCGGTATCCAGCGACTCCGGGATCGGAGACGTGATCCGCAACGGTCTCGCGCCTTTTTCTAGGAGGACGTTCATCCTCATAGCGCCGGGCCTTCTTTTGGTCCTTGTCGTCAACGTGTTTCGATGACGAGTGAGAGTCGCGCTTAGACTTGCGGCGCTCCTTATCACGATTCGACTCTCGGTCTCGGGACTTGGAATCCTTCTCCGCCTTGTCGACCTTCTCAAGGCCACGAATGGAGCGATGCTCATCTTCGCGGCGGCCTTGGCCATCCCGCTCATCTCTCTTCCTATCCTCCCTCTTCCTTTCTTCCTTGCGACCATCCTTCCGATCGCGTCGATCAGAAACCAGGGCCGCACCGACAGCTGCGGCAGCCACGCCAGCCACGCCAGCCACTGCAGCCTCGCTAAAGGCCTTGTCTTCGGAGCGGTGGCGCGATTGTCGCCAGTCGCGCCTGCTTGCGTCCTCGAGCTTCTCTGCGTCATAGACTTTGGACGGCACAGGAGCCACGGGAACTGGCTGCTGTAAAGGGACAGGAGCAGGACTGGTTCGGCTTCGACGCAGAGCAGTCGGGGGGGCTGATTCTGCATCGAATGTGGTTGGGTCGGCCGTCGGAATCGGAAGTACCTCCCTCATGGGGGCTTGCTCGTGGATGGGCTCGGTCTCGACTCGACGAAGCCGGTTGAAGTTGCGGTATTGGACGGCTGGAAGGGAAGACTCGTCGTCCCCAAACGGACGAGGAGTGACCAGCCCGCGGAGGGAATTGACGGGTCCAAACAAGCGAGGATCCACCACGGAGCCCTGTCTGCCATGCATGGAAGGGCCACTGACTGTGGACGCAATGGCAGAGGCGGCGGCGGGCCTTGGTGGTCGGATTGCCTGCGAGACGACAGAGCCATACGCCAGCACCGACTCGGCGCCGTCGCTTGATTCGTCGTCCGAGGCAGATTCCCAGTCCGAGTCATCGCCGGGGGATGTGCCGTGAGGCCTTGAGGCGCCGATGCCGCGGCTACTGGTACCATCGCGCTTGTGTCGCCGAGAGCCGCTAGCCGTGGCGGCGGCGGCGGCGGCGGCGGCGGCGGCGGCAACGAGGCCAGTGGGTCGGCTCCGCCCGGCAGCCCGCAGATCATGATCATTTTGCTTCCGGGCAAAGTCGGACAGGCGGCGGCCTATATCTAGAATCTCTTCGTCGGTCTTGTCCCTGCGCAGGCTTGGTCGATCGGGCGCGTCGGCGGGATAGGCGGTGCCGCCGTACTGTCGCTGATCGTAGGGGTGCGACTGGCCAGGAGCGGCGGCCAAGGCGGTCGCGCGGCGCGGGCTGTAGCTGCGGTAGCCCTTGGGTCGGGCGATGTAGCCAGTCCCGTAAGCCAGGTCAGAGTTGACCGAGGACGAGGACGAGTTGCTGAGGCGAAGGATACGGCGCTTCCTGGTGGCCTTGCGGGTGGTGCGCCTGGACCGCTCCGAGGGCGCGCGGAAAAAGGTAGAGAGAAGGCCTCCCCAGCGGTCGGTGGTTGGTTGTGGGTAATGGCGCGAGATGTCGAGCAGCGACGAGGCAGAGCTGGATGCCGAGCGGGAGCTGGACGGGGCGCGGGGGCGGTGGGCGGTGGGAGGGAGCTGGAAGTAGTCTTGAGGCATGGCTTCAGGCGGCATGGTGGCGAGGTGTTGATGGCGCGAGTCTCTTCTGCTGTCGCGCCTCCGCCGGCTGGAGCTCTCGGGGCTCCGGCGACGGGGGTCTCGTATCATCGTTGGCCGCTCACTCGACTGATTGAGGATGGACAGAGTGAGCGTGGGTGAGGTTGGGCGAGGGCGAGGGCGAAGGCGATGATGACGGCGGTTATAAGAGGATGATGGCGGTAGTGGTGGTGGTGGTGATGATGGCGGCGAAGAAGCCAGGACGACTCTGTGGCCTGTTGTTTTGATTTTAGGCCATGGTGGAGAGAGCTCTGACCGACTTCTGGTTTGTCGACCCGAGCCGTCTCCCACGAGGCGGGTGGCTGGGATACTGGACGGGCGGGGAGTATCTGTACCTTGCTGGGAGAGGATGGGGTTCAGGGTACACGCGCGCACCTCTTGCAAGCTGCGACTGCGGCATGGATACTGTACATGTAGATGGCGGTTGTCCTTGTTCGTACTGTACAGTACTTGGTCGAATAACTTGTGCACAAAGGTATAATTCCCGTGCAACGATTGGGGGATCAACTCTGGGCGGGCAGCTCCCGTGGAAACGGACCAGGGCGGGTGGAACGGGGATCCCCTGCCTGATGCTCCAGTGCAGTAGGTACAGTACATTGTCCAGTTTGTATGTAAACCAACAAGGCCAATCAGCATTTGCCAATGTTGGACGAGTACCTTGCAGGCAAGTCAGGCAAGATGCTAGGCACGAAACATCTAAAGGTCCCCTATATCTCCAGTCAACAAGGGTAGTGTCAAGCTACGAGGCTCGAGTGTTGCTGATCAAGTGCGTGGAGAGAATTGCCAGGGACTCGACGACTGATCGTTTAAGAGTCTAGCGTCGAGGCTGGATTTCACTAAAGGCGCTTCTCGAATGAGTAGACGTCTCCTCCGCAGTACGTACAGTCTTGTACTGTATTGATGCCTCCCCAGGCTCTCGGCTCCGTCCTCGTGCCGAGCCTCACGTTTCCGTTCCAGTCTTTGGTCCCGCCCAAGTCGATGATGCCGTACAGCAGTACGTACTGGTACGTACTAAATAGCATTGTTCCGCAAACATGTGCTCCTCGCGGGCGCTAAAGGCCCGCTAAAACAGCTGCCCGTCCTTGGCGCCTCTCTTTCCCCACCACTCGCCTGGGTACAGTACCTTGGCTCTGAAGGCGCAAGTACAGTACTTTGTCTGTGCGAATACGAATGCCTAACTTACAGCACAAGTGAATCAAAGCATCCATCCGAGCACGCACCAAGGAATTATTCCAGTACAACTCTGCGGAAAGCCAGCCAGGCAGCAAAGGCCATGCGTCGTGGCCTCAACATCATCCTCCCCTCCCAGTGGCAAAAGCCGTTGCCAGCGTGGCACTTTGGGATACGACGCCTCGCGGCCAGACACGTGCCACCACCGCCGCCTCCGCCTTTTATGTGGTCACCCCCCTGCCGTATCTACAAATTCCCATTCATTCCTCTTGCGCACCGACGATGACGAATAAATGCCCCGCATATTGACTATATAAGCCACACAAAATGCATCTACATACAGAACGTACTTTCCGCAACCCAATTTCGCCCGGAACTCGGCATCGCGAATCCCGACGCTTCCCACAAACTCCCGGGCCATCTCAAGCGAAAGCAAGGTTTTCCCCCAGCGCAGCTCACCACCCCGGCACCACCCTCGTGCGCAGGTGCATCCCGTCCGCCGGCCTCGTCGTCACCGCCATCTTGAACCGCAGCTTCCTTTCGTCCATCAGCCCCGCGTCGGCCAGCTCAAACTCGAACCGCCCGACCCACGCCGCCAGGATGCACGCCAGCTCCGCCCGCGCGAACCCGGCCCCGATGCAGCTCCGCGGGCCGTGCAGGAACGTCAGGAACGCGTAGTTGCTCGACGCCCCGCCGCCGCCTGACCCGGATCCCGCTGTTGCTGCTGTTGTCGTTTCGGCAGTTGAACACGATGAAGCTTCAGACGACAGCCAGCGCTCCGGCCTAAACTCGCCCGCGTCTTCCCCCCACAGCGCAGGGTCCACGTTGGTCGCCCACGGCGCCAGGATGATGCGCGTGCCCCGCCGCACCACCTGGCCCTGGATCGTCGTGTCGTGCACCGCCTCGCGCATCGTCACCGACACGGGGCTGCACGTCCGCAGCACTTCGCTGCACACGGCGTGCAGGTACGGCATCCCGTCCACCTCGGTGCTCGACACGCCTGGCCTGGCCTTGTCCCCGTCGGCATCCGTCGGCGGCGGCGGCGGCGGCGGCAGCCGAGAGCGCACCTCGTCCCGCAGCCGCCTCTGCATCTCCGGGAACCGCGACAGCTGATACAAGGCCCACGTCAGCGCCGACGCCGTCGTGTCGTGCCCGGCCGCCAGGAACGTCATGAGCTGGTCCACCAGCTGCTCGTCGCCAAACAGCCCGCTCCCGAGCGCCACCGTCAAGATGTCCAGCTCCTGCTCCGCTTCCTTGGCCGCCAGCCGCTGCTTCTTGTCCCGGATCAGCCGCCGACACACGGCCCGGATCCGTTCCGCCTTCTCCTCGATCTCACGGTTGTGCTTCAGCGGCAGATGGTTCAGCAGCCAGCCCGGCAGCATGATGCCAAGCACCATGAGCGCCTTACCCTGTCGCGACGGCCGCGACAGCTCAGTGTATGTCTGCGCCAGCTCGTTGTTATCGTTCTCGATGGCGCCAAAGTCGACGCCCATGCCGGCCGCGCCGATAATGTCGAGCGTGCACCGCGATGCCCACGAGTTGACCTCGAGCACCGCCGGCCCGTCGCCGCACGCCGCCGTCATGGCACGCACCGCCGAGCTCGCCTTGGCCCAAAAGGTCGGGTACAGGTCCTTGATGTGCCGGTACTGAAAGGCCGGCAGCAGGTTGCGCCGCTGCGCCTTGTGCTCGTCGCCCTCGGCCAACAGGATCCCATTGCCCAGCTGGCGGCCGAGGACCCCTCGCAGCGCATCGGGCTTCTCAAACACGTAGTTCTTGGTCACCAGCACCTCGGCCAGCGCCTTGGGCGAGACCACCACGAGCCGCTCTCGGTTGAAGAGGAACAAGTAGCGGATCAGACCGTCGTGCGGCGTGTCCTTGACCCTGCTATCGTTAGCCCGCCATTACACGCCCTCGACGCAAGACTTACCATTGCCTCACGGGGCCGCCCAGCAATTTGCCTATGATTTGACGTCCATGGCCGAGGAGCCAGTGCGCGCCCTCGGGCTGGGGCAAATGCCGCAGCGGCGACACAAAGTGCGGATACACAAATGTCGACCAGACGCCCCATACCACGAACTGCGCCAGCCCGAGCGCCACCAACAGCTCGGCGAGATGCCCCCTGTAACATTCCTTGTACAACGACATGAGAAGCACACCGCCCGCAACGGCGCCGGCCGTCATCTGCCGCAACGGCGGCCCCATCGTGCCGAGGGTCGGTCGACTTTTGGTATTATGCTGCTGAATTCTCTCTCTCCCGGTGATGCGGCGGCGCTGTCTCGAAGCTGGAGTAGAGACCGTGTGTAGGTAGACGAGGTATTGTCGAAAACCCCAGTGTCATGAACTCGGGCGTGATCTATGACTGCTATCGGGGTTGCGTTGTTCCAAAGAATGGCCTCAGGTCAGGCAGATGACATATATATTCTCTTACACCCGCGCTGAGGGATAGGCCAGGGGGGGTAAGGAGAGGAGAGCGGAGGCGCGGGCTTTCCTTGCCCGTCCTTGGTCCGGGCGTGGCTTTGACATGGGATGGGGGCGAAAGCTATCCTGAGAGAGAGCGAGCATCCGTCGCAGCCTGCGACTAGGGCAGTTACGCTGCGGCCTAGCTATCATGGGCGGTTAACGGTCGTGGCTGGCTGCGAGTTGCCCCTTTGTTGTTTGGGCGAGGGGCGGGCGCGGACAAGTGAATCGTCGATAGAGCGGCCCGGATTGTGTTGCCGCCTCCGTGTCCGGCCCACCCGTGGGTGGCCACGAGCAATGAATGAACAGACGCCCTAGGCTTTTTCCAGGCCATACCTCGGGTGACAGGGTTCCTACCTACTACAGTTTATGTGTGGGCTTGGAGTTCTGGTCCGAGCCATCAGCCTTTGTTGGCGCCGAGGCTTGTTGGTTCCAGCGGCACTCGTCATCCGATCGATTGAACAAGCGGCTTCATCCTTGTGGCGCAGTGATCCTCATGCTCATTATGAATAGCGGCGAAGCCATGACGCCGCACTGATGCTGATATCCTAATGTCCGCCTCGACATCATCAAGTCCCTGGCTCAAGTAGCCGCTCAATAGCTTCGCTGTGTCTAATCATTATATGCTGCACATTTGCGCAATCTATGTCCCGTGTCTGTCCCTTGCCTCAAAAGTCGCTTGGCCCTGTGACGCCGTCCCTGATGGCACCTCATGAGGCCGCTCGGGCCCTGGTCGTGCGTGAACTCGCTTCCTTTCCCTGACTGAACCAACGTACCCCGCATAGAAAAAGGGGGCCGGTGGACACACCGACATTCCACATGCCGCGGGGCCCGACCGCCATGGCCTTCGCTCGCCGGAACTTGGCAAAAGGAGCCGCCTGTTCGACCAGGAACCAAAGGGGGGAAATGGAAAGAAATTTAAGAAAAAAAGAATTGACTGCCAAGCAGTTCTTCACTGCGGGCGCTCGGGCAGCGCACTTTGGCCTGCCCCGGCTTTCCTGGCCGCTCTTGCTCGTCGGCGCGCGCCGCTTCACCATGGCCGATTTCTGTTCGGGCCAAACGGCGACAACGATGTTGCTTCCATGGGCGACGGCGCCTGCTGCTCCATGCTTTCCGCACTTGCCTGACGCGACGGTCTGAATGTGACATGATTCACCGCGGCTGTTGGCCTGAAGCTGGAAGCATTGCTGTTCGGGCCCATGACGAGGCTTGCACTCGAGTGAGCGCGCAGCGGGTTGCGAACTTGTCCCTCAAGAGCCCAAGCTCTCGCGAGGAAACCTTGTTCCCCAGTTCCCTGAACATCCTGGCCGTGGTGAGGTGTGCCAACTCGCGGATGGCTTCTCACCGAAATCCTCGCCGGTGGAGCGGATCCCTCGAACGAGGTATATGAGGCTACCGCGCGCTCAGCGGCAACATTCTGGGGTGCTTCCTGGAGAGGCACAGAGGCCGCCTCAGGTCGTCTCTCCGCCTGACTGTGTGTCGAGACGGCGGGCCAAGGATTGGGGCGGGGCTGCGAGCTCCCAAACAGATCCTGTACGCTGACAGCTGACGGTATTGCGTGCCCGGCAGACCGAGCTCCCCGAGAAGCTGAAAGAGCACGATCGGGGGGGGTTGGGCTGCCCCGGCGCTGGCGTGTTCGGCGCTGGTCCTCTCCAGTGGCGTCATCGGGCGGCGAACGTCTCTCGACTGCACGGCCCTGGCGTGCCATGGCATTGATGAAATCGTCGTCTCCCACCGAATTCCCCATGATTCGCGAAAGGAGATGCTCCGGGATGCTCCTACCAAGGGTTAGGACGGGACACACAACGGGGAGGGCAGTCTGCCAGTCAGTCAAGCACTTACCCTGTGGGCAGCGGATATCCGCGCAGGCGCATCATGTTCAGAAAGGTTCGCGCCGAGCCGTGGTTGGGCTTTGGTTCCGAGGGTAGCTTGTCACGACAGTACGGACAGCTGTCCGAGTCCTCGAACCACTTCTTGATACAGTGCTCCCCAAACACGTGCTTGCACTTGGGGAGGCGAAGAGGCGCCTCGTTGATGCCCTCGGGGCTCTCGACCCCATAGTCGTTGTAGCAGATGACGCACACTATTCGCCATCAGAATTTGCCCCGGAGTGTGACGATGTGCGATGAATTGTTTTTTCCGACAAAACTCACTCTTCTCGTTGTGCGACAAGTCGTTGACGTTGACGCTTTGCAGCGACTGGAGTGCCGCTCTGGACGCAACCATCTTGCTTGCTGCCGCACCGCGGGCCAGTTGCAGCTGCCTCATGGCTGCTTCGTCCCAAGGGATCTGCGGCGAGCCCTGACTTGCCCGACGGCTCGGCCTGCCTTCGACAGACTCGGCCATCGCTTGCCGGCTGTCGTCTTCAGCGTGGTCCGACACTGTTTGCCGTGCACTCAGATATCGACGTGCTCGTGTGTAGCCTTGACGCCGCCGGTCCGACACGGGAGATGGCAGTCCAGAGCTGTCATTTACGCGAGGTGCGGGTGCGGACGACGTAGCTAGTCTGTGGCGTCAGAGACGAAGATATGCAAGAGGGCGGCCAGCTGCAGGACACGTGAATGGAGAAAAAGGCAGGGATATAAAAAGACGAGGCAAGGATGAAAACGTCCAAACTTACTTGAGGCGCCTGGCCGATGAGGCCTTGGGGTGGTTGCGGAAGAGCTTGAGCCTGGGCGGCGAGAAGACGTAAAGGTGTATGGTTGATGCGGAGTCGAGAAGTGCGAGATGCTTTGTTGGCCGTAGGAGTTTGCTAGGCGGTCTGGTGAGGAAAAGAGTGAGTTGTGCTGTGAATGGGTGTCGGCCGTTGCACCAGACGGTCCCATGTTCACTAAGCCTTGGGGTTGCAAGGCCACAGCGCCCAAACTTTGGGCCGACATGTCACTGGGATGCAGAACAAGACCTGCTTGGCTCATCGAGGCGGCCCGCCCAGTGATAGAGTGCAGGGCGGAGCCAAAAGGCCCCGGTGGCGTAGGCAGGCCGACGAGAGCTTCCTGTTGCTGTTGCTGGGCTCCGCGAAGACTGCGGTCGGGGTGCGGCAGTGCACCCTGTAACCCAAAATGCGAGGGGTCCAGGCTGGCATGCGGCCGAGGCGGCGCCTGGGGGAAGAACAGAGGAGAGGCCGGCGAGTTGGACGGCCAGCCAGGCGTTGCAAGACTGTGGGCACCCGTGACCCAGGAGCCCGCGGGACCGTGGACGGTATCGCTATGAGACGCGAGCCTCTGGGAGCCGTGCGGGAGGTAGTTGATGGGATCCATGGCGAGATGCTGTTGCTCGCCAGGCCCCATGTCCAGCGCAACGACCGACACTCTCCGACACGGCGGCAATGGTCCCAGACGCAGTTTACGAGTATGGGTGAGGCGGACTGCAGGCGGGGGGCGCAGGCGGGCGACGCCGTGGCCTCGGGTCGCTAAAGGCGGAGAACCTTGTGATGTGTGGCTCCTTTTTAAGTTTTGTATGCTTCTTGTTTCCCTTTCCACCTCTGGACAAGGTCTTTGTTTCCGTTTCCTTGGCCTGCTACCGGGCCCACGCTTGGAAGAGGAGCACGCTCTGGCCGGAGGGCCGAGTCAGAATCTTCATGGAAGCGAGGCGATGGACACACGAACGAGTGACGGACGGTCGAGGTCGAGGCGAAGTCGGTGATGGTGAGGGAAGAGCCGCGCGAGGGCGACAAGGGCGCTGCTAAGGATAATCACGGCGGGGAATAGGCGATTTGCGACGGCTCGAGCAGAGTGCCCGGAGGAACACGGGAGACGAAGCAGGAGAGGCGGCCGAGGCTCTTATAACACTGCCGTGAGCGGTGAGCCCGTGATACGCACGTCAAGGTATGTATTTAAACGCTCGGGATGGGAGGATCGGAGAGAACAAGATACAGGAGAGACGAGAGTGCCGTCGTGGCCGAGCAGCCGCTTGCTCACTCACTGCTGGGATGTGTCCAGGCGTCCCTTCCTCGGTCTAGCTCGGGTACGACGTTCTTGCCTATTTGATGTTGCACCGCAAGGGCCACGAGGGAGAGGGCGATGCTCGGCCGGCAGACAGACGAACCGCCGCAGTCTCTATAGGTGCGGGGCTGGCCCGAGTAGGAGAATGATGGACGGAGTGTCGGGCAAGCGAGGCGGGAGGTGCTGAGGACGGGGAGGAGAGGAGGAGGCGGATGCATCAGCAGCAGCAGCAGCAGTAGCAGCAGTCTGCGCGAGAGATGGCTGGGCAGAAAAGGGGGTAAGAGGTGGGAATGGGGCAGACGGATGAGACGGAAGGCGGGCGGCTGGACGGCTGGCGATGGGTCAGGCCCAAGTGGTGCCGGCACAACAGCTCACGACCCAGAACGTGAGACAGGGGCCGAGGGCGGGGAATGGAGAGCACGAGGAGGAGGAGGAGGAGGAAGAGGAGATGGAGAGAGGGGGAGGAGAGGAGAGGAGGAAAAGAAGCAGGTGGAGCAGGAAGAGAGGGAATAAGGGACCGGGCAAGGTAGGAAGATGAAGGGGACTGAGAGGTGGAGGGGGAGGAGGTAGACTGTCGGCGGTAGCGGTAGCGACAGCGGGGTGGCAGTGGCAGTGGGAGGAGACGACACGTCCATGCACTGGGCCAACTGGGATCAACAATTCTGGTGTCAGAAGACGCCAGAGGAGGCACCCGGACTAGGTGGACGTGTACAGTATGAATGTACGGGGGAATGGGACTGGAGCAGCTTGATTGCGTCGGGCCCCAGCGCCGCCGACGGGGACGAAGCGTGCCGAATGAATAAGACGAAGCGCCACGGGATCCCGCTCCGGACCAAGCAAAAAGAACGAGAGCGGCTGCGCCATCCATCCACCCACCATCCATACCTACTTCTACCTACACACGTCTTGTACGTCTCGCGGCTCGGGCTTGACGCTTCGCTGAATGGGCCGGCCGGAAGCAGCTGGAGAGTGACGGGTCGGAGGAAAGGCTGCGAGGAAGAGAGGGGGAGAGAGAGAGGGAGATTGATGAGTGAGAATGTGCGGCGGCATCGGCCAAGTCGGCGGGGGAGGGGAGGGCTCGGTAGTGGGTACAGGTGGGTAGGCGGCATTAACAGGCGTTGCACTTGTACTCGGCACCAACAGGCAGGCAGGAAGAGACGAGAAGAGACGAGAAGAGACGAGAACAGCAAGACCGGCCGGAAGCTTGTTGCCTTTCCAGGATGGCTGACGTTGGGTGGGTACTGTCTGTACCTTCTTGCCTTACTCAAGTAAGGCAGGCAGGTAGGTAATTATGCAGTGCCTACCGTACCTACCCTACACGCTCTGCACTGCAATATGTCTCCTCTCCTCTCCCCTCTCTCTCTATTGCATCGTCCGGCAGTGCCTTTGCATACGACAACGCTCGAGAGCTGCAGGTCACCACCTCACATATTACTTACGCACACACACACACACACACACACACACGAATACATGCTTACGGGGCGTGCTTTCTCGGGGCAGCCCGCTGGCGGACAAATGCCAAGAAGAGGCGCGCGCCCTCATCATGCCGAAGACCTGTATCAATAGGCGGCTTCCTCTGTCTTGTAGCGTCGTATGCCTCCTACCCCCTCTTTTCTTCTTCCCAGGCCACCAAATGGCTCCGAGAGCTTGAGTCAAAGGGGATAGCTGAAGACCCATGCTCTCGCGAAAAAAAAGGAACCTCCTGGGGAACATGACACTCGTTATCCCACGCATGTAGGCTGCCTGAGACCATCGGACGCAACCCCTTGCCGCCCCTTGCCGCCCCATGCCGCACCCCCTCTCTTGTGACCTGCCTCATGCCTACGATGCAATCACCAAAACCAGCTACCCTTTCCCATGTTAGATGTCCGAGGAAAAGAAAGCCGGCCAATCTCTGCCTCGGAAACTTGCCCGGATAGGTAAGTAGCCCAGAGCACCCGCCGTGGTCATTGGGCAGAGCCGCCGTTGCTTTCTTCTGCTTGTCCTTGGCCGGCCCTGCTTGTCTTTATCATCTGCTTCTGCCTCTTCGCCCTGATCCCTCTCCGGCCCGCACGGGGCGCCTGTTAGTCTCTCGCCAAGTCAGCTCAATCTGCGCACGCGTCTCACCTGGATCGGTTCACCCATCCTTTTCCTTCCTTTATAGCGCATGCCTCCAACATCGGCCGAGGCGTGGCTAACTCAATTGATCGCCGAAGGCGGCCTCGACGAGGCGCTCGCTCCTCCGATGGCCGACCGCCCGACGACAGCCAGACCATGTCTTGGCCGCCCCCCTCCTCCCCGCCCCCCAGTCCCCCTCTCACCGATCACGGGCGGCGTCATTGATGATGAGTGACTCGTGTCCTGTAGCAGCTTGGTCCCCCGGGGCGTCGGGCTGCTGTTGGCCGGACGGCCTCCGCCTCTGGCCGCGCGGATCCAACTGTCTCCTCTATAAGCCCCTTCACCATACGCCCAGCCATCTTCGGAGAACCGCCAGTTGCACCAGATTCACCAAGCCGAGACCGACCTGGGCCTGTCTGTAATACAGTACGTACATGTCCACATGAGCGTGTACAGTACATAACCTAGTCTGCATTCATTTATAACGCGGGGCCACGACCAGCCCCCTTTGGTCTTCGGCCGCATCCCGGGCATCGCTTAGGTCCCGTCATGCTCGGCTCTGCAGAAGGATTGGGCTTATGCTACAAAGTATGCATCAAAGGCATAACAACATGGGCCCTCTCCCACCCATTGGCGTGCCAATCCATCATCCACCCCCCCCGTATGCATGGGCTCTGTGCACGCACACGCCTCGCTTGTGTCCCAAAGTCGTAAACAATCCAGCCCTCACTTCTTGGGCAGTCTGTACTTGCCTCCCGCCAGCTCCAGTTCCTTGCCCGCCACCTTCTCTCCGAGAAACTCCTGCAGCTCCTCGTTGCTCCATGGGCACCCGTCGGCAATGAGCATCTTCATCATCATCGATATCTGGCCCAGCGGCATTGCTGGGCTCGAGTTGGTCAGCATGCCCACAATGAACTGCCAGTAGACGGCCCGCCGTTCCTTTTCCTTGGAATCCATGCTCTTGGCCTTGCGCGGCGACACCTGTCCGCTCTCGTCCCCGGCACTCGACGCCGCGCCATCATCGTCGTCGACGGCGCCCTCGTCCTCGTCGGCCAGCTTCTCGAGTAACTCGTACGTCTGGTTTCCGACCTTGCGCAGCACGCGCCTCGACACCCAGAAGCCGAGTGCAAGCTCCAGCAGCTCCTCGTCAATCATCAAGCCCTGCCATATCTCGTTGAACGCGCGCCGTCGAGGGCCCGGCTGCCCCGACGACCCGTCATCGTGGAACGCGTAGATGACCGCCGCCTCATACGTCTTGCATTCGAGCTCGACACAGCGATCCTCCAGGTCCAACCGCACGGTTGCCGAGCCCAGGTGGTTCAGCCAGCCGAGCTTGCGCGACGTTTTGAGCTGTTCGAAACCAGCCTCGTACTGGCTCTGGACCGCGGCGACGGGCGGAGGCACCTTGAACCCCTCCTTGCGAAGACTGGGCCAGAAGAGACGCGACAGGATCTTGGCGTGGTATGTGGGAACACTCAACCCCGGCGTGTTGGACCCGGCCCGCAGGCCCCTGCGCAAGATGGCATCGACGCGCCTCGAATCGAAAATGTCCTTGATCATGACGTCGCAGTTCTGAAGCGCACCCTCTCCGAACCTCTTCTTGAGCAGGCCGAGAACCTTGATCTCCTGCTGGAATCCCGCCTGGCTCGACAGCAGCCGCTCAGCCACGATGAGCTGAAACTCTTTGATGAAGATGTCCTGCGACCCGAGGGCGCTGATGAGCGTGCCAATCACGTCCTCGCTCTTGGGCCGCTTGTAGTTGACGCCCGCGTCTACGGGATCGGGGACCCAGGCCAGGTCGTTCCAGTCGAGGTCGTCGTCGTCGCCTTGGTTGCGCTGCTGGTGCTGCTGAGAGGCGTCGTTGAGTATTGCGGCAAGCTCGGCGAGCCTGCTTTTGCCTGGGTCGGTGTTTGCGACGCTGGGGTTGGCGAGGAGGCCTGTGACGACGATGCGAACAGCATCGTCCCTCTGGCAAAGGTAGAGCTGCAGCGCATGGGCAACTCGGTCCAGCAAGACCTTGGAAGAGTCTAAGGCATGGAAGGTCCGAATCATGGATATGTAGGTTTGTAGAATATCGACTGTAGAACGGCCCGGGTGCAGCAGTCGCTTTTGCAGCGCGGCGGAAAAGGCATCGGTTAGTTGAAGACGCCGCTGAGGTGTCGTCACGGCCGAGCGAAGGTCCTCGAGACCACCCCTGCTTTCCGGCCAGTGAAGAACAATGTCGAAGAGCTCGTTGGTCCGCAGCGTGGCCAGGCGTCCCACGGCGACATCCCTCCAGCGCTCCACGTCGTCGGCGGAGACATGACCTCCGAGTCGGCCAAAGACTTGTACGGCCAGGCGGCCGTAGTGGTTGTCCACCCAGCTGCACAGGTGCTCCATGCAGCCAGGGGCGTCTCGTGCCGCCCAGTCGCCCGAGTACGTGTGTTGGATAAAGTCTCTCACGCACAGATCCATGACCTCGGCGGACAGGACATGGAGCGTGTCTCCGGCCAAGCCGACGGACTTGAGGGACTCGAGCAGGGCAAAGAGCTCCTCACGAGCAGCGGAAGCGCCGTCGGCGCGACCCTCTGTAGATTGCAGCGAGGCGTGAGGCCCGCCCGAACTCGACATCAACGCGGCACCGAGGAGGCGACGCAGAACGGCGCGGAGCGCGCTCGTCAGGCCGGCGGCCCATGATCTGCCGACGAGGGCGTGCAGGTCGCGCCGGAACTGGGCGACGGCTGCGTCCCTGACATGGTCCTGCCGGATGCCGCGGACGAGGCGGGTGAGGCCGTAGAGGTACTGACGGTGGGCAGCCTCCAACGTCTGGACGCTGCTGAGCAGGACCTGGGCGTGGTCCGGCTGGGCGGCACAGGCGGCCAGCAAGGGCAAGACGTGGTGGATAAAGTGCTGGCGCACCTGGCGGGCATGCCACAGCAGGACATCGTCGGTGTGGGCGGCATGGGGCACTGCGTGGGCGGGATCCAAGACGACGGACAGGGAGTCGTGGAAGACGGCGTCAGGGTCCTGCGACTCGGGCGCCAGGGCGGCAAACGAGTCCTCGACGGCGACCGAGGTGGGGAGCTGGATGCGCGACGTCACGGCATGCCATGCGCGATCCCAACGCACCTGGTCGCCGACGGCCGGCAGGGCTGCTGCTGCATTGTGGTGATGAGCGGCAAGGCTGGCAAGCGAGACACTGGGGCCGCCAAAGGGCTCGGCGGGCGCCGACGAGGCGAGCAGTGGCGTGGGCTGCGATGCGTCGGGGGGGAAGATGGAGCGGAAGACGTGTGTCTTGCGGGCGCATATCCTCGATACCGTCATTTCTCTCCGCCCGTCGACGGCGCTTCCAAAAGGGGGTGTGTCGCGTGTGATCGACGGGGGACTCGATGGGTGGTGGATGGCTTGGTGCTCGCCGACGTGGGGCCGTGGTATTTGCTCAATCAAGGCATGGCTTGTGGGTTGGCGTTCGGCTTGCCCGGTTCGACGACGACGACGACGGCTGTTTCTTTTTCTCGTGACGGGCGAGCCCGGGGATGGAGGGAGAGGTTGAGCCTCGACGAAGGAGCAAGTAAACAAAGCGTCGCCTCGCGCCTCCCTCTGCCCTGTACCGGTGGCTTACCTAAGGCGTCTTACCTCATCGTTTGTTCCAGGCGCACTGTAAAACAGCATGCGACTGCACTCACGGCTTTCATGGTCACTCTGTGGAGGGAGAACGACAGTTACAAAAAGCCCAAGGTAAATGACTTGATCATCCTCGGCCCGATGGCGTGGCGTTTCTTTGTTGCACTGCTCGTCCAGCTCCTCTTGGCACCCGAGAGGGGAGGGGGGACAAGCGAGCGGAAGCGCTTGCTGCGGCTAACTCGCGCCTAACTGGCTCCCCCAAACCTCGGCAGCTCGCCCTGCCGCTGCCGCCGCTGCCGCCGCCGCTGCCGCCGCCGCCGCCGCCGCCACGCACCCGCGTCGGCCACATGAAGCCAGCACGTCGAGGCAGAGCACGAGTGAGGTGAGCACCGTCATTGGTCAACGTCGCACCAGGTCGCTGACGCCCGCATGTCCTGTCTTGGGCCGGGGCGCTCAAAATGGGCCGACGCGCATATCTAGCCAGTCGAAAATAGGGGGGCGTGTAAGAAGTGACGATGAGTTCATCTATTTTTCTTCTGGAAACCCAATAAAAGGACATGTGTCAAAGTGGACCTACGTCAAGGACGGTCTCGATGACATGAGAGACGCATGCTGCCCCTTGGATGTGACGCCACTTTGGCGACGCTCATCCCGACGAGTGCGACGTCACGCCGTAAGCACGCAAGTCCCACCAGAGACGGTTGCCGCGCGGGCCCGAAAGTTCAGCCGCAGTGCCAGGCCCTGTGAGTCGACGAAGACGCTGTGTCACGCCGACCCGCGCAGCCAGAGTTTGTCGTTGCAGTGCGTCACGATGATGATGAGGTTGAGAAACGGAGGGCTCTCTACAAGTTTCCACTGTATGTGCTGTGGCACACGGCACGAGTTCCCGTCCTCGAGGCCTCTGGCTGTCTCTGTCTTGTATCACCGCAACGACTTTGACTGGCGGTTGCTCCCTTGAGAAGGAAACAAAATAGGAACATGTTTAGTCGGCTGCAACGACGACATGGGGTTTCACAGATTTGTCGGTCCCAGAGTGTCCACTCTCGTACCAGCTACACAATAGTTAACTTATTACCAAGCTTCAGAGAGCGGGCGGGCAAGCAGGCACCTTGAAGGCCTGTCACTCACCACTCACCAAAGACCCCCTCTGCGGCCCCGGCCTTGACCAAACTCTTGCTCATCCAGGTTCCCGAGGGCAGCTGTATCGAGTTTAATATTGGTATCGTACGTGAATAGAAGGACAACATTGTTAAGCGGCCGAGTTGCGACTTGGCAGCATATATACATACACACAGCCACAGCCAAGGAGTCAGGACGCTTCGTTTTCCCCGTTCCTGCTCCCCTGTGTATTCTCTGGTACGCACCCACTACTCTCCAGCACGATAGTATACATGCACATGCCAGCAAAGAAGAGAAGAAAAAAGTTCCATGCGCCGCTGTCCCAGGCCCGAGGTATCGGATACCTGCCCTCGTGGCCTTTGACCCTCGCAAGCATCCTTGACATTGGCGTCTTGACTGCCGGCCGTTTTGCACCGCAGTCGGACTTGATTTATTCCTTTTCCTCTCCCATATGATGTGACAACGTAGATGGAGCAAGCACGGAAGCGGGCAAGACGAAGAATGAAAGTGGGGAGAGAGAGTGTGTGTCTTCAGTCTCCAACTCAACTAAGACCCTGTTTCGTTTCTCCGATGAGCTGCATACACGTGCTCCGTCCATCTCCACCAGCGTGCAGGCAGAAGGGGGGCAAAAAAGCAACGGCTGCAGTCTCTGAGTCCCACCGAATCGCCCTGCCTCCCTCTGCGGGCTTGCTCCTCTCCTGTACCCGTTCCGAGGAAAATCAAGACAGAGAAAGAGATTGGCTCATAGCTGGTTTCCCCCTCTATTCTGCGCGCGCTCCGCTCTCTACAGCACCTAACCTACTCCGGCTCTATTTGCCCCGTTGGCAAACTCTCGCGCGAGGGCTGTCTCGTCTCACGCTGCAACACCAACAGCAAGTCAAGTACTCGGTACCAGCTGACCACCCGCCCGGGCTTCCAGAATGTCTCGGGCTCCTGCATGTGCCGATCTTCTAGAACCGCCTCGTCGCGCTTCCAAGGCCCCTCCCCCCCTTTTCCAACTTGGCATGGGTACCTACAGGGACTAACTTAGACGTGGGCGGAATGGAGCTCCTTTTGCGCAAGTTTTACGGACGAGCTACTCCGCCCGACCTGTGTATGCAACGTATGTAGCCATGTAGGTAGGTGTAGGAGGAAAGCTCCTCGACAGATGTCCGCCGAGATGGGTCAAGGAAGAGAGCGCCTGCGCCGTACATGGACCTGTAGGTAAGTGGTGTAAGCCATGTACCACCGGCTCGCCCTTGGCCTCCCTTGCCTGCCTGCCCGCCTCCCTGCGTTGGCAACCTGCCTGGCTAGGTTAGGACCTGTAGTGGCCGCCTTGCCGCCTCCATACATATACTCCGTGTACATACTCTGTACATACGTGCAAAAGTCGGTGCAGGCGTCATGTCTCACCGTGCAGTCATGAAAGCGTGTATGTACGATGGCCCGTGTTTCGCCTCTTGCACGCCACCCCCAAGCTGTACTGTAGAGGAGTGGAAACCAAACCGTTGCAAAACCATGCCGTGAATAGTCCTGCCCCATGTGCTGGGATGCCGTCATCCGGCTCTGCGTGCCATCCCCGTCCGTCCCCGCCTCCGCCTCCGCCGGGTCTCCACCCCCCCCCCCCCCTTCGGCCGCCACTCCGCCACAAGGGCCCGGCACGACGCAGCCGACTTCTCCCGTCGTCGCCAAACGGCCGCCCGGATTCGGCTCAGGCGGACCCATTCACTCGTTCCTGCGTGGCGCAGGCCAATGAATCCCCCCCTCCCCTCTTGGTACCACCCAGTATGCTTCCGTGATAGCCGCGTCGCCACGATATGCTTTCTCAACGCCTCGTGTCCCCGCAACACACAGTGCCGTCCCGTCACTGCCATGTTCGAAACCGCCAAGACAGCAAACAGAGTTTCCCCATGTGGGTAGCACAATGCTGAGGCGAAGATGCTTTGTACCTACAGCATCAGGCCCTTTGTCTCCCGCGCTCTGCTCGATTCCAACGGGGCCGCAGTAGCCGCACATCAAATGCCGTTCCGTGCCTTGGCTCGTCGGGGCCAACTCATTATGGCCATATTACCACCGGGGGCCAAGAAACGCCTCTGCCGTCGGCATCAGACGATCCCCCGTCTCCAACCACCTCTCACTTTCTTCCTCTCCACCTGTGACTGCTTCGCATACATGTACTGTACAGCATCTTGTATCTACATCCACCCAAAGTCGGCCTTATGGGCGCCCGAGTGGTTTTGCTCCGGCCCTCCTCTCTCAACCGACCTTGCCTTTCTTGCTCCATTCCGCAAAACTCAGAAACCCAATATCGGATCATGGTGGTACACTGCTTATGCTTCCCAAGACCAGGAGACATGATGCAACGCAAGGTGAAGAAAACCAAGAGAAAATAGCTCACTCGGCCATGCCAGCTTCGATCCTACAAGGCTTGGGACCGACACCCTGGTCCCCGTTCGGGACCGAATGCCTGGCGCTGGTCGGTGGGGCTGGAAGCCGCTCCCTTCCGTCTCACGGCACGGCGTCTTTGTTGTTTCTTCGTTGCTTGCACTTGTCGTGCAGCAGATGCCCGTTGCGGGCCGTCGTTCGAGTGAATTCCGCACCACAGTTCGGGCACATGGCCTTTGCGGCTTGTCCCGACTTCTCGCGCTGGTGCCGTAGCAAGTTGCTAAAGGTGGAGAACTGCCTCCCGTTGCACCCGTGCTCCCAGCAACGCGGTTTTGGTCGGCTCTGTACGACTCTGACGTGACTGCCGCCTTCTGCGCTACCTGTGTTGCTCGCAGCCGCGACTGTCGGCATCGGGTATAGCATCCCAGCATCCTGCGTCATGGACAACGAGGGCGTTCGCGTGCTAGAGTTCGCAAGTCCAGTCAGACACGCCCAGTCCGCAACGAGGCCTATGCGCCACCCGAGTTGACCCCGTAGCTGTCTACACGCACCTGTAGTCTCCTGGTCCGGCGTATGCCGAAGAGTATTCCATCGAAACGCCGTAGCTGGGCGGCCTGTGACGTCGTAGGTTAGCCGGCTTGTCTGTGAGCCTGGCCTGTCAAGTCAGTGGCTTACAAAGACTGCTGGTATGGAGAGGCAAACGCCTGCCCCCCGTGAGACTGATCCTGGAGAGTCGGGCTGTATGAAGGCAGAAAAGATTGTTCACTCATGGTCGTGGCAGGCGTTGCGACGAGCGGGACGGCAGAAGGCGACGTCGTATAGTTTGAAACGTTCATGGTGCTCGAAACATCTCCGAGGGCCACTGATGACGACGGTACGTACGAGTTGCTGTTGATGCGTTGAATCCGTGCCGATAGTTTGAGGTCTCTTCGGACTCGATCTCTTTGCCTCCTCAGCTCCAGTTGCGCCGGCGTCCACGCTCCCCGCGGCGGACTTGAGGCCAGCGATCTTGTTTCGCTCGGAGGCGTCAGACTGGGTTCCGAGCCGCCCATCATGCCGAAATCGGCGCCAAACACATTGCCGTTGCTCATTGAGCCAGGTTCCAGAGGCCCTTTGAAGAGGGTTAACCGACGAGGCGAGGAGGGGGCAAACAGGTACTGCTTACCTGGCCAAGAAAAAGCCGGCCTGGGTCCCATTGCAAAGTGCGGATCACAGTGAATGGCGATTGCACTAGAATGCCATCAGTCAAGATATCGCAAGCCCTTGTCTCCCGTGAACAAACTCACCTCATGCTTGCTGGACTCCAGGGTTGGAGTTGAAGGATGGTGAAGTCTTTGAACGACGTCTCTCCTGGGGCGTCCGAGTACAAGTCAAGACGCTGCAGTCAGGCTCCTTTTTGGGGGCAAGGCCGACTCAGATTGCAGGATCCCGACTTGATTTAGGTCATGGACAAACGGGTGAGATGTTGGTGTGGGTAAGTAAGCAGAATCCGCCGACGATTGGCGGCATACAAGGATGTCTCTGCGGCGGGTGTAACTGTATCAGTCCTTTGACAAGACAAGTCGAGCAGAGAAAGAAGATGTCGATCCGCCTGCCGTGTAATTCTGAAAGGGCCTATCCTCTGTTCACTGTCCCGCAAGATCGTGAGCGCCATGGTCCATACCTTCTGTCGGCAACAATGACGGGGATCGTTAAGGTGCGCGCGCAACCCAAGCTGGAAGTACGTACGAGATGAACAATGTCGAGGGCGTGCCACTTGCGAAATGGGCAGGCAGTTAAACTGTGTACGGAAAGCGTTATTGAGGAGGCAACGAGACGAGCGTGCGGTGTGATGAAGGAGATCCTTGCTTCAGTCAAAGGCAAATTGGTCCTCAGTCATGAGTGGTACGTCTTTTGAAGGGAGATTCCGCGAGATTGGCGAATCGCCAGAAGGTCAAGGCGGCGGGCGACTTATATGGAGGCAAACAGGACGAACAGCAAGTGGAGACCATTACAGCCTTGGTTCGAAGACGCCGGGGCCAAGAGGAGCAGAAAGAAAAGAGGGGGGGAGGGGGCCAAACGGGGACTGAGGAAGTGCCGCCCGGAAAGATGAGATACAGCTATAAACAACCTGGGGGACAAGGTTGGGCGGGTTGGCAGGCGATTCATGGCCCGGCGGTATGAACGAGGCCAGGTACATACATACAGCACGGGCAGGGCTTGACTGCAGAATGACAACCTGGAAGCAAGCGATAGCCATGGAAACGGCGGAACTCGTGGGAGAGAGAAGAAGGGGGAGGGGTGGGCTCGACCAGGTCTTTGGGTGGAAAGCTTTCATCTTGCAAGTCTGCGCCATGCCCCGAGAAGGCAGTTTGTGCATCGTCCCGGCCTGGCACAGTCCGCGTCGTGTGCGGACGAGACGGGTAGCCTGTCACCAACAAACCTGCCTCCGCAAGAGCAGAAATGCGGCGTAGCGGGACGGGGAAGGGATCGATAGGCTCCACGCATCTCTGGCCCACCAAAGCACGCGGTTCTCACGACAGGTGCGGAGCCAGGGGCAGGGTACATGGGGAGACAGACCATGACGAGAGACTGGCGGGCATCGGCGCCCGGCTCGACTAGGCAAAGGCAACAGGATAAAAGGGTGGGCGTGTGCAGAAGAGACAGGGCTGGGGGCCAAGGTGTTGTCGAGTCTGTAGGTGCGTGAGACGACGAGAGCCGAACGCTGGACCTCACACCAAGGCTGGGCTGATTCTGCGCCGCCGCGCGGGAGGCTGCGTTGCTGTGCAAAAACAGGACTGGGCTGAGCCACCGACAATGGGTCAGCCCGCCCTACCGCACTCTTTGCTGGCGGCTCTCCCTTCAATCCATCTGGAGTCGTCGTGTGCATGCGTCCTGGGGCACGTCGGTCACGGCCTTGTGTCGGGAGAAGCTCCACGTCGCACGCTGGAAGTCTGCTCCCCCTCGTATCGACTCGCCCTATTTTCCTCTGTCAGCTCTGGCTGCAAGCAAGCCGTCATCGCCCCCTCTCCCGGGCTTTACATATACGCGCAGACCGTTGCATGTACACAGACCGTCTGGATTGCGTGCATGTGTACCTTGTACATGATGCACTTGCACGGCTCCGGTCGACAAGCGAAGCTTCCACGGCATGCATGGCCACGGGGAGCAGGATCCGCATCCCTGCCGCGTTGCCTCCGCTTAGCGCCTCTGAACATTTGCATGATGCGGCTGCCGTCGCCGTGGTAGAGACAGGTTCCTGTGCGCAATTGGCGCGGTGCGACCAGTGCTTTCAGCATTCGACGTCGGCTGGCCTGTCAGCTCGTGTCATAAGGGGGAATTGCAACCACATCAAACTCCCGAAGACTGAGTACCTCGGGGCAAGGTGGCCACGGCGCAGTCGTGCTGTCTGGATGCCGTTGGCAGCTTGAACAGCCAAGCCTTCATGGTACCGGATAGGCCAAAGTCGAGATCCCTGCGCATATGTATGACCTTTTTAGACTTTGGCAGTCCCAAGGTCCTTTGGGCGCATGGAATGTGTGTACATACTGTATGCACAGGAGCACTGACGCCGTGGCGTTACTCGCACCTCGTCACCCCATCTCTGGGGTGGGTGAGCCTGGCCTGGTGCGAGCGAGAACAGACCCGGGGACGATTCCAGTGTCGTGCTCCCAAAAAGGCCTCTTGCTGATGAGCATCGCTTGCTCTCAGCCGAACACTGTACCTCGTGCCAGCCCCTCCAACCCAGCCTGGCACTGCCTCCCAGTCTCCCTGCAGCATGGTGGGTTACTTTAATGGGCCGCCTGTTATTCATCTGGGCCCGTTAGTGGGATCATCGTGAGTCGTGACGTGGGAAGCAGAAGCCGAAGCCGGGGTGTTTCTTGCAAAAAGCCGAAGACGAGCGTCCTTGAGTCGGTTTGGGTTAAGCAGATGCCTCGGCCGAGGACCATCGCCTGACATGGAGCCTTTAGGACGCTGCTGCTGCCGCTCTGTGCCGCCGCAGCCGTTGGAGCAGCTTGTGCGCAATGGCAATGCGAGGTCCAAGTAGAGTTTTTGCTGAGCCGTTGACGGTCGCAGGTAGACGAAGCCAAGTAAGTACAGTGCCTTCCGTACTGATAAATGCACGAAGTACCTAAGTAGGTAGGCACCTAATTACCTTGCACACACCTGAATTCCGCGCCGCTCCACCGCTGACGGGCTCCTTTCTACCTGCCTCTTCTGTACGACTTTTAGAGTACCAAGTGCGAAGTACTGCTGTGCTGTACGACACCCGCCGAGTACTTGCTCAAGATAGCTAAGTACGTAATTACCTCCTTCAGGTATCGAGCATGCGAGAGCACCACCAAGTACCTGCCTCGTCCAAAATGCTTCTCTCTTCAACCACTGCAACGTCCGACGATGCTCGGCTCCTCGTCTTGTCCAGAACTCGCCGTCGACGGTGCTTGGCTATGGCTGCCGTCGCTGTAGCAAAACTTAGAGCCGATCTTCCCAGTTTCCACATGCCCTCCGGGCCCACAACTCGCGCTCTCACAGGGTTTCGGTCGCATTGCACTGCTCACCTACGAATACAGCTCATGCACAAGGTCCCTGTACAACTGCACCGATGACAGACGGTCGCCCCGGCTGGCCATGGGAGGGAGGCTCTTGCCGATCAGGCAAGTTCTTCAGGGCCCGGGGGCACGAGCAGGGCCAGCCCATGACGGTGTGTATACCAAAAAGCCTGGGGAAACGGGGGGGTGGGATGGCGTCTAATCGATCCAATCGACGGCGGCCTTCGCCAAGCGGCGGCAGTACAAAAGTAGCGAGCACGACGAGCTGGCCCGACAAAAGGTCATTGGCAGCCACGGAGCATCCTCGACGCCAACCAACGCTTGGGCGACTGCATAGCACGAGGTTGGCCGGATGCCCGCAACCATGACGATTTACCGAAGAGAACGGGCTCCGGGCTCTCGTCCGTCCAGCATGGTTGCTGGCAATTGCCGGTACCCACAGGTAAACGACGGAATAGGGTGACACGTGGGCGTGAGTTGCTGACGTGAAGGCGAGTCACTGTCTGACCAGGTGCTACATCTTATTTCTGACGGAAATTCATACCTAGGCTTGTCTCGTCGTTGGAATCGGCGGATGGACTCGGTAGCCCCGAATGCCTGAGACTCCTCGCGGACCTCCCAACGTACTTAATCCAATTTTTGGGAGACGTCTTGACTCGACTTCTCCGGGGCCTTGTCCTGACCGCTAATGATTGTACAGTAATTACTCCGCCTATAAAAGTGGTGATATGCGTCGTTTGGCATCACGGCAAATCCCTGTGCGCCAAGTGGACGCCAGAACTTGGCCTGTGCTTGACTCGCTAAAACGTAGGGAGCTTTTGGACCGTCGCCTGTTTTCTTGAGGCGACGAGGACCTTCGATTATGCGGCGACTGCTACCCTGGTCACGTTCTCTACCAACCTGGTGGCGAGCACCGGATCTGGGATGCCGCTGTCGGCTCCGAGAGCCCCAGACTTTGAAGACGAGCTTCCGCTGTCTTCGCTGATGTGGACTCTACCCGCCACGTTCTGGGCAAGCAAGGTTCTCGACCATCACCAGAGGGCCATGCATGCACTGGACAGTCTCGTACCACAACTCAGAGACAATGCATAACGTCGGTGTCGTATTCGTACAGTACTCGTTGGGGGCCATGTCTCTGGCCTCGGCGGAGGCGCTCAAGAGCTAGCTGTCAAGGGTATCAGCAAAAAGGTGCCTCAAGATCCCTTTGGCTCCGGCTGTGACGAGGGAGACATCGAGTCCATCAACAGCCAGGCCGGCACCGGCCCATTTCGGACGACAACCGCGGCCCCGAGGGCAGAGGTTTGAGTGCGGCCCCGACCGAGGAGCTGCATTCGCCTACAGAAAACGGCGGACCGGTCAAGAAAAGGCCTTTTGAGTGCTTCTGGAAAGCCTGGCGTGGGTCCCGGTGCTGAGCAAGGGTCAAGGACATATGTACGAGTGCATTGCAGGTAAAAATGGATCATAGCAGCAGTAGCCGGCAGTGCCCGCGGTGGGGGCCCTGGCCTCTGCTCTGGAGTCTGTGGTGGGTAATCATTGCATCCATGCCGTCCGGGGGAACCCAAGCACACTATGGAGTGGTGCCTCGCTCATGCACATAACCTCGACGCAAACATGGCCTCCATGCAGAAGGTATGTATGTATGTATGTGCGAGGTGTACTTGGAGGTCATATTCGCGCTAATTCTGGACAAGCGGCGACGGCTCCCAGGAGCTTTTGGATGGGATGTGCTCGCAGGGCAGACGGGCAATGTTCACTTGGGCCGTCAAACTCAACAATATCCTTTCGTCGCCGCGGTTTTCAAGTGGTCAAGGCTCGTGCGAAACCCACAGGCGCATGGTCATCCCTGGCGGTTGCCAGCAGACGCTGACGAGGACGGCGGTTGTTGGTGGCTTGGCATGTATGTCCGCCCTTGACCAGATCGACAGTTACCCTCCGGCCTCTTGAGGGTAGGCAGCGTGAGTCGTCACGCTTGCTGATTCTATGCCTTGTCGGATACTGCCGTTGCCGGAACCGCATATGTGACTGGACTGACGCCCCCACGGTCTGCGCGTTCGCCACCGGGCCCCGAGGCGCCCGCATACAGTTCATACGACCATGACGCTTGTTGCGGCTCTCCACCACGCCATGCATGGTTGCAGGGAAGCCAATCTGGGAAAGGCAAGGAATAGCTCTGGAAGAAATATTGCCCCGGTTTGAACTAAGATGCATGTTGAGGAGGCGGAAGTCGGGCTGATGCCGTCTGTTGGCCGGCCGCCCGGGCGCAGCCGGTCTCCGCGCTTTGCCTCCTCCGAGGGGGCCACTTCGTTGGCCACAGATCGTCCTGTCCTTGGCGACGGGAATACGCGAAACAAACAGTAGCAACGTGGCTACCAGGAGCTCGGAGACGGAGAATGCCGACATGGGCAGCCCCTGCCCCCCCCCTGATCCCAGTTACCGACTATCGTATGCTCATCTAGATATTCTTGGAAGCACGAAGGCTAAACGACCACGCAACTTTGCGAATCTTCTTCCTTGGGACTTTCGAGATGCCCGGCCATGACCGACTGGAGCCACTCGCATTCTTGGCTTAGCATTCTCGGCGCCTCCAACAGCCCTGGTCCGGGAGGGGCGCGGGATGTTCGGCTCTGCATCAATAACGCCAAAGTATGTCATTGACGCTTCTCTAGCCCGCGACAGTGAACAGTCGTCAATCGGGGAGAGCGTTTGCATTGTCCAGGGACCAGGGAGCCTTTTGATCCCGAGGTCGTGGCATTCAACACGGAGCTGGCTCAATTCGTCTCTCGTGTCTCTTACTCTCCGAGAGAATTGTGTTGGCCGATAGTAAGGGCCAAGACTTGGCTCGACGGCTTATGGCAAAACCTGAAGCTCCCCTGGACAGAGATGTAGATGCGGTATGGAACACAGGCTCGAGGCCCTTTGTTGCCTGCGGTGCTTCAGGGTCCTCCGGGCCCCGTCTTCACTGCATGATACTGGGTTTGGTCCGCACTGGAGCGGCACGGCACGGCACGACAACGGACGCCATGGCAGAGAGTGTTGGACGCACGCATGACAAGCTCCAGGAGATTGTCCCGCAGGCAGGGGGTTAAGCACGTGTCAGCTGAATGCACAATCGGCTGCAGAAGCGCGCCCACAGTCACAGGGTCGGGTTTCGCATATATTTGGTTGGGGATGATCAGGGAGGGCGGCTGGGTGGCCTCGAAGTTGGAGAGCAGAGGGCCGATACCACGTCACGTACGAAGGGGTGCAGCAAGTGCTGTCCATTTGGCCCGCGCAGCACAGTCTCGGCCTCTCCATGCTGCTGCCCCCAACTGGCGAAGGAAATTGGGGGATGAATAAGGGCGTCAGCACCACCAACGGCGCGGCCTGGTATCGCAAGTCGAAACAAACCCCCACGTGTGCGCCTCCAGAATGGTTCGACACATGGCCAGGCGGCTTCTCTCCTCGTCGAGACGGAGCGGGATACCCGGCTGCCCCTTTGGGACAGGCTTGTCAGTCGGCGGCTCCGGGCTTTTGTCTTGTGAGCCTAGCCGACAATGTTCGGGACTTGAGTGCGGCACTGCGCACGGAAGTGGGGGAGGAGAAGGCAAGGTTGGTCTTGTAGCCGCCTTGGCATCCTTTGGTCGTGGGTTGTCGAGAGCAGATGGGATCACGTCAGCATCGACGGAGGACCTGGAACCGACTCCTCGACTTTGTTCCCCTTGTCAACGCCGTCTCATATCATTGCATGCCAGGAACGAGTTCTGGCATCCACCTTTGGGATGCTGACGACGGAAAGGCCGCACGAATGGCGTTGACTCAGGTAAGAGAAGCAGGGCAAAAGCAGGACGGACTCCCTGGGCTTCAGGCTACAGCGTCTCTATATGCGAGGAACTGCCTGGTCTCAGGTGCCTGCCTGGAATTATAGGCAATACGGCCAGTGACGGATGATGCTTCGATTTGTTATAAGCCGTAACTAAGAAGATTGGCAGGTGAAACGGACATGTAGTTTAAGCCCTGTATACGCACTTTGCAGTATGTATATGCGGCGTGTTTCCGCACATACAAGTACGAGTACTTAGGTACTTGCCGAACCGTACCGCTCGCCTTCCGTCATTGCTATTTGCTGTTTGTTTGCAAGAGATGAGCGTCTAATACTGCAGGCGCCGAGGCAGGCACCTTGGGACCCCCGCAATGCCAGTACTTGCACCTCGTGAGCCCGCGCTCAAGAGGTGAGGGCGGGAAGTAGCTGGTACACGGTCTGCCTCCTACACCGGTACCTTGTTGATGACAGCGCGCCGTTTTCCTGCCCGACGACGAGCGACAACGTGGAAGCATCAAACGCGTCATCCTTCTCCTCGTCCGCTTTGCCGTCTTCTATCCAGATTCACAAGGCCGGCATTTTTCTCCCTTGTCACTCATCAAGCCTTCTTCCTCACCTTGTGTCGCGACGGACCGCTGGCTGATCCGCGCCCGTCTCCCCTCTCCGCGTCGGCCTCTTCCTCGGGCGCAGCGTCGTCTCGGCCGGGCACGTGTTGTCGGACAGCAGCAACTACGTCGATCAGCAAAGACAGACGAACACGACGACGCTGAGTCGGATCTCGAAAGAAGGGGTGCGCGCCCGCGGGCGGAGAGATAAACGATTAGCATTTGCCCGCCCTTACGAACCCCCCTTTCCTGACGCTGCTTCCTCCCTCTCGAGACGGAGTAGCGTAGCCGGTACACGAGGCATCCCGTCGTCATTAGGTAGCTCGCATCTTTGGCCGAGCTGTGCGTCGACGCCGTGGCATCTAGCGACGAGCGATCCTACTAGTGCGCTGTTTTTCCCTCTCCGAGGTCGCTCGAAAGCCGCCCTCATCCGCACGTGCGTCGCGAGTGCCGTGGGCCAGTGCTTCGAAAGAGACGGGACAGAACAAGTCGGTCGGTCGGGACGAGACGCGCAAGCAGCCCGTCATGGCATCCTTCATGGTGGACCTGTGGGAGTCCATCTTCACCCCAGGCCCCACGCCCACCATCCTCAAGGCCGCAAACGCCTCGTTCGCCGCCCTGCAGCTCGTCCTCGCCGCCCTCCTCGCCGCCACGGCCAGCGTCCACTTCGCCGTCCTCTCGGTCCTGTGCGCCGGCCTGTGGTGGTCCATCAACTGGTTCGCCGCCGAGCTGGCCGTCGCGCAGAAGCAGCAGCAGCTTCGCGACAAGGAGGCCGACGACGAGGACAGGGCCAAGAAGAAGAAACGCCGCCACGGAGACGACGCCGAGGCTAGTAGCGATACCGAGGTCGAGGGCTCCGCCACGAGGGGCGTCTCCGCCGCTGCGGCGGGCGAGCTGAGGCAGAGGGCCGCCCCGGCGCAGGCCTCGCCCGAGGGGACCCAGTCGAGCGTCAGCACAGAGGATGAGTGGGAGAAGGTTTCGGGCAGTGAGAGGGACAAGGCCAACTAGACATGCTCTCGGACGTCATGATATTTCACGTACAGTGTGGATGGGAGCTAGAGAGTTGAGTGGCGCGATACGATCACCCCCCCCTTTCTCTCGGTCGGTGCAGACGGACCGAGAATTTGTATTCACAAGTATGATATCACGAAGAGCGAGACGGCGCAGAGGCGTCTGTGGCTTGTGGATGTGAACCTACCCCCGCCTATCTCACGCATCAACGATACCCCCAAACTCTCGCGTCCCAGTGAACTGTATATAGCGGTGTCCAAACCCAGCTTGCGGCTTGTCAGGATCCAAACGACGCTCTTGCGGAGCGTATCCCCAACGGCCGGCAGACTCCCAAACTCCCATGTGCCCTGAACCACGCCCGTCGCCTCCCCCTGAAGAGCGCCAGCAAGCCCCATCTGTCCCTTGGTAACACGAAGAGGTGGCAATCGCGGCTGCGCTCCGCGTGTGGGCATACAGACGTGGCGCCTCGCGCTGTTACTACAAGCGCTTGAGCTTGCGCGTCGCAAAAGCCGCCACGAGCGCGCTCAAGGCCCCGATGAACAGACACGCCGAGATGGCGCTGGGCCCCGTCCGGTCGCCAGGGCCCTTGTCCGCGTTCGCGTCCGCCGCCAGCTCGGGGCTTCCGCCGGGCTCCAGCACCGCGAAGACAATGGAGGCGATGAAGGCGCCGACAAACTGCGGCAGTGCCGTGTAGATGTTGAGGATGCCAAAGTAGATGCCCGAGAGCTCGACCGTCGTCGACGACTTTGACGTGCCCGTGCGACTGAGCACAGACTCTGGGTGCAGCCTGCCGTTGCCGTTGCTGAAGGGCGACAGCTCAATGTCCGGCTCGCCGGACAATTGTCGATACGCGCCGCCGTTCTCGGTTCCGCCGCTGAGCTTGTTGACCTCGACGCCGAGGAGCGCCGGGGGTGCCCACGTGGCAATGGCCCACGGACTGGATCCGCCGTCGAAGAAAGAAGAAAGTCAGCATCATCCCGGGACACGAGTTCGAGCTCGTCGAATGGAAACTCACAGCGAGCAGAAACACATGAGGGCGGTTGCGAAGCGAAAGCTCTTGGCGAGCGGCGCAAAAAACATGGACGCCGCAAACACAAAGTGTCCGCACATCCACGTCGTCTGGATATCGGGCTTCCTCTCGTTCCACGACTTGACAAGCCCGGCAATGGCTGCTGGCGGTCGGTGGGTGAAGGCATCGCCATCGGGCGACTTGACCAGCAGCGGCAAGACAAAAGCGGCGACGGTCGTGAGGGTTGAGTAGAGGAAAAGCGACAGGCTCCCTATGCGGCCAATGTCGCCGAGCGCATCCTGCGACTGCTTCTCCTTGGCGGGCGCGTCGTAGCGATAGTACGTCTCGCCGACCCAGGTGGTGCTGTAGAAGAGGAAGGGGAACCAGCCGATCCAGGCCCAGAACTGGGCCCAGCATATGGCCTGGATGCGAGGCGTGAGATGGCGAAGGGTGTGGTGGATTTGGCGCAGCACGCCGAGGATGGTCTGGCTCTTGGCATCCTCGGGCGACACGAGGACGCGCTCGGTGACGGCCCAGCAGGTCAAGGCCGTGGACCCCAGCATGGCCACGGAGGCGATGACGGTCAGCTGCTGGAACTGAGAATCGCCCAGCGTGGTCCCCAAGAGCTGGACAAGGTCGACGGAGCCGGCCGCGTACCCTATGACATGGCCGATGGCGCACATTCTGCTGGCTGGATGCACGGGATTAGCGTCGTCTGCGCCAGGCAGGGCGTACGTGCACTCACTCCATGCGGCACCGGTCTGCTGCCGCTCGAGTGGAAGCGTGTCGACGACGAGGCTCCGCGCGCACGACTGGACTGCTTGTGTGTCAATGGCAGGGCCGGACGACGGCAGAGGGTCGGGCAGGCCAAGCATACCGACGTTGATGGCAAAGTCGACGATGTAGATGGACAGCACGGCCAGCGCAATGGCCGGGCGCCTGGCCTGTTCATCATCGCCAATCACCAGCCCGACCAGCTCGCGGGTGAAGCCCATGATAACGAGGCCGGCAGCGACGACGACGGCGCCGGCAATCATCAAGGGCCTCCGGCGTCCCCATTTCGACGTGTTCTCGTCGGAGATGACGCCCACGATGGGCTGGACTATGAGGCCCGAGAGAGGCCCGGCGATCCAGATGAGCGACGTGTTGCTCTTGGTGAGGCCGAGGTTGAGCAGGTAGGGCGTGCAGTCTGCGAGGCTCGTCAGCGACGCGTCCAGGGCGCGCGCGCGAGAGAGAGAGAGAGGGAGAGAGCAAGGCACGGACACGTCATTTCCACACCCCACGTGAAGCTTCGCTCAAGACCCGCAGTCAGCTTCCATTCGGCGTCGGCGGAGTGCATGGACGTACGTGACGCCAATCGACACAAAGGTCAGCAGCAGCAGCCGCGTCGTCTCGGTGCTGCCCTTGACCGACTGCTCTCCCACCAGCGTCGCCATTGCGGGATGCCGACAGTCGCCGTGTCTACGAGCAGCGCGTGTTGCCGACCTGACGAGACGGTGATGATGATGGGGGCGGCTCGAAGTGGTCCAGGCTCAGCAGGCGGTGGCGGACCAAGGGTTTCTGGCGAGGCCACCTTGTCTCGCAAAGCTGGGGATGCACAAGGGGCAAGCGACGACGCGTCTGCCCGCCGTCTGACTCGTCGACAGTCGGAGGTCTCATGTGGCGGCCAACCGCAGACGGTGATGCCTGGATGACAGGGTCTGTGGGGATCCGCAATCCCAGGGGCCGCTGATAAAACCAGGCGCAGCTGCTATACTGTAGATTGCAGTCCCTCAGTCCCTCCCTTGAAACACGGTGACTACCTAGGTAGGTAGGTAGCACGTTTTATTGCGTGACGATAATTGCACGGAAAAAGGCAGCGACACCAGACTGAAATAAAACAAGACACAAGTCATTCTCGCGACGTTTTCGCAAACGCGCGCTCGTCATCAAAAGCTCGCCCGCACCCCTGTGGTATCCTCAGCAACTCCGGGGCTCCCGCTTCCCATCTCCTCCCCGCCACGCTCATCAAATGCCCCCCCTACTGTGCTCGGTTTCGCTATGTAGGGACAAACTGTCGGCAACGGCAATTTAAAGAAGGATAGAAGTAGAACAAGTGAAGTCCAGGCCAGGGTTGACCGAGGAAGAAAGAAATAGAAAGGTAATGGGCTGGAAAGCCTTCTTTGCTCGTCGGACAGAGAGACAAAGAAAAGTTAAAAGGGCGTGTATGACCGAGGAAGAGAAGAAGAAAAAAGACGCCTTTTCCGTTGCCTCTGATGACATCTTTTACAGTGTAATGCATCCGTTGCCATGCGTCCTAGTTTTGCTGGGCAGCCAAAATCTGCCTGCTGTCCCTCTTGGGTTCTGCGCAGCGACGCCCACAATCCAGTCTCAAGTCAAGAGCCGCCTTACGAGTCGGCTAGCTTCGCAAAGTGCTTGGACCAGATCCATCCCACTTGGTCCGTCGCATCGTCCTGGTTCTTGGCCAGCCAGAGCTCGCCTTTCTCGGCAATGACGTCGAATATCTGCAGCAACACACACACACACCTGTCAGCGACTCGTGCTGTTCTCATGCTACCCAGCCTGCGTCCTTCACTCACCTCGCCAGCCTGGTACGTTAGATATGGATAGCCCGCCTCGTGCTTGGTGGTGGATATGTTGAACTCGAAGAGAGACGCCGCCAGCCAGAGGATGTTGTACCCGTCAGACGTCTGGTTTCGCTCCCGCGACGATGCTCGCGAGGATCGCCGGCTGTCCTCGGGCCCGTCTGGTAGGGGGAGCGCCGAGTGAAAAATGTTGGAATATCTGCGACTTTCATGAGGCAGGTAGCCCGAGTTGTACGTTGTGTTCGAGTCTCGGCGGTGCTGCGTGGCCGATTCTGAGCTCTGCCTTGGGGCACCCCCCGAATCTAGACTTCGCCCGGTGCTCGGCCGCGTCGACGCAGCCCCTGTCCCGGCCAACGAGCGTGAGCTCCCGACCATCTCGGGAGACCTAGACGACGACGCGGGGGCCCCCTGATGAGCGTGGATCCCGGCATAGTAGTCTCTGTAGTAGTAGTGGTGCGGGCTTGACATGGCGCCACCAAGGCCTGTTGCGCTGGGACTCGGTGACATGGAAAACGATCCGCTGCGGCGCCCGCCAAAGTCCGGTGCGGGCAGCGTTGGTGCTGCGTCGCCGTTGACCGAGTGCCCTCGCCCGCGCGATCTGATGGTGGAATCGTCCATGCTCGTGGTCGACTGCGACAACCTGCCCCAAGACGTCGGGTTCAGGATGCCGATGCTGGCTAGTTGGTCGCGGGCGTACGGATAGTCTCGCTGAAAGGTCGACACCACCTCTTCAAGGTCGGGTATCTCCGGGCAATCCCCGAGCACCGTCTTCATCTTCTCCTTCCATATCGCATACCAGTCTGTCTGGATATTGACAAAGTTGCCCAGGCAGATGTTGCCCACCTTTTCCGTCAGGGCAGAGAGTGTGGGGAGTTCCTTTTTCAGCGTGTCGTTTAAGGCTTCGTATTGCTCCACGAGTTCCCTAAGCTTTGGATCCGCTGTTCTGCCAGAGCGCTTCAGCTGCTCGGATCGTTCATAGTCCAGCCGCCGCTTCTGCCGCTTCTTCATGGCCAAGGACGGGTTCCCGTACGCCTTGATGACAAGCTCAAAGGGCTCAATCACATGCTTTCGAACTTGTGTCAACTGCGAGGGTCAGTGGGCGCTCCGCACACTCCATGCGGAACAAACTACTCACGTGTTCCTCCAGAGCAACCTTTTCGAGGTCTCGAACCGAGATGTTGAACTGAACCCACTTGCTCTCGAGTTCGGGATAGTTGCCTGGCTGAAGCCGCATGACCAACTCGACCGATGACAGATACTGGAGGAACTCGTGCACGTATGCCGACACCTGGCGAGTGTAGAACTCTACATCGCGGAGGACAACTTGAAGTCGGAGGTAATCGTCGCCAAACTTCTCGTGAAGCTTGGCATAGTCCTGGTCCTCGGGAGGCCGGTTGTTGGACGCCTGCAACTTGTCGACCCTCTTGCCGAAGGCACGTGCGAAACCAGCCTTGACGTCAGACTCCTTCCTCTTCCTTCCCACGATCTGACCGACGAGCTCAAAGTTCTTCTTGGTCCTGTTGATCTCGACAATGGCAGTCTCAAGAGAATCCTTGGCAGCTAAAAGCGCCTCCCGGTCCGGGTGATCCTGTGGCGTGTGCTGGAGAAGGGTGATGATCAGGTTGGGATACTTTGTGATTCTCTGCATGGGTTTGATCAGGAGAGAATCCAGGTCCCAAGCAGCCGTCAGATCCTTGGCCACCTCGTTGCACTCGTTCAACCACACCTGGACCGTAGGATCCTGCTGTATCTGAATCAGTCGTTTCGCAGCCTGGTCGCTGTTCCGGAGGAAGCCTTCGTGCGCAAGCTTCATGCTCTCCACGTTGCTCTGAAAAACGGGTCCGAGCGACGTTGCGCGATCCTTGCTGTCCTTGGGCTCTCTACTACTGCGCTGGCTCCGATCCGACATGACAGAGTCTTCTCCCCGAAGAGATGTATGCCCCCCCGCCGGAACATAGACCGCGGCCACGGCTTCTTTGAGCCCCCTGAGAAAGTATGTGTGGAACTGGATGATCTCATCGCTGTTGCGGAAAATGAGCTTCACCGTTTTCGAGTCTAACTTGGGGCAAGCTTCCGCAGTTCCCTTGTAAATTTCCTCGACAATGTTCATATCTCGGACAAAGACTGCCTCCGTGTCGACCAACTCTTTGATGACGTTGTGTCGTTGGATGAGGCGGTGACGCTCCTTGCCGTCGTCCTCTTGGGCAAGTGATTTGGCGCCGCCGTCGGCCACTGTGCGACCGCTGAAGTACTGGTCTCCAATCTCTGTTGGTGCCACATCCAGTGATTGGGGCGTTTCCAGAGGTGATGTGAAGTCGTCGATCCCTCTTTCGGAGTTGATGAGTGTACTCCCATAATGTAACTGGTCGTAGAACACGCTTGAGGTTCTCGAGTTGAGGGCGGAGGCAGACGCAGAATTCGGGACGGGAGGAGGCTCATGATCCGGCGAGGGGAGGAAAGAAAGGCTTGCGACGCCGGGTGAAAGTGACGGTACAAAGAATCCACCTCCAGCATCGACTTCTAGCAGCTGCGTTTGACCGACGGGCATCGAAGATCTTTTCGATTCGTCTGGAATACTCATAGCTGTCCCAGAAGTCGTGTCCTTGGATGAGGAAGCGCTCTCCCTGGTGGGCGTTCTGGTCTCGAAAATGGTTACGTGACCAAACGAGGGAGACCCTTGTCTGCTTTGCGTCGCGGAAGACTTTGCCTTGTCGGAAACGTCAATGCTATCCACCGAGAAATCTGTCCATGCCGATTGCTGGCTGAGCCTGTCGTTTTCTAACCTCGAGTGAGGCACTGCGAGATTGGAGGAATTGACCGTTGGTCGAGACCGATCGTGGGCCGGTTCGTGGATATCGTCCAAAAGGCCCGCATCGGATGAAGCACATGTAGACGTCCGATGAGAGGGGAGCTCGTCGAGGCGGAAATCAGACTGACGATGTTCAGTTCTATCGCCGCCGTCGGTCGCTTCGGTGCAGGCGTCTGTGGCTCCATGGTCGTGATGTCGTGATTCATAACTGCCCTGCGCAGCGGCTTCCAGGTCAGAATGACAATCAGACTCATCCTGCGCGTCCAATCGCGGGAAGGGCGTTGTTGAATGGTTCCCGATGGCTCTCAGTTCTTTATCTGCTGGCGGCATGACAGTCACGGCGGCTCCGCGTAACGAATCTGGCTCCACGAGCTCGTCTCCGAAAGCCCCTGGAACACTAGGCACGCTGCCAGTGTCCTGAGCATCCGCTGCCTGGGCGGGTTCCTGTGCCATTCCCGAGCTCTTTGACGGTTGTTCTCGGAAATCTGTTTCATCTTCAAAGGGGTATTGATACTCTGCTTGATGAGCTGGTACCGATCTCTCCGGACTCGGCGGCTTGACAACGGTGATTGGGACGTCCAAAGGTGAGTGAGCTTGGATGGGAGGGTTCGTTTGGGGTTCGACGTCAAACTCTGTAGTCTCCGAGGTCGCAGACAAGGCAGACAGCGGCTGCTCGTCAGTGTTCGCCGGAGGGCTGAGCACAGGGAAACTTCCAGGGACACCCAGAGTAGGTGAGTCGATGCTTTGTGGTGCTGAATCAAGTGCCGTGCGTACAGTCAGGGGAGGCATGTTGGGTCGAGCAGCAGGATCCGGAGCAGGATCTGCGATGGTGGGCTCCGCTGAACCAGTGATGGATTCTGCCAGGAAATGCTCCGAGGACGCTGCCTGCAGCCTCTTTTCGAGGCCCGGTTCCGTTTCCAAGTCAATCTCGGCAGCGCTCAGTGATGCAGCGGAGGTAGCCTCCGCGAGTGGCGATGTTACTGTCTCGGTAGACACAATAGCCTTGGTAGCCGCCTCCGATTCCCTTCGCCGCCTCTCAGCGGCAACCTGTCGTTCTTCGAGAGCCTCGCTCTCCCGGATCGACTTGCTATATGCGAGTCTTATGTGCTCCCTTCTCTGCTCAAAATCGATTGGACCAAATGATATCTTTCGACGCCTTGCAGCCCCGTCGTCAGTCTTTGGCCCACTGGGAGCAAGCCCGTCGCGGGAACTTGCTCCGCCCGATTCCTTGATTCGCAGGCCGGCCGCTGTGGCCGCGGAAATAGGCAAGCGCGGTCGAGAGCTCCGCAGGGGTGGTGACAGTTTTGGCGAAGGGACAGCAATGTATGCCTGAAGCCTCGCGTTATCCGGTGTTGCCAATGGCGCTGGAGGTTGCTTCTTAGCTCGGATGACCGTGGCTGTGGCCCGAGGAGCTGCAGCAGTATTGGCTCCCGAGACCCTTGCGCTCGCCAGAGAGCATTTCAAGGCCGAAGGTGAATTGGAACGAGTGGATGACGGACTCGGGGGGCCGCTCGAACTGCTCAGTTTTCGAACAGAAACAGGTAGTTTCGAAGCCGAAGAGGATGGGTCGGGGCTTGTTGAGGCAGGGAACCTGCGAGGTGAGTTGCAAGATATTTCGATTTCAATAGATGCAAGTGACACCGCTGCGTCGCTGCGCGACCGAGTCCGATGCCTTGGATGAGCGCCCGATGCAACTTGCGACTGGTTCTGCAGCGCGTCGACATGGCGGTACCAGCTGCTCGGGAATGGCTGCTCCGCATCGGGGCCGGAAAAGCTGCGCTGATGGCTGGCGAGATTGTAGTTACCGGACTCGGACGTTCCCCGCGGTCGAGCGCCGTGAATGCCGAAACCTGCAACCGCCGAACCGCGCTGGCCCGAGGGAATTTCGCCAAACAAAAGGCCGGGTGGTCGAGAAGTGGTGGGTGGGGAGGACGACATCTGTTGATGCGGGACTCTTTGCGGCAATTGTGTCAAGGACTTGGATCCGGGCACCTTGCCAATGATGGAGTTTCGAGGCTTGCCGATGCGGCTTGCGAATGACTGCGAGCTGCCCGGGACTGCAGCCTGAGCCACAAACCTTGATCGCTGGGCTCGCGTGGCTGCACCAGACTCGAGCGCAGCCTGCATCTGCGCGCCTTGGGAGCTTCCTGCACGCGGGTCAGAGTGGACTGGAGCCCCGTTGGCCGTCTTGACGGTTGGGCGCGTCACCCGAGGAGGTGCATGTGCCGGCCGCGCCTGTGGTTTGGATACGGAAGAAGCAACACCATTCTGATCGAAGCGTTTCTTCAGATCCTTGACACTTGGCTTGCCAGTTGGCGTTCTAGACGCGCCGGACGATCTGCTGTCGAGGGGGCTCGAGGCGGAGCGGAGGTTGGACCGAGAGAGGGCGTGGTTGGCAGAAGGTCTCGCGTTGCCGCCATCGCCGTGAGGGAGCAGTGACGGGCGGGCGTGGGCGGCTTGCAGGCCTCGATAGTCGTCGTCAGGATTCGACGGGTTGGGAGCGTGGTGTGAGTGGGCGGGGACAGCATTGTGGAGGGCAGTCGGATAGGAGACGTGGCTGCTCGAGGCGTCGGAGCTCGGGGAGTCGTCGGGTTCGGTTTCGAGGCAGCTGTAGTCGGTGGAATGGTGAGAATGGCGATGGCCACCAAGGCCCGCGCGACGGGGACCGTCGACGCCCCCCGGCAGGCCAGCGTCCAGGTCCGGGCTCATGATGGCCTTTGGAGTGGCCTGGCCAGAAGGGGCATCCGTCAGGTCGGTCGGGCGTCGCGACTGGGCGGGACACAACGAAAGGCCCCAGCAGCAGCGCGCATCGATGCTTCGTCGGTGATGCAGGGCGGAGGCGAGGGCGAGGGCAAAATGCGGGACGACGGTGGCGAGCTGAGTGCGGGTGCAGACGGGAGGGTGAAGGCTGGCGGAGGCGGGTTTGACGAGGGGGGGTTGTGGTTGCACTTTGCGCCTGATGGGAGAGGATTGGGTGGTGGTGGTGAGAGGCCGTAGAGGTCGGTCGGGTGGCAGAGGTGGCACCCTGGCTGCTTGAATGCAGGTCACAACAGTGGCCGCGCCCCGGAGGCAGGGAGGATGGCCGGGCAGTTTGGCGGCGGGCTGCCGGTCACTCGTCGCCCGTCGCCCACTGACTCTTCCCCGCCGCCGCCCGTGTTTAATAATTCGGGGCGAGGTATTTACCAGACACTACTCGTCTCTGTCTCTGCCCGGCTCAAATTCATCATGGCAGGCCACGTATCGGCAGGTACCTTTGCCTCCCACATCCCTTTGGACTCTCGGCGCTCTCCAAGCAAAACACAGTCAGTCCTGTCTGTTTGCACGACTCTGCAGACTGGCCTCGTCTGCCACCATGTTCTTGGCGGACGGCGGGCTGGGCCTCGTTTGTCACGCGTCGAGGGCGAGCGAGATAGGGGTCTCAAACACGGTCGGCTGCGGATTTTCTTTGCTTTTCTCCCTTCTCCCTCTCCTTTTTGTCTCCTTCATACCTGCTGGACCTGTCTATTCGTGGCTAATCCGTAATACTTCGTACAATGTAGGGAGTATAGTGCCACCCGAAAAAGGAAAACCGAGCATCTTTGCTTTTCACCCCTGAAGCCTTTCCCGCCAGTACGAACGAGTTCCCGGGATCACTGGCTTCCCGCAAGTGCGGATTGCGAGCAGCTGAGCGCGTGGGAACTCACCTGCCTTTCCCCGGCATCCCATCAACTACAGACGAGGCGCAGAGGACCATCTATCTGATACCGGGAAAGCCCCGAGGCCCGTCTGTACCTCCTCTTACATGTGCTGACATGCCAGCAGCCCCGTGGCACTTGAATCACGCCGTTTGTGCGGGAGCGAGATTGGCCTGTTGCCTGGGCTGTTGATAGGTAATGTAAACAGCAAAACAAGGCTCCATGACAGGCGTCGGTTCTCGGTTTGCAAACAGACGCAAGTTCTGCCATATGCCTCGACGAGTCTCTCGAGGCTCTACCATACCTCGTCGTAGACCGAGGGGCCAGAGGTGCCCAACCAACAAGTTCGATGGACAAGAACTCGACGACGTCCCGCATCTTTTATGCAAGGTACCCGACGGCAGCCGTGCGATGACTCTTGTCTCGGCGGACAGATGGCTTCAGCGCGTTGCTGTGGGCTGCTGTAGGGCAGACAAGGTACCTGTGTGTACTTTGACCGGCTAATCAAAAGCGCCTGTGGCTCCACCTTGGAACTTGTTGACCCCCGGTTTCTTCTCCACCCTTTTATCGACAGCGTTCGTACAGTCCCGAACCACTCTGCATCGCACCTTGCGCCGCAACCAACGAACGTCTGCTAGGCAACGTGGTTTTGTGTATCTGCCAACCAAGAGGAGCGTCGCGTTTGCCACTGCACACACGCACATACTCCTTACTCATTTCAATACAGGAAAACACGCCGTTGGGCGGTGGACTAAGTACCTACCGCATACACATTAGTAAGGAAGTGTGTTGGTGTCTAAGTAGGTAGGTACTAGGTAGTAGGTAGGGCACCTTGATAAAGGTACTACCTAGGTACCCACATGCCAATGTTTATGACGGCGTTTATGCACGTTGTCCTCTAGAGATGCGCGACCTTGATACCTTTAGGTACCTACTCGCACTCTGTGACTCCAGTCAGAGTACAGTACGTGTCGAGTACCCGCGACGATGCCCAAAACCCCGCTTTGATTTGCGAGTTGCGCGCTTAATAAGTCGCGCTGTCACCCCGTGCTCTTCACGATATCTACTACCTGCTAAGGTAGATAAACACCTTGAGAAATAGTTGACCAGCTAAGGTACTACTTAGTTATATTCTGACTGACCGAGTACCCAGTAAGTGTGCTTTACTGCATTCCTTCCCTACTCACGATTGTCTGGAAGCGCAGAACAAGGTTCTGGTTGATCTTGCAAATACAGTGCGCAAAATATACACACACATGGAACGCGACGCACGACGCCCGCCTGTCACTCGTCCATGCCGTCTACTTCGTACTGTACGCATCTTCAGTCTTGTCCGAGGTGCACCCGCGCGCAAGCATCAACCGGGGGCGCGTTTCCACCTCACCCGCCATTGTGTCGAGCCCATGACTAGAGGCGTCAAGCGGAAGCGCGGGGAGCACGATTCCGTGGACAGGCAACTCCTCGGCTCGTCGGCCCACGTCCCGCCTGTCCATCGGGATCTGCTGCAGCAGTGCTATCCCAAGGTCCGGACGCTGCGAGACCATGCCATCTCCAAACTCCCGGGCGGCTCTAGGCTCCGCCGAAGGAAGATTGCCTCTTTGGGCAGTGGAAAGGACTGCAGCGATGCCGAGATGACCCTCGCACATGTCCTCGACACCACGCTCATCTGTTCTTCCGAAAGCCCGCCACGCAGCGACGGAAGTGCGTACCAGCAATTCTTGTCCTTTTCCCAGCAGGGGGACGAATCATATGTCTCCCTCTCAGACGGAATAGCTGCATCGACCGAGGCACAGTCCGAGGTTTGTTGCTGCCACTCCTCGTGCCCTGTGCAGCGGCTCAAGCACAATAGATTGTCGACTTTGTCATATGGCTACTCTTCCAATGGGAGGTGAGAGCTTCGACGCGGCCCAAGCACCTTCTGTGTGATGGCTTTCGTCGAGGGGCCAGGGAGGGTGACTTGGGCGGCCTCAAGATTCCTGGCATATACAGCCTCCATCCCAACCCTCACGCAGCGGCGCTCAAACAGGCTCCTTGGCCGCATCTATTGCTCTTGTTGGGGCAATCGGGCCAGCGACTGATGGTCGACTTGCTCATGGACTGCTCCATATTCTTGGCCCTCGAGGCAGGTTCAGGCAACTACTATCAGTTGAGCGGTTAGCTGCTCTTGTCCCGAGTCGACCTTGTCCATCTCTGACCCGCAGCAGGATCCCCTTTGTCTGAGTTAGATTTATCCAATCGCTCACTCACTTCTCGCCACGAATCCCACGCTGTGGCGCGGAGGATTTCGGATATTGCAATCATGAGAAGGCACATCTTCTATGCTAAACCAGAATTGACTGCTCTTGGTCGGGCTCAGCCTGGCTACAGAAGAACTCGTATGCGCGTCAAGCCTCTCTCCCAACGGCAGTCGCTTACAAGCAACAGACATTCTCAACAGATGCCCCCATGTTCGGCAATCTCCGCAGCCGCAAGATGGTTCGTTTGTGTCACAGCTTGACGCAGAAAACCACAACGAAGTGAGCACGAGGAAGGTCATGATGTACATCTTCCCGCGACAATTCGGATTGCACAACGTCTTCACCTCCAAGGTCGATACTGCACAAAGGCTTGGAGACTACATGTCGCGGGAGGAAGAGATTGCCACTTTGATCCCGCAAGGCAACAACTCGGGTGGCGTCCCGCCGCCAAAGTTGCCCAGGAGGCTCAGGGGGGCTGCCAGGCACCTTGTGCGACGTCTTCAGATTCTGCATGGTCGTTGCTCGTATGCCAAAACTCTCCGTCATTACTGCCCGACTCATCTCGACAAATGCACCAAGCCAAAGCAGGAGGGCTCAAGACAAGATGTTGCGAATGGGAGCACGACTAACTGTTCAACACCAATGGTAAGCGGCGTTCTACAAACCTAGTGTGCGTGCCGAAGAGCTATGCACCCGGAACTCACATTGCGATCTACAGCGCACGTCGCTGCCCTCGAAGCAAACGCCACTCGTCGACTTGGCCTGCCCAGCCTCTTGCGTTTCAGCATTTTGCCAGGCCGTCCTGTCCAAAATCATACCCAATGAGTTTTGGGGGGACGGTGAAACTCTGTGCCACAACAAGGCGGCATTTCTTCACAAAGTCCATCACTTCATCAAACTGCGACGGTTCGAGTCCATGACGTTGCACGAAATTTCCCAGGGTTTCAAGGCAAGTCAAGCCGTAGGCGACTCTCGAATTCGCCTCGCTGTTGCGCACTGTACTCTAACCACACTTTGCAGGTGGCAGATCTCGCCTGGCTTCGGCCGCCTGGCCACGATGACCAAAAGCTTGGCCAATCCGACATCAACAAACGACGAGAGATTTTCTACGAGTTCCTGCACTACATCTTCGACTCACTTCTGATACCCCTGATCCAAAGCAGCTTTTACGTGACCGAGTCCAACACGCATCGTTACGAAGTGTTTTACTTTCGTCATGATGTATGGAGGCTCATTGCCAAGTCTACAATGGCAGAGCTCAGGGGCAACATGTTTGAAGAGATGAAGCTCGACGAAGCACAGCGGATTTTAGACTCGAGACGGCTCGGATATGGTCAATTACGGCTGTTACCCAAAGGTAACAACGTCAGGCTAATCACGAATCTCCGGAGGCGAAATCCTAGCAAAGTTTCGCCAAGAGCCTTGGAACCTAGTATCAACTCTGTACTGGGACCTATCCATACTATTCTCAAGTTTGAAAAGGTACTTGCGCCGCGTCTGCGTACTCTGTCACTCGCTGACAATCCAGGATGCAAATCTACGCAGACTGGGCTCGAGCCTATACTCAGTCGGCGACGTGTACCAGCGACTGAGACTTTTCAAGGACTCTTTGGGACCTGGACAACGGCGCTTCTACTGTGCCAAGGTGGACGTGCATGCCGCCTTCGACACGATCCCTCAAGGCGCAGTTGTCAAACTTATGTCCGGCGTTCTCAACAGACGTCTGTACACCGTTACAAAACACGCCGAGGTGCAGCCTGGCGAGCGCGCAATGCCTGAGCCGCGCAAGACGGCCACCAGCATCCGCAAACGATGGTGTGCCACCGCTGTGGCAGACGGCCATCATCGACCACTCTTGGAACTATTGGAGGGCAAGCTCGCCGGGTGCAAGAAAGATACTGTCTTTGTCGAGAGCGTCGCGCAAAAGGCTTACAATTCTGGGTTTCTCGTCGACCTCTTGTCGGAGCACGTGGAATGCAACCTCGTCAAGTTTGGCAGCCATTTTTTCCGACAGAAGAGGGGCGTGCCTCAGGGGTCGGTTCTGTCGTCATGGCTGTGCAATTACTTCTATGCCGACCTTGAGTCGCGTCACCTGGGCTTTTTGCAAGCGCCTGACTGCTTGCTGATGAGGCTCATTGATGACTTTCTCCTCATCACGCTCGACAAGTCCAAGGCTGTTGAATTCGTTCAAAACATGCATAGGGGGTTTCCCGACTACGGTGTCGAGGCGAATCAAAAGAAGACCCGGGTCAACTTTGATATGCACATCGGCGACGACGCAGTTTCCAAGGTCTCCGGGGGGGGGGGGTTCCCTTACTGCGGCTTGCTCATTAACGATCAGTCGCTGGGTATCACCAAGGATCGGATCCGAAGCGATGGAACTAGTAAGACGACAAGGCCTCAGCCTCGAGTTCGAAAGCTCACAGTCTACAGCCGTCTCAAGCTCGCTCACAGTTGAATTTGGTCGCTCGCCGGGTCAAAACTTCCAACGCAAGGTTCTTGGTGAGTTGCTGCCCGTCTCTACTGGCTCAACCTTGAATGCGAATCTAAAAGTGACCTCCCCGCCCTTGAAGCCGCCTTCAAGGCACAGTCTCATTTCATGTTCTACGACTCTTCTCACAACAATAAGGCCGCCGTCCTCCACTCGCTCAGCGATGCATTCAGCGAGACTTGTCGCAGGATGTGGGCTTACATCCGTTGCTTGTCTCGGCCGCAGCGACCCCGTATCGGCCTCGTCATTCGTAAGCAGACGGCCTGTGCACCCACATCCGCTCTCCATCCCACCGTCTGACCCCATGTGCAGAAACGATTGTCAAAGTCGCAGATGTCGCCTTTGTTATCCTGTCCAGCAAGTCGAGAAGGTTGCGGTACTCGCACTATTCTTTTGGCATCCGGAAGGGACAAGTTTCAGGGTGAGAAAGCCTATAATGCGGTCCAACTCGCCCTGCGACCTTTGTTCACTGACATGTCTCCAGCATTGCCTTTGCGGCCTTTTTAGAAGTCCTCAGCCGGAAGCAGACGGGATATGGCCCAGTCATCTCGTGGCTACAGAAACAGCAGACGAAAACATCAACGTGACGGATGATCCGGCGATGTCGCAACGTGGACGATTTGTGCCTACACACAGGGGTCACCAAAAATCCTTTCGCTGGAAACCCAGCGTGGACGTTTAGAAAAGCCCTGTTCTTCTATGCCCCATTGAAAACGAACTTTGCCAGCATTCCTAAATGGCAATTCCCGACTCCCACCAATGTTTTCCAGAGTGCCACTTGAAAAAGTGACGGCAGTCCCATCGCCACCAATGGTCTGTGGGATGCCCATAGCCTAACCAGCGAAGGGGGGACATCGGGACAGGTTCCATCAGCCAAGCCCCTGTCGCGGCGAAGTCGTCAACGAAGAAGACGCCCGTCATATACAGCCACGACGTCACCCAGAGCAGATTGATGGCCCGGGTCACAACCCTGGACGGATTTGGAAAACACCGAACCATGACGCCGTGCAGGGTCTTCTCAATGATGATACCGACTACCTGGAGGAGGAAAAAGGCTACCGGGTGCCAGGGCTTGGTCCCCGGGGTCGAGGTCATGCTCCCCGAGGCATGGAGCAGGCCAGATTGGAGAAAAGACACGAAGGCAGCCGTAATGGCGGCCCATCGGCTGCCCTTGTTGAGATAGCCGTGTTTGACCAGATAAGTCGCGGGGGCAAGGAACTGGTGTCGAAAGGTCTGATGCCATGACGCGCCCCACCAGCCGGCAAGACCTCGATCGAGCAATTGGGAGAAGCTTCCAAAGACCGAGGTGTGGAACCACGGCGCTGCACGGCTAGGGAAGCAGAGCTTTGACAGCCAATACTGAATCAGGTCGTGAAGACTGAAATAGCCCTGGATGGCGCTTAGAATACCGGCCACGGTAAGCAGCTCCCTGTAAGCAAGCAATAGCCATGGTGGCATACCGCCAAGGTACGATGGAGTCTCATCAGAATGGCCCGGTCCAAGGACGAAGTAGGGATCCTTGACCATGAGGACCGAGCCGAGATCAAGGACTAGATACATGACGGCCACCGAGGCGAGCCGTCTGCGCACGAATTCTCTTTCTGTCAGGCAACACTCGTATCCGCTTTTGCTCACCCGGGGTATCGAGTCGAGGTCCACAAGCTCCCCCGGGCGGGCAACGGGAGGGATCTGTGGATGAGGAATGGACGTTATGGACCAGTTCCAACCTGCAGGCCGTTAGCTTCTACCATGCGCGGTATGCAGACTTGGTGGGGGTGCTGCCGGCCTTACCTGAGCCTCGAAAGCTGCACGCCAGATCCAAGGCCCAGCCGAGGCGCTGCAGAAAGGGGCCGTCGGCGGGAAATGGTTGCCAGACAAAGACGGCCGTCTGTTGCTGCACCGTCGAGTCTGCGACAGAAACTTGGCGCCGTCGCCTCTGCCTCGCATCTCCGGCCCACCGCGCAGAGGCCTGTCGACTCGGGCCCTTTGTCGTAGGCACTGGCGCTGGGCGGGTGGAGACGCGGACGGCCCTTGCCGCATCGAACTGAGGACGCGTCCAGATGAGGAGACTCAAGTTGGAGATGATGCCCCAGGCAGCCATCAGGCCCGTGGCGTAGGCGAAGGCAAACCTTGAGCTGGACGTTTGGCGGATGACGTTGATGTTGAAGGCAACGACAAAGGCCATGACGAGCCACCTCGTGTGGTAGAGCCAGGGACGGCGCGCGTGAGGGATGGTGAGCCACAGCACGGGCACGAAAAAGGCGCCCAGCAGACTGTAGGGAATGACGAGCGGCGTGAGGCGCCCCTCGGCGACGGCGCGGGAGAAGGCGGCGCGGCGGGCCGTCTGGGCGGCGTCGCTGAGGTTGTCCATTGCCTGTCGAAGGGGTTTGTGTCTCGCGCAGCCGCTTTGCAAATCCGAAGACAGCCAGCAGCCAGCCGGTTCTGTCGACTGCTGTTGATGTTCTTCAGGGGTTCACACCCAAGGTAAGGTAGGTATTATGCAAAAGACCCTTGTTGCACAGGTTTGCCACTCGGGACCGCTTGCCGTGCCGTGGGTCAGGTGGCCGCTGCAGGGCGCAGGGGACGAAGTGGGGGGGCTGGAGCGCTGTACTTTGTAATACTTCGTGCCTCGGAGGCGATTGAAGATCGCGTACTCTGTAATCTGCCCGCCTTTTCCCACCACCTGCAGCGATGACCTTCCGCGACAAGACCAGACGACTTTTCGACATCATCCAACACTGCTCCTCTCCAAAGGCCACGGCAAACGACTGTCGCATGCCAGGAACGGCAAGCTGGCCATGGAAAGCGCCCTCTGCATGGCCCGTCAGCGTCATCGTCAGCAGTAGCGGCCTCGCAGGGCTGAATGTACGACTACGTAACGCGGCGTTCGTCAACGCTGCATGGCCTCTTGTGCACTAGCAGGGCCTGATGCTGCGGCTTATTGGTAGTGCTGATTGTTCCATGCCTGCCAACGGGAGAGGGGAGACTCGTGCAAACCCTCTCGGCCAGAAGACGACGGCCTCTCGATGCTCTGAATCTCCACCTCGGCTACAGCACCGTCCTTCTCGGCCTCTCCGGTTGATGGAAGCTGCCGATACTCAGGCTTGATATTCTCGCTACATCAACCCTTCTCCCTGCCTCTCCCAGGCCATGACTCCCGAGTCCACCAAAAACACACCACCGAGCGGTGCGCCCAAGCATCGGGCCTGCGATGAATGCCGTAAGTTGGGAGCCCTCTCCGGGCCCATCTCGGAGACTTTTTACTCACCCGTCGTGCCCAGGAGCCCGAAAACTCGCCTGCTCCAAGGAGCCCGGCGGATGTAACCGGTGTCGGAGAGAAGGCATCCCCTGCCACTACTCCGCCCAGAAACCCATGGGCCGTCCGCGCAAGCGCCGCCACGTTGACGACCTGTCGACCGATGATGCTCTTCTCGCCCCGCCGAGTGCCGTCTCAACCGGGCTCGTCACGCCACAGGCGCTCCTTGGTCTGGGAGCTCAGCCGACGTGGTCTACAGATGCCACCCTAGACTTCTTTGGCCCTGATGCCGGCTCCAGCACCGCCTTTCTGGACTTGCTGCCGAGCGGGTTTGGCGATGACGGCGCAGACGACCCCCACAGTCTCGGGCTGTATGCGCAAGTCCAGCTCCCTGGACCAGACGGGCAGCCTTTTGACGGCACGACATTCACAGCACAATGCCTTGGAGCCGACATTCTCCAAAATGCCAGCCTCGACGAGCCAGGCCTCTCGGGAGACGCGCCAAAGGATGCCAACGACTCATGGAAACACTTCGTAGCTTCACATCATCACTCGCCCCCGGAACACCGGCTGCCATCTTCCTCCAGCGACTTGTCGACAGCAGTCGAGTCGCCAGATCCCTCTCCCAGAGCAACCGTCAAGGCGATACCAAGCATCTCGTGCGGCTGCCTTTCATCCCTCTACCTCGCCTTGGAATCGCTTGCTCACCTTCCATCCGACGTCACTTCGGCCATGCGCGTGGCCAGAAGCGCATGCAAGGTCGCGCAGGACGTTGTCGAGTGTCGTCACTGCTCCAACGCGTTTTTCGACGACCCCCTCAAGCCACCGCCCATCCAGGGGTTCCAGAACCTCATGTTCCTCGGCGCTCTCGTCCCGTCTGCCTGCAACGCCTACGCCTCGATCCTCGAGATGGTCGACGACAAGACAGCTTCGGCCAAGAGAGAGAACCGAACCCTTTTTTTCTCCCTCAAGGACATGGGGGCGCTCTGGGACACCGCCTCCGCCGACGGCGGCCACTGCTGTGCCATGCACAGCTTGAACAACAAGCACTTGAAGCCCGAAGCCTGGCAGAGAGCCGTTCGTGCAGTACTCAAAATGGACGTATACGGCCTGGGTGGCTGCCCAAGCGCCTCGCCGCCTCCCTTTCCGAGGCGAAAGGGGTTGAAGGACGTGTTGGCGCAGCTGGACCAGACGTCGCGGAGGAGGCACGAGATTATAGACGAGCTCAATGCGAAAGGCCAGGTGCCAAAGCACTCCCCATATCTCATGTCCCCCTTGAACCAGGCGCCGTGCCCGCCCGAGCAGAGAAACTGCGTCAGGATAATCGAGACGGCCAGGATGGCTTTGGATAGATTGGTCATTGCTTAAATGCTCACATGATTTCTGCAGGATGAAAGCGTCACGCTTTCATGTCGCCAATCCGAGGCATCTTGTTGCCTCGGTACCTGGAAAGGAGGTGCGTGGGCTCGGCGTTGTGCCTTGCAACGCCCGAAAGAAGCGGATTTCGACGAGCGAACAAAGATATGGGTCTTGATTTTGGAGTTTCCATTCATGTGCTATCGCTGTCAGGATACATATTCTCCAACGCGCCCCGGTACATGGCCTGACCACTTTCCGTACGATAGACGGGAAGTTTGAAAAGGGAAAAAGAGGCAAAAATGCTTCGAGGAGGGGCCCCAACTCCAAGGTCCAATGCAGCCATCCAGAAAAAAACACAAAACGCCATGCTTGAGCAAGATGAGAAGCCCTCCCCACTTGGTATCAACACAGATATATCCCGTCGTGGCACGCTCGCTGGGTTAGAAGACGGGCACGTCGTGCCACGGGTCAGTCGTCCTCCTCCATGATGCCCAAGACAGCGAGCTCAGTCGTGACGAGACGGGCAAATTCCTCGCGGGCGATGCCAGATGTCCGCGCCAGCATGTACAGACTCCTGATGCTCCGGGAGACGTGCTGCTTGACGCCAAACTCGTTCTGCTCCTGCTTGCCCGCCGTCTCCTCAAGCCTGGCGACGTTGTAGGAGCCGTTGGAGCTGGCGCTCGATTCGGGGCGCGGGTGGATGATGTCGGCGGACATGGGCTTGCTGGTCGCCGTCGTGTCCGGGCCCTGGCCGGGGAGCCCCGAGCTCTGCGCGCTGCCGAGCCCCAGGGGCGGAACGAGGTGTGCGTTCTGAGCCTCCTCGTCGGGGTCGTGGTTATCCATGGCAGGCTGGACTTGGTCGTACTGCGCAAAGTAGTCGTCCTCGGTGGAGGCCGGGCGGTAAGGGTCGGTCGAACGGGAGGAGGGCACTGCGCAGGGGCCAGGGGACCGCGTCACGGCCGGAGTGCGGGCCGGAGTCGCGTCATAACGACCCCAGTAATCGTCGTCGTCGTCATCTTGGGCAGTAGCGGGTCCGTTGTCATGTTGTTGCGAGGTGAGCGTGGCCTTGGTTTGGCTGTTGCTGCCGCCGTTGCCCTGGCCGTCTTGGAAGTGCCGTTCGGCCTCGACGATTGTGGATGCGCCGCCAAAGCGAGAAAAAGGAGAGGGCTTGTCGGCCACGGTGACTTCGCCAATCCTCCAGCCATCGCCGCCGCCCTCGTGGTCGCCGACGCAGTAGACGAGCTGAAAGGCGATGCCGAGCTCCGGCAGGGCAACGAGAGCCTGCAGCGTCTCGCGATCGAGGCGCCTGTATCTGGTGTGGGCGTCATAGCCCCAGTCGACCTCGACCTCGCCCGAGACGGGATGGGGCTCGAGCGAGGGCCCGCGGACAATGTCGGCGAGCTTTACTGCCTTGGCGGCATCGTAGCAGAGAAGGCGCAGCCAGGGCTCCGACGAAGACTCGGAGAGCAGCTGGACGCGCTGGCGCAGGATAGGGGAGAGCAAAGGGAGAAGTTTGACGGCGGGCTGGGCCGAGGCGGCGGCGGCGGGCAGGGCCGGGAGGAGAGGGGCCAAGAGGCCAGCCTGGTCTGGGGGCGCGATGGCTAGGCCCATTGTGAGTCAGTCAGGCGGGGGAAAGGGCGTGTGTGTGCCCTCCCTTGGAGGTGACGTTGCTGGCCGTGGTCGGATGCGAAGAGAAGGGAGTCGTCGGCGTTCGTCGTGGATTGCCGGTTGATGTGCAAGGAAGAACCAAACCGGGGCGAAAGCGAGGGTTAAGTATGTCTTGGCAGTCGGTAGAGAGATGTTTAGGAATCCTCTGCTTTTTGCTCGGCCACGTCCAGAAATGAAGGGGCGACTGAACGGACGAGGCGGGAGGGTGTTGAGAGTAGCGGGATGGCTATTGAGCAGAGAAGAAAAGAAGTAAAAGGAGAAGAAGAAGAAGGAGGAGGAGGAGGAGGAGGAGGAGGAGAAGAAGGGGAAATCTCCGTCCCGTGACGCTGGTCAGGCGGCGTGGAGCTTGCTTGACTTTCTGCGGGGCCCGCTGACTTGCTGGCCGCTGGCTGGCCAAGCCGGCCGAACCCGTCGGCTGGGTGCTGGAGGGATTGGTGGCGGCTACAGCCGGAGCCTTGTGGGGGGGGGGATAACCAGGAAGACTAACTGAGATGTATACTTAGTAGGTAGTAGTCTTGGGGACCATTGCGGGCTCAGCGACTTGTTCTCATGCGAGATCTGCTAGTGTCAGCGGTGCTTCGCAAGTTTCTGGGCCGTCAGTGGAGCGCGGGGCTAAGGCGATTCCGGAGCACCGGGGCAGATGGCGGCTCTTCGGGGCAAAGGAACAATGGAACCTCTGCATTGCATCGGCTATTTCCTGGGGCAAGGGGACAGGGCCATCGATTAAATTATTGACCAGGCCAATTGGAGCCGCCGCATGCATTGTGCTGAGACAATGGGAAGAATGAAGCGGGCCCGGTGGGCTTCTAGATGCTGGACCTGCGCAAAGTACAAAGTACCTACCTGGCCCTTTTCAGCAGCAAGGTGCACGTGACCTGCGGGACAAGCAAAAGTCATGCGCCGAGTGGCATTCTGGCGTCACGGCCAACATGGAAGCAAAAGAAAAGAAGAGGGGCCAGAGGAAGCCCTCCTTGCCCACAACAAACCTTGTCTCTCCATCACAGCCCCAACATCCGCACACCCGCCCGCCGACCCACCGAGAGCCTCTCTCGCGCCGCCTGTCTCGCCTTTCCTCCGGCCTCGGGTCCTAGGCGAATCCCTGCATGTCAGCCCGGCACGGTCGCCTCAAGGATGAGGTGCGCCCGATGAGCGTTGCACCAGGCCTCCTTGGTCCGCTGACGGGAGCGCGCAGGGCACCAAGCTCCAGGCCGTCACCGCCGGCGCAATAGCCGGCCTCGTGTCCCGGTACGCCCTCCCGATCTCTTCCCCCGTGCTGCCCGCTGACCGTCTCCCCGTATGCCCCTAGGTTCGTCATCGCGCCCCTCGACGTGGTCAAGATCCGTCTCCAGCTTCAGACCCATCCCTCTCCCATCTCCTCCGAACCCCTCGCTGCCCCGCGCGATGCACCCGCCACCCGCTTGGGTGCCTTTGCCACCTTCAAGCACATCCTCCAACATGAGGGCCTCACGGCGCTGTGGAAGGGTAACGTCCCCGCCGAGCTCCTGTACGTCTGCTATGCCGGTGTCCAATTCGCCGGTTACCGCTCCGCCACTCTCTTCCTCCAGACAGCCCTGCCCACCCGCCGCCTGCCTGACTCGGCCGAGAGCTTCATCGCCGGCGCCACCGCGGGCGTTGCTGGCACCGGCGTCACCTACCCGCTCGACCTATTGAGAACGCGCTTCGCCGCCCAGGGTCAGTGCCGAATCTACACCTCCCTGAGGAGCGCCATCTGGGAAATCAAGCGGGACGAGGGCTGGAGGGGCTTCTTTCGAGGCCTGGGCCCAGCATGGGGGCAAGTCGTCCCCTTCATGGGCATCTTCTTCGTCACCTATGAGGGACTGCGTCTGCGCCTCACCCGCCTCGAGATGCCCTGGGGCAGCCGAGACGCCGCCGCTGGGGCCGTGGCGAGCGTCGTCGCCAAGACGGCCGTCTTCCCCCTCGACCTGGTGCGCAAGCGGCTCCAGGTGCAGGGGCCCACCAGGAGCCGCTACATATACAGCGACATTCCCGAGTACACGACGGCCCTCCGTGCCGTGAGCACGATTTTTCAGAGAGAAGGGCTGCGCGGGCTGTACAGGGGGCTTCCCATCAGCCTCATCAAGGCTGCGCCGGCGAGCGCCGTCACGCTTTGGACCTACGAGCAGAGCTTGAAGCTGATGACGAGCCGCGGCACGACCCAAGAGGCGCCCATGTAAACTCTATACTGCAAATACACGTCTTCTCTCACTCTTGCATCAAGCCGGCGGGGCTCATGCGCGCCGTCTGAGGACTCACTGCCGGCCGACGACGACAAGCCGAGAACACGCACTCGGACAAGCAAAGGCCAGTGACTGCCATGACTCCTTTTCTCATCTCTCCTTGCTCCATGCTCAAGCACTGGCTTCCTCCCGAGCCTTTTCGTTGACCGCGTCGGCTCGCTGGATACACTCCTCGATGACCTGCCAAAACTTGTCGACGTCCATACTCCTCGGGATGCGCACCCCCTGGTGTCCAGCGGGCATGGGCTCAGCCAGGGTCCGGCCGGTCTCCTTGACGCCGCCCTTGGCCTCTTCGAAGGAGCCGTCGGTGACGACGGTAACGTTGAAGCGCTCGTTGTGTTGGGGCTGCTCGCTCCTGGCGGCGTCCCACTCGGAAAAGGGGATCTCGTCAACGGTGCCGATGAGCACGGCGGCTACGGCGATGGGGTCGTGCAGCGGCGGGCCGGCGGTGATGCCGAAGACGTCGCTGGGGGCGCGTGCCGTTAGAGGTCATTGGCGGAGCAGCAAGCCGGGGCCGAGATTGAGAGGCCGTGGAGAGAGCGAAGGAGCTGGGACAAGGAGACTTACGAGTACGTCTTTGCGAAAAAGTAGAGGAGCTCGACGAGCATGGTGCGCAGCGTCGACTTGCCCGGCCCAGCCCGGTGGCCGTCGGCGCCGTAGAGGAGCAGCTCGCGGACGCGGTCGGTGGCGAGGACCTGGTGGCTCAGGTCGAGGGGCACGACGGTCGTCTTTGCGGCAATGTCGGGGCTGTGGAAGACGTGGGCGGCGGCCTCTGGGTCGACGAGCATGTTGAACTCTGCGTAGGGGGTGACGTTTCCGATGCGGGCCTGGTTGTCGACGTGGCCCATGGGCGCGTCGGAGAAGCCGCCGCCAAAGGAACCGCCCATGAGGCTGAGGCCGCGGACGTGGGCGACGAGATCCGGGCGGGCGCGGAACAGGGCGCCGACGTTTGTGAGGGCGCCCGTGGCGACGACCCAGGCGGTGCCGGGGCGCTGGGCGGCGAGGGCGGCGGCCATGGCGTCGACGGCCGGCACGTCGGACGGCCGGCACGCGGGCTCGGGCAGCAGGTCGGTGCCGTCGAGGCCCGAGTCGCCGTGGATGTCGGTGGGCGCGTGCAGGGCGGGCCGCTCGAGGGCCTTGGCCAGGCCGACGTGCAGGGGGACGTCGGCGTGCCGGCCCAGGGCTGTGAGGACCGAGGCGGCGTTGCGCGTCGTGTGTCTGCGACGAGGAAAAGGGTTGAGTTCCGCTGCTTTGGGGGGGGGGGTCGAGGTGTCAAGAACGTACTCGAGCGAGGCATTTCCAAAGACGGTCGAGATGCCTAGGAGCTTGATCCGGGGGTGGTGAGCCGCCAGCAGGATTGCAAACACGTCCTGTGCGGAACCGTCAGTCTCCGTTCGCAGCGGACGGTGTCAAGAGATGAGAGCCGTACATCGTGGCCCGGATCGCAGTCCAGCCAGACGGGAATCTGGTCCGACGAGTCCAGCATGGCGATGGCTCCCCGATCTGTCTATCTGTTTGCCTGGCCGATGAAGCCGCGTGACTTTTTCCAGGGCCGCGCTATCGTGGGTATGTAGAATGAATAAAGAGAGGGCATGTGCGTAACGAAGAAGAAAGCAAAGGACGAAACCAGGTTGTCCAGTTTAGACGCCGGGGTTGATGAGGGAAGCGGCCGAATACACTTCGGGGGGTGAGAGAGGCTGCGGTGAGTGAGTGAGTGAGTGAGTGAGTGAGTACCCGTGCCACGCCCCACTTTATTTGGAATTCGCAAGCTCCCACCTCCTAAAGTTGGTGCTCACCACCAGTATCCCCACACCACCGGAATACCCAGAATTTCGACTCCCCGACCTAGAATCGCTTCAACCACCGCGTACCACGCTCAGAATCGCGTACTTCCACTCGTTCTAACCTTCCTGAACCCCTCCATTGGCGTGCCTTTTTTGCTGCTTCCTCAAACCATCGCTTGCGTGCGTTATGCGCCTTTTCTCCGCGTCTTCTACTACCTTCCTTGCTTTAGCAATCTGATCATCTCCCTTTGTTGCACCATTTCCCGTCCTTGGGCCACTGACAATACTCCTCCTGATTGTAACTGTATATTCTTCATAGCCTTACGTTGTTTTTGGATCCGCTCCGCCATTTTGGTTCGTCCCAAGTCCTTTTAGTCTGCACGAGCTCAGTCGCCAGAGATAGCGATCCTCGAATAAATCGACTGAGATCGTGAGAAAAGTCGGGATCCAGGCTTTTATCGTCTTCAAGGACGAGATCTAATTTGTCCGCTACCTTGTTTATTTGTCGTAGAGTCAATGGTGTCTCGAAAGGTGAGGAGTGTGGTCCTGAATTGGGAGGAGGTGTGGGTGTCGTGGCTTGACGAGCTTCCAAACATTGAAGTACTACTTGTGGATTGAATGGGAAGATTCCTGTCTTGCGAAATGCGGAGCGTATAGTACTCTCCTTGAAAGCATGCAATCGTACTTGTTGAATGCAGGAGAGAAACTCAAGCTTGGTTATGTTGACGAGGCCATCTCGAACCATGACATCTAAAGCCTTGGCGTGATAGTGCTTTAGGGGCTGGAAAACGACAACGTCCAAAGGCTGAAGTGCATGCGTGAGATTAGGCGGCATGCCGAAGGAATAATATTGTGGTTGTCGCAGTATTCAATGAACTGCCTGGTATGGTGAGAGCCATGACCATCAAGAATTAGAAGTCGCTTCGAGCTTCTTGAGCTTTTTTCCGAGTGCTTGTCAAAATGCTGGAGCCACTCCAGACTAATCACGTCGTTTGAGTAACCAGTAGGCGTGGGTCGAATAACTGTGTCAGGATCTAGCTCAGGTATTTGATACCATGAAGCCATGTGCATCTGGCCAGCGAGTATCAAAAAAGCCGGAACAACCTCCCCATTCGCCGAGATAGCTTCGATCGCAGTAGCGGATTCCCTATTCTCAGGAATGCCAAAATAATGAGCTCTCCTCCGTTTTGTCACAATCAGCTGGTCTTTTCCAACCCCGATGCGAAAACCAGTCTCGTCCATATTCCAGATATCCTCAGGAGGTATACCATTGTCTTGGATAACCTGCCGAAGATGCTGGAAATACTGGTTAACTCGTGTAAGATTCTCGGAGACTTGGCGCTCTGCTTGAAGCCTTTTTTGGCGCTTTTTGAAGTAGCCGTGACGCTTTAAGAAGCGAGAAGTCCAGTTTGGCCCCACGGTAGGAGCGTCGCGCTGGCTAGACCGCTCGCGCAAGATACAGTTTGCCGCGTCAGTAACGAACTCGACGCGTACCGCAAGGTTTATATTATCCAAACGATCGATATAGCGACATAGGGCCTTCTCTTCTGGTTCGGAAAGCCTCGTATTTCTAGCTCGCTGGCCAGTTTTAGGAGGTCGGCCTTGAAGACGGTATCGCAATCGATCACGTGTTACACCGAATTCTCGCGCTACGGTTGCGACTTTAGCACCGGGAAAATTTTCAATATATCGAAGAGCGTTTTGTACACGTGCTTCCATTTCGGCTATCGACGAGATCGTGAATTGGTTAAGATATAGGGATGCTGAAGTCGGGGAGTCGAAATTCTGGGTATTCCGGTGGTGTGGGGATACTGGTGGTGAGCACCAACTTTAGGAGGTGGGAGCTTGCGAATTCCAAATAAAGTGGGGCGTGGCACGGGTACGGAGTAACCAGCCAGCCAGCCAGCCAACCAGCCAGCCAACCATCAACCAACCCCACCACGCAGTCCGGGGCCGGATGTTGATCCCCGCGTGGACTCTCTGATTCTTCACGCCTCTCCATAAAAGGAGGGAGAAGAAGAGGGTCTCGCGGACCTCGGCTGCGACTGGACATGCAGAACCCCCCGTCAGCCCTGTCCAAACCGAAAATTGTCCCTGAGCTGCATGCGGGCTTTTTTGCCGCGCCTATGCGGATCCAACACACATAAGCAGCATGCTGTGTCTGGAAGAAGACAACATGCAGAGCATAGCACATCTGGGCCAGGGCGAATCAGCCAAGAACTACCCTGGGTAATGGCAATGTGCTACTGTTTCACCGGCCGATGTCTCAGTTGACAGGTTCAGAGCCAGCCACTCCCTCGTGCCACAGCTCCGGCCTTCACGGCGCCGCCTCGCCCCCCACCCGCCGTCACGACTTCTTGCGCTGCTCCATGACGCGCAGCACGTCGGCCGCACTGTTGGCGTCTCCCTTGCGCTTCTTCGGGCCCCGCTTCCTCTTGCCCTGCCCGCCCCTGCTCCCGCCCTCGCCGCCGTCCCCGCCGCCGCCGTCCCACGCCGACAGCTTGACTCTCTGCTCGTCGCCGTCCTCCTCGTCTTCCAGCCTGCTCGTTCCAAAGCCCATGTCCAAGTCGGCATCGTCCCGCTCGCTCATCCGCAGTAGCCTCCTGCGCCGCTCCTCCATCGACTCGCCTCCCTTGCCCGCCTCGTCCTTGTCGCCGTCGCCATCCCCGATATGGCCGAGGGCTGCTGCCCTCTTGATGGCCGCCATGATCGCCGGGTCCTTCATCGACGGCTTCTCGGCTGCCTCTGCTGACAAGAGTCCGGTCTTGGAGTCCTTGAAATAGTTGTGCGGGGCTGCGGGCTTCGTAATCTTGGGCGGCGGGGGCATCATCTCCGCATCTGACATTCCTGCCTTGTTCGGCCCGTTTGCGGCCTCGTTTGACCGTTGCCCATCGATATCTTCCGGCCGCGACGAGTCCAAGTCCGAGTCCGAGTCGGAAACATCCATGCCAGCCAGGGGATCGTAATCGTCACCGACGCCACCAAAGATGTCGTCGTCCACGTCCTCCTCGGGCCCCGCCCTTTGTCTGTACTCTTCAGGAACCTCCATGCCCAGAGGCTTCGCCCTGGGGTCCGGCATCGGCAGGTCGTTTCCTGCCCCATCCTCGTCCTCTTCTTCCCAAGCCTTTAGCTTCCGTACTTTTCTCTTCTCGTATCCGTCCTCGTCAACGATGATGAGCACCTCCCGCCCCTTTTTGTCGCGCTCAATCCGCGTTCCGGGTTTCTGCTTGGTCCCAATCTTTTTGAACTTGCTCCCCAGCGACGACACTTGCTGAGCTTTTGCCGCCTCTCTTGATGCCCTGAGCTCTGCCAGGATCTGATTCCGTGATTTCTTTTTCCCGGCCACTACAGGGAACGCTGCGAGCTGCCCCGCCTTCCTCTCTGTCTGTTCCTTTTCGATGGCGCTCACTTCTCTCCGCTCCAGTTCGTCAAAGGCATCATCGACATCGTCTTCGTCGGACTTGTCATCGCTCGCATCGCCCTTCTTGTTGCTGTAAACATCCTCTCCGCGCCGCACTCTCTCGAGGAGCTTAAAGTCCAGGCCTTTGACCAGATGGGTTGTCTCTAGAGACCCGCCGGCAATCTCGAACCTCAGTTTGTCGTATGTTTCCTTGTCCACCTCGCCTTTGTTCAGGGACTGCTCGAGCGCCGCCAGTCTCTCTTTTCTATCGTCCGCAGCTTCGTCCAGTCTCTCTTTTGTCCGATCGGTGTAGCCAGCGGCCAGCTTGGCGCCTTTGGGCACAAAGGCCTTGAAATTCTTCTGTGGCTGGGCGGCTTGGTTTCGTTCGGCGAGCTGTCGAGCAAATTCCGCCTGGGCACCTGCGACCGAGCGACTACGTAGACAAGGTTAATTCAGGTGAAGCTCGCGGGACTGGAGCGGGTCGGCTCACGGCGTCATGGGGATGCTGGCTCGTTGCCGCGAACCAAGCGACCCCGAGCCGCTACGGCTGTCGGCCTCAGGGGAGGGCCCATTCTTGGCACCTGGGGAGTGTTTCGAGTTTGCAAGCACGAGCTTGCGGAACTGATCATTGTTCATCGTTCAAAGACCACCGCGTGTTGCGGCAGAGACGAGTTACGAAATGAAGTTGAAGTTGCAGCCTTGTCTCTCTCAAGGCTGTCTGCAAAAGTGTGGCGTGATGTGGCGCATGATAATCAAAGTCACGGGATGACGTGTACTGTCGCGCGCCGGCGCCGCTCCACTTTACGCGTGGGCATCGTCACCAAACTCGACCTCTGCGTCGACCTTTATCTGTTTCCAACCACGTCTCCGCTAATAAACGCTGTTTCTTGGAAGCGACTATTTTTTTTTCACTCTCATGAGTCTGTTGGCGACGCCACAAAGGTAGCTTGGTCGACTCATGGTCACCCTGCCTCGGGATCCGGCACGGCCACCTACTTCTGAACCATTGCCTTCAGCATCTTATTCGCCATGGGTAGTGTCTTGGATAAAAACTCCTCGCTGGTGAGAAAACGGGTCGAAAATCATACCTTCGCCGACGAGGACGGTGAAGAGTACGAGGCCAGCAAGTTCCACGGCTTCGGAGACTACTTTCGGCGAAAGAAGACCAAACTCCAAAACCTCGACGCTGAGACGCGCGCTGCGTCCGACAAACCCTCGATCTTCAAGGGCATCGTCGCCCATGTCACCGGCTACACGCAGCCTCCCCTTCACATGTGCGCGCCGCCCTGCGCATCCGCTGTCGCCCGATGCTGACTGCAGCGATTAGACTCCATCGCGAAATCGCCCAACATGGAGGCGGCTTCCTCCAATACCTCGACTCGAAAACCATGGCTACGCACATCATTGCGTCGACGCTGCCTCCAAAGAAGACGGTTGACTTTAGTCGGTACAGGATCGTCAAGCCCGCGTGGATCATGGATTCGGTGCAGGCCGGAAAGCTGCTGCCGTGGACCGACTATCGGGTTCTGGACGAGGGCCCGAGGCAGAAAGTGTTGAAGCTCGATGGCGGCAAGACCCTCACGCAGACTAGCCCACAGGCAAGACGGGGATACAGAGAACAGACTGACAGCAGCTTCTATACGAGCCAGATCAAGGCGCAAACATCCACGTTTCCCAGCCAAGGTCTGAGTCAAATGGCCGAGAAGCTCAACACACCAGATAAACCGCAGGCCTCGGCCCGGACAGTTGATTCACCAAAAGCTCCGGGAGCTGACAGCACAGCTGACGAACCCGCTGAGCCGCCTGTGGATTCCAGGCTCGACACTGTAAGCGCCTCAGGGTTGTCGGTGAGAGCGCCTTTGAGCAGAGGACGCCTTTCTGAAGCACCGCCGGACGCTTTCGAGCCGGCGATTGATGCAGTTTCCGATGGAGACCCCCCCAACAACATGACATCTGAGCAACACAACTCGTGGCTGCTGTCGGATCCGCGCTTGCGAAAGTCGTCGACGGCAAACCCCGATTTTCTCAAGCAATACTACTCGGAAAGCCGACTGCACCATCTTTCGACATGGAAGGCCAGCTTAAAGGCGTCGATGCAACGGCTGGCGGCCGACAAGGGCCTCTCTCAGAAGAAACCTAGGAAACGACCCGGGGCGAGAAGATATGTCATGCATGTCGACTTTGACAGCTTCTTCTGCGCCGTCTCCCTGAAGCGCCACCCAGAATTTGTGGACAAGCCGTCGGTCGTGGCGCATGGATCGGGCCCTGGATCCGAGATTGCGAGCTGCAATTATCCTGCGCGCAAATTTGGCGTCAAGAATGGCATGTGGATGAAGCGCGCCCTGGAGCTGTGCGCTGATCTCAAAGTCTTGCCTTATGACTTTCCCGCGTACGAGGAGGCCAGCCGGCTGTTCTACGAGTCTATCCTGTCCGTGGGCGGGGTTGTCCAAAGCGTAAGCGTGGACGAAGCCTTGATTGACGCAACCGCCGTCGTCTTGTCCATGTCGGGTTCCCAGGGTGTGGGGATCGATGAGGGTAGCGTCTGGCGAGAGCAGGAAAAGGCGGATGAGATCGCGCGTACCCTGCGAGAGCAAATCAAGGCAAAGACAGGCTGTGCGGTGTCCATCGGCATTGGCGGCAACATTCTCCAAGCCAAGATTGCTTTGAGGAAAGGCAAACCAGCAGGTCAGTTTCAGCTGAAGCCCGAAGACGTCCTCGACGTTATTGGGGGCTTGAAAGTCGAGGAACTGCCGGGCGTGTCTTACAGCATTGGCGGGAAGCTGGAGGAACTGGGCATCAAATATGTCAAGGATATCCGAGACCTATCGAGAGAACGCCTCGCATCGGCCCTTGGGCCCAAGACTGGTGAGAAGCTCGCAGACTATTCTCGAGGAATCGACGGCACCGAGGTCGGGGAGCAACCGCCTCGAAAGTCAGTGTCGGCAGAGGTCAACTGGGGCATCCGCTTCCTCAACCAGCAGGAAGCCGAGGAGTTTGTCTACAACCTGTGCAAAGAGCTGGAAAAGCGGTTGTTGGGCGAGCAGGTCAAAGGGAAGCACCTCACCATGAAGATCATGAGGAGATCCCTCGACGCACCGCTCGACCCTGCCAAGCACCTGGGGCACGGCAAATGCGACACCTTCAACAAGAGTGCGGCATTCGGGGTTGCCACGCACAACTACGAGATCATTGGCAAGGAAGCCGTCTCCATCCTACGGTCGTACAAGTTCAGCCCGGGAGACTTGCGAGGCCTCGGGGTTCAGATGACCAAGCTTGAACCCATCAAGGCAAATCCTAGCGCACCAGAAGGGAGCCAGCGAGTCTTGCCGTTTGCTGCCTTTGCAGGGCCATCGTCGGCGAAGAAGCAATCCAGCAGGGCCGAGCCGATTGACGATGTCGAGAGCCCGCAGAAACAGAGGAGCTCCGAAAGCCGCGACATCGGCAAGGATCCCATCGCCGAGGACCCTATAACGCCTCGAAAGCCCAAGTTTCATCCGGCAATGGCCTTGTCGAGAGCCGCGGAAGGGGACGCAAAGGCCAACACGCCGCTGAACGTGTCGGGTACCCAGTTCATCGTTCCCAGCAATGCGGATCCCGCTGTCCTCGCAGAGCTGCCGTACGACATACGGAGCAGGCTCATGGCCCAGCCGCCAAAGGCTAGCCCCGCGAGGCGGGAACCGCGGTCCGAGAGCCCCTTTTCTGCCGAAGAGCTTCCCTCTCAGGTCGACGCCGAGGTGTTTCGCGCCCTACCGGAGGACATGAAAGCCGAGGTCCTGGCAACATACGGTCGAAAGCCAGCACAGCCGCCGCCACGGCAGTCTCCGCGAAAGAACCAGGCCGGGCCGTCAAAAAAGCAGACAACCCCGACAAAGCGAGGCGGAATACGAGGATTGGTCGGCAAGGCCCAGCGCCAAAGAGACGCGCGGGCGGGCGTGGTGCAAACAAACTTCAGGCCAGTTAAGCGTGGCGACGAGACGCCCGTGGACGAGGAAATTGATGACCTGGATCCCGAATTCCTGGCCGAACTACCCGAAGACGTGCGGAAGGAAGTTGTCGCCGACCACCGGCGCCGACGGCTTGCTCGTCGGTCGGGACTGGACGCCCCGGGTCGGAGGCCTCGCACTCCCGAGGCCGACGGTGCTCTCCCCGGAGGACAGAGGCGGATTGAGTTCCCGGCACCACCGCCCCAGATTCCGTTTGCCAGCTTCGGCGTCACGTCGACTCGAGAGGTCAAGGATATGCTCGGCACCTGGCACAGCGAGACTCAGCAGGAGGGTCCGCATCGCGGGGACGTCGAGGTTTTTGAGAAGTATCTGGCTCAGGTGGTGATTGATGAAGGGGACTTGGAGAAGGCGGCGGTGCTGGTCAGGTGGTTGAGCTTGTTGGTGGAACAAGACGGGGAGAGCATGGCTGGGCGAGAGTCGTGGCGAAGGGCCATGGGTCAGGTGAAGGATGCTGTGCAAGAAGCTGTCAAGCACCGGGGGCTGGCGCCTTTGAATATTTAGGCTGGGAGAGTCAGGATATATCACAAGTTGATAGCATGGGCGAAGGCTCGCAAGTTTGGACAATGACTTCCTGATACCCGCATGGCGGTAGAACTTTGTACAGATGTCAAGAGGGAGGTGCAGATCCAAAAGTTGCTCGCTCGCTTGTAAGTCAGGAATGCACCAGTACAATGGCTGCTGACAGCCAGGGCTCGTTGAAGGGACGGCCTTTGTTCACGCCTGAAGCAGTTGCGGTTATGATATAAGAGCCACTGCAAAGCCCAGAGAGGCGACGAAAGCCGAGACCCGGAGGCCAGTCGAGGCGCTCCTGAGGCGATAGACGGTGAGCTTCAAGGAGCCTCCGCAGGAAGTATCCTGGTCTCCTTCGCAGGGAAAGTCGCAGCGCGCGTCGTCGAGCTTGGTGGATATGCCTGACAGTGTCTGCGAACACCAGCATTCCCTAGCAAGCCGTCAGCAGGTGGGACAGGCTTGTCAGGGTATATCTGTAGGCCCAGCGGAAAAGAGGGGGAACGGCGGATAAGAAAACACACCGTGACCACTCCAGGCCGGCGTAGCGGTACTGGGTGCGGCCGTTGGCGCAGAAGCCCAGGCACAGGGGCACCGTCATCTCGCCGCGCTTGACCTGGTTGATACCGTCGGCGAGGGCGCGCGAGCGGTCGGAGCCGTCGATGTCGGTCGTCTCGTTGAAGCAGCCGTGGTAGGTGTACTTTGTCGACTCGTTGTAGATTCTGACGTGCTGCGTCTGCGCGGCGGCGGCGAGGACGAGCAGCGTCAGGGACAACAGGAGTCGCGGCAGGGGGGCCATTGGAGCCGCCGTGAATGGCCTCTTGCGTTGCGAGAGAGAATTGAGGACAAGGAGGATAGCCGGGCGAGAATCCGTACATCAGCTGGGGCCCCATATATGAACGGAAGTCCTCACATCTGGCGGTGAAGGATAAAGGAGGCCAAGGAAGCGCGAGGCCCCCAATTCTTTACGATTACTACATATTGCTGTACGAGGCAAGCACAGCCGGAAAGGAAGCGAGTTGCGGCTTCCAATTCAAGAAAAAGGACCCCGACGTGTAGTGCAACCCTTGTCGGAGGAGTGAAAGCTGAAGGGACTTGACCTTAGTTAGCCGCCACCACAGCCAACAGCCACCCTCGCAGACAGCACTAACAATCCAAGGTATCTGACGAAACAGCCTGTGCCGCGCGGAATCCAGAGGGTCTAGAGAAGCGCGTGCCCCACATTTGCTGGGGGGAGCACCGCCGCCGCCGCCTCGGCAACCTCAACATTGTACGCATCCGGTTTAAAAAAATACTTCAAGGGGGAAAAATCATCGCAGAGAAACCCAGTGCGACAGATCTCCTCAATTCCGCGTCTCGACACAGCTGCGCACTCGTCGTCCGAAGCCGCGCGGAGCTCTCTCTCGTCGCCCCGCCTCCCCCCCCCCCTCCCCGCGCGCGTCTCTCGCCCGCCGTCACCATGGGATCCTACATCGACCGCTCCAAGACGACGCGGTCCAAGGACTACCGCGGGTCCGGGTCGTTTGCGACCTTTATGATCATCGGCCGTACGTCTTCTCGCGCGCTGGCTCGGTCGTTGCTGTGGCTGCTGACGTTGGCTTAGCGACCTGCTTCTTCCTCGGCATCCTCTTCGCCTCGTTCCCTTACGACTTCCCGCTGCTGTGGACCAAGGAGCCCGTCAGCGACAACTACTATGACCAGCTCGAGGCGCACCTCAAGTTCCTGCACCAGTCGCCGCCGCTCATAGGGCGCATGCTCAACATTGTCGTCAGCGTCGGCTTCCTCGGACTCTTCACCAAGCTCTTCCGCCCGAGCGAGGCAAACTTCTTGTTCGACGGCGCGTCGCTCATCCTCTACACGATTGGCGTGGCCGTGTACGTGTCCAACATTGTCAAGGGCCTGCGCGCCATCAGCTCGGGGCTTTGGGAAGGCGACGAGTTCCAGTCGAACCGCGAGGGCCGCTTCGAGGGCGAGTTCATCCTCGGCCGCGAGGACAGCCTCAAGGTGCTGGCCGCCAGCAATACCATCCTGGCGCTGGTCCTCATCGGTGTCCTCGTCCTCCAGGCCGGGCAGTGGTACGCCGAGAAGAGGGATCCGGACGACGAGGCTGCTGATGCCAACAAGGCCGATCAACAACCCGCGAGCAGCAGCAGCTGCGGCAGCAAAGCGGCCACCAAGAAGAAGCAGTAAGGCCGGAATGCCGCTGGCCTACTGTTCTCCTTTTAACAACAAAACCGTCATCATTGGGTTCCTTGTGGTTGCCATGGGAAAGAGGGCTGCGATCCCAATTCTCTGTTGCATCTGCGGGGATATGGCAAGGATGGTGCGACAATTGGATAACCGGGGCCGGGTCAACTTTGCTTTTTCTCGCACTCGCTCTTGCACTGCGCCTCTATCTTCTGTCACAACAGTTCCTGCGTCTCGGGTGCCCAGGTCGTGGAATCGATTGGCCCGTCGCCGGATTAGGCCGAGTCCCGACTGGAACAAGTCCAGATTGTACTCCATACCTGTGCGGGCATAGACCAAGACAATTTGCTAGCTGATGCCGCCTCGCGTGACGACTGGCAGGGGAAGGCAAGGGAGAGAAGTGGCTTGGCTTGGCTCTGGTGCGGCAATTTTTATCAGATCAATCTTATCAAATTTGGAGCATGCTTGGCGACAGGGTTTCTTCAAGCTTCCGGAATGAGGTGGGATGCCGGGATGCCGATTCGAGATGCGGAGTGTACTGTATCGACACCCGGATCAGGCACACAAGTTGGGCTTCGACAGGGTCGGTGCGTTCATGCCTCAATGCCTCAAGGATGAAGCACAGTGCCTCGGTTCACGACGGATTCCAAGGCACAGGAATAATCCCTCAATGACGGGGCCAACCGCTGCCGATGGCCGCGGCCAGTCTGACGGCATGACGCAAGAGAGCCGCCCGTGCTGCATCCAGCCAGCTCGTCCATGTGCCGACTCTGATGGAGAAGGAGGTGCCCTTGTGCCCTGACGATGCCTTGTTGGGTCAAGTCGGGAGATGCTTTGGGGCATTTGGATACAATGGGCATCCTCCAGGAACCTGCATAGCCTCTTTGGCCGTTGCCCATGTCGTCAAATAAATCCAATGAATCAGGGGGGGTGGAGCCCATGCTCAAACTCCTCATGCGCAGCTCCCAAGCGCAAGCCAAGACAAGCCTCCTCTCCCTTTCTGCTGCTTGTCACATGCGGCGATGGCGGGGAGAGATGACTCGTACCGTGCCAATCGATGCCGCGTTTACACTGTCGGGCGGGCCGCACATCCACAGTGGAAAGGATGGAGGGGCGCGTGGGTTGAAAGAGAGGTGAGAAAATAAATAATTAAAAAGGAAGCGAAAAAATCCGATACCGGCGCCCGCTGTTGCTTCAAGGACAACGAAAAGTCGTGACCCCTTTTCTCTTCCTCAAACCCGCCCGGTGTCACGACAAGCTATGGCAAATCTCACCGCTTCGCCTTATTCATCATGGCTTGAGCTGCACACAAGCCATCTTTTTACACCTTAAATTTGCCTCCCGCCCGGGTTTTGAGCTGCTGCTGCAACATGCCCCACGTCAACATCTGTGGTGTGGCTTGGTCCTTGTCGCGGGGGATGCACACGCCTATGAGAACTTAACTTAATACTTGCCCGTTTATTGATACACAATATATTCGTTTCGTATACACAGACGTATATACCTGCGTGTAGATAAATATATATACGCTGGCATGTCCCTCCCGCTGCCGCCGCTGCACGCACATTATTATCCGTCGGGCAAGCAACACTCCTTTGCTCTTGCGGCGGCATCGTGGACCCTCTTTTTTTTCCTCCAGAGAGCGAGCGACCAGCCGCCCCCCCCCCTCGTTCTCGCGCAAACCTCGCGATTGAATGACCGTCTTCTCCGACATGGAACCGAGCCCCGTCTCGGTCGAGGCCTCTGCCCTCTCGCCGCTCCGGGGCAAGACGGCCCTGATGGAGGCCGCCGAGGACATCTTCTACGGATCGGTATGCTCAAGTCTGTCGTCGTCCAGCCAGCTGCTGACCCAACCAACCAACCGCTCCAGGTCGCCGGCGTCGTCGGCAAGTACATCGAGTATCCCTTCGACACCGTCAAGGTCAGGCTCCAGAGCCAGCCCGACCACCTGCCCCTGCGATACCAGGGCCCCCTCGACTGCTTCCGACAATCCATAAAGTCCGACGGCCTCTTGAGCCTGTACCGCGGCATCAGCGCCCCCCTGGCCGGCGCCGCCGCCGAGACGAGCAGCCTCTTCCTCTTTGAGAGCATTGGCCGCGAGACCCTCTATCGGACCGGCCTGTGCCCCCGCGGCGAGAAGCTATCGGTCCCCGTCCTCTGGCTGACGGGCGCCTTTTCCGGCCTCTTCACCTCGTTTGTCCTCACCCCGATCGAGCTCGTCAAGTGCAAAATCCAGGCGCCCCTGCTGGCCGACGCCGCCGCCGCCACCCCCCTGCGCCCGCTGCCTGTCATCCGAGACGTATACCGCCATGAGGGGCTCCGCGGCTTCTGGCACGGCCAGGTCGGCACTCTGATCCGCGAGTCGGGCGGGTGCTCGGCCTGGTTCGGCGCCAAGGAGACGGTCACGTCCCTCTTCTACCGGCTCAGATCCCGGTCAGCCGCCACGAGGGCAGAGAGGGAGGCACTGCTGGCCCAGCCTTTGCCCCTGTGGCAGCAGGCCCTCGCCGGCGCATCGGCAGGTGTCTCGTACAACTTTCTCTTCTTCCCCGCCGACACCATCAAGTCCCGCATGCAGACGATGCCCCTCGGTGGCCTGGCCGAGAGGCGTACCTTTTGGGGCGAGGGCGCGGCTCTGTGGCGCCAGCACGGTCTGCGGGGGCTGTATCGGGGCTGCGGCATCACCTGTCTCCGCTCGGCGCCGAGCTCGGCCTTTATCTTCATGGTCTACGATGGGCTCAAGCAGCGTTTTCCGCTTCAATAAAGAGGGCGGCGGTCAGGGTCTTTCTATTTACCAGGGAAGGGGTGGACTTGGTTTTTTTTCTTGAATGCCGCTGGCTCGGTGTGAGTCAGGCGTAGGCATAAGGGGTACGGCGTTCTTGAGTCCCAGGTTCTTCTCGGTTGGGAGCAAAAGGGTGCCCGGGGCATATTAAGGATTTTGAAGATGGGTACTTGGTAGTGAAGAAATGGCCGCCTATAGAGGCGCACACTGATGCGATGTAGCCTACACAAGTCGTGAATCGCCCATAGCGACAGAGACACGCAAATCATGCCAAACTCCTTTGTCCAGAACTCGCGGCCGTTAGCCCTCTGTGCAGCTCAAGACCCGGATGGGTCCTCGCAAGCATCGTACTACTCCGTCTTGCCGGTCATCCTAACCTCCTTGTCCGAAAAGTCCCAGCCGTTGAGGTGGCCGACGCCGGCGCACAGATACGTGGCGAAGCTCAGCCAGCCGAGGTAGGGAAGGTGGCAGAGGCCGGCCACACGGTCGACGGAGCCCCACAGGTAGGCCAGGTAGCCGTTGAGGCCCAGCAGGGTGACGATGTCGACGGTGGCCTCGACGGGGCGCTTTGCGACGAAGAAGAGGGGCATCCAGGCTAGGTTGAGGCCAAGCTGGATGGTGTAGAGCGTCATGCTGTGCTTGGTGATCTGCACCGTCTCGGGGGAGGCGAGCGGCGAGAGGCCCACGCTGGCGACTCGGTAGGAAGCGTAGCCCATGAGCCTAGGTCACAGAATTCAGTCCGTCAGTCGCCTCGTCCAGCCGAGCAAACACATCACTGCGGGCTTTGCATACCCATAAAGCAGCGTCCACACGGGCCCAAAGGCCCAGGGCGGGGGCCGCAGAGGCGGCTGCCTCAGAGCGAGATATGTCTTTTGCGTCTCGGCGGCTATCGCGGCGCATCCCTCGTTAGCCTCGGCTCATGTCCCGCGCACGAGGTAATGGTGCCGGTGGCGGGGGGCTCTCACGTCGCGTGCCGAAGCCGACGGCGGTGCCCAGGGCGATGGGCAGGAGGACCGAGGCGGCCGGGTGCTGCAGCACGGCCGCGGGGATGGTGATGCCGGGTATGTAGGTTGTCATGGCCGCGGGTGGGTGGAGGCGGTTGGGCGGTCTCTTGCGTGTTGCTGGATGGAGAGGCTGTTGTTTGTGTTGTAGCTGTTCTGTGTAGGGGATGCGTATCTTGCAAAGGGAGTGTTTGGGTGGTGGAGGGAGATGGAGAAGCTTCAGGATCGAGCAATGTCGTCATAGTCAGCTGTCTCGTGTCGCGAGAGCCCATCTCTGCAGGACTGCACTTGAATATTCATTCTTGAATTTTCTTGAGGCACATCTCCCACGGCTGGGTCCATTGGACTGTCTCATGTTCTGTCAAGTGCAGTATCTCTTGGACGACGTCAAAGATGGTCAACTCAACAGCTTGAATCTGTGATTATGTAACGACGAACTCGCGGGCGCCAGCACAAAGGGAGAGGCGTGGTAGAGGTGCGGTATCACGTGCCGGCACTTTACGTGACAAAGCACGGACCAGGCCTCTGTCATTATGGCGCGCCAGGTCGCGTCTTGACGCGTCCAGCTCGCTAGGCTCGCGGCGCGCGGCTGCACAGGGCACATGTCCTACAATTCTTTGTGGGCACGCCCGTCCTTTCCTCTCGTTCCCTTTCACCTTCCCAAACCTCAACTCAACCTCGACTGCACCCTCGCACGCAACTGAGGAAAGCGCTCGCTGCCCTACCTACCACCCATAATCACGATAATACGGAAGGCAGCATCGTCTTTTGCTTTCTTCTTTCCCTCAGAATGGCTCGCTGCGCACTGGGCAAGAGAGCCCGCGCCTCGCCAGCAGACCGTAAGTGTACACTGCCTCTACCAAAGGCAACGATTTACGCAGTTGCTGACTCCGCGGCAGTCACTGTCGAGACTCCACGCAAGAGGACGCGCCGCGGCGAGGCCTTCTCGGTACACGTCGGCGACGAGGAGAATCAGGACCCTTGCGAAGCGGGCGACCATGAGGTCGTCATCGAGCTCGATGCCGTCGCCGAGCAGACGCAGCACAAGACGCGGCACTCCCAATCCCAGACATGGGCAAAGAGACAGCCAGTCACTCCGTCCACGCCTCGCCACCGCGATGCCCTGTCAGGGTATCCCACAACACCCCGGCATGCCGTCATGTCGGCCGGCAAGCTCTTCAAGCGCCTGACACCCCAGTCTCCCCTCTCGCCCTCGGCCGTCCAGACCGTCTACCACTCGGCGCGCCAGCTCTTTGCCCGAGGAGCCGAGCCCGGTCAGCTTATCGGCCGCGAGACGGAGCGAGAGCAGCTCGCCCACTTCCTCAGCCGCTGCTCCTCCCCGTCCCCCGGCGGCTGCCTCTACGTCAGCGGGGCGCCCGGCACCGGCAAGAGCGCCATGATTACCGAGATGGCTCGCGACTTTTCCCAACGCGCCGACGGCGTCCGCAGCGCCTACATCAACTGCATGAGCATCAAGTCGTCCAAGGACCTGTACACGACGCTGCTCTCGGAGCTGGGACTGGATGGTGACGTGACGGAGGCCAACGCCATCTCGATGCTGCAGCAGGCCTTTTGCGCAAAATCCAAGTCGTCGACGGTCTATCAGGTGACATTGGATGAGATTGATCACATCCTGACTCTGGGTCTCGAAAGTCTGTACCGCGTCTTCGAGTGGTCCCTGTCACCATCTTCGCGCCTCGCCTTGATCGGCATCGCCAACGCCTTGGATCTCACCGACCGGTTCCTGCCTCGGCTCAAGTCAAAGAACCTGAAGCCAGAGCTTCTTGCCTTCCTCCCGTACACGGCGGCCCAAGTCAAAAACATCATCATCACACGCCTCAAGTCGCTCATGCCCCCAGGCAAGGAGGGCTATGTCCCGTTCATTCACCCTGCCGCCATTGAGCTCTGCTCGCGCAAGGTGTCGAGCCAAACCGGCGACCTGCGCAAGGCATTCGAGATTTGCCGGCGCGCCCTCGATCTGGTCGAGGCAGAGACGAGGTCGAAGCACGAGGAGGAAGCAAGGGAGCGGATGCTGCAGATGACGCCATCCAAAAAGCCGTTGGGGGAGAACATCAATAGAGCTGCCCCGGGTCCTGGATCGTCGACGAGCATCCTGCACGCCATGACGGCGTCGCTCAAGGCCCTGACGGCCGAGACGGCTCCGCGAGCATCGATTGGGCATCTGAACAAGATTACGGCTGCCGCTTTCAGCAACGGCACTACGCAGCGCCTCGGAACCCTGAACCTACAACAAAAGGCAGCTCTGTGCGCTCTGGTGGCATTCGAAAACCGAGCGCGGAGCACAGCGAGATCGGCGAGCACACCCTCGACACCCTCCAAGTCGCAGACGCTCGCGCCAACCATCAAGCTGCTCTTCGATGCGTACTGTCAGCTCTGCACCCGAGACTCGGTACTGCACCCGTTATCAGGCTCCGAGTTTCGCGAGGTGGTGGGCAGCCTGGAGACGCTGGGGCTGGTGAACACGGTGGAGGGCAAAAACGGCAGCTTCGTGGCGGCACAGACGCCAAGCAAACGCGGCCGCAAGGGGGCGGTGGGCAGTGGCGATGAGAGGCGCATTGCCAGCTCGGTGGGCGACAAGGACATGGGGTCGCTGGCCGAGGGCGTCGGAGCGGGCATCCTGAGGAGCATCTTAATGGGCGAGGCGTTGGACTAAAGGGTCTAGAAGCATCGGGATTGGTGTTGTTGGGCTGCATTGGATGGCATACGAGAAGGTGGAGCAAGTGCATGGGACATTGACGGGCATTGCGACAGGCGTTGGCAACGGAATCATGGACACTGGCGTTGACTGAAACTTGACAGGCGGAAACTCCGAATGTCGGAAGACTTGAGGACGGGAAAGGGGGGTTCGTGCGTGTCCATGTATGAACGATGGTGGTCCAGACGTTTTGTCGGCGGGGAGCCGATTGGGGTAGATGGAGGGCTTGAACGGGCCAACTGTAATGGGACGTTTGTGGTGAGGCGGACTGGGTAGACAGAGAATGGTTGACAAATCAGGCGGCGTTTGAAGAGTGCAATGTCTCAAGGGGGAGGTGAGTTGAGAGGTGACGGGCTCCGTCGTCAGCAGCAGGCGGTGGCATCACGAGCGAGGTTCTGCAGAGGCCAATGCGGTTGGGCACTTTGATGGGCTTTCGGGCACTCCATTGGCGGTGGTGATTCCAGGAGGGCCTTGACATGCGGTCAGTGTAAGCAGAGGCAGAAAGACGAGTCACGAGGCATCTGATGGCAATATTGCGTCGTGGCGGGCGGACCTGACGAGGATGGATGGAGTGGAGGGGCTTGCAGTTGAGGTGCAGGGTGATGCAATATCAGTGCTACCTTGACAGCGAAGGCCGAGGAGTAGGTACTGTAGGTAAAGAGAGGCAAGGGGGGTGGCGTGATGCTGCCTCTTTCTTTTCTTCTGTCAATAATAATAAAGGCACCTCTCTCCGTCTCTTTCGTCTTGCTCTCGTCTGGCCTGGCCGGCCTCGGGGACCGAGTACTACTTTCCTAGGTACCTCGGGTACGGAGTAGTCACGGCCGAGACAGATGTACCCGAGAGGAACCTCCATCGCCAGGCAGGGAGGGGCAGCAGACGGGCCCGCCTGCATGTATCTGCAGAGTACTCATCATCGAGGACGGCCGGGGTTCGAGCTGGCACGACATGTGCGTGCAGTACATGCAGCCATCCATTTGCTCCGCAGCCGGCATCACGGCTTGATCAAGACACTTGGCTACTGACATTTATCGTGCATGCTGCGCCATGTGCCCGGCGACTTGGTCTGCCGGCTTCGGGAACATGCCGAGGCTGAAGGCCTGTGCCGAAAAGCCTGTGCCGAAAAGCCTGTACCAAAAGGCCTATACCGAAAGGCCTATACCGAAAGGCCTGTACCGATACCCAAGGCGCAGGCAGGTAATTACAGTAGCTGCGCATTCCCCGAGGCATGGGCCGGGATTGACGCTCAACCCGGACGGCAGCCACGAGGGACTAGGTACTAAGCTTTCTCTTGGCACCAGCACAGAGCCGTACATACATGGTCATCAGTTTTTTCCTTGCTCATCTTGGCATACCTTATGCAGGGCCAGCGAAGGCGGGAGCGGGAGGGCCAGAACCTGCTCGGCAGTTTGGAAGAGTTGGCGATGGATCTAGTACCGAGTACAGAGTACTACCTAGGCAGGTAGGTAGGTAGTACAGAACATGATAGGTACTGTACCTACCAAGCACCAAGCACCAAGCACCAAGTGCGTGCTGTACTACTACGTACTCCCTCTGATTCTCCCGCCAACAGTTGGCCCACTTTCACTCACTCTTCTGTCTGCAACTATTTGCCAACGGGCAGATACCATGCTGCTGGTTACTTGGGTATCTCGTACGCTGAGCAGATACCACCTAGGGTTGCTGGGATGCAGGTACTTTCTACGGATAGACGGGTATCTATCGACTAGAACGGCACTTGCCCGGTTTGGGCGAGTGTTCTAGCGTGTGGTCCTCACGCCCGTGTTGCCCGAACAAGGGACAGCCAGCATAGAGGCAAGTAGCCGCTACCTTGGGCCCCAGGTAAGCACTTGGCCCGGCCAAGGTATAAACGACTCCCCGCAAGTCGGCTTGGCTTGCGCAGCACCGGGCGTGTTTCGTCTTCCCTTTCTCTCGCTCTCGCTCTCGCTCTGTCTCTTATATCTCTCTTCTAGGCCAAAACTTGTTCTCTCCTGGCCCGTCTGTCTCGTCGAGGGCTGTTGTCAAGGGAGGTTTCGACGTCTTTTCTTCTCTCCCCTCCTGTCCTTTCTTCCCCCTCCTTCCCACTGTCCGAAGCTCTCTCCCTTCTTCTTCACCTTCTCCACCCATTCGTTCATTCATCGACGCCGAGCTTGTTCGATGCCTGTCGGCCCCCCCGTTGTCGTTGCCGCCGCTGCTGCCGCCGCTGCCCGCCGCTATCGTTATCACTCATTCTCCACCATCCGCCGTCCCGCGCCCATCCACCACCATCTCCCCCTCTGCCACTGCTGCGCGCATACCTAAGCCCGAAGCACCATCAGCGACGACGACGCCACACCCAGAGAGAGATCCCCGCCAGCGCAAGCTTGGTCTCGGTAACGGCGCCGTGCGTGCGTCCGCAACCGTGACGTGACGTGACGTGGCGCCGACTGACGACGAAGACGTGGGCGAGCCGACGACGACATCAACCAACGCTCCCCGTGTCGCCCACCAGGAGCCTCGACCTCTCACGTCCCACCCGCGTTCCATGCCTCGAGACCCCGGGCCCGAGGCCACCGGCCGCCCTTTGACGTCGTCGTCTCTCCCCACCGCCGCCGTCTCCGCCGCTTCCGACCCGGATCCCCTCAGCCCGACCTCGAAACCTGCCTCGTCATCGTCGCGCCCAAGCCTGCTGTCGCGCATCAGCCTGCCGCTTGCCCTCCCCTTGAGGAGTCGCAACCGCAACGTCGTCGACTTCCACGTCCGCTGCGACGAGCCCTACCGCAAATACAATGCAGGCGACTCTGTCCGCGGCTCCGTCGTCCTCGCCGTCGTCCGCCCACTGCGCATCACCCACCTCGTCGTTTCCCTCCATGGCCACGTCCGCGTCCTCAAAGATCCCACCTCGGCCACAAAGGCCCAGCTCGCCGCCGCCCTGCCCGGCGGCACTTGCGCCCGGCCTCAGTACCGTGGCAATGGCCTCGCCAGTCTGTTCCAGGATGAACAGGTCCTGAGCGGCGAGGGCAGGCTGGAGCCCGGCAAGTATGAGTTTGGCTTCGATCTCGTCTTTCCCGTCACCGAACTGCCAAGCAGTATTGATGTAGGTCTCGCTCTACCAGCCATCCGCGCCAATCGCTGACGCCCGCTTCCCAGTTTGAGCGCGGCACCATTTCCTACATGATCACGGCCACCTTGACTAGGCCGACGACGATTGCGCCCACATCCTCGTGCGATCGACGAGTCATGCTCACCCAGAAGATCGACATTGGCATGCTTGCCCCTCCCCGCCCGCGAACCATCTTCCTCGAGCCCATATCCAAGCGCGTGCGCAGGAAACGGACAACCGTCGTGGACAAGACGCCGACCGCAAACTCCGAGATCAACGATGTCGCCTCCGAACCCGACTCGGCGGACCGCTCCATCGTCACCGACGACTCTGGCCGCGACGCGCAAGCCGACCACCGAAGCCACATCCCGAGCGACGTGCGCAGCGAGGTCAGCGGCGAGAGCGCCCGCAGCGTCAGCACCGCCGTAAGCAAGGTGGATTTCGCCCAGCTGCCCCAGATAGGCGCTGCCATGTCCTCGGCGGCCAAGCAACAGTTTGTCGACGACAAGACCATAACCGCAACCATTGAGTTGCTGAGAGGCGGCTGCCTCCCTGGGGACACGGTATCGGCGCGCGTCACTGTGCAACATATCAAGCGCGTCAAGAGCATGACGGGTGTTATTGTCACCCTGTTCCGTCAAGGCAAGATTGATACCTCGCCGCCGCCCTCTCGCTTTGCCGGCATGAGCAAGGACGAGGCCAGGAAGCTGGATAAGGAGGAGATGTATCCGAGATCCCGGACCAGCCTGGGGGGCTTGTCACTCTCCTCGACGAGCTCCACGAGCGTGTTTCGCAAAGACCTGGACCAAACCGCCGCGCCCCTTATCATCGACCCCGCCACGCTGCAGGCGTCCGTCACTATCTCGGTCAAGGTGCCCGACGACGCCTTTCCCACAATCAAGGGCGTGCCGGGAGACATGATCAGCTTCAAGTACCAGGTCGAGGTCGTTGTCGACCTGGGCGGCAGGCTGGCGAGTCAGCTCCAGGGAGGGCAGTCACTGTCGAGGTTCGGGCCATACGGCAACGGTGGCTCAGAGCAGGGCCCAAATTCGTACGGCTCGCGCAGATCAGCCAACATTGCCGACACGGCGCAGCTGAGACGCGAAAAGGGCGTCATCTCCGTCACCATGGAGACCGTTGTGGGGACGGCGGACAGCTCAAGGAGCCGCAAGTCTGCGGGAAAGCCGCCCGAGTCGAGGACCATCAGGATTCGTGAGAGCGACGCCGACGACGACGACGAGGCCATACGTCCCGAAATGAACGAAGCGCCTTCTGGCCACTTCCACGCAAACGGACAAGCGCCAAGCGGCCAATCGTCGCAGCAGCCCAACGACTACCAATTCACTCCGCCACCCGGAGAACCCCCTCGCCTCCCTCCAGAGCCGCTGCAGCTCAGTCGTGGGCCTTCGCATCGCCAGTTCGCACAGACCAATGACTACCACCGCGATGCCGCCCCGTCCTACATACCCGCGCCCCAGGTCGCCAATCAGGGCAACATGACGGAGAAGGAGCGCATACGAGAGGCGGAAACTAGGCTGCTGCCCAGCCAGCCGCCTGCTGCGAGTCCTTCGTCCGCAGATGACGACGACATTTACGACGCCGAAGACACGCCCCGACTGCCAGGGTCATCCCCGAGCGCACCGGCCGATAGGGACGTGGTAGCCGGACCATCGGCGCCGACGGAGGAGCAGGTGTCTGCGGGGCGTCCTGTCGAAGACAAGCAAGAACTGGAGCGGCTGAGGCTGATGAACGAGGCGAGCGCACCCCCTGAATTTCCCGAGGACGCTGAGGGGAGGGGCGGAGGCTCGTCACCGCCAGACCAAGCACCCGAGGTCGAGCCGTCGGCGCCATCGCTGGATGTTGACGGAGGTGATTGCAACGACTCTTATCTTGGTCATGGCGCAGCAGCTGGCCCTTCGAGGAGCGGGGGCAGCAGCCAACATCCGGAGCAGCTGCCGGCGTATGAGCGATGATGGACGGGCGGCTTGCTTCTTGGAAGGTGGCTGGACGGGAGCGACAAGGCATGGCGTCGCATTTGGATACGGAAAAATGGATAATGTTCAGCATGGAGCTTGGAGTTACTCGATGGCGGAGGACACGTTTGGCGTTGGGAGATGGCTAAGGATGCGGTTGCTAAAGAAACAGGCCGCGGGAAGGCGGTTTTTCACACAATGGACGATGATGGCAGTGGAAGAGGGCTAAGCTTGCAGACTTGGTGAGACGTCTGCGTTTTGCCGATTGCTTGGGATGACAACAGTGCATTGCCGCATCGTCATCCGGCGAGCCGCAGCGAGGTTGTCGCACGTAGCTGAGCGTGTTTAAGATCATGTATCTACTCCTCCTAGTAGAAGTCTATCTGCCCCGGCCATGCAGTGGCTGTTGTGCGTTATTTAATCGGCCCTGAGCCTCGACAAGAGGGTAGGAGGGAAAAAAGGGGAGAGAGGCGGCCGAGGGGAGAGGAGGTGACTCGAGCAAGATGTTATGTTGTACATGGACCAAGCCCGACGTGCGGAATAACCCGTCGCGCTGTCGCCCGACTATATGGACATGCTGCGGCTCCTGCGGGTAGCGTTTGGGATGAGAGCGGTCGAGAGCGGTTTTGTCAGATGGATGGGCGGACGCAAAGTGACGATCCGGTTCAGTGCTGCAGAACGGGCGGCTTGCCCTCTTCCCACTCATGGATGGCGTTTCGGATGTTGACCCAGTAGCGAAGGCGGACGGCCTCTCGCTTGGCGGCATCGACGTCGTCGGCAGCAAAAGCACGGGCAAGCGCGTCGTCGCAGCGGCGTATCCGGTCGTCGTTTTCGCCGCGCAGGGGCTCGAGGTGGCGCGGTGCCTCGGCGGCCTCGATGACCTCGTGGGCGTCGAGGACGAGCATGAGCAGGTCTCCATCCCCAGCCCCGCCGGCGGGGGAATCGTCGAGGCGCAGCGACTCGTCGGCGGCGACGTCGACGCCGCGCAGGGCGAGCAGGTACTGGGCGCGCAGCAGCGGGTCGGCGAGGGTGCGGTAGGCGTGGTTGATGGCGGCCGAGGCGGCCTCGGCGGCGGCCTTGCGCGCGGGCGGCTGCTTGTCCGGGTGGGCGGCGGCCTGGAGGCAGAGGAACTCGCGGCGCAGGGCGGGGACGTCGACGGCGAAGGGGCCTGCGGGGGGCGCGCCGGCGGGGAGGGTCAACGGGAAGTAGCCGTAGAGGGTCGAGGGGGGTGGGGTCGCTGTCGCGGTCGCGGTCGAGGCGGAGGAGGAGGAGGAGGAGGAGGAGGAGGAGGGTTCGTCGACGGTGCCGTCTTTTGCCTTGTGGTTCCTGGGCGGGGGAGGGCGGGAACGTGCGGCGGTGGAGGATAGAGCGCGTGCCTGCGTAGCCGCCGGGCCGTCGATCAAGGACGAGGACGAGGAGCAGGCAGATGCCCGAGGGAGGCGGACCTGTCGAGCTGGACACCGGCTGCGCCCGGCACCGGCGGCGGCGGCGGCGACGTGCCGGACAGCCTTGGGACGCAGCATCGTCTGTGTGTGTAGTCGCGGCCTGTTCGGCGATGGGGGGGGTCAAGCTGGCTATCCCTGTCTCTCTCGCTCTCTTTCCTTGTCCCGACTTCCTTGATCTCTGGCGCCTCTGTGAAGTCGTGGTTTAGGCTCGCGGTGCAGTATCGCAGCGTGGAAGGCGATGGATGGCGAGAGGCGTATGGCTCAGCGGGATTCAACCTTGGCAGCTGCTGTAAGGAAGACGTGACTGGAAAAAAGAGCAGGGGCCGTATCGAGAAAAGATGAGGTCATCAGCGGGCGTCGGCCATAGCCGGCTCGGAGCGCCGACGCACGTGGAGAGTGGAGCCGAGTGGGCGGGCACTCATAGGAAGCTTCAATAAGTCAGCCCACCTAAAGTCCGGCACACCCCAACACCGGCACTCTCCATAACACCAAGGCAGGCACATTCTAATAGTAATTAAAGCCGTATTTTAACGTTACGATAGTTAATTATAGTGTTTTCTAGCTATTTAAGCAGCTAGCTACTATATAGAGCTTTAAAATCTACGTCCTAATTAGCTGCGGCAATAGTAGCCGGCTCGAGGATGCGCTCGAGCCGCTGCCTCGTCTTAATAACTTAATTAATCCGTACGAACCGGCTATTAAGATCCTATAGAACCTTTTTCTATTTTCGAGGCCGTAGATAATGCAATTAATGCTTAAGCTATTATATTCGAAGCTAGGTAGCTATAAGCTACTAATTTTAATTATTAAGGGCGCGGCTAACTTTACTAAAGAGTAGTCGGATTATACGGTTAACTTAACCGCGATTTTCTAGCCCTATAACGAGGCGGCGAACTTCTTATAATCGTTTAGGCGTTTTAAGGGCATTATTATTAGCTAAGGAGCTAATATTCTTCCTTTTTAATAGCGTTAACGGCGTTAATAGCTATAGTAAGATAAAGCGGCTTAATAAGGGCTTTACTATATTAATTAGCTATAAACTAAACCCGCGCTAACCTCCCTTAATATTCTTTTTAGTTAGGCTAGCTTACTAGGCTTTATAGTAGATATAAAGGAAGGTAGCCTTACTAATTAGCGCTATATTATTAAAAGATATAATTTTCTTAAGTTAACGTCGGTATATAGCCTTAATAGGTAAGAAAACTAAGATATTAAGTAATTAGAGGATATATAAGGAGTATAATAGTAGGAAAAGGAAATATATATTATTTTAAAAGTATTTATATATAAAAGTATTAGTTTAATAACTTTTATAGCCGTTAATAATAAAAAGAGTATTGCCTTACTTATAGTACTTTATTTAAAGGATAAAAACCTACTTTAGCTATTAAATAGCGATAGTATTACTTATCTAGCCCTTTAAGGAGGTAATAAAGTCCTAATCTTATGGAAAATTAAGTTTATTAAGGAACTATTAGTATTAAAGGTCTTAACCCTTAAAATTATAAGGGGAGTTAAGGCCTAGCCTATAGTAAAGACGTATTTAACTATTATAGTTTAATAACGTAATTCTGGCCGCTTTTTAAAAGTCTCTTACTTTTCTAAGCTCCTTAGTACTAGACTATTAAAGCTAAGGCTCTTAAGGATACCTATTTTATTTATATTAAAGCAAGACTTTAGTAAGATTACTTATATAGCCGGTAGCTTAAGTAATTAAAACTATTCCTCGATATAGGCTATAAAGGCGCCGTTAACGTAAGTAGAATTAAGAGATCTACCTTTAATAGTACTAATCTCTAAGTTCTAAGCTAAAAAGCCCGAAATCTATTACTTCCTAAGTAAATAGGTATCGCCGCTAGCCTTAATAATACGGCTAGTAAATTCCTTAACCTAATAATACGTTAAAGGTAGCCTAAGAGCGGCCTAGGTAAGAACCTAGTCGGTAAGGTGTTTTTCCTACTCTTAGCTAAGCCTTTAATATACCTCTTTTGCCTCCTTAATAGGTAGAGCCCCTTTAAGATATATATAGAGGGTCCCTCTTAGAATACCTTACTTTTAACTAGTATAAAGCTAAGGTATCCCGTTTTTAAATAGCTTTAAGTACTTCTTAGAGCTAGTTTTCGGTATACTTAGAAAGCCGAGGTATTATTAATATAAATAGTATTTATTTTATAATTATAGGGTAAGAGATATATAAGAAAACGCGGTTATAATATAATATATTTAATAATACGATAGTATTATAAAGAGTACTAGTATTAAGGTATACCGGACTTTAGGTAGGCTAACTTACCCTATAGCCTCGCTAATATTAGTACTTAATAATAGCCTTAAATAATCTAATACTAATATACCTACTAGTATTATAGAGATAAATTCTAGTAAACCTCGTAGTCTACTTCTTAGCTTTAGCTATAGAGGGTATAGTTAGGGTAGTTTTAAATAGTCTAGGGCTATTATCTATATATTACTAAAGAAATTCCTATTAGTTACTAGATACTCTATATAGCTATCGTTATTATATACTCTTAAGTAAGGGCTTAAGAGTATAGTAAAAGAAATAAAGGTATAGAAAGGTAAATTTAGTAATATATATCTTAGTCTATCTATTAAGATAAGGGAGGGGCTTATATAAGTATAGTAACTATATATAGCTAGCTAAAAGAGGGTATTAAGATATTCCTATACTAGGCTTCCTTATATATAACTATTAGGTTTACTAGGTATAACTATAGCCTCTTATACTTACTCTCCTTAATATACCCCCTTACTACCTTAGCTTTTAAATAGTAAGGTACTAGGTAGAAGGGCGTTTAGTCTAATAAATATAAAGCTATTTTAATATTAAATTTAGACCCTTATAGTATAGTAGTTATATACCTAAGAAACCTACTAGCTATAACGCTAGAGTTAGTTTAAATCTAGCTAAGGGCACGATTAATTTTTAGTTAAACTAATAGACTACGCTAACCTACTTATTAATTAGCTAATTAGCGCTTTTAAAAGCGCTTATAAATATACTAGTAGTCTAGCCCTACTATAAGTAGGCCGGCCTAGACCTTAGTTACCTAGACCTAGCGACGAATTTATTAGGACCTCCCCTTAACCCTAGTCTAGGCCCCCTAACCGGGAAAATAAAAACCTAGGGCTAATACTAGTAACTTAATAAGTATAGCGTAAAGCTAGTACGATAACCTAACTATTAGCCTAGCTAAAGGCCGGTATTAATAAAAAAAATAGCCCGCTAAGCTTTATAGTAGAAAAATAAAGTAGAGCTTAAAAAGATATCGTTATAGGATAAGGTTAGAGATAATTATATAATTAACTATTAACTAAAAACGCTTATACTACTAATTAACGTTATATACCTTATATATATAAAGGAGTTACTTTCTAAGGTTACTTTATAGTAGGGCTAATATAATTCCGACTAACTATAACAATACCTAAGATAGCCGGCGTAAGATTCCTATATATTATAACCGCGACCTAGTATAAGGGCGGACTAGCTATAAAAGAAGGGAGGGTTTTCCTTTAAGCACTTTAGTTTTTCCCTCCTATTTAATACCGAAGTTTTAGATACCTTTAGATAGGTTACTAGTATAATCTTAATAATAATAATAATAATAATAATAAATTTAGCTACTTTATTATTTATTTAAGGAGATTATTTAAAAATAAAGGAGGCTTTTAATTTTATCTTATAAAAAAGGAAGGTAAATATAATAAAAAGGAAGTTAATTTAGCGGCTAGTACTTTATAATATATAGGTACGTTATACTAACTACCCCTTCTTACTTAAGGAGGGTTTAAATATAAATTAATTAAGGTTATATAACTTACTCTTACTACTTAACTTAGTAATTAAAGGCTATTATTATTAACCCCTTTTATAAGGGATATAGCTATTATAGGGTTAAGTAAAAAGGAATAGTATATAAAAGATAAAAGCTAGGACCTAAGAGGATAGGATATATAAAGAACCCCCCTCCTTATATCCTATCTTTTTAGGCTCCTAAGTTCGTTAACCGCGCCCCCTTTAAGGTATAGTTATATAACTTACTCTTTTACTTTAAAGGGAGTTAAACTTATAATTAATAAAGTTATATAACTTACTCTTACTATTTAACTAGTAGTTATAAGTTATATTTATAACCTTCCTTATAAGGAGGGGCTTAGTAAGGCATCCCTTTAAGTAGCTTAGGTACTATAATACTTTTACTAGTAATATTATCCTTTAAGATAAAAGTAATCTTAAAGGTAGGCTTTTTAATAATATATTCCTTATATTAATTAGTCTTAATTTAATAAAGCTATCGCGATTATTATAAGTTTAAGCGCTATAGTATTATATTAATTAAGGGGTAGTCTAGTAATAGCTTTACTTCTTAGTAATAAATAAGGCTAACCTCTACCCCCTAGATCTTTATAGTTTCTTAACTAAATTAAGATCTAACTATACTATTAAAATCCCTTAATCTTAGTATATATAGCAGTGCTCTTATTATTAGGATTTAGTAATTATTAAGTTCGCTATAATAAGGAGATATTACGCCTTACTATAGTAGTTAAGTATATTATCTCTTATTATATCTTCTAGCTATATTACTAGCCTTAGTTACTTAATAAAGCTTTAATACTTTTAGTAAGTAAGCGCCTTTATTATACTATTAGCTAGGTTATTTATTAATATAATCTAGCTAATATATATCCGATCTTACTATACCTCTTAATAAAGCTAGTATCTATAAACGTTAATATATATAAGGTTTATCTTAAGCTTTACGCTTAATCTAGTTAGAAGCTTAATAGTTTAAAAGTTATTATATTAAAGCTTTATAGTCCCTTTAATATTAATACTAAGTTCCTTAGTTAGCTAGCTAAATACTACTTATTCCTTAGCTATTTATAAAAGTACTAATAATTTAGCTTTTATAAAAGATATTATTATAGTAGCTTACTTAGTAGCTTTTTAGTTAATTAGCTTACTAAAGAATAGGAATATATATCCTTATAAAGACTTCTTAGTTTTTAGGTTATTAGCGTATAAGGGGTTAGATATATCTATTAGCCGCCTT